TTGCTACATTTATAAAGATAAGTATCTACACCAAAGTGACAAAGGACTACAATAAAATAAAAAAAAAAAAGAAAGAGGGAGTAATAATAAAAAAATATTGAAGATGAGAGGAGTACTAGGGATAGGATAAAATAGCGAAGAAGAGATAAGATAAAAAATAAAGAAGAAAGCGAAAAAAGTTGAAAAAGGAAAGAAAAAAAAAAAAAAGAAAAGAAAAAAAAGATAAGTTGAAAGAAGAGAAAAATAGAAAAAGGAAGAAGGAGAGAGACAGGGATAATAATAAAAAAGAGACAAGGAAAAAAAATAAAAAAAAGAAGCAGGGAGAACGAAAAATGAGAAATAAAGAGGTAAAAAAAAATTAGTAAAGAGGAAAAAAAAGGAGATGGGTATGGTTAAAATAAATATAAGAAACAATTAAAATGCAGTTATACGGTCTGGGATAAGAGTAAAACAAAAGGTCTAGGAAATAACAATAAATACTAAAAACAGGTAAGTTGTATAAATTAAGAATTAAAAAAAAGAATATAAAAAAAAATCTTTGAAATAAATATAAGGGTAAAGTATAAAAGGGCGGGAAAAAAATAAAAAAAAGAGGAAAAAGAAAAAAGCTAAGAAGGTAAGATAAAAAAAACAAGAGAAACAAGAAAAATCGGAGGCAAAAAAAAATAAAAAATGAGAATTCGAGTAAATATCACTAAAACACGAGAAAGGTCCATTAATTATAAGAGAAAAATGGAAGGGGAGAATGAAAATAAAAAAAAAATGAAAATCAAAAATAAAAAAATTACAATGACAGGAAAAAAGATAAAATAGAAGAAAAAAATTAAAAAAATGGACAAGGAGAGAAATTATTAAATAAAAAGAAGGCAAGAATTAGCTATTGAATATACGGCTGCTTCCTCCTGTTAAGAAGATACCTCCTTGCCTGCCTGACTTACCTGGCCTACCCAAGTACACCTTTAACACTGCGCCACGCAGCCTGCGCCACCAGCACCGCTTCTAGTTCACGATGTGCATCTAATACGCTGTGCGCATACTGCGTACGGCTTGCGCGTAGCCTGCGTCGGTCCCCTTCCTGGGGCGGCGTTACAACCGTCTACAACGTGGATATCGAGTATAACCGGCGGGCGTGCATTAATATTAAAGCCACGGCTAATAGCTTTATTAAGAAGTAGATGTACCTGCCGTGCAGAAATACCAGTAAAGGCTTCGCTTTGATTATTCGTAGCACCGAATAGCTTTAAGCTAAGGGCCTGCGCCCGGGTAGCAATATCGTATGAAGGCATAATGAATTAGATGTAAGAAAAAACAAAAGGCGCGACGGCAGCAGCGGCAGCAGCGGCAGCAGCGGCACGGAAAAGTAAACAAATAATTCTGCCGGCATTATTTAGATTTGTGGGTCTAAGGCGGTCAGAAAGGACTTTTGGTAGCGACCTCTGTACAATCCTCTCATATCCGGCCGGTGGGCCAAGCCTTGAAGCGCTAGGCCGGCCCACAATCAACTGGGCAAATGTGACGGGGTCAGCAAAAACTAAAACAGTGGGGGCTCTTTACTACCTGCCCAACTGCTGTATCCTTCTTAGGCGGCAAGGCAGTGCAAAGATCTACAGTTGCTGTTGTTCCCGCTTATGATACAGATTGTTTGGAAGTACTCCGTTTGTCGAAAAGAATGTAGCGTAGGTCTAGGCTTGCTGTGTTACTACTCCGTATGTATATTATCTTACATAGCGATAGCTTCATCTGTCTCTAACCGGATTCCCGATCCCCATTGTCCGATCACCAATTGAATGACTGGTTCAGTACTCAGTCAAAATCACAAGCAGCCTCGAAAAACAAAACTGTCGTCAGCTGTTCGTGCCCACGGAACACAATGGCCATAGAGGTGACATGCCAAGATAGGCCAAAATTGACAATGCTGTTCTTTCCGGACTTTTGAGGGATTCAAGCTATTTTAACGTTGACCGCTCTACTGATTCTGGAACTTTCGAAGCACGACATAATGTGAGAAACAATTAGGTGTCTTGCTCGGTTGGTGAGTCATAACGCACGTGTTGCAAGTTGTGACGCCACGTGATCGACATTCCATCATGAAGTTTGAAAGATGCATGTATCTACATTGTCCGTACATGAACTCGTGATACAAACTCAAGTAGTATCTCCCTGTTGTACTCGTACGACTAGAACTAGTGGGAATTGTCCCCGACGAAAAAGGAAAGCGGCGTTCGTATACCGGAGTACAGTGAAATATTCTATACGGTACAGATCATCAGAAAAGAAAGCATCTCGAGTTGAGAATGACAATGCCGACTGAAGTTAGTGGAACGTATATTGCAGCCTCCTTTTTCCACCGATGGCTTGAATCAATCGTCGAGCCGAAATCGATCTACTACTCCGTATATATGTAAGATGCTATTGAGATATCTTCCATATACGAGCACAATCCTGGTTCGGCCGCTTCCCATCGGGAAAAGATCTTCGGTAGGTATGGGGTGCTCCGGATTGGATGGCGCCTCATTTCCTGATTTGTGGACTCATCTGCCATGAGGACCGAGATCTGTCCTGCTGTTGCATTCCCCCACGAACGCAACCTTGCTCACAGAGCGACAAAATACGACTGCATGCTAGGCAGCTGCGGTGCTGTCAGTCCACAGGCACAAACTGGTTCTTATTAGACCCTCTACTCCGTACTGAAAATAGCACAATCCAGGGCATCTACCCCTGCTTCTGCTTTTCGGACTCCACCGCTTCGTCAGAGCTGGCCAGCTCGGGCGCGTCAACGCCAGCGATGCCTTCGTCGTCGAGCGTCGTCTTCGGGCCCGTGAACCACTTCCGCGCGTCGATCAAGTAGTAGAGCGATGCGCTGCCCCACACACCCATGTTGATGACGACGGTGTAGTTCATCGACTGGGGATCCGGGTTCGGGCCAGACAACGGGAACATGGACAGGACGATGCCGAAGCACAGGAATACGACGGAGAACCAGGCAATTGGCTTGGAGAAAGCGCCGGTGTAAAAGGCGCCGGGTGTAAATCGCGCGTTACCCCAGACAATGCGAGAGAAGATGGGCAGACCCCAGGCCAGATTGTTGCCGGCGACGGCGAGCGAGAAGAGAGCCGACGCGGCGGCCGATGCGATCAGACACAGGAGGCCGAGGATGATGGCCAGGAAGACGCTGCCCCAGATGGTGCGCAGCGGAATGTAGCCAAACGTCTTGGACTGGTTGTGGGGGTCAGCACAAAGCCTAGCATCGTACATTAGGGATCATCAGTCGGTGCTTACGATAGGCCGGAAGAAGGACGAAAACGGGAGGGCGCCGTCCCGCGAGAATGCCCACATCTGGCGCGAGGATGCCACAACGATCGAAAGGCCCATCAGGTACTGCACGATGAAGAGAAAGGACATGAAGCCCAGGGTGCCCTTCTTTCCGAACGCGTCGTAGTAGATCTGGGCCATCTAAGAGTGCGGGATAAATCAGAACCAGTCACGGACAAAGATGGGAAGAGCAGCAGGTATTGTTCTTACTGGCTGACCAAAGGAAGAGCCAAGCACGTTCTCCAGATTCGGGTCGATGCACGCGGCCAGAACGATGACGATGACGAAGCCGAGACCCCCTGTTCAGCAAGCAGTCCATGTAAGCATGGACACATGACAGAGTGGGGGCTGCATTGTGGAGACTTACAGCACATGCCGATAGACGACAAGATGCCCAGAGGCACGGCTTTTGCCGCGTTGGAAGCTTCCTCGGACATGTGAACCTGAACAGACGGGAGATGAGTGAGAATATGTGCTTGGCAAAGGCTGGCGAAGAGGAAGAAAACTCACGCAGGAATCAAACGCGCCAATGGTCCAGATGGGCGACAGCCAGGCGAGCATGAAAGCCCAGCCCTTGGGCCAGGTGGTGAGGTTCTGCAGCGAGGCAAAAATAAAGTGGCCGTCGTTGCGAGCGTTCTTCATCCCGATGGGCAGCGCGATGATGGTCGACAGGATCAGGGCGATGTTCATAAATACGGCGACAGACTGCAGCTTGGCCATATACTTATTCAAGACCGAGGCCAGGACGCCGTGGGTCAGGACGCAGACGAGGAAGACGACGTATACGATTCCGTTGGACGGCTCCCAGTTGCCGTCCTTGGAGACGACGATGCTATTTCTTGTCAGCGATCGGACGGGAGCGAAAACAAATCGAGGCAGAGGAGAGGACGCACACAGAGCAGAACATCAGGGCAAAGCCGTAGTCGATGCTGCAGAGGCCGCCGACGAGGCCGAGACTGTTGCTGTAGCCGACCAGGAAGCAGAGGTAGTTGCGTGTGCGTGGACTGGCGTAGTAGTGCGTCCAGTAGTAGAGGCCGCCGCTCGTGGGCATGGCGCTGCCGAGATCAGCCATGGCCAGGCCGACCATGAAGATGCAGCCGCTGGCCAGGAACCAGGACCAGACCATGCCGGAACCGCCGGCTGGCAGCGAGAAGGACAGCGTGCTGGCGATGGACGGCAGCAAGCCCATGATGGAAAAGGCGATGCCAAAGACCTCGAGCGTGCTGAAGTTGCGCTTCAGCTCCTGCTTGTAGCCCATCTTGGCTGCAGAGTGTCGGTCAGCAGTAGCAGCAGCAGCAGCAGTAGATAGTGCAAGGACAGAGAGACATACCCAGAAGCTCAGCATCAGCTGTGCCTGAGAGCGGCATGCCTCCCTCCGGGATCGCCGTATGGGGGTCATCTTGGGCCAAAGCCTCTATGTCGGACACGGGTTTAGTCGCCATTGCCGTGGCTATGACGTTGGCAGCTGGTCTCGGGATTTGCCGTGCACCAGGTTCACGTGTACGAAAGTGCAGGCTTGTTGCAGAAGCGGTAGACCGGTAGAATGAGCGGCACGTTGGAACAGCAAGAATTCGGTCACTGCAACGATGCTCAAGGTGCATGCAACGACATCTATATAAAGCTTCCGATGGCCTGTATGCTTGCCATGAGATGAGGAGATAAGATTGATTGTGGGCTTCGGTCGAATTGCGACTTTCCGAGCGCAGTCGTCTGTAAAGTACCTTGCTGGAATACGGACGAATAGGGATGGAGCATGGCATAGATAAGAGGTGCGAGACGACCCCGAAGATGTGTAGACCGTTTGCAGATCACAGCGGAAGTCGGCGAAGCTTTCCGAGCAGCATGGCACAGACAGCGATAGGAACGTCACTTGAAAAGAACACATAGCAATTGTGCTGTCAATCAGATGGTCTCGCGTGTATTTTTCCTTCCAAGAGACTGGTATCAGTCCATTCCATGACCGGAGAGATTCTGAGATTCTGGCGTTGCAGCCAGGTCGGCCGATAGACGAGGCTCATGCAAGTGTGATAAGCTCGATAAGCTCGATAAGCGCAGACGAGGTGGGAGGCGTCCTGGCAGAGATGCTGCAGAGATCCATGGCTTCGGTATGCGGAAGGCTCTCGGACGTTATCATGGCCCTGCATATGGGTGGGAAGCATTCGCTTAGGCGTGCCGTTTGGGGGGCAGCTGGGCGATAAGAACGTCGCGAATCGACACTAAACAGTATCAAGTGCCGTGGCTGTCGGCATATTTCAGGCACACAACGGCCGGCAGGCAAGTTGAAGCATGTCTGATCGTTCATGGTGCCTGTTGTCGGAGAGTTCCGAGTAGCTGATGCTGATAACGATCTCGGTCGTCATTTAAAGGTGCCATACCTCTTCCTTCTTCTTCTCTGTCTCTTCTGGTCTTGTGTGGTCATGTTCGACGACATGGTGAAGTCGGTGACCTGGCGATAGGTGCAACCAAGCTTCACGATGCTTCCAGGTGCCTGCTGTTGACGCTGTCTTTGTCAAAGGACACGCCATCACCGAATTGCCTGTGCTGCTAGCAGGAAGAGTTCGGCTGCTCTGTCGAGACTGCCTGGCCCCCCCCCATCGAAGAAAATTCGACAAGTCCACAGCAACGTTTGGCCAGAGGCATATACGAGTCAATGACACTCCCATGGCAGAAAGGCCCGAACCCCTATCACAGGACACAAATGGCGTCATGCAACAGGTCGTTCGACTGCCTCGGCTCGTCTCTCGATTGCAATGGCATCTTCGTGCTGCTCTCCAGACAGGGCAGGAGGATGTCGACTATTCCGGAAGGCTAAACGGCGCCGTCTGCGCTATCTGCGTTATCAGCGGTGGATGCCCGACAAAGTGCTGTGTACGAGAAGGCATCACGTACTCGTATGGATCAGGACCTGTGCAACGGCGGGCTTTCCTGCTTTCAGCGGCCTTGGCGAAACAGGCCCCGGTCTGGTGGACGCCCGTCTGCCGCTCCGGATTGGCTGTCCGCAGGCGCTCTGCATATCGGCATCGTATCCCCATCAAGAGCGACAGGGGGGCAGTGCTGCTATGTATGCAGACGTTCTGGAAGAACGGACGGACGTGGGTTTGCAAGAGGTGACCAAGAGGGCAAATGGGATAATAGGATAACGTGATCAGGTTTATGCAGGACATTTCACCGGTTTTGGCAGGTTCGGCCGGCCAGTGTTGCGCGATAAGGCCCAATCGGTGGCGACTCTCATGATAGACGAGGGATCGGCACGATGACACTGACAGGGGCTCAGCCATGGCACTTTCCTCTTTGGGAACCGGGCGCTAAGGCAGCTAATGGTCGGACTGAAATTAACCTTGTGTCTATTCTGAGCCAATGGCCTGAATATGCGTCTCTGGCATTCGACCTTCTTCATCAGACGAGCGGGCCATCAACCAGAGGCGGAGTGTCTCGATGCGGCGCAGTACTCCGTGAACATGGTACACATAATACACATTGTACGAGCGAGCCATGCCGGATCGCCAGCATGCATCCACCTTCCCCGAACGGACAAGGCTGTTCTCTGCCGCTGCGGCACGTCTTCTTGGACACTTGGAGGCCGCTGCCACACTGACTATGGCAGGCCAACTCTAAACCGTCGCCCCCAACAGCCATCCGTCCAGTCGTCCGTCGTCCGCCGTTTTGAGATGGGCCCCACAATGCTTAATTCTGCCCCAAGGTCGCCAACCAGGCACCGGCCATCACCAGGGATCCTCGTCTGAAGACGGCAGGACAGCAAGATAGCAGACGTGTGGCCGACGACCTGCTGCTTCTTCCGTCTTCTACCACGTCGATCCCTCGCTTGGCGGGCGCAGCTGGATCGGCCATGCCGTGACGAAGGCCCGGCTAACATGAAAGAAGAAGGTCAGGCCTGCGTGCGGACAACGGCCTCGTCGACAGCATTGCGTGCTTTCACGATACGCACGGATGGCGCCGGCCGGTGCGAGCAGCTACCCTTCTGGGCAGTCTGGCCGTCGGACAATACGAGCGTCGAGCAGCCATAAAAGGACGGTCTCGTCCGGACTCTCTCTCTCGATATTACTCCTCATCCTCACTTCTCACCTCTCCTCTACATCTCATCCCGTCTCCAGCCTCCAGCCTCTCCTGCCAGACTTGCCAGACCTCCAGAAATATGCCGTCCACCACCTTCCTCACGGTGGCTCTTGCCGCCGTCAGCGCCGTCTCGGCCATGCCGGCGCGCATTGGCGTGCCTGTCTCGACGAGCAACTTCTCGATCCACCAGGTGCGCAACGAGCAGTTCACCGGCCACCACGGTCCTCTGGCGCTGGCCAAGGCCTACCGCAAGTATGGCGTCGCTCTGCCGACCGACCTGGAGGCGGCCGTGGCCAAGATTCAGGCCGACCAGGCTGTCTCGCGTCGTGACACCGGCAGTGCCACCAACACGCCCACGTCCGACGATTCGGAGTACTTGACGCCCGTGCAGATTGGCACGCCGGCTCAGACTCTCCACCTCGACTTCGACACCGGTTCGTCTGACCTCTGGGTTTTCAGCACCGAGACCCCGTCCGGCTCCGTCGACGGCCAGACGCTCTACAAGCCGGCCAGCAGCAGCTCGTCTGAGAAGCTGACGGGCGCCACCTGGAAGATCAAGTACGGTGATGACAGCACGTCGAGCGGCGATGTCTACACTGACGTCGTCTCCGTCGGCGGTCTCTCGGTCCAGAGCCAAGCCGTCGAGTCGGCCAAGACCGTCTCGTCCTCCTTCACGTCCGACACGGCCAGCTCCGGCCTTCTCGGTCTTGCCTTTAGCTCCATCAACGCCGTTCTGCCCGACCAGCAGAACACCTTCTTCGACAACGCCCAGGACTCGCTCGACTCTGCCCTCTTCACCGTCGACCTGAAGCACGGCAAGGCCGGCAAGTACAACTTTGGCTACATCGACTCTGCTGCTCACACCGGCAGCATCACCTACACCGATGTCGACAACGCCAAGGGCTTCTGGGGCTTCACTGCTGATGGCTACAAGATTGGCAACGCTGCCAAGAAGGGCACCTCCATCTCCGGCATTGCTGACACCGGCACCACCCTGCTGCTGCTGCCGGACGCCGTTGTCGATGCCTACTACGCCGGCGTCTCTGGCGCTTCCTACGACAGCAGCCAGGGCGGCTACACCTTCCCTAGCAGCGCCACTCTGCCTGCCTTCACGTACTACGTCGAGGGTGTTGCCTTCACCGTCCCGGCTTCCTACATCAAGTATGCTGCCATCGACTCGTCCACCTACTTCGGTGGCATCCAGTCCGACAGCTCCATTGGCTTCTCCATCTTCGGTGACGTCGCTCTCAAGGCCGCCTTTGTCATCTTTGACGCCACCCCGAAGCTGGGCTTTGCTCCCAAGACCCTGTAAGCGTCTTGCACTCGCTTGCATTCGCCGGCATTGGCCTTGCGCCCGCCTCACACCCATCAATGTACAGCCCGTCATAGGGATATTCTCGGCCGAGGACGTCCCCGTCTCCGGTCTCTCTCCTTCTTCGATTCTTGCCCATATTTGATCCTTTTCTTTGCTTATTTCCTTTTTCGCTCATGCAATCAATTCAAAAATGCTGTCAAGATACTATTATGAGCTAGGACAGATGAATGGACCAATGAAAACCAACTGAGTGTACTACATCCACGTGACATGTTGAACCGAGCAGATAACAACTCCACCCCCTTACAGCCCGGCATTCTCGTTGTACAGCAGCAGCGGCCACTCTGTTGGCCCCGGCACTGCCTGTGCTGCTGCTGCCGCCTGTTGTGCTGCTGCCGCCTGTTGTGCTGCTGCTGCCTGTTGACCGGCCTCGTTTCCGTCCACGCTCGTCGACGATGGCGGCGGCATCGGTGCCAGTCGCTGGTGCAGCACGCTGAGGTCGAGCAGCGCGTCGGCACTAGCAAAACGGTCCTGGCTGTTGCTGGCCGCGATGGCTGCCGTCCAGTCGGTCCACGTGTTGTTGGCTGTCGCCCCGGCAGCCGAGGAGCCGGTCGCTGCAGGGTGTCCGGCAGCGCCTGTAGACGCTGCTGCTGCTTGGGCCTCCGTCAAGAAGCTGCCGTCTGGCGATGTGGCATACATGTAGGGCGGCTGTTGTATGTGATGCAGATGATTCTGGTGGTGTGAAAGGTGTTGTTGCTGCTGCTGCTGCTGCTGCTGACGATGACCGCTGTTGTCGTCCAGGGCCATTGGCGTGTACGACATCGACACAGGACCGTATGCATTGCTGCTAGTAGTAGTAGTAGTAGTGATGGTCGTCGTCGTCGTCGAGTTCGCCGCAGCCGAGCTGCTGCCGTGGCCATATATGTTCGATATGGACTCGTTGTTGTCTATGCGGTCTTCGAGCTTGCGCCGGGCTTCGGCCTCGAGCTTGATGGCCACGCTGTCAATGTGACCGTTGCTCGGGTGCGTGTTTGCGTTGTTGTTGCCACTCCTACTACCACCACCACCACCACCACCACCACTCATACCAGTTCCACTCCCACTCCCAATCCCTCTCCCAAAACCACCACTACCCCCATCCGGCATGTCGCGCAGGATCCATGAGATGGTACGTGCGCAGATGTGGGTCAGCTTGCTGTTGAATGGCTGGCTGTTGGTCGAGGCTCCCGTCATCAGGCCGATCTCCGCAATGACCGACAGCCAGATGCTCATCTCGTCCTGCAGCACCTCGACCTCCTCGCGCGTGGCGGTAAAACGACGCTCCCACACGCCGGCCACGGTCGAGAACATGGCGGCGCAGTAGACCGACATCTGGTACCATGTCGTGTCCAGCGACTTGAAGGCCAGCAGCCGCTGCACCACCTTGAGCAGCCGCCGTGCCGCGTCCTCGCAGATGCGCGTGCTGTGTGCCCGCACCTCCGAGTCCGTCGACAGACAGACGGACGGGTGCCATAGACACAGCCGGAACTCCAGCATGATCGCCTCCGCGTACAGCGCGCCCACCATCTCCGTCGGCTTGCACCGGTCTGTCCGCAGCTCCGTCGGCAGGTCCGCCTCGATCGCCCAATACTGCCGGTCCAGGTCCCGGATCGTGGCCTCGTACCGTCGCGGGTCCCGACGCGCCCCGTAAATGGTCGAGAACATCTCCATGAACAGCGGCGTGCACCGGAACGCGTGCAGGCTAAACAGATACACACACGACCCCACCTTGCTCAGGTCCGTGATCCCTTCGGCCGTCAGGTACTCGTCCGGCACTGCTAACGGCAAGTCTGTGTCGAACTCGCGCAGCGAAATCGGCATCGGCCGGCCCAGCCGTCCGTTGAGCGTGATGCACAGCATCAACGACGTCCACCAGCACCGCCGCCGCATCTCAATGTCTAGCGTCGTCGTGCTCGGCGTGCTCGCCGGCACCCGGTGCAACCCCAGGTCGATCGCCTTCATCAGACTGAGCTTGGACATTGTGGATCCGCAGCCCGGCTTGGGAAAGGCCCGCGTGTATGCCGTGATCAGCAGCACGGCCTGCACGGCCGTCAGCGACCAATCACACATCAGGTCGCACACCTTGCTGAGTGCCCAGTGGTAGTGCTTGTTGGAGAGGTCGTGCAGCTGCATCTGCCGTCCGGGCTCCTCCCGGTTGCGCGTCCCATACTGGAAGTATATGGTGGCAAACACCATGTGCACAATCACCAGTTCCGATGTCGTTGCCTGGTACTTGGCGTCGTCGTAGATGCGTGCCAGCAGCGCCATGTACGACGGCTTGTGTAATATTGGGAGGAACGGCTGCACGATCAGAAAGTACCACTCCGAGTACTCGAATGCGTCCGAGCGTGACGGCAGCTCCACGTCCTGCAGTGGCGGATTGATGTTCATAAAAGACCGGAAAAACGACCCGAGCGACCGGTTGTACAGTCCGGTTGGCTCGTGGTAGATCGTCGACGGCTCCGGCTCGACGGCCGACGGGCTGACGTCAATGTCCAGCAGCGTGCCCAGGATCGATACCTGCGTGCCGTTGACCGAGTTGAGCGGCGACCGGTCTGCATAAACGCCCAGATAGCTGTCTGTCGGAACCGACTGTAGGGCCGACGCGCTGGCGTATTCCGACACGTAGTGGTCTGTTTCTGCTGATGTTGCTGTCGTCGTCTTCGTAAGTGCTGTGCTGCTCCCACTTCCACCACTCCCGTTGCCGCTGTCGTCACCGTCGCTGCTGCTGCTCCCCTTGCCCTTGTACCACACCGAGCCCAGATAGGACCACGGGTTTGCCGCGTCCTGCACCACGCCGCCATTAGCGTCCACGGCCACGTCCGGCGGATAGACGGGCGAATAAGCTGACCACCGCCACGGCAGCACCTCGACACCCTGTTTCTGTAGCAGCACCTGCAGCTGCTGTATGTGCGCCTGCATCGCCAGCTTCTCGCGCTCCAGCTCTTGCAGGTAGCCGCGTCGCTCGGTCCGCCCACTGATTCGGTCTGTCACGTAGCACTCCAGCTTCTGGCTGATGCAGTGCGAGCAGCCCTCGGGTAGGGCATCGCAGCGGATCTTGCGCACCTTGCAGCGATCACATGCCTGTCCTGTGCGCGTGCACGACTGCAGCTTGCTCTTGACCACACTCGAGAAATCGTCGCCCGCCCGCTCCAGACGCGGCAGCTTCACCCGGTTGGCTGCATCTTCATCTGCTGCCACTGCTGCTGCTGCTGCCGCTGCTGCTGCCGTGTCGGCTGTGTTCGCCGCGCCCGCGTGGCTGCCCTCGCCATGTGGCCGCTTCGTCAGCCGCGAGGTCGAGCCCGTAAACGCCGCGGGCATCTTAGTCTTTTGCCTTGCTTGGCCGTTGCTTCTTGCTGCTGACTGCAGACAGGACCGGTCAGTGCAGACGGACACACAATAACGGCCGTGTCACGACGGAAAAGCAGGTTGACCGCCGTAAATGCCTGTGGCTGCAGGAGCCGCGGAGAATTCCGATGGGGGATGGAAGATGCCGTTGATAGCTGCTTCGCTAATTGCCTGGGCCCTGTTGCGGAGTCGCCGCTCAGCCTCTAGGCGTCATTAGTCACAAACGGTAAGTCCGGTGAAAGCCGAGTTTGCTCCATCCTGGGGCCCCTTTATGCAGCTAATTTGCAACAATTTGCACCCAATGCAGGCTAATTAGCGGAAGGATCGACAAGCCTGTTTCCTTTGGCTATTTCCGTTTGCCCAGTCGGGCCAACTGCCGTGTCCTGTCTCTGGCCTCACCGGGCCCGCCTCTGCCCAGCATGCTGTAGCAATCGTGGTGGACATGTGTCTCTGTTCTGCCCGGACCCGGGAGGCGTGCCGGAGTCGTCGGAACGGCAGCTGCTGCTGGCGGTGAACGTGCGAGCTGAATCCACGACGGGGATCCATATCTCGATCTCCACGCGGGTCGTAATAGCGCAGCCCGGACTTTTCGACAACTCCGGGGGTGCTCGACGTACGGAGGCATTGATTGTGCTGCTCACATTTGTCGGTGTTGATTGAAGCAAATACAAAATTATCCAAGTGATGGACTACGACTTATCAAGCGTACTCAGCAGTCCAATACCAAGGAAGGCACGATGGTCTACGTTACGTAAGCTGTGTGTCGTAATGTCGTTCATCCGCCATTGACAACTACGACGACGGGGCGGTGGCGAATACACATGGGCCCGACAGCAGGGGTAGACGACGTCGGCGAGCAGCGAAGCGACGACGATGATGACGGGCAGACGGAGAGTCGTGATTGTCGCTCCATGGGACGGCCCTGATGGCAGCATCTGCAGACATGTGACCGCCTCGATTACTTTCGGTCAACAAGCTCTTTGGCTGGCCTGCGATTTGTCTGATTCTGCTTCTCGTTGGCTCGACGGCTTTGATATCAGTACGTCGTATAGCAGCTACTCCGTATGTATGCACAAGGCTGTTGACAGAATCACTTTATCACTTTCCTCCTTCCTGAACGAGTAAAGCGGACACCATGTTGGTCTGGGGAATAAAAGGGGTGGAGCAAGGATCCGTCCTGCATGGGTCCAGCTGAGCCATCCATACGACGTACATAGTAGCATTGTCACAAACCGGCCAATACTATGTACGACGAACCGCCTTATCAACAGGGGCGGGACCGATGACCAGTTCCGAACCTTGCGTGTTCGTTGGTCGACGAATGAGCCGAACCCGATTGTTTATCTTCGCTTTGAGCTGTTCCGTAGTCGGAGATCAGTCTACTATGTACAGGCTTTCACTCTTCATATGCTTCATTTGCAAGCACCAATGGATGACCATCTTTCCCGGTACGTATTTACCAAAACATCCCATTCACCAACGCTCCGTCTAGTCCACTGTCTAAATCTGTAGCGTCTAATCGTCCACGCAAACCTACGCCCAGCTGTCACGACGACTAAACGTGCCGGCTTGCCGCTGCAGCCCCAACGCCTCATAGCTAGCGTACTCCACAGGCACGCACTTGAGCCGCCGGTAGTCGGCCTTCCACATCTGCTCGCGGATCCACTCGGCCAGCAGCTCGTCGTCGTCCAGCGGGATGTCGTGCTCCGTGGCCACACCCTCGTCCACGGCCGCGTGGATGACCTTGCGCGCGATGCATACGCTGACCTGACGCACCGACTCAACGCCCGGCAGCAGCGGATTGCGCGGGTCCTTGAGCGCTGGACTGAGCTCGGCCACGGCCTCCACGGCTGCCACCAGCATCCGGTCTGTCACCCGGCTGGCCCGACACAAAATCGAGCCCAGTCCGATGCCTGGGAAGACGACCGAGTTGTTGCACTCGGCAATTTCAAACTCCACCTCTTCGCCGTCTTCGCCCCACGGGCCGCGCACTGGTTTGAACGGCGACCCCGTTGCCACCAGCGCTCGGCCATCCGTCCAGGCCAGCAGGTCTGCCGGCACCGCCTCGTGTAGTCGTGTCGGGTTGGACAGCGGCAGAATAATCGGCCGATCCGTGTGTGCCGCCATGGCCTGCACCACATCCTTGGTGAATGCGCCCGGTACCGTCGATGTGCCGACAAGCACGTTGGGATGGATGGTCTCAATCACGCCGAGTAGGTCTGTCTTCTTGCCGTCCCATTCGGCCTGGTCCCTGGCATACGATTGTTGCGCCCTGGACAGCTCCAGGCCGTTCGTCAGCAGGCCGGGTTTGTCGATGAGCCTACAGAGATTGGTTAGCAAATGCGAGTAGAACAGAGTCTTTTGTCGCTTGTTCTGACCATATGTACTGAGAAGCTTCCTCCTTGCTGATGCCTCCTGCTGTCGCGATGGCATCTCGCACCTGATCGGCAATACCGACGCCGGCAGTGCCAGCTCCAAAGATGAGCATACGCAGGTCGGCAAGAGTCTTGTGGCTGACGTGGAGGCCCGACAGGATGGCGGCCAGGGTCACGCAACCGGTGCCTTGGATGTCGTCGTTGAAGCAGGGAATCTGCGGCCGGTAGATGTCGAGGATGCGTCTGGCTGTTGCACGTATCAGCAAGTGGGCCTACTGTCTATCTGCTGCCTCACCAACTCACCGTTGTTGAGGCCAAAGTCCTCAAAGTGGATGTACGCGCGCGGAAACAGCTTGCGGGCTGACTTGACAAACGTGTCGACGAGGACGTCATAGGGCCTGCCGCGGACACGCTTCTCGCGCAGGCCTAGGTAGAGCGGGTCGTTCAGCAGCTGCTCGTTGTCGGTGCCGCAGTCGAGCACCACGCCGAGAGTGCGGTTGGGATGGATGCCGGCGCACAGCGTGGTCAGGATCAGCTTTGCCAGCGAGATCAGGATGCCACCGACGCCCTGGTCGCCAATGCCGAGGATCTCCTCGCCGTCCGTGACGACAATGTAGTCGATGTCCTCGGGTCGGCCCCACTGCGACATGTCACGGAAGACCCGGTCGACCTCGTGGATGTTGAGGAAGAGGCCGTCTGGCCGCCGGAACAGGCGCGAGTAGTTTTGGATCGCGTCGCCTTCGGTGGGCGTGTAGAGCACGCTGAACATCTCCTTGATGTGGTCCTGGGCAAGCTGTGGGCCTGGTTAGCTGTTGTCTGCGTGCTTGCTGCCTATTGCTGTCTGCGTACCCGATAGAACAGCACCTGGCTCTGGTCGCGCAGAGAGGACAGAAACGTATTCTTGGCCAGGTCATTGGGCCTGCTGCTGTACTGCTGGTAGGCTCGCTCGACCTGCTGCTCCAACGTCTGCACGCTGGCAGGAAGTAGACCGGTCAGGCCAAAGGCACGACGTTCCGCTGCCGTAAAGGCCGAGCCCTTGTTGAAGACGGTGTGCTTGAGCATCATTGGGCCGCGCAGAGCGCATTCCAGCGGACCGCTGGTGCCCAGTTGCAGCTCGCCAAACTTGGATGATCCGGACGAGTCGGACATGATGGAGGAGGGGTTTATGGAAACAGCTGCAAGTCAAAAGCAATAGAATGCAAGAGGAATAAGTACGTTGTATTATATCTGACAAAATTACAGCCTGAAAGACAGCCAGCCGTATCCAAGCAATGTCCCAATTCCCCTCAAAATACAAGGATCGTCACGGAGACGCGGATACGTCCAGCGAATGACGTATGCGCCTTCTTTCGACAGAAGATGGTGGGGGTTTTGGCCCTGATTAGGCAGGAGCCGATTGGGCTAGACAGGCCTGACATTCCTTCTGCACCCGGATTCTCGCTGGTCTCTCTACTTCTCTCTATCTGGGCTGCGATACGAATATTTCATGATCAGCTCGGTCGAGCGAATGTGGGAGCGCTTGGAGCCTCGCCCGTGTGGGTAGACAGCCTCAGCCTACCCCTGTCCCCTCTGACAGGGAAGGGGGCAATGGCGTGAAGAGGCCGGCGGGCGCGGACTATGATGGTCCTTTGTTTGTTCTTGCAGCTGTCTAAGAGCAGCAGCCGCAGCAGTCAGGCCGAAGCCTAGCCACCCCGACCAAAACTCCTCCCCCAAACGATTGCATCCAAGCCCATTTCCGGCTTTGACACAAGACGTGTCGCGACTGGAAAGCCTGCGGCCGAGGCCACAGGAGCACACGAAAGGATCTGGCTGGATGGGGAAGCTGCTTGAGGCAAATAAAGAAAAAGGAGACGGGGATGAAGGACGGGAAAACAGGAATAGGACGCGAACAAGGCCCAGAAATCCATCTACAGACCTACCAGGATCAAGCTGGCCATTTCACAACCGGCCATGGGGGCGCGCTTGTTCGCCGTCAGGAGATAGGTTGCTCTGAGGAAAAGGGGATTAAGTGAGGAAAATATTTTCTCTTTTTCTCTTAAAATAGGTAGAGCTGGGGATAATTGCTGACTAATGCACTGATAGCGATTTGCCAGCCTTGGCTCCGCCCCACGATCAGCTCGCCCTGCCCAGCAGGCCGCCCACCCGCTACGATGCCGAGCACAGCCCCTCGTAGACGGAGAGAGGATCGCTCGTGGCATCGCCCCAGTCGAAGCTTCCGAGGATCTTGCCAGCGCTGGTGGAGTTGTCGGCGAGGATGTAGTCGCCTGATGGTCAGCTGAGGAGCGATAAGGGAAAAGGAAAGAAAAGGACGCACTGCTCGTGGGAAAGTACCACCAGTCCTGGCTGCGGAAAGCGTTGTCGGTCAGCTGTGAGAGCGCGTCGTTGTAGCCGGTATTGCGCGTGTTGTAGTGCGCATGTTTGGACCAGGCGACATAGACCTTTGCGTGATCGAGGTTTGTCCGGCCGTTGGAGCCGGCGCGCGAGAGCGACACGTCGGCCGTGTTGAACGTGTTCTGGATCTTGGCCCAGGCAAGCGTCTGGTAGCCCGAGTGCTGCGACAGCATGATGTGCGACGGCGTCCAGCTGCCGGAGAGCGTCCACTTGACGACGACGCGTTCCCAGTCGCTGATGGTCAGCTATGACTGTCTCTTCTCTTTCTTTCTCTTTCTTTGCCCTCTCTCCTCTCTCACCCAACTTACTAGGCATGTCCAAACACTCCCGACGGGTTGAAGCCATCCTTTTGATAGAAGAGGTTGTAGACCACGCGGATCTCTGAGCTCGAACACTTCAGAAAGGAAAAGTACACCGGAAACGACGGCCCTGGATTGCTGATGGCCACGCCCGGTTTCCGACAGTTGCACCCCGTGTCGGGCCAGTCGCAGAGCGCCACTGACGCTACCTGGCCGTTGCTGCTGTCCAGCGCCGCTGTCGGATAGCACGGCGGCTCGTCCATGGCCTGTCCGAAGAACCACATGGGCGCCGCCGCTTCGGCGAGGTCGACGCCGCCATTGCTGAGCCACGTCGCCATAGTGTCGGTCGACACGGACGACACAGCGCCAGTGCCGCCGGCGAGCAGCAGGCACAGGGCGCCGACGAGAGCAGGAAGAGCAGAGTGATGCATCGATGGGAAGAGGACAGGATGCAAAGCTGTCTTGCCTCTCGCAATCAGTTCTCACTGCCCTCTTACGAGAGACCAACTGCTTTTAAGCTCCAAACTAACGATCCTTTCGACGTCATCGTGCTGGCCAGACGGAGAGCCTTGGACCGAAAAGAGAAAGTGCCTCAGATGCAGTCCGGCTGAAGGATCGCAGGTGTGGCAGCTCGTATGTTGATGGACTGTCGACAGCTCTCACGGCTGCAGCCCGCCTTGCCGTTCATGGTGTCGCGAGGGGTCTGATCGCCCTGATTGCAACGGAGCGCTGCGCAGAGGCAGCTGAAGCAAAGGCCCACATGTTGCTGCTGTTTGGCCGTTTGTTAATACGCGGCTGCTTGCTGCACGGCTGCTGCTCTCGGAAGATGTTCCGGCTTGTCAACTCGTTCTGCATAATAGGTATCGGCTTGAATCGATACTATTATGCACCTTGTGCAGAGCGGCTCTACGTTTACGGAGTACTGTGGCTCCGACGGGGCTGGAAGAATAGCCCGGCGTTTTAGCGAAAGACACCACCTTGTGTGCATGATCCAACGGCATTCCATGCTGGCTAATTGCCCCTGAAAACACCGGCCGTAGCCACTTTACGTGCAATACCGCTTAGCTGAAGCACGCCGAGTTGCCATTACTAAAATAAAATAAAACAAAACCGCTGTATTGGTGGAGCTTAGGGCCTAACTTTCGGTGGTTATACTCCATACTTTCCCCCTTGCTTGAGCAGAGGCTTGTGAATCTTGAAATCGCGTTTGCTCTGTTTTGTCCACTCGTACGGAGTACTCCGTAAATGCGGCACAAACGGCAGCCGCGGGCTCTACCACACTCGTATTGTGTCTGGCCAATGCCAAGCCACCCACGCGATGTAGCGCCGGCTTTTATTACACATACGAGGTACTTACGAAGTAGAGAGCACACCCGGCACGCCAGTGTTTAACAGGCCGACGCCCAAAGCCCCCCAACCGAACAACCGAACGATGGCCCCTCTCTTTTCCTTCTGCTCGTATTCTCTAGTTCTCGATTATACGAGCTCTGGGACGGTGTGCTGTCCTTTGTATTGCAGCACAATCGTCATCGCGGCCGAGAGGGAGGGTGGTCTTTGTAATCTTACCGTCCTTCTTTCTTTGCTCATTCTGTTTCGACCTGTTCCTTCCGAGCGGTCCGATGTTGAGGCCAGCAAGCAGGAATAATGGAAGAAGAAAATCAGGCAAATGAATTCACCCCTGCAGACGCTAAGACACTGTTAGAGGCGATAGAGTTTTATTAGGGGAAGATGCAGCACGAATCAGGAGGAGTTCTGTGTTGAGCTTCCTCCTGACCACACTTCAAGGTTAATCAATCGGCACCGGAGCCCACAAATTCCTTGTTCCGACCACAGCCCCCCCTGATTCGTGTGGAGGAAGAGGCAAAAGGCCGAAGCACTGTACGCCGTACGAGTTGTGACCATCATGCAAGTCAGACGGTTGGATTTTCCCCAGCGTCTTGCATCCCAGGAATGAGATACGAGCCGCTGTGGGTGGCATTCTGGTGCCAATTTCCCATTTTGGCCGCGCTAAGACACCCGTCTCGTGTTCTACGGCCAACTGGGCCTTTGTTCTCGCCGGCTGGTCTTAGCTGTCGGCTCGTAGCTCGCAGGCTCGTACGGAGCGGTCTCGTAGGCTCGTAGTCTGCCAGTTCTGGCACCGTGTCGGCATTCTCTGGCGCGTCGTATCCGTCAACGGCGAGGAATGTATTTTGACCTCTGACCACTCCTTCCCCCTTTGCTCGAATCACGTCTCGACAGGAAGGAGCCTTGGAGATGACCGCCTTATCTGTCCTGCCTTTTCTTGCATAGTCTGTCTGTCTTTGTTACTACCCCCGTTTCTTGTCTTGTATTCCTCACGGTCCATCCATCTACCGGCATCATGAAGCTCAACGCGGCCACCACGCTTCCCTTCCTGGCCTCTTCCCTCCTGGTTCGGCAAGCCTCAGCCGCACTTGACGTCGACTTGACCTCTTCCGGTGCGTTCAGCTCGTTTCGAGTCCGCTCAGCTCGGTCTGGCTTCTCAATGCTGATTGTCGCTTCTAGACTCCATCAAGCAGGCTGCCAAGCTCGTGGCGGCGAATCTGTTCACGTACTACAAGGGCAACCAGTATGGTAAGATCGGAGGCAACCCCGGACGCGCGCACCGGTAATTGAACACCAACGCTGATCCTCGCAGGCCAGACACCCGGCATCCTTCCCGGCCCGCCGCCCTTTGGGGCCTACTACTGGTGGGAAGCCGGCGCCCTTTGGGGCACCTACATCGACTACTGGCACTATACCGAGGACGACACGTACAGCAATGTGAGCATGAACTCGTTGTTGTTTCAGGCCGGTGCACCCGGCAACAGCTTCCAGCCGGCCAATGTCACCATGTCCCTCGGCAACGACGACCAGGGATTCTGGGGCATGTCGGCCATTCTGGCGGCCGAGACCGTCTTCCAAAACCCACCTTCGAGCAAACCGCAGTGGCTGGCCCTGGCCCAGGCCGTCTTCAACACGCAGGCCGCTCCCGACCGCCACGACGGCACGTGTGGCGGCGGCCTACGCTGGCAGATTCCCTTTGCCAACACTGGCTACGACTACAAAAACTCCATCGCCAACGGCATCTTCTTCAACCTTGGTGCCCGTCTGGCGCGCTACACTGGCAACGATTCATATGCGCAGACGGCCACTGAGACCTGGGACTGGGTGCAGGGTGTCGGCCTAATGTCGGCCGAGTACGACATCTACGACGGCGGACACGTCGAGAAGAACTGCACCGACATCTCCAAGGCGCAGTTTAGCTACAATGCCGCCGTCTTCCTGGAGGGAGCGGCCTTTATGTACAACTATGTAAGTGCAGGGACAGACAAGAGAAAAAGAGGAAAAAGGAAAAAGAGAAACAAACTAACATTCACCAGACAAATGGCTCCGATATCTGGCGCGAACGCGTCGAGGGTCTCGTTAATCGCACGCTCGATATCTTCTTTCCCAACGGCATTGCCGTCGAGCTCAGCTGCGAGCTGGCTGAACGGGTGCAGTGCAACACCGACATGCTCTCGTTCAAAGGCTTTCTCCACCGCTGGCTAGCCACGGCCACGAAGATGGCACCCTTCACCCACGACACAATCATGGCGGTCTTGCGCACCAGTGCAGCCGGAGCCGCCCAGGCCTGCGACAGCTCGGGTGTGTGCGGCTTCCGCTGGACCACCGGCTCCTTCGACAACCTCACTGGTGCCGGCCAGCAAATGAGCGCCTTGGCAGCACTCTCTACCCTCCTCATTAACGAGCCTTGGGCCATTGCGCCGGCCACCAACAGCTCCGGTGGCACCAGCCAGGGCAACAGTGCGGCCGGTACCTCCTCGCCAACTATTGAGACCTACAGGCCTCTCACTACCGGCGACCGTGCCGGCGCCAGCATCCTCACCATCGTCATCCTCGCCAGCCTCGTCGCCCTCTACTTCTGGCTCTCGACTGACCTGTCGGAGAACAGTGGCAACTGGTGGCTGGAGCTTGAGTCGACTCCGCTGGGTGCGATGCTGCTGCGGACAAAGCCAAAGCAGGACTTGACGAAACAACTATCGGTAGCTTCAGCCACCTCGGCCTCGACATCCGCGGCTTGAAAGGCTGCACTGCAACTGGGGCATGGCGCCCTTCTTTTTCTTCATTCTCTTATAATTGGATTGCATTGATTGTATTGGTGGCGAGGCAGCCATGAAAATGCAGACGGCCCGTAGCCACTGCACAGGACAGGCGTTTGGGGGACTCACATCTGGTGGCGTATTCAGGCATTCAGGGTTACCCCGTGTCCCAGGAAAGGATGGGGGTTTGTTATAGATGCCAGGCATTGGCTGGGGTTTTTGCTTTTGTGCACGCTCTTCACTGTGCTTGTACAAAACCCACTGTACATATATTCCGGGGAGCCGGCTTGAGATTAAGAGAGTATCTTGGGCGTTGAAAACAATCATAACTTACCGGCTGTAATATGGTGCTCAGTGCTGGTAGTTCCTTATAGGCTGCTCTTCTGGGCGGTCCACTCGTCCACCCAAGCTTTGACGAACCGTACCTCCTCAGCCTGGACGTCGAGAATGGGCTGTGGCGGAAGGTCAGCGGAGGTTTCGTCAGGCAGCAGGCCGTTCTCGTCCCAGTGGTGAACGGCGCCACCGCCAATGAGCCAAAAGGGTTCATCGGTGGTGCTAGGACGGTCTTTGGCGCCAACGAGGGCGTGTGGCGTGGCAGCACGCCAGGGATCGGCCTCGCCGTCGACGATGGCCAGTCGAGGGTACTGGATGTCGAAGCCGCCGAGCCGGTTGACAGATTCGACGTCGGGCGGACCGGTGATGCCAAAGGCGTCGCGGCAGATGATCGAGAGGTACTCGAGGTCGAGCAAGCGGCTGATAAGCGGCAAGCGGTCGTTCGGGACGCCGGAGCCGGTGGCCAGATAGCCCCACTGCGTGCAGTACTGGTAGGGCCAGGCTCGCCAGTGCTGGGAGAGATCGTCCTGGCGGTAGAAGGTGGCGTTGCGGTTGCTGAAGCACTGGTCCTGCGTCCGGCCGTCAGCGCACTGGAATGTGGCCCGCACCCAACCTGCAAAGTTGAGCAGGGCGTCGGCAAGCGTGGCGGCCTCGTGGCTATAGGTCGTAGCGGCCAGCAACGTCGTGGCGACGCTCCGGCTGGCCTCCAGCTCGGGGAACAGCAGCGTGTCGGCGGTGACGTTGCCGCAGTACCAGCCGAAGCTAGGACTGCTGACGGCCGGGTCCCAGTTGGTGTCCTGCCAGCCGGCCAGGCCCTCGCTTAGCAGGGCGGCAAAGTCGTCGTCGTGGGTGACGTTGGCCAGGTTGAAGAGGGTCTTGAGCGTGGTCACGTGATCGGAGGTAAGCTCTCCGAGCTCGTCTTGAAGCGCTCTCAGCGGCTGTTGGTTGGCGTGGCGTCTTTGTTGCTTGCCCGCAGGCCTTAGAATCTGGTCGACGGCATGGATGAGGGTCTGGGTCGTGTTGACGCAAGCGGGCGGGCTGAAGAGCCGCTGGGCTTCAAAGTACTGCCAGTAGTCGTAGATGGCGACGGTGACGCCGGACGAAGAGATGGCGCCCCAGAAGACGTCGGGATAGAGGATGCGAGCGAAAGCGGCAAAAGCGCCGGCATAGGAGCCGCCGTAGATAATCCAGGGGGCATCAGAGCCAGGGGTGGTGTGAGCGAGGCCGGGGAAGCGCACGTGGCGGGCAAAGTAGGCGGTGTCGGCGAGGGCCTGCTCGGTGCGCAGAAAGCGCAGACTGGCAGTGCTGAGGTCAGAAAGCGGAAAGCTGGCGCCGTAGTAGCGATGCTCGAGGATGACGGCGAGTCCATGCGTGGCAGCGGCTAGCTGGGCGGCGATGCCCTTGCGCAGGAACGGCAGCCGGTCAGCCCCGCTAGTCTCGCCGGCTGCCAGCACGATGACGGGGCCACCTGGCCGGTAGTGACGGTCGTCGAACCAATAGCGCAGGTCAAAGTGGCCGTCGACGTGTGGCTCATAGAGCGAGTCGTTGTGAAAGTGGTCAATGGGCACGCGCAGGACGTGTGCCGGGTACTCGGGGTACTCGTCCGCAATGTCGTGCCCGTGGGCAGACAGGCTGGGGCCTGACTGGATCTGTTGGAGTCAGAAGCTGTACAGAGTAGCGGCTATGGCAGGCAGCCAGAATGAGACGCATACACACCTGCTTTTCTAGATGGCGAATCGGCTGCCACGTCTGCAGGCCGGCGCCCGGCTGCAGCTGCGAGAACAGTGCCGCAGCAAGCGCCAGCAGCGCGCCTCCAACCGGTCTCATTGGGAATACGAGCGAGCCTAGATAGTTGTGTGTTGTTTCGTCTTGAGTTTGGCTGGTTGATGTTTAGTTGAGAATGTGATGTACGGAAATATTATCGTAAACGTGTGAAAGATACAAGGGCTGTGACCGCTAATCCACGCGGGGAAGGTGCATAGCTGCTCTTTCCGCTTCTGTTCATGCAATTGAGACGATGGCAAATATTATGTAAACAATCATGTGTACTGGCTTCACTGAAATTAGATGCCATCGCCGAAGCTGGTTTGATTTTATTCTTCATACATAATACCCCTCCTTCCATCCTGCTTGATAGCTTATTCCTCCCATCCTTCGTCTCTTCATCCCTCAGACCACCAGGTAAAGCAATCCATTTTGTGAGCTCCATCTTCCTCATTCTCCTAATATCCCTCAATAATCTTTGTAAAATCGTAACGCTGCTGGGCCGTCGGCGACGTGCGCACGACATCGAGCAGGTCAGGCTGGCCGTTCAGGCGCTGTAGCTCGAAGCGCCAGAACAGGCCGCCATACTCGTTGTGGGCCTGGCTCTCGCGCACGATGCGGTAGAGTCCGTCGTAGCGGATGCCAACGCTGGGCGCCCAGCGTGACTTGCCGGCAGCCGAGCGCAACACGCGGATCGGGTTGGCCAGCTCGAGCGAGCGCAACAAGGCCTGGGTGAAGTTGCTCGGCCGCGACGCTGCGTTCGGGTTGCGGTTGCTGTGGCTCTGACTGCCCGAGTAGAAGACGGTATCGCCGCGATCGTCGTCGAGACCGTCGTAGAGGCCGGAGATGACGATGCTGTAGGCGCCGAGTCGAGCGCTGCCGGCGATGCCGCCCTGGCTGCTGCCGTGGGCCCCGTGGAAGAGCGCGACCATCTGCATCGGCCACCAAGCCCCGACGGCTAGCCCGTTGTGCCCAAACACCATCGCGTTGTGTGGCCGGTAGTTGGGGTTGCGCCGATACACCCGGCCGGCGTTCTTGCCCTGCGTGATCACCACGCCGTGCATGATGCCGTGTTCGCCAAAGATGGCGTGACCGCGTGGCGGCGGATGGATCGTCACCATGTCGCCGCCGGCCGTCACCACCGTCGTCTGTCGTTCTACGTTGTTTGAGACCGCGTTAAGGCTTCCGTCTGCACCTCCCTCGCTATCCGACCCTTCGTCCACCACCAGGTCCTCGCCCCAGTTCTGGTCTGTCCACTTCTGCTTCAGATCCCGGGCCGTCTGCACAAAACGCGCCGGGAAGCAGTACTTGGCGTCGATAATCAGATCCAGCCCCTTGTCAATGTACGTCGCATCGCGCAGCTGCGGTGTCATCTCCACACAATTGTCTAGGTACTGCAGGAACTGTTCCAGCTGCGGCACGCGTGACAGCTCTTGCCGCCCGCTCTTATTCTTGAACTGCACGGCCAGGTGCTGGATCACCTTGCGTCGGATGTTCTTGATATAGTCCACGCGGCTGGCAAAGCTGACGCCCACGTTCGGGATCAGCAGTGCCGCCTGCGAGCTGGATTCTTCAGACGTTGCCATCTTGAAGTGGAAGTCTAGTGCTCTTATATTGTCTGTTTGTAACAGTCTGATGCTCAGTTTTTGCCTGTTTTAAGAAAGTCTGATGCTCAGTTTTTAGTCTGCTTGAGACAAGAGTCAAAGCTCTAATTTTGGTCTGGTTGAGACGAGAAGTCGATGCTCCCATTAAAAGCGGTATGCTATTTGTGCTCTTTGGCACTATTTCACTTGACGATATATCAGAGTCGAATTAGCATTTATTATGTCTATTTCTGTCTGATTTGTCCTGTTTGGAAGTCCAAACTGTGAATATGACTAGCCACAAAATGTTTGTGCAATTCGGGAAGGAGTGTAAAACACTACTCATTCACTCAACTCTTTGGCCGAGGTGGGAGACCGGTCGCCTCTTAAGTACATCAGTCGAGCCACGTGATTTTAATGAGCTAATGACGACACGGTATCTCGGTACGGAACATTAAAGTCGCGCATAGGCAGCAGCGTGGCCCCACTGTAAGAAAGTGGACCAACAGCGTCTTATATACTCCGAGACGGCTACAAAACATCATCGTGCACAGCTTTCGTCTTTCGTATCACGACCAGGTCGTCCCATAGCCACCATGTCTCAATACGGCGCCTGCTGCAATCCGGAAGCCAATTTCCCCGATCCAAACCGCCGTACCGGAAGTGCTGGCCGGCCCATTACCAGCAATCGCGACCGGCAGTACCGCCGATCTCGATTCTTCTCGCCTCGTCTGCTACGCGTGTCCGAGGTGCTGCAGAACCCCATGTCCATCAGCCTTCGCGAAATTATAGCCACCGTCTTTGTCGTCTTCTCCCTGTACCATGCCTATCTCGCTGGCGGGCACATGTACGAGATTCTCGCGCTGCGCGATGTCGGCGTCGTGTGCAATGGCGCCTCGGCGATGCAGTGTCTGCGCTATCACGCGAGTCTGTGTCTGGGCTTGACGTTTGGCTGGGCCGCCAACGTGGTGCCGTGGGGGATTCTCGCCGTCGTCGCGGCCTTTATTGGAGAGGAGCTCTTGCGAGCAGTACGACGAAATGTGAAATGATCACGAGGAAAACTTTGTCAATGCGTCCTTCAAGGCACATATCCAACAAGCAAGCATAAGAGTGTCTAAATGATATCCCAGAATCGTCGAAACCTTATAATACAATATATCGCAGCGTGTGCCACGAATGCCGTCTATGCAAGTCAATTTTAAGCGCTCAGCTAGCCGACCATGAGACTAAAATCTCAGCCCAGCCCGATCCAGTCGTGGCCGATGTAGCGTACTATGCAGCAGCCTGTGCTGTAAGACATCCGAAGGGTGTCCTGGCTCGCGCTGTTGTGTAAGGAGAGGGAGAACAGCCCTGTCTTACGCAAAAGCGCCGACGGCGGCCATCAACATGGCGCCGGAGATGACGGCCAGGAACGCCTGGGTTCTGCGCCGTCCGTGGAGGGTCTTGTAGCTCTTCTCGGTGAGGAAGTCTTCGGCCAGGAGCTGGACGAGACCAGCAAAGAGCAGAAGGCCGCTGGAGATGGCGTTCATGATGCCGACCATGAGCAGGCCGGTCTGGCTGAGAGGGTCGTAGAGGTTGTGAACGAGCAGGCCGATGGCCTGGCCGAGAGGCGTGGTCGTGCCATAGGCCAGCACCATGAGCCAAGGCCGGTACGATGCGCGAGGGAAGTGAATGGCCGCGATGCGGCTGCCGAGTGCCAGGCCCTCGAAGCACTGGTGGAAGGCAATGGCGACGAGGAAGACCACGAAAGCCGGCCCGGTCGCGACCGAAATGGCCATGCCGATGAACACACTGTGGAAGAGAATGCCGGCCTCGAGCAGCAGACACTGCAGCATGAGCCGCTTCTGCTCGGCCGAATCGGGCAGATGGGGTGCACTCGTCTCGCCGACCGGCAGCGGCTGGTCTGGAGCCTGATCCAGCTCGTCGAGGCGGACGTTGAGTCCGAGCTCGTCGTCATTGTCATCATCGTCGTCGCCGTCGCCGTCGTCAATGTCATCATTGACATTGACATTGTTATTCTTGCCCCTGTTCCCTATACCCGGCCGTGTCGGTGTCGACTCAGGCAGCGGCGAGGCCCCGGCCATGAGGCCCTCGGACGCGCTCCGATCGCCCAGCACAATGTGTCTCGGACGATGGTTCGAGCTGCGGTGTGCAGCCAGGCCGTTGGCCGGCCCATGTGCAGCGCCGTTGCCGTGGCTGTGGCCGCCGTCGGGATCGTCCGAGTCGACTTCCTCCCACATGTGCGAGTGCGAGTGGCCGGCACCGCGTGTCGTTAGGTAGGACTCAAGCCAGACGACGCTGAGGGCAAAGGCCATGGCGATCAGGCCGGCGAGCGGGTTGTAACCTTTGTTGAAGAAGTAGGGAAGACAGGGGTCGGTCAGCGAGAGAAAGGCTGTCGGGAGGAGATGGACAAAGGCCGTGGCGATCAGCACGCCGGTGCCAAAGTGCTGGCAGAGAAAGATGATCTTGCTGGGACGCATCCCTTTGCTGGTGCGGCGGTTGAAGAGGGGGAAGCCGCATGCTGGGAGGCGAAGTTGAGTGTGAGCCTGCTGCAGCTAATTCCAAAGAGGCAAATGACGGCTTTGGGCACCGGAAGAACCCGAGCTGCTCGCAGGAAGCTGCACATACCTAATATGCTGATCGTCAAGATCAGGAAGAGCGCAAACACGTGAAGGCCGGTTTCGTAGGCTCCTTTCTTGCCGGAGCCGCAGACTGGCCGCGTTGGCTGGCCGGCTTCTTCGTCGGAAGCTCGTCGAGCCAGCTCTGCCCGCAGAATCTCGGTCGGAATCGACCAGGCTGCGTCTGATCCCATCAGCAAATGAAGGACGGAGGAAAAGGACAGGTAGAGCTCATTGGACGTCTGCATACGCACCTCTTGCCATGGCTTGCGGTTCCTCCATTGTTGAGGGCGTCGATGATCCAAGATCAAGGACCGAGTACCAACAAGGAGAGACCAGCCGGATTGGCCAGGGATACTACGCGACGTATGTATGGAGCACTACGGAGTATTATTCTCGTATCCGAAATATCTGGAAATGCGACCGCTATCGGCACGTGTGAGGCGGATGGCGTATCTGCACGTGATATTAGGCGTGAGTGAGCTGGAGTGACACGTGACCGTATAGTAGGGTTAGTCTGGCCCACACCAAAAAGTTTCTGGACAAAAAGTTTTTTGGCGGGGAGTGGAAAATCGGTGCACAACTTCACAACACCCATTGTCCACACGCCGAGTCGACTCAACAAACAAGCATCTCTTTTTCACACAACCAAACGACGCAATGGCCAAGCTCTCGTAAGTCGAGGATTCCTTCCGGATTAGTCTGCCTTTCAGGGAGATATTTGCACCAGGTTGTCGGGCCGGAGGAACACCAATGCGAGGATGGAGCTGGGGATGAAAAAGAGAAGAAAAAAGAGAAGCAGAGAAGAGGAGGGCAACAGACGAATTTGGATGGGAACGGGGCGAAGTCTGGACGAGTTCCTTCGAATGAATCGTTGAAGATCGGGCCGTCTGACAATCTGGGCGCAAATTGGTCGAACACATTGTCATCTCGTGAAGGGCAGACGACGTTTCCACGACGAGCCCCCATGCTGACATATTTTCTCTAGTCGCGGTGCCCCCGGTGGCAAGCTCAAGATGACCCTGGGTCTTCCTGTGTATGTTACCATTTTACCTATTGTGATTTTTCCGTTTTCTCTCGTCTCCTCGGATCGACCGAACGAGGGAACATCCGACGAATGAAGCAAGGATCGAACGACTCCGACCGGGAGAACCAGCGCGACAGAATGGAATGCTAACAGCGATTACAGTGGTGCGATCATGAACTGCGCAGACAACTCTGGCGCTCGCAACCTGTACATCATCGCCGTCAAGGGTATCGGTGCCCGCCTGAACAGACTACCTGCCGGTGGTGTGGGCGACATGGTGATGGCCACGGTCAAGAAGGGCAAGCCGGAGCTGCGCAAGAAGGTGCACCCGGCCGTCATTGTGCGCCAGTCCAAGCCGTGGAAGCGCACCGACGGCGTCTTCCTGTACTTTGAGGACAACGCTGGCGTGGTATGTTTGGAGGATCTGCTCTCGCTGAAGGGATCGCGTGGTCTTGCTGACAGTTGTGCAGATTGTCAACCCCAAGGGCGAGATGAAGGGCTCTGCCATCACTGGCCCCGTCGGCAAGGAGGCTGCCGAGCTCTGGCCGGTACGATATATGTCCCTGTTTCTCTTCTTCCTGTCTACTCTTTCCTCCCTGCTGACCAGCTCCAGCGTATTGCCAGCAACTCCGGTGTCGTCATGTAAAGTTGTTTTTGCGGATGGGCCAATTTTAGAGTTTTTACACACTAGTTTTCGATTTCTCTTCTGCGCCCGGGATCGGCGAGAGGAACGAGAAAGCCAGGTTAGACGGCGAGTGCGCAGACAGACGGCCTTGCTCTGGGGATGCGGGGGAAAATTCACAACCGGGCTTGCATGTGCATTTTTTCGTTTGTTTTCTGGCTGTGGTGCTGCATGGAGAAATCACATACCACCGGCATGACAAACAAGGAAAAAAAAAGAGAAAACAAAACGAGTAATACGAAAAAAAATCAAATACACACGACGAGAAGCAGTGAATGTAGTGCGATCGTCTTGATGTTCACAAGCACAAATGCACAGCCTGTTGTAGTTTGAAGAAGTCCTTGAAGACCTTGACTGCTGGGACATGCCCATCGACAGCGATAATTAACAATAAATAAGTGCGATCATAGACGCATGCTACCCGTCACGAGCTATATGCTCGTGTCGGGTGCGATAAGAGATCCTATGCCGTTTCATGATCCATCTAATAACCACTTTTGTTGCCCATGTGCATCATGATGCCTTCCGGAACGCCTGACGAGGAACAATGGGAAAGGACGAAATAGGACGAGACTGGGTAAAGGACAAGAACAGAAGCAGAGGGCAAGAGAGGCAAGGCAAAAAAAGAAAACAAGAAGAAAACAAGAAGCAAGAAGCAATATACATGAACACTGTCCACAACACACTGTCCAAACACATACAAAAAATACACAATACACGCAGTTCGCGTCGCAACGCGCTTTAGATCAGCGGCCGGTCGTAGTAGAGGGCGCTGTCATCGGCGCCGAGTCCGAGACGGTCGCCACCAGGACCGGGATAGTCGACCGGGCTGCCGGCGCCCAGCGGTGTTGTCGTGGTCGCAGGGGTGGCGGCAGCAGACGGTGTCGGCGTGGGGGCCACGGTGGCCTGCTGTGCGGCTTGTTGTGCGGCAGCCTTCTTTGCTGCCAGCGTGGCCTTGCGCTTGGCCACGGCGGCCTGCATGGAGCCATTTGCCCAACGAGCTGTAGATGTTAGTGGTGGAAAGAGAAGAGAAAGAAAGAAAAGAAGAAGAAAGAAAAGAGAAGAGAGAAAAGAAGAAAGAAAAGAGAAGAGAGAAAAGAAAAAGAAACAGAAAAAGAAAAAGAGAAAAAGAAAAAGAAAAAAAAGAAACGAGAAAAAAACAAAAAACTCACTTTTCATCGAATGGCTCATCTTCTCGCTCTTGGTCATCTGCCGGTAGTCCTTCCCGTCGTCCGCTCCGCTGACGTTGCCGCCGCTGTCAGCCCGACTGCCACCACCACTACCGCTCTGATGCGCCATGGCCACCGGGCTGTCTCCGGCAACGAGGCCGCGTGCTGCGCTGCCGTACCCGCCGTGACTGTGGTGGCTGCTGTGGCCGTTGTGGCCGTTGTGGACACCATGTCCGCTGTTGGGCATCATCTGCGTAAATGCCTGCAAGCCCGTAGACGAGGCCACCGGGGCCGGCGTGTAGTTCTTGATCTTAAACGTCGTCCGCTGACGGCCAGAGCCAGGCGGCGCTGGAGCCAAGGCGGCCGGCCGGTGTCCCTGATGGCTCTGGTAGTTCTGGTGGGCTTGGTAGTGCTGCTGCTGCTGCTGCTGTTGTTGTTGGTGGTGGTGGTGTGCATATGTCGCTGAGAACAGGTCCAGCGGCATCCCGTTGCTGCCGTGACGCTGAGACGCATCACCACTGCCCATGGCTGCTGCTCCGGCATTCCGTCCGCTGCTGCCCGACATCGCTGTCGCTGCTGCTGTCGTCGTCGTGGCGGCGTACCCGTTGCTCGCGTTGTTGCTGTTGTTTCCGGTGGCTATCCGACGTCGTCGCTGCTTCTTGGCCGGTGGACGTGTCGTCTCGGCCATGTCGTTTTCGTCCCCGCCGTTCTCGTCCCCACCATCCTCGTCTTCGTCGTCCTCGTCGAGAAACTGTCGACGACGCTTTGGCCGCAGCGAGTAGCTCGAATCGGCCGTGCCGGCCGTGTCATCCGAAGACGAAGAAGACGGCCGTGAGCTGCTGTTCTTGCCCCCGGCTTTGACTGCAAACGGATCTGAGTAGAACCGGTCCGGTCCGATCTCGCCCAGGTGGCCGTTGGCTCCGTTGGCATCCCGCTTCACCACGGTGATGCGAGTCCGTCGCGGGTTGCTGCCGTTGATCCCACCACCACCCTTCTCGGCGCTGCCTGGTCCCCGACGTCGCTTTCGCCGGTTCTGTTGTGGTGTTGGCTTCTCCTGTGGCGGCGGCATGTCCCGATCCTGGTCCTGGTCCTGATCTTGGTCTTCGTCCTGCTCGTCGATCTCGTCGGCCGCCACCGATTCCGACAACAGGCTCTTGACCACACGGCTGCGGCGACCGCGTTTCGGCGTCGTCATCGGTGACCCCCCATCGGCTGCTCCGGCTTCCGTCGCCGCCGAATTCTTATTACCATCACTCGAAATATCACCTCCGCGTCGACGAGTTCGCTGTGATGTCACCGTCGTTGAAGATGCTGCTGCTGCTGATGCTACCGGCGTCCCAGCCCGGCTGTTGTCCCGGCTCTCGTCATCCATCGTCTTTCGTCTTCGCGTCCGTCGGCCGAGACCCACAAAGCTGCTGCTGTTGTTGTTGCCGCTGCTGTTGCCACCGTTCGCACCGTTGCTGTTGCCGTTGCCGTTGCCACCACCACCGCTGCCCACCAGATCGTCTGCCGCCTCGGCCTCGGCTGCCTTCAGCGTCTGCTTCGGCCGGTTGCGTAGCCGCGTGTTCTGTAGCCCCTGGCGCTGGGCCACCGGGTCTTGCCGTCCCACCATGGAGTCGCGGGCGTCGTACTCAAATAGGTACACCTGCGACATCAACCGGTCCTGTTTCTTCGCCCGCTGCTTTACCACGTCCGTCGTCGTCTCGGCCGCCCGGATCCCCTTGACCACAAAGTCGCGCTCCACCACCTCCGAGTCGACGTTGCCGCGCTTGATCGCCAGTGCTGTCCGGTTCTCAAACGTCGCGTCTTGCTGTCGTCTTCGCACCGCATTCTCCTCGTCGTCTGCGATCCCCCGCAGAAACTTGTACTCGTCCTGCCATGCCACCAGGCTCTCGTTGACGCGCGCCAGGCACGCAAACAGCTCCTCTGTGCTCATGTTCTTGTGGTCCTTGAGTGCTTCCACAAATTCCTTAGGGTCCCGGATCTTCTTGAACCGGTATCTCTTCTTCCACATTGGCGTTGTCCCGTCTTCTGTCATCGTCTTGGCCTTTGCCGACAGTGTCTGAATGCGAGCAGGAGCGGCAGGAGCAGAAGTGACTGAAGTAGCACCAGCACTACCACTCTCGCCTGCCTCCGCCGGTGAGCCGCCATCTGGCGTCTTTCCCTGCGACGCCTCATACTCTTCGTCGTGCTCCACGACGCTACCGTTGCTGTTCTGCGATGCAACTGTCGTTCCGTCTTCGTTAGCAGCACTTGCGTCGGCCGGCTCGGCCATCGCTTGCTCGATGCTGCGGGCAGGCGCCACGACTGCTACAGGCACGCCAAACTGTTCCGGGTAGTACAGGTTCTCGCCCGTGAACGGCGTCAGCAGCTCCCACGGCCGCGGCGGCTTGCTGTCCTTCCTACCGGCAACGGCAGATGAAGCAGATGTGGAAGATGCAACCGCAGATTGTACCGTGCCCGCCCCTCCTGTCTTGGCAGTGGCAGCAGACGCCGGCTTGTGCTTTGGCTCGCTTGCTGCATGGGCCGAGGCGATACGCGTGCTCATGCGCCGAGTCATTGGCCGGAGTGGCGAAGGCTCTGTGAGCTTGTGCTCTTCTTCGGGGCTGCCGACCACAGCCGCAGCCGCTGGTATTGTCGCTGCCGTCTCTTTTTTCGGCTCGTCCGCCACGACGGGCCCGTCGGCCTGGTTGTTGTTCGAGACCGTCACCGTTTCCGAACTGGCCGACGGCGGCTCGTTCTTCGTCTCGGTCGGGCCATCCGCAGTAGCTGGCTGTACAGGTGTCTGTTCTGACACGCGCACAGGCGACTCGCGTCTCTCGGCCTTGGGAACCGATTCCGGCCGTGACGGTTCTTCTGCTACTGCAGTGGCCTCGTCTGTCTTCACGTCCGCAGTGGCCACTGCGTCTGCGTCTGCATCTGTATCTGCTTCTGCTTCTGCATCCTCCGTCTTAGTTGGCTCTTCTGGAGGAGGCAAGTCGTCGTCCTTTGCTGCCGCCTTAGCAGTCGTGGCTCTGGCATCGGCAGCCCTAGTGGCGAGGTACGTTTCGAAGCGCTCCTCGTCCTCGTCCGACGAGATGGGAAAGACTGTGGGCGGCGAGCGGTTACGACCGTACGGCAGCCGTAGCATCAGCCGCCGGTGTCGACGGGCGACCGGCTCGGGCGAGCTCTCAACCGTCGGAAGCGGCTTGGCCTCTGCTGCCGTGGAGCTGGGAACAGCAGAAGCAGCAGCAGCAGAAGGCGTGGACGAAGAAGTGAACTGCACCGACTGGCGTCGTGGACGCGAGGCCTTGCCGCTTGTGCTAGGCGGATGCAGCGACTTGGCGTCCAGAGGAACCGACGACGAGCCGGATGACCGCGGCGTCCGCACAATGGTGATGGGGGGTGGACGCGAGAGGCTGCCGCCAAAGGCCGCCGGAGGACAGACAGCCGCTGCCGTTGGCTTCGGCTTCTCAGGAGGCGTGACGCTGGCCGCCGACGACGAATCCTGCTCCGTATCGCTGCTGACGGGACTGCCGACCTCGATAGTGTCCTGCACGACGATGCCGTCTGAGTGCGGCGTTGACGCGTGCGACTGCGACGACGGAGGCGCCGGAGGGGCGTCCACGACGGCCGTAGCTTTGCGCTGCAAAGTGCGGCCGCGACGGCTCACCGGTGCTGGCGTGGTCACGCTGCCGGCATCGTGGCTTGTGTTAGCGGTACCGCCGGTTGTGCTGCCGGTACTGCTGGCGTCGTTGGCACCTGAGCTGGCGGCGGTGGAACCGGCGTTGTTGCCGGTGCTGCCAGAGTTGCTGCCATTGCTGATGAGCACGGACGTGGTCGTGGTGCCGGTCGTGGCTGCAGCTGACGAGGGCGTATAGTTGTGGTTGACCAGGCGAATCTTCTTCGTCACGGCAGCCGGCGCCGGCGACGACGCAGCCTCGTCGGCCTGATGGTGATGATGAGTGTCCGCATAGACCGACTTGCGCTTCCTACCACGAGTCGACGACGGCTGGTCATTGCCGACAGCCGAGGTGGTCGTTGTGGTGGCTTGGGCTCCAGAATGGGCTCCAACACTAGCACTGGCATTGGCATTGGCAACGCCCTGCAGAAAATCGATGGCGTCCCCGTGCTCCATGTGGTTGTAATCGATGCGCGTGCGGCGACGCAGCGAATGGCCGCCCTTGGAGACAGCGTCCTCCTCGGCGACACCGGCATCATGGCTCTGGCTGCGAGCAGGGGTGTCGGGCCCAGCGGCACGCGAGCGCGTCCGCATGCTGTCTCGTCGGGACGGCATGGTAGGTGAGACGGGCGGCGAGGACGTAAAGGGCTGAAAGAGCACAGAAGCGATGGTAGTCGTGGTGGTGGCAGCAGAAGGAAACGACCTTGGTCGATCAGACGACTGCAGCAGGGGAGGGAGAGAGTGGAGCCGAGACTGAGCAGGGTCTGAGAACCGGCTGAGGGTAGGGGGTGATGACGAGGAAGGGGTTGAGCCGAGCCGGGCCCGCGGTCGACCACGGCCGAGCTGGCCTGGTTGAGGCTGAGTTTGAGAGGCAGGTGAGAGCGAGCTGAGCGATGACGGCACTGCGGCCTGAGTGGCCTGCTCGCTTGTGTTTGCGGTCCCCTCGATGGCTGTTGGCCCTGCAGCTGCTGCAGGGGACATGGATGACTGGCTGCGGCGCTGAGACGAGCCGCTGCCACGCGACCGGCTGGCCACCCGTGCCCGGTCCATTGATGTGTGGAGGTGTGAGGGAGAAGAAGGGGATGAGTGCGTTTGCAGGAAAGAGCAAAGAAAGCGACCACACTGACACAACCGGCTGTTCCGACCGGCCTTGACCTCACGATGCTGCCACAACGGCCAGAGCTGGTAGGGGGCCGCGATGGATGACACGTATGGCAGCCGTCGCTCGGGTTTGTGTGTAAGAGAGGATGCTGTTTGCAGCAGAAAATGGGGCAGGGAAAATAATAGGATTAAAATAAAATCGGAATAAAACAGATAAATAAGACGAGCCAATAAAACCGGGTGGAGAAGGACAGCCGGCTGTAGAGAGAAAGATGTACGTGCAGGGACAAGAGAGGGAGCAGAGAGTAAGAACGCGCGAAAGAGAGAGAGAGAGAGAGTGAGAGAATGAGCGCAAAAGCCAGAGAGCGAGGTTGCAAGCGAGAAAGACGGAGCGAAACAAGGCCACACAACAGCCACACGAATGCCGTCCCGGCTGGGCGAATGCGCACAACGGGGCACTGGGCAATGGCTGATGGGCTCGGCGCGGCCGTCTCCGCGTCACTCTGCTGATTCTTCTGCACGTCTTTCTGTGCTGGCGAGGCGTATGCGTGCGCAAAAGGGTGGCGGATCGGTTGCGTGTGCTGGCCAAAAACACTGACAGATTAAAATTTGGGCCTCTGCTCGCAAGACCATTTCACTAATAACAGCCCGGCCGGGCTGGTCATTCATTCACCTCTCCGGTCGCTCTCCCCTGATTAGCCTTAGGAAAAAACCCCCTTCCTGCCTTCGGATAGGCTAAGCCATCCACCGTGCGCCCAGCCACATCCACCAGCCACACCGCCCACGCTTGCATCCGCTAATAGTCGCCAACTGCTCCGTAGGGAAGGCGGCACAGTGGGAAGTGGGGGGAAAGAAGCAATCCTGGTGGAGCATCGCTCCCGTGACGACAGGATAACAGCGGATAGCTTGAGCACCTTGTCTTTGTCTCCCATCCCGACTTTGCATTTTTCTGTACACCTCGCGGCCACCGCTACCCTTCGTTTCCGTGTGCATCCCCCGGCTGCACACACGCGCATCGTCCTGTCGTAACAGACCTGCAGCTCGTCTACACTGACCTTGTCCAGACTCGGCAATCTGACCGATTTTTGACTTTCACTTTCTCTCTTCTCTTTCCGTCCTTCCCTTTCTCTCACTATGGCCAGCAAACGATCAAAGAACGCCCCTCCTGCCGACGATCTCGACGAGCTCTTCGAGGGTATCGGCGACGAGACTACCGCTCCCAAAAAGACCACAAAGACAAAGGGCCCGGTCGGAGCCAAGAAGACCGGCCCAGGTGGCCCTGGCAAGGACATACTCGCCGAGCTGGAAAACGAGCTCGAGGACAAGCCGATCTCACGCCCGCACACGCCCCGCATCAAGGAGATTGCCGCCTCCTCGACCTCGAGAGCCTCGCCCGCTCGTCGTGCTGCTGCCGGGACGCCGCCTCCGGATGCCGCCTCGCTTCCCCGTCGGTCTGCCGACAGCGCAAAGTCTGCTCTGGCTGCCGAGGTCGTACATGATCACGCACCAGAGCTGATGTCTACATCGGCATCGGCACCAACAGCAGCACCTGCTGCTGGCGGCGGCGGCTCCGGCTGGTGGGGTGGTCTGCTCTCGACCGCTTCAGCAGCCATGAAGCAGGCCGAGGCTGCTGTTAAGGAAATCCAGCAGAACGAGGAGGCCAAGAAGTGGGCCGAACAAGTCCGCGGAAACTACTCTGCTCTTCGCGGCTATGGTGGGTTTCGTCTTGCCCTTCTTTCGCCTCCCTCTCACTGACATCTCAGGCGATGAACTTCGCCATCGCGCACTGCCGACTTTCACCGACATTCTCCACACTCTGGCACCACCAATTGCCTCACACGAGCGGCTGCTCATCCACATCACCCACGATATGGTCGGCTACCCGTCGCTCGACCCGCTCGTCCACGGCGCCTTCTCGCGCGTCATGGCCCAGGTCGAGGGCGGTGATCTGATGGTCATCCAGCGCGGGCAAGAGAGCGCTGTGCGCACGTCGTCTTCAGCGTCGGAGCGAAACCCGGGGTCCACAGGCAACGGCACGGCTGGCTGGCGCGATGGGCCCTGGTGGCGTGCTGTCGACAGCCCTCGTGATCTCGGGGCCGTGCCAGGACTGCATGAGGGCACGAAGCTGTGCCGCGCCAGTGCTGAGGCCTATGCTAAGGAGTACCATGCGGCCACTGGCGGCCTGGATGAGGCTCGTCACCGCGCCGTGGAGCCCATGTCCGAGAGCAACCCGGTCCGGCGCTCCGACTTATTCCTGGCCGTGCAGGCCATCCTCACGACTGCGGCTGCTGCCGGCAGCGACAGCAACACAGAGCCGCTCTTTTCCGGGTCCCCGGCAGCAGCAGCAGCAGCAAAGAAGGCCAAGGCAGCCAGCAAGAAGCACGAAGAAGACGAAGACGACGAAGACAGTGATGACGAAGACGAAGATGAGGATGAGGACGAGGACGACGAGGTCGGCGACGGAGCGGAGGAAATGGTCAGCTTTGCGGTCTACGTGCTGGACCCGGTGCACGAGATTGTCTTCTCGACCGTCAGCCAGGAATTTCCGTCCAAGTGGACACGCTGGCTGGAGGCGCCGGCAGCGTTGACGCCCGCCAGCAGCAGCGTCGACGATGGGACAGCGGCAGCGACGGCGGTGTCGGGAGGCGACGACTACGAGCGTGTGCCCGAGGACATCCGTGCCATTATTGAGAGTGGTGGCGTCGATCCGCGCGAGTGGGTGGCCGAGTGGGTCGAAGAGGCGCTCACGCTGGCCGTCGGCGTTGTGGCCCAGCGCTATGTCGCACGCCGGATGGGTGTCGGTTTGGGCAGCATTGGCAAGGGTAAGCGGCGCATGGACGCCGTTATTGCAGATGGTGGCGGCGAGGCTGCACGAGCCGGCCTGATCTAGGGCTGTCAAGGATGATGGGATCTAGGCCCAGTCTGGTCTAGGACGGGGGACCTTTCTCCGGTCTTTATCTATTGTCTGTTTTTGATTATTGGCTGTTCTCTACCGCTTCTTTCTGGCTTTTTGATGTTTATGCGTTGTTTTTTGCTTTAGCCTGTATTCTATGCACATCGATCCAATTGAACACCGTGTCTCGCAGCAGATGGGGAGAGGGACTGGTTGTGAAGACATGGACTGTCTGAGAGCTCGGACGGAGATAAGACGACGGGATATTAACTGCTTACAGCCCTATGGACATATATATCCGCAGCGCAGCTCCTAGAGAAGCTGCGCAAGGTCTCATCCTCAACCGGTCATAGGGTCTCATCCCTCCTTCTTCTGTTCCTGTTTCTTCCGTCTTCTCTGTCTGCTCCCGTCTTTATCCCTTTCCATCTTCTCCTTGTGGTTCTCCATCGCCTTTGTCGTCGCCGAGCTCTCGGGCTCTTGGCATATTTCTACTCAATAAAAAACTCCCCCAACAATACCTCGACGCAAATGAAACGCTGGCACGGCTGGCACGCTGCCTGCGTTCCCGTATACACCAGCATGGCACCCAACTCGGACGCCCTCTGGGAGAATTGGCACCACTAGTTGCAGAGCACGTTACAAACTCGCTGGCGTGACTGATACATCATCTCGAGATATCTCTGCCAAATTGAATGATCTCTAATACGGAAAGCGCGGCTGGCATACATTACGAAAACTGTTGCTCATTCCTACCTGCAAAAAGACATTCTGGTTAAATTCGTTAGTCCCGGTACGTAATCCTGTGCCTTCCTTGCCATATTCCTTCCCTCCTCGCCACACGTCCTTTCCCTGTGTTCGAGTTATTTGTGCATTTTCCATTCAAATCGTTGATCCAAACATTCCAGTCCTTCACCCATCTCCCTCGTTTATCAAAAGCTCGCCCCGACACAGTCGTTGTATGGATAGAACCAGTTCGGATCGACCATGTACTCACCATTCCAGGAGCCGGCGCTGCCCGTTACGCTGAGGTCGGTGCTAGGAAAATGGCCGATCGCATCGATATCCACATTGCCAGCATCAATTTCGCCATACAGGGCTGGTCCCACAATGTTGTGTGTCGGTGCAACGATCAGATTCAACATGTGTTCTTGCGGCAGCGCCATCGGTGGCATGTGCGGCATCGGTGCGTCCGCTGATGCAGTCACCGATGTGGCCACCGATGCAGGCACCGATGAGGCCACCGATGTATCAATGGGTGCGACCACGGGTGCGGCCACAGGTATGTCCACTGGTGCATCGACAGCATCGTCAGGCAGTGTCACCTTTCGAGAACTCGCCAGATCCTGCAAAAGTTCAATGCCTTGCCCTGCCGCGCGATCCATGGCATCTGCGATATCCCGCCGCACTGGTCGACCGCTCATCAACGCCTCCAGTTGGGCCATGCCACCGGCAAAGAAAATGAGACCCTTCACGCTTGTCTCGCCCGCCAGAATGCGATCCTCCAGCAAGGTCTGACATGCCTGTGCTGTGCCGTACAGCTCGCGCTGGGTCACACTCAGGTCTGCTCCGGGGATGAAGTCCTCCTGCAACTGCAGGATCAGCTCGATAACCACCGTGGCGTGCACGTCGATAAACGTGCACTTGACAAGTCCGCGGCCGACAATGAACAACTGCAAGCATGGGTCGTCGACAGCCTTGCCGGCGCCTTGCTGTTGTGGCTGTGGCCGTCGCGGTCGACTGTCGTCATCCTGTGGCGGTCTGCTGCTGTTGAGGCGTCTGCTACCCATCGCTGGAGACAGGCTCATGCACAGAAGCCTGACAGCCGTGTCAATGCGGGCGCGCCGCGAGAAATAGTAGGTGTTGCCGGACGACTTGCGAGCAAAGGGTGAGTGCAGCGAGTGGTGAAAACGACCCGTGAGCACTTCGTAAAACAGGACACGCAATCGCAAAAAGCTATCTTTCTCCCGTGGATCCATCGTCACACTCTCCATCATGAGCCGCGCCATCCGCAGCGTCGTCGCCGTATAGCGCCTCGCCTCCAGCAGTTCGCCGCTCAGCTGCAGCACTCGACCATACGGCAGCACCTCCTTCAGGCTATTCATCACCCTGGCAATCTTGAGTCGGGGGGGGAACGACCGGAGCAGAAGCCGCTGCATGCTGGACTGCGTGAACTCCGTGTCCGGACGACCCTGTGTCGTGGACGATGACGACCGTCGGTCCTTGATCCGGCCATCATACGGGTTGCTGGAGGCCTGTGTGGTGCCGTCCTCGCTGCTGCTTGCGTTCTCGGACGGGCTGCCTTTAATTTCTATATCGTCGAGGTTTGTCGGCGGCAGGCAGTCGTAGTCGTCGATGCTGATCAACGGCGGCATGCCCTGGTCCAGGGCAGACTGCACCAATAGCTCGAGGACCGTGGCCCACAGGCGCCGGCGCATCTCACACTCGAAGAACGAAAGCGACCGGAAGTGCGACGGGTCGCGGTGGAGGCCCATACCAAGCGCCATGTGCTGCAGCGAGCCGGTCGAAAACCAGACGAGGTCGTCACCCCGGTCGAACGCCGTGGTCTGCCGCGCGATGATCACCAGACAGTACACCTGCAGCATGTCCATGCTCAGATCGCGTTTGTCCAGCGGCGTACACGCTGCTACCTCGAGATGCTTTACCGCCCGTGCGACCGCAAAACTCAGGTCGTCCCGCAGCGACGCATAACCGTCATAGAAGCGGCTGCCTAGGGCGAGAACGAGAATCAGCTTGACCGCGAACACGTCGGGCACCGCGTCCGCGTCTGCACCGCCTTCCCAATAGAGACGACACTCTTCCTCGAAAGTCGGAATGTGCAGTACTCTGAACACACACTCGAAAGCGTTAAAGTACAGGGCGACCAGGTGGTCACAAACAGCGCGCGGTGGCCGCTTGAACCACCCCGGGTCGCCCGCCTTGACAGCTGCGATACGCGTGCGATAGTCGTCCTTGATGGCCCGCGCATACCGCTTGCTGATCTGCAGAGATTTGTGAAGCGTCGGCACGGCCGCCTGAGGGCCTTGGATCGTGAGCGCATGAATGTCCGTATACTATTGGCCAGCGGATCGTCAATCGAGGCCAAATCAAGAAAGGAAAGTGGATGATGGCCGCTAACGCACCTGATCCATACTGTGCATCCAATGCGTGCGCCCAAACAGACGCGTCTTGGCCAGTCGACCGCCGAACCGAGATGGCTGATCCGTCATGGAAGCAGCATACCTCTCGGGCTCACCGGACGCCTCTTCCCCGAACGACACGGCATCGAGAGACTCGGCACTCGGCTTGACGTCGGCCGCATCTGTGTCCGGCCAATCAGGACCACTCCCTGGCTGCAGCACGGGGCTTGTCGGCGCCTTGACAGGACGGCCGTACGGAGGCGGCACCGCTCCCGTCACGTACACGCACTCGACATTATGCAGGGCACACTGGCCACACGGCGTCTTTCGGTCGCAGGCAATCTTGCGTCGCCGGCACTCGGCACACACAACGGCGGGTCTTCTTCTCTTCCGTGGCGGCTTTGACATCGGTGAGGAGGCCGGAGGCCCAGAAGAGGAGACCGAGGCTGAGACCGAGGCTCTAAATTCCGTCATCGCGTCGCCGGCCGTGAGGGGGTATCGAATCGATTAAGCACTTGATGCAGCGCAATGGAGGGGGGTCGGTAGATTGGTTGCTGCTTTGTCACTCGCTGCTACGGACATGTAGCCGGCAAAGGCGTTGGGAGCGTCACAATTTTCTTGTGCGGGCGTTGCCTTGTTGGGGACTCCGAAAAAGAAAAGGTAGGGGGGTCGTTTATCAGATCATCAGATATTCAAAGTTCAAAAGTCCCGTTTACCGTATCTTTAGCTCCGTGATTAGTGTTATTCGCCTGGAAGTCCCAGTCGGTTGAGTAATCCATCCGAGCGCGGGAATGAAGGGACAAAACGTATATACGGAGTAGACAAAGGCATTCGGGATGATTCAGCCCGTCGGCGCTTATTGTCGGCGGTCGCGAAAACGGTCTGGCCTTGTGTAGTGAGGCACACGATGTGGTGAAAAAGCTTGTATTTCCTAGGAGATCGCTATCTACACTAGGATGAGGGAGGGGTATTTACCCCCCCTCTACACCACGTGACCGTAGGTCACGACATGTAGCCGTTTTGGACTGGTGCCGTAATATCTTGCATACTATTGCGCACAAAGAGTGGCTTGCGGCAAGCAAAGCTGTTTGCTCGGTGTTTGAGTTGGCTTGATCACCGCAGCCAAGAAGTCTCTTGGGTATTTATACGAGTTTCGGCCAGACTAATATTGGAATTTGCCGATCGGTCTGCTGTCCAACACTTGCAAGAGGACATGCTATACGAAGTATGCAGCATGAATAGACTTGCTGCACGGTAAGCTTTTAGGCAGACGAAGTGTGGAGCGAATGCCCACTTCAGCTTGACGGGAAACGTGGATTAGCGGCTTGAGTTTAGCAAGAGCCGGTGGAGATGGTCAATCCAGCATAACCTGCTCAGCCGCCGCCAAAAGTGACGAGAAAAATCCGCACAATTTGCACAAAAATGGGTAAATTTGCACGTGTCTAATTGCAGGGAAGTCCACATGTGTGAAGATGGCGGCCGAAGCCGAATAGACCAATTTTCGGTTTTGATACCTGATGTGGTATTGTTCGGCCGTTGAGTTGGGTTCACGCGTTGCAGCGATGGTGGATGATGTGGGGTGCGATGTGTTGATTAGTCAGCAGATATCGTGACGCGGTCCACAGGAAAGGAAGGGGCGACCAAACGTGGTTGCCGTGGTTGCCCCAGCAAAGGCGCTAGAGAGAAAAGAGAAAAAAAATAAATGGTGGCCAGCACATACATACGACAAAGTAGCCAGTAAAGCCCAAGGCGATAAAACAAGTCAGCACGTTAGAAGAAGCGGACCCAGAGGCCATTTCGACACGACGCCAGCAAGCCTCTGCTAGCATTGGAGGACATCCGGCATTCAGTCCCTCATCACTCTCGTTTGTGGCGGGATTGTTTCTCATAGTTTCGCCCACCGCCTTTCCTCGCCGTGCTCCGAACGAAGGGCACTTTTGACTTGTCTCGACATTCCATGCGAGACCTACACGACTCACGGTCCTTACCACTACGACACAGCACGCGAGGCACTCTGGAAGGCACGTCATCATGCCGCCGACAGACGCGGGCGCGTCGTCCATTGCGGTGACGGTTCGTGTGCGGCCATTCACAATTCGAGAAGCAGCCCAACTGTAAGCTATCTGCAGCAGACGGAAAGGTAACTGGCACGGATGGCTGACCGGATCGGACGACAGACAAAAGACAGATGGGGGCACGCTCTTCCTCGGAGACGGCTCGATGGCGGCGGCTCCCACGCCGAAGCTGAACCAGAAAGGACTGCGGTCGGTGATCAAGGTCGTTGACGACCGCTGCTTGTAAGATGCCCTCGCTTTTTGTGCGTTCTTCTGGGTTCCCTTCTAAGACAGGCAGGGTTTTCGATCCACCGGAAGACAACCCGGTGCACAAGTTCTCTCGATCGGTGGTGCCGACGGGCAAGAAGGTCAAGGACCAGGTGTTTGCGTTTGACCGGATCTTCGACGACAACGCAACGCAGGCGGACGTGTACGAGGGAACGACCAAGGGCCTACTGGACTGCGTGCTGGACGGATACAACGCAACGGTGTTTGCATACGGAGCGACGGGCTGCGGCAAGACACACACGATCACGGGAACGGCGCAGCATCCGGGAATTATATTTCTGACGATGCAGGAGCTGTTTGAGAAGATGGACGAGCGCAGCGGGGAGAAGGTGACAGAGGTGACACTGTCATACCTGGAGATCTACAACGAGACGATCCGTGACCTGCTGGTTCCGGGAGGCAGCAAGCAGGGGCTGATGCTGCGGGAGGACTCGAACCACGCGGTGACGGTGGCGGGGCTGAGCAGCCACCGGCCGAACAACGTGCAGGACGTGATGGACATGATTGTGCAGGGCAATGAGTGCCGGACGGTGTCGCCGACGGAGGCGAACGCGGTATCGTCACGGTCGCACGCGGTGCTGCAGATCAACGTGTCGCAGAAGGATCGCAACGCGAGCGTGAATGAGCCGCACACGATGGCGACGCTGAGCATCATCGACCTGGCGGGCAGCGAGCGGGCGAGCGCGACGAAGAACCGTGGAGACCGGCTACTGGAGGGAGCCAACATCAACAAGTCGCTGCTGGCACTGGGAGGCTGCATCAACGCGCTGTGCGATGCGCGCAAGACGAATCACGTGCCGTACCGAAACAGCAAGCTGACGCGGCTACTCAAGTTCTCGCTGGGCGGCAACTGCAAGACGGTGATGATTGTGTGCGTGAGCCCGTCGAGCGCGCACTTTGACGAGACGCAAAATACGCTGCGGTACGCGAACCGGGCGAAGAACATACAGACCAAGGTGACGCGCAACGTGTTTAACGTGAACCGACACGTCAAGGACTTTCTGGTCAAGATCGACGAGCAGATGGCGCTGATCAACGAGCTGAAGGCGCAGCAGCGGGACGCGGAGCGGACGTATGCGACCAAGGCGCGGCGGCAGCTGGAGAAGCGCGACGTGACAGTGCGCGAGGGCATGCAGCGGATCCGGCAGGCGTACGACAATGCGGCGGCGGAGCGGCAGCAAAAGGTGGCGGACATGTGGAAGCTGCGGTGTATTGAGCGGCGGATCAGCACGCTGTCGGCGTGGATGATGGCGTTTGAGATGGTGGAGAGTGGTGGTGGTGGTGAGGTTGGAGAGGATGGAGAGGCTAGAGAGGAAGCAGGACCTACAAGGATGGCAGCAGCACTGGTGCCGATGCACAAGTCAGCACGGGGAATCCTGGCGGAGCTGGAGCACAGCCGACAACACCTGCACCAGAAGGTGGAGCGGTGCAACTGGGAGCGGGCAGTGGACACGGCGCTGCAGCACAGCATTGGACAGGTGAAGACAGCGGTGGCAGACAGCGCAGTAGCGGATGCAGGCGAGGCGATTGCGACGCTGACACGCGAGGCAGAGCTGCTGAAGGCGCAGTTTGGGCGCGAAGCGTTGGTGGAGGTGCAGGAGCAGGAGCGGAAGACGGGGACAGGCGAAGTGATGCAGGGACTGCTGGCGGCACAATTCCGGATGATGGCCGCACTGGCCGAGACGCTGGAGATGGGCGACGAGGAAGCAGGCGAGCGTGGACCGACGGTGATGCAGGAGCTGCTGGAGAAGGGAGTGACAGCGGCAGGACAGGTGATCCGGCCAGACGTGTCGGCAGAGATGGCGGCGACGATTCCGCTGCCGAAACGCGGACAGCCACGACGCAAGCGAATGTCTAGCCTGGGCTACGGAGGCTATTCGTCGACAGCACGGCCTTCTATTGGCGGGTCGTCGTATCTGGGATCGCATCTGTTGGTGGCAGCAGCGGGGACGCGGCCGGGGTCGGGGTTGGGGCTGGCATCGCCGTCGAAGGCGGCACCTCGACGACATCGGGTCAGCGGAGCGGGAGCGCGTAAGAGCGTGTCGTTTACGCCGTTGAAGAAGAAGGCGTCGTCGTCGTCGCTGAAACGCAGTGTGCGATGGCGAGACGACGCGTCGGAAGACGGCACGCTGGCCGACTACGAAAAGACGCCGCAGGGGGAGAGAAGAGAGGGAGAGGGCGTGAGAGCCGAGAGTAGGGCGAGCGAAGCGAGGAGTGAAGAGAGCCAAGAGAGCCAAGAAGAGGCGAGCGGAGCGAGGAGACAACTGGCTTGGACGATGGATACGGTGCCGGAAGAGGCGTCCAGTCCGATGAGAAGGGCGATACCCGGCTCACCGGCATCTCCAGCACTACCGACACCACCATCGCTCAGCCGGATGGACCTGTTGGCAGCAGATGAGTCGCTGTTGGTGGGCGACACGTCGTCGATGTCGACTTCGATGCTGGCCAGCAAGCCGAGCCGATTCCAAGCGGGATTTCTGACAAAGACGCGGCTATCGTCGGCAGTATCGGCGCCATCCGTGACATCCATCCCATCGGCCGTTTCGTCCTCCAGTCTCAGTCCGCCGTCACCCGACAGCGAGCGGACGTTGACGCTGGCACCTTTACAGCGACGGGCGTCACCGCTGCGCAACATCTCGCTGCCGCGGGCGGCGAATCACCAGCTGACACCGCCGTCAGCGACGCGGATTGCGAGCCTGAATCTGAGTGGCAGTCCCAAGTATATCAGCACAGGCTTGTCACCGTCGTCGTTGCGGGACGAGAACCAGCCGCCGAGTCAGCTGCCGCGGACGTCGTCGCCACGAACGTCATCGCCGGCCGGCCACCATTCGGACGCGGACATGACAGCTGGACTGACGGCTGGCGAGCTGATCGACCCGCTAAAGCTGCGGTCGGCCATTCCAGCGGCAGCAGGCGCGCGGCTCTTCTCGATCGGCACCCATAACGCGCACAGCCGGCGGACGTCATCGTCGCTGCCAGCATCGTCGGCGAGCTCGACTAACGGCATCTCGCGCCAGCGACGGCGCAGCAACGAGCGCCAGCGATCGCCACCCATTTCGTGCTCGCCGCCTAGGAGTCACGGCGCCGGAACGAGTGGCATTGGCCGGCTTGGCAGTAGTCTCAGCGGCAGTGGCAGCGGCAGCCTGCGCGACGGCATGGCCACGCGTGGCGGTCTTGCGGGTCCGTCCGGTCTGTCGGGTGCTTCAGGTCTCTCAGGTCCGTCCGGTCTGTCGCCCACACGCATCCGTCATGTTGCCACGATCAGCGGCGGCGGCTCACCTCAACAAGGCAGCCGTCTGCTGGATGGCACCGGCAGGCGACGGACTACGACCGGCAACAGCGGACTGACCGGACCCGTGGTCGGGAAGAAGGAGGGTAGCGGCAGCAGCAGCGGCAGCGGCAGTATGTCATGGCGATGAGGCGAGAGAGTCACGTGTAGGATTTAGTAGAGCGGGCTGTAACTGGTTGAATGAGTACGTGCATGATTACATAAGCAGAAGCAAACGCGTAGAGACAAGTATCAGGCCGTTGCAACGGCATAACGAGGAATGAGGGCCATGCGTTCCTCGAGGCTGAAGTCGCCGTCGGAATAGACCATGCGCATAGCCTTTTCCTTTTTCTTTTCCTTCTCGGGTGCGGCCGGCTGAGCAGCAGGCGGGCCAGGCTGAGGAGCAGGGGGACGGATGCCGGCCTCGGCCATGCGGATGATCTTGTCGATGTCGTCACCGCCGTGAGCAGCGCCAGAGACGAGGTCATCGAGCGTGGAGGCAGCACCGGTGCCGTAGGCGGAGGGTCGCTGGGGCAGGCCGGCAGGGCCGCCGATGCCGCTGTTGGGAGGCCGATTGGGGAGAGAGGTAGGCGAGGTAGCAGGAGCGGAAGCGGAAGCAGAAGCAGAAGCGGAAGCGATGGGAGCCGAGGGAGCAGGAGGCGGACCAGCAGCTGCGGCAGCTTTGCGAGCGCCTTCCTGAGCACGGTACTCGGCCAGGCGGTGCTTCAGCTCGTCGGCCGACTCGATGCGGATCTTCTTGGCCGGTCGCTGAACGCCGGGCTGACCAGGCTGTGGGTTTCCGGTCACGGCCTGGCGGCTGGCCCGGTCCTTCTGGAAGCCCTGCAAGATCTCGTTGTTGTGCTGGGTAGCAGCGGCTTCGGGCACGCCCTCCATCCCAAAGATCTCCACGTCTAGACCCTCGCGGCCTTCGATCGCGTTTTCGACCCGCACCAACGTCTCCTTGTGCACCTGGTTCATGTGCACCGACAGGCCGCCGGCCGTGTTCAGCCGCCGACCGCATCGGTCACACTTGTAGTGCTTGGCCTTTTGGTGCGAGATCAGCAGCTTCAGATCCTCAAAGTCACGCTCGCCTGGTCCGTCAGCTCAGCCGGTACGCGCTCGCGGGCACACACACGAAAAGGCACCTACAGTAGTAACACCATGGCCGGCTCAACAGCTCCTCCAGGTTCGGGTAGTTGCGCCGCTTCTTTCCCATCGTGCCGTCTGGGTGCGCGTCAGTACAAGAGGAATCGTCGTCAGCGCGGACTCCGTCGTCCGAAGGCTCGATGCCGCACCTCACCAAAGCTAGAAAGTTTCGGACGCGCGAACCAAGGACAACGCGGCTGGAGGTCACGTGATATAATGTTACGTAATATGCTCACCGCCTCAAGGGCGGGACCGTGCATCAGCTCTGTACGGAGTACGCTAAATATAGCTTGCAAACGGAATACGTCGTAGCGTCTCGATGGTCAAATAGGACAGCTTAGCCCGGTCAGCCCTCGTATTCTGTCTTTGGTGTGTATGTTTCCGTCTGTCGCTGTCGTCTGTCGTCTGACATCTGTCTGTTGCTGACAAGAAGATAGTTTGCAGAAACACCATCTCATCATCCCCTCAACCCCTCCATTTCATCTCTCCCATTCTCTCCATCACCATGTCTTCTGTCGACGTGGTCGAGCTGCGGGCGCGCTACACCGAGGCCGGCCAGGGCCAGGTGTTTACGTTTTTCGACGAGCTGACGGCGGCCGAGCAGGCCGCGCTGGTGCAGCAGCTGAGCCTGTTTGACCCGGAGCGAATCAACCGGCTGGCCGAGGAAGCGCTGCACCCGACGACGGCCGCATCGACGGGGCCGGCGCAGCTGGAGCCGCTTCCGGCGACGGCGACGGCGAGCATCATGGACGCGTCGGCCAGCGACATGGCGGCCTGGCAGACGGCGGGCCTGGACCTGGTGGCGGCGAACAAGGTGGCCGTGGTGCTGATGGCTGGCGGCCAGGGCACGCGGCTCGGCAGCACAGCGCCCAAGGGCTGCTACGACATTGGGCTGCCGAGCGCCAAGTCGCTCTTCCGGCTGCAGGCCGAGCGCATCCGCAAGGTGCAGGCGCTGGCGGCAGCCCAGGCTGGGCTCGCCGCTGATGCTGTCGTGGTGCCGTGGTACATCATGACGAGCGGCCCGACACGTGGCCCGACCGAGGCTTTTTTCCAGGCCCACGACCATTTCGGGCTCGCACCCGACAACGTCGTCTTCTTCGAACAGGGCGTCCTGCCGTGCATCAGCAACGATGGCAAGATCTTGCTCGAGAGCCGCGGCCGCGTCGCTACCGCTCCGGACGGCAATGGCGGCCTCTACCAGGCTCTCGTCGCGTCTGGCGTCCTCGCTGACCTCCAGGCCCGCCGCGTCGATCATGTTCATGCCTACTGCGTCGACAACTGCCTCGTTCGCGTCGCCGATCCCGTCTTCGTCGGCTTCGCTGCCCAGAAAGACGTCGATGTCGCCACAAAGGTCGTCCGCAAACGCAGCGCTACCGAGTCCGTCGGCCTCATCCTCCTCAAGAACGGCCGCCCCGACGTGGTCGAGTACAGCGAGATCGATACGGCCACGGCTGAGGCCCTCGATCCCAACCAGCCGGCTGCTGCTGATGCCAATGCTGCTCCCGTCCTCAAATTCCGCGCTGCCAACATCGTCAACCACTACTACAGCCGCCGCTTCCTCGAATCCATCCCCGAATGGGCTGCTGACCTTCCCCATCACGTCGCTCGCAAGAAAATCCCCTACGCTGATCTCACCACTGGCGCCACCGTCAAGCCGACCTCCCCCAACGGCATCAAGCTCGAGCAGTTCGTCTTTGACGTCTTCCCTCGTCTTCCCCTCGCCCGCTTCGCCTGCCTCGAGGTCCGTCGTGAGGATGAGTTCTCTCCCCTCAAGAATGCCCCCGGCACCGGCGAGGATGACCCCGAAACTAGCCGCCGCGATATCCTCCTGCAAGGCCGCCGCTGGATCGCTGCTGCTGGCGCACATGTTCACGGCGCCCCCGATGCCGGCGTCGAGGTCTCCCCCCTGCTCAGCTATGGCGGCGAGGGCCTCGAACGCTTCCACGGCAAGACTGTCGATGTGCCTGCTGAGCTCAAAGAGTAGACCTCCGTCGCCTGAGCAAAAGTGCATGTGCAGGTTCGTGTGTACATGATTTAACGTCATATTTACTGGCCTCGTCATGTGACTCCATTTAAACTTTTCATACATATTAGTAAGCAAGCGATCTTGTGTCAACTGTGTACTTTGTATCTTACGAGTAGTCTCTTTGCTCATCATTCTCTACTCAAAAACCGTAGTCTTGCCAAGGCCCCCTGCGACGGCCCGGATCTTGGATCCAATCTCCAGCGGGCTGCCCTCGTACACGACAAAGTGGTTGCTATCGTCGCCGCTCTGCTGCTTGCCCCCCAGCTGCAACATCTTGTAGATGTTGGTCGAAATCAGGTCCAGCGCCGTCTTCTCCGTCAGCCGTCCACCGCCGTTCTTGTAAGCAATGCCGGCCAGCAGAGCCAGGTCGCGCACCAACCAGTCCTCTTCGAGCCCAATGGCCACCACCACCCCCGCGTCCACCAGCACGTCGATCGCCGTGCCGTTGGTCAGTGGCGCCCCCGTCAACGCCCGCCGCTCGTCCCACCCTGTGCGATACGACTGCAGAGGTGCCAGCACCACGCCGACGTCTGCTGCCGCCAGCTGATCCGCCAGCAGGAACGACTCGGCGCCGCCGACAATCACAAGCCGGATCTTGGCCGGTGCCGACGCAGCCGCTGCTGCTGCCTCCACCTCCTTCTTCACTCGCAGGATCGCTGCAATCGAGTCGGCGCTGTGTGTCGTGACGGCTAGCGATAGCGAGCCAGCCACAACCTGTTGCAGATAGGCAGCCTCAGAAAACGGCTCGGTCGCACTGCTGCTGCTGCTGCTGCTGCTGCTGGCTGCCACCGCCTTGAGCAGCTTGTTCCGAAGAGCACCGACAGCCGACGACAGTGACGGCGTGCCGCCGGCTTGCGTCTTGCCGGCTTGGCCCAATGTGTAGTGAACAGCAGCATCCGAGGCAAAGACGACACCGTCGTCGAGAGTCGTCGGGCCGCCGCCCGTCAGGAAGCCCGCGCTGGTGCCAAAGTGCGTAAAGGCGCCGCCCTGCTCTGGTGCCGAAATCGCTCGCGTCACGCCGTAGCGCTGGGCTGCGTCCAGCTTCTTGCCCCCCAGGGCAAGACCGTCAATGGCCCGACTGAAGACACCGCCGCTGGCCCCGTTGTCCGTCGTCTTCTCCGCGTCGATCTGCAACAGGCCCAGCTTCGATGCAAACGCCGTAAAGGCTGCCGTCACGTATCCGTTCTGCAGTGACACCACCCGGCTGCCTTCACGCGCCATCCGCAGCTCCTCCGAGCAGGCACCCACACACGTCACACGGCCGCCAGACACGGCAACGTTGAGTCCGGCCGTAGACTCCTGCGTCACTTCCTCCTCGAACCCCGGCAGCAGCACTTTGGCCACACCCGTGAACACCACGTCGCCGCCCACATCGACGGGTGCCTCCTGGCTCTTCAGGGCGAGCTTCTCGTCCGGAACGACCGGCTGGCTGGCCGGCTTGCTCAGCTCCACGGGGTCTTCAAACTGCACCACACCGTCGATCCACACCTGCACCGGCGTGGCACCAACGCTGAGCGGATCGCTGTCCCAGACGACAATGTCAGCATCAAAGCCCGGCTTGACGCGGCCCAGACGCTGGCCAAGACCCAGACGTGCAGCTGGTGCCGTCGTGACCGAGGCTAGGGCGGCATGGTAGGGCAGGCCGTAATGGTAGGCCTTGGCAGCTTCGAAGAGCACGTGCTGGGCGTTGAGGACCGGGTTGTCGCTGACGTAGATGGGCGTCAGGCCGTTGTCGTAAAGGATCTTGCCGGCGAACTCGGAAGCCACGTAGGACTCGGCCTTGTAGTACATGTTGTCGGCAAACATGGCCGAGGCCGGAGGACCAAAGCGGTCGGCACCCCAGGCACGCTTGAGGATCTCGGGAACGAGGAATGTCTGGTGAGCGTGGTGGAAGGCCCAGACAGGGAAGCGGAACTCGTTGGTGTGGTCGACAAAGGCCTCAAGGTCGGGCACGGTGTAGCAGTGCGTGTTGACGCGGACTTGGCCACGAAGCACCGCCGCCAGCGTGTCCCACTTCAGGTCGCGTGGCAGGTAAGCCGAGACGGTGTGGTGCAGCGTGGCGTTGGACTGAGCCGCCGCTGCCTCGGCCGTGGAGCACCAGTCGTCTTGGGCCTGCACGAGGGCCGCGGCCTGCTCAAAGGCGTGCCGGAACTCCCAGCTCTCGCCGAGACGGCTGTAAGGGCCGCGCTCACCAACCTTGCCGTACACCCGCTTCGCGTTCTCGCCACAGGCCATCTTGATGTAGCGCAGACCGGGTGCATCGGGTGCCGCCAGCAGCGAGGCGATGCTCAGCTCCGGCCGTCCGTCGTGGCGGTCGACTGCGTGTTTGATTACGTAAGCCTCTCCGCCGATGTTGTTGCCGGAACCGGGCAGCACGAGCGACGTGGTGACGCCGCCGGACTTGGTCACCTGGATCTGGTGGTCCTGTGGCTGGATACCGTCGATTGCCCGTACGTACGGTGTGATGTCCGACGATATCTCGTTGGTGTCCTCGTTGCCGTCTAGTTCCGGCAGTGAGTCCAGGCCGGCGTGGCTGTGCATGTCGATGATACCGGCCGTCAGCTGGCGGCCTCGCGCGTCCCACACCACAGTTGACGCCGGCAGGGCGTCCTGGCCGATTGCCGGAGCCACCTGCTGGATCAGGCCGTTCTCTAGCAGCACGTCGGCCGTGATCCACTGGAAGCCCTTTCCGGCGCGCGCCTCCTCGGCCGTGGTGCCGGCAACCGGCTCGCCTACCCAGACAGTGGCATTGCGAATCAGCACGGGGCGCTGACCATCCAGATAGCGCGCGTTCGTGGCTCGGCCGAGTCCCTCTGCATCGCTCGGAATGCTGTGCAGGGCCGCACACGTGGCCACGTCCTCCTGCAGCTTCTCGAGCGACAGACCGGCCGTCGGGCCGTCATCAACAGGGCTCCCACGCTTCAGCTGCGTCCACTGTGCGTAACCGATGTAGAGCAGACAGGCCAGGCCGGCCAGACGCAGAAATCGGCCGCGACGACGCAGACTGTGGAAGCTTCGAGGGCCATGACGACGGGTCCACTGAGGAGGAGGCGGTGGGGGGACGGTGGCCGAGTACGGCGGCAGCAGCTGCTCGCCTTTTTCCATGCTCGAAGAGTGTCTATGGGAGCATGCAGCATTCGTTAGGGGAGTGGTAAGAGGAAAGAGGAGAGAATGGAAGACAGGAAGAAGAGAGATGGAGATGCAGCGAAACGCGAAAGATAGCCAGTCCACATAGAGACCCCACAGCAGGCCAATCGCACGTATGGCAGGAGCGACTAGCAGCGAAGCTGCCTAAATGGCGTCAGGATTGACGTGCTAAGGAGCTCTTATCTCGCCGAGACGGAAGGCGGTATTGAATTAGGCAGGTGTGATTGTCTATTGTGTACTATGTAGTAATCCAACAGGCCGAGATGTTGACTTTTTGTATCCTGTGAGCTTCCAATGCACAGCCGTCCCCAGCCTACGACTTCTTTACAGCTCCCGCAGCGCCCCGCCCTCGGCGCCCGACTGCAGCATTGTCTCCACCACGAGCAGGTCCTGCAGGGCCTCGCGGGGCGACTGCAGCTGGTCGACGGCAGCGGCACCGGTCGCAATGCTGCGGGCAAACGCAGCGAACTCGGCCTTGACCCCGTTGGCCTCGGCGGCCGGAAAGGCAGCCGGGTCGGCGGTGTCGATGACGGCAGGAGTGACGTCGCCGCGGCGCATCACGGTGACGCAGCGCGGCGTCCAGGTCAGGCGGCCCTCGGTGGTAGTGACGACGACTTCGAGCAGCGGGCCGCCAAACTCGGTGCCAAACGACATGTTGAGCACGCCGCTGACGCCGCCTCGCGTCACAGCGACGCCCCGCAGAGTGTCGACTGGCGGCAGGTGCGGCTGCAGCTGGGCGGCAAAGCAGGCCAGCCGGGCGATCTCGCTGGCATCTCCTAGACTTCCCAAACTGCCCATCAGCTGTCGCAGCGCTGCCACAAAATGCACGCCACCGTCCAGCAGAAAGCCGCCCGGATGTGTCGGCTGGCGTCGCCACGACGTGTTGATGTAGCCGCCGCTGGTCTCGTCGCGCACCAGCCGGTCGCTATGCAGCGAAAACGACACCAGTTCGCCGCCTAGCCGTCTCGCCTCGGCCACCGCCACCTGCAGCCCCGGCTGGTACCGGTAGTTCTCGGCTACCGCCCACAACGGCCGTGACGACGACGACGACGACATCTGCTCATACTCCGCAATCAGCTCTCGCGCCTCTGCCACCGTCGCTGCCACCGGCTTCTCGCTGATCACGTGCTTGCCCGCCGCCAGCGCCTGGCGCACGACTGCCGGCTGCAGAGTGATCGGTATGCCCACAGCCACTGCTGCCACGTCGCTGCGCGCCAGCAGATCTGCCAGCCCGCGGCCTGCCGTCGCCGGCTCGTCGAAATACACGTCCACGGCGCTGCTGCTGCCGGCCTTGGCGTGCAGCGTCTCGGCCGTCTTCTGCGACCGCGAGTAGATCGCCTTGAGCTCTAGCTCGCTCGCTGCCTCAATGGCCGGCAGGTGCTCTGTTGCTATCAGAGAGAAGACAGGCAGACAAGGTGGACAAGACGGCAGATAGCCACGCACCTCGCGTGGCAAAGATGCCAGCTCCCAACATTGCAATTCCAATGGCCATTTTCGCGTTCTGCTCGTTTCTTGCTTGCTTCCGTTTCGCTGTTGCTGCTTGTTGCTGCTTTTGTGATGTTTCTGACAGCAGCTCTGTCTTCTGCATCGACGTTTTCGACTAATACGTGGCCGGTCGTCGGAAAGGTCCAGCCGAGACATGTCCCCAGTCGCGGCGATTACCTCTCGCTAGTGACTTTAGCCTCGGAATGAACCCCACCATGTTGAATGTCACGAGATTACGCAAGACCAGTCATGCATTGCCACTGTGGACTGCAGTCCCATGCCGAGGACCTGGTGATCATGCTGGCTCTGGTGCTGTGGACGTCTCGATGCAGGACAGTTGTCTTCGAAAGGCAGGGCCTCTTTTCCGTACTCTGTAAGCTGGTGCTGCCAGTAGCCCGAGAACTTCGAACTCGTATCTCAGGTTGCGTTGGCCCAATGCTGTTTGTCCGACCACGCAAGTTTGATCGGAGCTGCATTGGCCAATTGGATTGACCAATCACATCATCCCACCACCAGCACAGAAGCGTAAAGCTGACAACCCTGTTCGTTTCTATTTCCCAACTGTACAGACGAAACGGAGAGAGAGCAGCATAAACAAGTTCCACACGCTGATATCTACATGCTTCCATTCTCTAATCTTTCAAAAATACTCCTCCTCATGCTCTCCCCGACCCGTCCTTGCCAATGAGGACGCTGCTGTCGTCTCCTGCACCTTTCTGTGTGGAGGGACCGCGTACCTTGTCGTGTTTCGGCTGCCCATGTCCGATGACACAACCACAGACGGCTGTTCCGGCACGCCGGCCCCTTGATTCTTAGCAGCGGGCGGGCTGCTCACGCATGGCTCCTACCACGTGCATCTGCAAACGGGGGATGGGGGATATAATGCGTGCTGTTTGCTTTGTGCTTTGTGCTTTGTGCTTTTCGCTTTAGCTTCTTGTCTGGTCTGTTTTGTAGTTTCTTCACTTCGTCTGGACGTCTGGGTGCTCATTAGTTCGTAAAGATCCGTAGCTTACAGTCCACACATCCCGTGGCTACCACGCAGCGGATCTGCACGTCCTGTGGCTCCTTTGTTCGCGTGCCGTTGGCCGCGACCGTGGTGGTGTCGGTCCTGCCGTTGCCGTTCTGGTCGGCGCCCGTGCCGCTCAGCCCTGCCGCCAACTGATCCGTCCCGCCGGCACTACGGACGAGGCTGGGGGCCCAGCGCAGCGATGTGACAAAGCGCTCGTGCGGGTCGCTGATCACCTTCACGCAGCGGCCCTCCTGGGCCAGGTCCCAGCAGCGGACCGTCTTGTCGTCGGCGGCCGAGAGCAGAAACTTGCCGCCGGGGTGGAAGACGAGCGAGCGGATCCAGTTGTCGTGGCCGATGAGCGTGCGCAGACAGGTGCCTCGGGCGTCCCAGAGCCGGATCATCTTGTCGCGGGAGCCGGTGGCGACGAACTCGGCCGAGCTGGCTGCTGAAGGCGGCCGCTTGAGGCCGGCCATCTGCGCGAGGTGCACGTAGGCCGACGGCGGCGCCAGGGCGCAGCACTCAATGTAGTGCTCGTGGCCGTAGAGCGTCAGCTTGCTCTCGTTCGTCGTGGCGACCGACGTAATGTCCCAGAGCCGCGCCGTCATGTCGTCGCCGCACGAGACGAGGTAGCGGCCGTCAAAGGCCGGCACAACATCGCGCACCCAGGCCGTGTGACCGTGCAGCGTGCGCACGACGAAGCCGGTCGTAACGTCCCAGATCTTGAGCGTCATGTCGCGGCTGGCGCTCACGAGCAGGTTGGCCGAGTTGGGGATGAAGCGCACTGCGCTGACGCTGTGGTCGTGGCCCGAGAGCGTCCGGATGTTCTTGTAGTCGTCTGCCGGGTCCCACAGCTTGATCGCCAGGTCCGAGCTGCACGACACCAGCAGCACGTTGCCCTTGGGCCCGCCGTAGTCCACGTCCAGCACCGCCCGCGTGTGGCCCTTGATCGTCTTCTCGAGCTCGCCAATGTCCCAGTCCCAGATCTTGATCGTGAAGTCGTCCGACCCCGTGGCCAGCGACGAAAAGGTCGGGTGGAACGCAATGCAGTTGATCGCGTTGCGGTGCGACTCTAGCGTGTATCGCGGTGGTGCCTTGGGCAGCCACGATGCCGGATCCTTGTTGCGCAGCATCAGCGATCCGGGAGTCGCGTTGTCCACCTCTGACTGCAGCGCGTTGTTCCGGGACTCCAGGTCCATGATCTGCCCGTGTTAGACTGTGAAGAAAAAGAGCGGAACAGACCCCCCCTCTCCATGACGCCAGAACTCCTCCCGGCTGCCCACCTTTCGCTGTAACCGTACAACGCTCGTCCATTTCTTCTCCAGCAGCGTCTCGTACTTCTTGGCCGTCGTGGCGTCATACTGGGACTCGTCCAGATTGAGCTCCTCTCGCAGGGCCGCCGCGCTGGCTGTGTAGTTGTTCGCCGCAAGATACGCAATCATCGACTTGTGTCTGGTTCGAGGCGAGGCGAAGAGAAGGTGAGGGGAAGCCCTTGTGTTAGTTGTGTTGCTGTTTGCCAGCCCGGACGGCAGGGAAAAACGTACAGCTCTTCGGCTTGGCGGCTAGTCAAAAGACTCATCGTGATGAAAGCAGCGCTTCCAGACGGGGGATCGCTGCGTGCACTGGCAGTAGACGTTCGGAGGTGATGATATGGGGGGGGGTCGTTCCTCTGTGGGCTCCCCTTCTCTTTAGCGACGTCCCTTGATTTTAGTTGGACAACCAGTGGAAAAAGGTAAATCCGACCGATCTGGGGGATGGAGACGTCTGGAGAAGGCACGCCTTTCTTGCGAGGCAGGAGCCCTGTTTGTCGTGCCTGCAGAATCGGGAGACCGGCCAGTGAGGTCGGTTTGGAAATAAGGACAGGCCACGGCAACAAAGAGAAGGGGCAGAATCTGTCGCAGCATGTAGACGGCCAAAATCCGCCGGCAGTTCGTTCGGTCACAGTGGGGCCCTGGTTTTGCGCGCCTAGAGCTTAGGTGTCACATTAGCTGGGCGAGAGCTGGATGCCAGGAACTCAGGACGGAGTGTGACACCGCATAAGCTCCCGGCTGCCGGCTGTCCAATTGATTCGTCTGTGCTGCTGTTGTCACAGCACACCTTCTTGCGCACTCGTGTTTGTATTTCTAGCAATACTGGGTCTCGGGCTGCTCGAGACGCTACAAAAGTACAGGGCAAAAAAAAGAGAAAACGGCGAAAGGGACAAACAGAGCATACAGAAAACATGTGTCGCTCTCTCTTTCTTCAGCCATACAAGGCTGTAATCGTTAGATCCGTCCGATATTAGCCATTCCAATCAGCATCCAGTTTCCAGTTTCCAGCGTCCCTATTTCAAAGCATTTTTTTGTTGAAATTGTGGGGTTTTTCAAAAGTTCAGGTTCCATTGGTGTTTTCCGTCTCGCAGAAAGGCTCTTACAGCCTGCTGCGCTCAAGAGGGCGGTCCTCAACGCTGCCATGCAGTCAATGGGGCGTTAGGTCGAAACGGTCCGCATTGGCGACCTTGGTCCAGGCGGCGACAAAGTCGCGCACAAACTTCTCGCCCGCATCGGCGCTGGCGTACACTTCGGCGATAGCGCGCAGCTCGGCGTGCGAGCCGAAGATGAGGTCGACGCGCGACGCCTTCCAGCGCGGCGTGCCCGTGGCACGGTCGCTGCCGACAAAGAACTCGTCCGCGTCGGCGCCGCTGCCGGCTGGCTTCCAGACTGTGGCCATGTCCAACAGGTTGACAAAAAAGTCGTTGGTCAGCACGCCCGGCCGCTTAGTCAGCACACCGATCGCCGAGCCGTCAAAGTTGGCGTTGAGCGCGCGCAGGCCGCCGAGCAGCACCGTCAACTCGGGTGCGGACAACGTCAGCAGCTGCGCGCGGTCGATGAGCAGCTCCTCGGCACGTGCACGAGCCGTCGACTTGCCGTAGTTGCGGAACGCATCGGCCACCGGCTCGAGGTAGCCGACCGACTCAATGTCCGTCTGCTCCTGCGTGGCATCGCCGCGACCCGGCGAGAAGGGCACCTTGACAGACGTGTAGCCGGCCGCATGGGCGGCCTTTTCGATGGCCGCAGCACCGGCCAGCACGATCAGGTCGGCCACCGACACCTGCTTGTCGGTGCTCTGCTGGGCCGTGTTGAACTGGGCCTGAATCTTCTCCAGCACGGCTAGCACCTCAGCCAGCTGGGCCGGATTGTTGGCCACCCAGTTGCGCTGGGGCAGTAGGCGAATGCGGGCACCGTTGGCTCCACCGCGCCGGTCACTGCCGCGGAACGTCGAGGCCGACGCCCAGGCGGTACGGATGAACTTGGCCGGCTCGACGCCAGAGCCCAGGATGGCCTGCTTCAGCGCAGCAATGTCGGCACTGTCGATCAGTGTGTGGGTCACTTCCGGGATCGGGTCTTGCCACAGCAGCACCTCCTTGGGCACTTCGGGACCGATGTAGCGCGTGCGCGGGCCCAGATCGCGGTGCAGCAGCTTGAACCAAGCGCGGCCAAAGGCGTCGGCGAACTCGTCTGGGTGGTCTTTGAAGTGTCGCGCAATCTTCTCGTAGGCCGGGTCAAAGCGCAGTGCCAGATCCGTCGTCAGCATGCGCGGCCGGTGCTTCTTGCTCTTGTCAAAGGCGTCTGGGATGATCTCGCCACCGTTCTTGGCCACCCACTGGTTGGCGCCACCCGGGCTCTTCTCCAGTTCCCACTCGAAGCCGAAAAGGTACTCGAAGAACTTGTTCGTCCACTTGGTCGGCTCCGACGTCCAGGTGACCTCGAGTCCGCTCGTGATGGCGTGCGGACCGGCACCCGTGCCCAGCTTGCCGCGCCAGCCGAGGCCCTGCTCTTCAAGCCCGGCTGCTTCAGGCTCGGGGCCCTGTAGATCGCCGCCGCCGGCGCCGTGGGTCTTGCCAAAGGTGTGACCGCCGGCGATGAGCGCCACGGTCTCCTCGTCGTTCATGGCCATGCGGCCAAAGGTGACGCGGATGTCATGAGCTGCAGCCAGCGGATCCGGCACCGCGTTAGGGCCCTCGGGGTTGACGTAGATCAGGCCCATGTGGGACGCAGCAATGGGCTCCTCGAGCCCGCCAGCATGCTCATGGGGGTCTTTGCTGTCGCTGACGGCGGCATAGCGCACGTCGTTGGCCATCCAGGTAGTCTCGCCGCCCCAGTACGTAGCCTCGTCGGCCTCCCAGGTGTCGGCACGGCCGCCAGCAAAGCCAAAGGTCTTGAAGCCCATGTTCTCGAGAGCGACGTTGCCGGTCAGCAGGATCAGGTCGGCCCACGAGATCTTCTGGCCGTACTTCTGCTTGACTGGCCACAACAGCCGGCGGGCCTTGTCGAGACTGACGTTGTCCGGCCAGCTGTTGAGGGGGGCAAAGCGCTGCTGGCCCTGGCCGCCGCCGCCACGACCGTCGGTGACACGGTAGGTGCCGGCGCTGTGCCAGGCCATGCGGATGAAGAGGCCGCCGTAGTTGCCAAAATCGGCTGGCCACCACGGCTGCGAGTTTGTCAGCACGGCGTTGATGTCCTTCTTGAGGGCCGCGTAGTCGAGGCTCTGGAACAGCTTGGCGTAGTCGACGTCCTTGTCGAGCGGATTAGAAGCGTCCGTGTGCTGGCGTAGGATGCCGAGACGCAGCTGGGCCGGCCACCAGTCGCGGTTGCGTGTGCCGTTGCCGGCGACATTGTGCACTACGGGACACTTGCCCTCGGCCATGTTGCTGGGTCGAGACGAGGAGAATGGGTGGCTGTGTTGTGTTTGGAGAGAAGATGTGTGAGGCAGACGGCTCAGACGGGTCAAACGACAGAGACGAGGAAGTCGGGTGCTGTGATACATGAGAAGACGGCCTGCAGCGTTGAATATGTAGCCGGAATGAGAGAGGCAGAAAGAATGGTCCACACGATACCAAATTGTGACCCAGAGACCCCGCACTTTATGCACGCACAGTGGCAATAGCCCCCTCCCGATTGGCAGGTGCTTGCGCCATCACTGCCTGTAGGGCAGGTGGGTCGGCCTTTGTGGTGCCTATGGTGCGATTCCAGTGGTCCGTAGCGCCTGATCTCGGCCTTTGAAAATCAAGCTACAGCACAAAGGGGCTCCAGCGACGGCGGCCCCACAAGACCTGGCATGAGCTATCACTACAGTAGCACGTTCAAGTTTTCAAAACACGCACACACGCACGTACGCGCACGCTTGCGAGAGCACCGCGCAGCAGCAGCGAGAAATGTATGTCATCTTCACGGGTGCCTGCACGGCACAAAATGCGACTGCCACGCGGTATCACGTGGTATCAATCCGAGTAGATCTCGGGGTTTGAACCCCACCCACACCGCCATTCGACAGAAAGGCCGCAGCGGCAGGAGCATTCGGCAGTGGTTACCAGGTCTGGAACGTTTCGAACCGGCGTCTGTTGGCGAGGGGAACACACAACCGTCAGGGCCAAGCAAAGAGGGGAAGACACGGAGGAGCAGAGGCTCTCCCCGAAGAAATCCCGAGAGGATAGGAACAGCGGAGCTGCACAACATCTGTTCTGTCAGAGAAGAGCCAACAGCCCCGTGCCGGCCTGCTCCTGTAGTTCTTCCCCGCATCCTAGATCCCGGGGTCCCGTAACAGGATGGAGCAAGACCAGCGAGCGAATGGGGGACGCTGGAATAGGATCACCTGTGATGCTTTGCTTCAGTTCCAATAGCGCCATGAGCAATGGTCATCGTTGTGGGGATGACGCGGGGAAGTGGCCGTGGATTGCCTTGTTCGTCGAATGAGTTGGTGCCTGTTTGTTGCAAACGGGCGCTCCATTTGTGGATGCCTTCTGTGGATAATTGAAGTGGTTCCCAGTTAATAATCGGCATACAACTATCTACATCCTCGGTAGCTCTAAGTTCTCTTGCCTATAAGCTGACGTAACCCGGAAGACGGGAAAGCGCATCCGTCCGTGTCAGCGCTCCTGCCATATTCCCTGTTAGCCCAATTGACTTGACTTCTCACATAAGCTTTACAAAAATGCGAACAACGCAACAATGCCCGTCAGACACGGCGTTGGCTGTCCGGATATATTACTATTAACTATGTTAATTTCATGAGTATCGTGAAATTGCATTCATGAGAACCGAAATCTCGCAATTCATCTTTCCCAAGACTCGAAGAAAAATCGTTACAAAGAAGTGAAAAGAAACCAAGCCGGCAGTCCAGCATGGCGATCAACGGTGGTATTCGGCTGGCAATTCCGCAATGTCGCCAGCCGGGAGTTCGACCGGAGCCGGATACTCGTTGGGGTGAGTAGCGCCGCCCAGCTCGGCAGCAGCAGCATGATCGTCTGGATGGGGTGTTCCTTTCAGCTCGGCAGCATCTGGGGTTTCGTCTGGGTGAGGCGTGCCCTTCAGCTCGACGGGGGGACTCCCGACCGGGGCAGGGGACATGGGCGAAGGGGCGTTTCCGGGGGTGTTGGTAGCAGCAACGACGGCCTCCTCAGGCTGGTAGGGCGCCTGTCTCCGCTTCCGCCTCCACACGGCCCAGGCAGCCACGAGGACGAGGACGATGCCCACAACGACGCCCACAACGATGCCCGCAATGGCACCACCGCTGATAGAGCTGCCGGACGACTTCTTGCTGCCGATCGTGCCAGCTGCTGTGGCCGTGGCCGTGCCCTGGCTCGAGCTCGTTGTGGAGCCAGGCCGGGCTGACGACGACGTGGAGGCCGTGAGCCCGGTGGCAGTCGAGGCCGACACGGTCGTGCATTTGGTCGAGGCGGTCGTGATCTGGGTCGCGGTTGTCTCGCCCGGGGCCAGGGTCGAGCCGTAGTCGGTGCAGCCAACGCCCTGGCCGGAAATGGACACGCCAAATTCGTCGCTCTCACAGCACCAGGACCCGTTGACGGCACTGCCAGTCGCCCACATGGTCCAGTCTGTCAGGGGACACTGCAGACAAACACATTGGTTAACGCCAACTCCCAGAGGATCTCCCGGCTTGCGAATCCGGGTCAGCTTACCTGTGGCACATTCTGGAGGTCGTCCCAGCAGTCCACGTCCTCGCTAGGACAACAGTACGCCGAGCTGTTCTCCCAACAGTGGAGCGAGTCAGGACAGCATCGAGCCTCCTGCCCTCCACCACACTCGGTCGTGTTGCTGGGACAGCCAGTCGGATTGCGCAGCGCGTAGCCGCCATCAAAATCACAGGCGGTCGCGTAGACGGCCGGGAAGAGTGAAGACAGGGCTATCAGGGCGCCTGCCACGGCTGCAAATGATGTCATTTTTCTTCGTAGAGTTGAGTTGTGAACCGGAACAGAATTTGCCGGGCAGCTTGGAGCACGGAAAGGTCGAGGTGCCGACGGTTGAGTTTAGACTGCACCAAACAACAAAGCGAGCAAGGAAGTAAGGGAAAGGGCGCAGGATCATCTTTACATACTGCGGACAGGCTTGTATTATCTTACATCCAAAAGTAGCAGACACAATTTGGGCTAACATGTCTCCACATTGTGGATTGGATGCTCAATATGGCAGATATTGAACTTTTGTTGACGAGTTCGCTTTCCTATTCGGCCTTGGCTTTGGAGCGAAGGATCGCAGAAGACCACGATGGGCCTATTAGCCAGCACACCGTCGGTGGCAGATATGACTTGTGCCCGTGGTAGCCTGAATACTCCTGCTGTGCACGTACGAGCGTGATTCTCAGTACGGAGTAGGGTTGAAAGAGCTAGAGCATAGCAGCTAGCAACCAAGGGTCGCTTGGCCCTTGGCGGCCGACAGTTCCCTAACTGCAGCGGACAATTATGCAGCAGTTAGAAAGCAGCACAGCTATGTTTTCATCTCAAGTTGCATCAGGGAGTCGCAGTATTATCATGTGGCAGGATCCAGACAAAAGTGGCACGGTGCGTATCTTGCACCAGTCCTTGAGGCCAATCGTGTTAGCACTAAACAGATCTCTCTTGGCGATCGAAAAATGAGTCTGAATTCGTCTAGCTCGACACTCCCTATGTACCCACTCGCTCACCCCTTTCCCGTGTTAGGGTCAGTGCTTTGGACAGGTCACACTTGCTCATCGGATGAATGGCCAGATCGAGAGCTCAAGGATCGCAGGTGGTCTTGCAGGAGACTACATAGTAATCTTTGCTCGTACATATATATTGCCTGGTATTTCACGCGTGACTTCTCACGTGCAGTCTCGCCTTTGCGCACTACTCCTGTAGAGATGCGGAAGCCCGACATGACACGTCAGAAGTAGCTGCAGCCAATTAATGCTGGTCGGAAGCTCGTCGGGCATCAAAGTCTGCCTTGCGATGCTCGCCTTGTGTTTGCCCCGCCCTCTCCCCCGCTCATCTTCGTTCTGAAACCTTTTCGTGACTTGACCTATCGTGCCCTCTCCCAAAATCGTATTGTATATTGCCATCGATCTCCTTGCATACTGCGAGCTCGGCAGCTAAGTCGTCAGGAAATACTGCACTGATATATATCTGTGCTAGATATTACAATGTGGTGTATCAAGATCTTGCGAAAAAAGCGCGGCACAGGTCCAGGTAAGCACTTCGGCCCTTCCCATTGATAACAACACCAGTCTCAAACATGTGCCAGAACTCCCTTTCCCCGATGGCGTGAAGGTTCTTCATGACTGCCCCGACGCCGCGGTTGACATTTGCTTTGTCCACGGCCTGACCGGTAATCGAGAAAGCACCTGGACCGCCAAAGGTCAGACCAAGCCTTGGCCAAAAACCCTCCTCCCACAAACGCTTAGCGATGCCCGCATATTGACGTACGGCTACGATGCGTACGTGGTTCGAGCGGGAGTTGCGGGGTCGAATCGGCTGATCGATCATGCGATAAACCTTCTGCACGACTTGGTTGCAGAACGGGCCAGTTGCGGTGCATCAAGTCGCCCTCTCATCTTTGTCGCCCACAGCCTGGGCGGCCTTGTCTGCAAGTTGGCCATCCTTCGCTCGCGAAACAATGCCGAAGATCACCTTCATGGAGTCTTCGACTGTGTCAAAGGTGTTGTATTTATGGGAACACCTCATCGGGGCGCTTGGATGGCCGATTGGGCCAAGATACCTGTTTCTGCTTTGGCTGTTGGGAAAACTGCAAACACGAAGCTCTTGGACATTTTACAGAGAGACAACCAACTACTCGAGTCTATACAAAGTGATTTTGTCGGCATGGTACGGGAGCTACAGCAAAGCGGCAGGAGATTTGAGGTTGTATGCTTTTTCGAAGAAATACCTCTGCCCGTTTTCGGTAAAGTCGTGTCTAAGGATTCGGCTACTTTTGATGGCTATGACCCGATTACCATCCACGCCAACCATATGGACATGGTTCGGTTTGCCTCGGCGGAAGAGAATGGCTTCAAGAGATTGAATGGAGAGTTGACAAGATGGAAAGGGCAGATTGGTAAGGAAAATTAGGACTTGTTTGTTACTAGGAACCTATACCAACTGCAAGAAACAGATTCGTCCAAGCCAGCACCACAGCTGTCGGAAATCGAATCTCGCTGCCTAAAGTCACTAGCGTTTCCAGCGATGCATGATCGCTCCAATGACATTGACCGCGCTGCCGGTGGAACTTGCGAGTGGCTGCTTCAGCATGAGCAGTACACAAGCTGGGCGTCTCGCGACCAGGGCTTGATGTGGATCAAGGGAAAGCCGGGCTCTGGGAAGTCGACTCTGCTCAAACATGCTCTTGGCAATCAACGAATTCTTTCTAGCGCCAAGAAAGACGATCTGGTGCTGTCTTTCTTCTTCCACGATCGTGGTGACAGCCTCCAAAGGACTCCCCTCGGCTTTTCCCGATCTCTCATCCACCAGGTCCTCAGCCAGTCTCCCGTTGCCCTTTCAGATTTAATCAAAACATTCAAGAGAAAATGCGTGGAGATAGGCGAGCCTGGCAACAAGTGGGATTGGCATCAAGGAGAACTGCAGCGCTGTTTTGAGTCGTCTATTTCAGCTGTTCTGAAGGAACGCTCGGTTTGGCTATTTGTCGATGCCTTGGATGAATGCGGCAGAGACAGCGCGGTCGAGCTCTTCCAGTGGTTCAAATCATTGCTTCAGACCCTTCCTCAAACGCTGCGTTTTCACATCTGCGTTACCTGCCGCCACTACCCGATCATAGGCCAGACTTGCGACTTTGAGATATGCCCAGAGAAGGAAAACCACAAGGACATTTCCTTGTATGTGCGAACCCAGCTGTCTGGGGCGCGTGAGTTGGCCGAATCGTCGATTCCGTCCCTGCTCACCAACGCGGCCTCCGGCGTGTTCATGTGGGCCCGTCTTGTTGTAAAGCAAATCCTGGACCTTGACAATGAGGGGAAGGGACTAGAGGAGATCAAGCAACGGATCAGCGACATCCCTCCGGAACTAGGTGCTTTATACCGCAAGCTCGTCGAAGACATGCAAGAGAAGCAGGCTTCACTAAAGCTGATCCAATGGGTCCTCTTTGCGACGAGGCCGCTGAAATTGAAGGAGTTACGATGGGCTATGGCAATCGAACCTGGTAGTCCACAACGATCACTGGAAGAATACCAAAAGAGCAAAGAGTTCGTCACTAGCAGCGACAGAATGAAACGGCGATTAGAAGCGCTAAGCTGTGGGCTTGTTGAGGCTATTGCGTCATTTGGCAATGATGAAGACGAATATGACTCAGATGACTCAGACTGTTTTATCTCAGGCGCAAACTCGCCACTTGACGTCCAAAACGTCCAGTTTATCCACCAGTCCGTCAAAGACTTCTTCATGGACAATGGCCTATTAGCCCTAGACGACAGCTCGGCATCGTATAAGGCAGCAACCGGAAAGTCGCACTATCAGTTATCTCGGACCTGCTTACGCTATTTGATGACAGAGGAGATCGAACAATCAAAGGGCTTTAAGAAAGACGTGTTGATCGCCGACTTTCCTCTGCTGAAGTATGCCATTAAATCATGGCTGGTGCACACAAAGAGAAGCGAAGATCAAGGTGTTCCTCAAGATGATCTTCTGGAATTGACTGCTTGGCCATCAAACAGTTTCACGGCGTTATGGAGGCTATTAGACGGCAAGCTAGAATTCGGAAATTATTATGCAACAGAAGGTACAGGTGCGACTACTCTCGTACACGTTGCAGCGATATACGATATAACAGGACTTTTGTCTTCCATTCTGCAAAAAACCAACCAGTCCACTCTCGTCGATTCAAAGGACAATAATAGCCGGACGCCACTGTTGTGGGCCGCTTGGGGAGGGCACGAGGCTGTAGTAAGGCTACTACTTGCTACTGGCCAAGTTAACACGAATTCGAAGGATGATAGTGGCCGGACGCCACTGTCGAGGGCCGCTTGGGGAGGGCACGAGGCCGTAGTAAGGCTACTACTTGCTACTGGCCAAGTCGACACGGATTCGAAGGATGATAGTAGCTGGACGCCACTGTTAAGGGCTGCCATTAAAGGGCACAAGGCCGTAGTAAGGCTACTACTTGCTACTGGCCAAGTTGACACGAATTCGAAGGATAAAGAGGGCCGGACGCCACTGTTGTGGGCTGCCGAGGAAGGGCATGAGGCTGTAGTAAGGCTACTACTTGCTACTGGCCAAGTCAACACGGATTCGAAGGATAATAATGGCCGGACGCCACTGTTGAGGGCCGCTTGGGGAGGGCACGAGGCCATAGTAAGGCTACTACTTGCTACTGGCCAAGTTGACACGAATTCAAAGGATGATAGTGGCCAGACGCCACTGTCGAGGGCCGCCGGGGAAGGGCACGAGGCCGTAGTAAGGCTACTACTTGCTACTGGCCAAGTCGACACGGATTCGAAGGATAATAATGGCCGGACGCCACTGTCGTGGGCCGCCAGAAGAGGGCACAATCGGATTGTAGAGATATTATCTAAGATGGCTTAAAAGTAAGGGATTTGTATAGGCCTAGAGCTGCCGTGAATGTGTGAATAAGAGCAACAGTGTCTTGTCTATAATTATTTGATAAGGAAAATTACACTACTTATAACTTGCTCATTAATATATTTCGATAGTATAAAGACCGCAAAGATCGGGACCGGTTGTAACGCCGCCCCAGGAAGGGGACCGACGCAGGCTACGCGCAAGCCGTACGCAGTATGCGCACAGCGTATTAGATGCACATCGTGAACTAGAAGCGGTGCTTGTGGCGCAGGCTGCGTGGCGCAGTCTGCGCACAGGCCACAGCACGTGCTAGCGCACGGGCCAAGTAGAAACGGGGTCGCGCCTGTCCTGCGCACTTGGTGCGCCAGAGGTGCGCCTACGATAAAGAGCGCCTCCCGCACTCCCTTAGAGTGCAGAAGGCAAGAATTAGCTATTGAATATACGGCTGCTTCCTCCTGTTAAGAAGATACCTCCTTGCCTGCCTGACTTACCTGGCCTGCCCAAGTACACCTTTAACACCGGTGCAGCTTTAGCTGGCTGATTTGTATTATTGTCGTTAGCATTACCCGTTAGACATCAAAACCATTTTCTTCGTTTCTATAAGCAGCGTCCTATACGTATCCTACCACCGTTCCGACGGCCTCTCTTAGCAACAACACTCGATCGGTCTAAGGCGGCTGGACAACCCTGAAAGGAACGACCCTCTTTACAAGCATAGCGTTGTAGATGGAATATAGATGTAGTTTGGTAGTGGCATAGGATCCTATTTATCTTGGCCAAATCTGTATGCCTTATACAAGAGCACAAACTTCTAAGGCTCTAATATGTCTTTTCTGTTGTCTGTTTTTTTCCTATGGTATAAGTCTCTGGGAACACGGATTCCTCCTAGCCACGGGGTATAATTTGCCCTTCTGGAACTGTCCTGTACCGACGTGATGACTAGGTACAGCCAGCACCAACCTCACGTCTCGAGTTTGTCTCTAACCCTAATTCCATAAACTAAAGTTTCCCGTCAACAGCAGGGACAGCAGTGCAGAGGGAAAAAAGTTGGGCTTCCAGTCTTGTGCATAGATGATACCAATCTCACTTTGATTCTCTGGTTCTATCTGGGGCCACCTTTTAGCCAGCTTCATTGACAATGAGTAGTCTGGCATGCTCGGACGCCTAAGTGCTCCCGTTGTGAGGTCTTGGATGCGCATGTCTAAAACTCGACCGGCCGACTACGAAGCCGGTGCTCTCTCAAGGTTTGAGTCCATTAAACTCACCTGTTGGACATCATTAACCGCTCCGACCCAGACCCGTCAATGTCCAGCTCGCAGTAAGGTCCATGTCTATTTGACCAGGATGACGCACGCACCTTCCAAAATATAGCTGGCGCTGTTCATTTTCTCGTTCGGCTCGAGTAACGAGATAGCTCAGATGCCACACCAACCGTATTTATACTGAGTGATATACGCATTCATCCCGGATCCAACAGCCGACAACGTCTGTGTGGCACACATGGTATAGTTCGTCTTCTGAGGCATTACGGTCGGTAATTAGCGAGTACAATATGTCAATTTGCGTAGCATTTCGTCCATGGTGCCAAAGTGCGTGTCTAGCGGCACGTCTTGCGTCTCGGGATGGGCGAAATGTGTGTCAATGCGACTCGGCATCGTCGAATGCATAGAGTTGTAAAGGAATAGAGGGAATAATAGACGCTGCTCTCTAGAAACCTCAGTGACATGGCTTGTCTTGCATCAGACTTCCACCTAGCGATAATGCCTCGTCTTAGAGATTTTACGCTGAGTGTGTTTCGATAAGAAGACAAGTATAAATTTGTAAATAAAGATTTCCTGGTTGCATATATCTAGTTACTTCGTCAGTATTTCCTACTCGATCGACAGATTATTGCCCTTGAACGGCGGAGAGGACACTGATTTCTTAGAAACAAACTGCAAATAAGACTGCTCTGCTCGACTACAACCCCAAGTCCATATACTTCGCCCTGAGCCCCTTTTTCCAGTCCTCCAGCCTGATCGTGTCGCTTCCCATCGGCAGTGACCCCTTGGGCACGGTCTTGGCTGCTTCATCATCCCACTTTGGCAGATACACGAAGTGGTGGGCTTTATTGCACACGGACGGGGTGGACCTGCACAGCTCGCCCTTCTGGAGCCGCTGATAGCACTTTTCGTCAAACGAGACCGTGCCGACGCAGTCACAGCACATGTATGCCTGACTGGCGTACAGAAACTCTTCATTGCAGCCGCCACATATGAGCAGTGCCACGGGTGCATCTGGAATAGAACCGAAGCTGACGGAGGAGGCATCATCGACATCTTCGGTCGCAACGGTTTCTCCGTCAGTGGTAACGTGGTCGCTCTCTACCGATCCGGAAACGCTTGTGTGTGCGTCCTCGTCTGTCGTGTCAAGCGTCGTAAAACTCGCATTCTCCCCGGCAGCGGACTCTGCACCTTCCCCATCGTCAACTTCCACCTCGGCAATACTGCCGCGACTCTCAGACATTTCCCCATCTGGAATCATCTCTTCCCACGCCCTACGTGCTGTTATCGCCTCGGTCTGGATCAGGTTTACAACCTGCCAAGCAGCGATTGTGTTTTCCTCATCGGCAAAGACATTGACCACTCCTGCCAGACACATCATGGCCCACTCATCGTTGGATGGATCATCATCACTCAGCATGGCCATGATGGCCTCCATCAGGTCAGCCACTGCCTTTTTGGCCTCAACCATGTTGCCCACCTGGACATGGTAGCGTGCAACACAGCACAACACAGTACGGTTCCACATAGGTGCCACATCGGGGAAGACGAGTGCCGTGATCTTGTCCAGCAACTGCGTCGCTTCCACTTCTTTGGCCTTGTCCTCTGGGACTCTCCCACCAGCTTCGCGCAGATGACGCAGCGCTTGCTCGAGGTAGATGCGTGATAGGTTGTTTGCAATTTCAGTCACGCTGCCCATCGCGATCCCGTCGCTCGGGTGAGCCACCAACACCTCGATGGCTGCGGCCCAGCTCGCCACCACGCCCGTCTCGTGCCTTTCCAGATCGGCGTCATGCTTGTATAGCATATCGCCGAGCGACTTGAGCATGCCAAACGTGCTATCCCAGTCTTCCCTTTTGCGAGCAATGCGTGTCGCCTGTGCAAACAGATTCTCCACTGTGTCCCAGCGGTCCAGTGCGTTGGCCGCTGCAGGAACCACGGCGTCAAACTTCGGGTTGGAGATCAATATGGTGTACAGCTCATTAAAGTATGGCGGCCACTGCTCAACACAATCCAGTATCCAGCCCAAAAGCGCAATAACTTCGTCCCAATGCTTCTCGCCGCTATACAGCAACAGTGCCTCAATGTACTCCCGGAAACGCGTCCCGCTGAATTTGAAGCTTTCCTGGTGGTGCTGAACTGCCTTTTCGAACTGCCCGGTTTTCCAGTACCTATGGCCCAAGCGGAGGTGGATATGAGCCAGAATGAGCTGGTGGTCTCTTGCTGCGTTCCAGCGCGTCTTGTCGCTGCTATTTTGTATTTTTTCGATGCTCTGAAGGGAACGTAGCAACAGATTGATACTGGCTTCGTCTTTTGCCTCGCTACAAGAGAGGTAATAGCACACAAGCCAATGACTGGGGTCTTTCTTCAGTGCTTTGTGTGCACGCCGGTCGGCTATCGTCTCGGCCTTGAGGTGGTTGCAGCTGTAGGATATGATGGCGGCCATCTGCACTTCCCACAGTGGTTCGCAAGCACCACTCTTCTCGAGCGCTATGGAAGCCCAATTCTCGATGCGCGTCAACTGCGCCAGGCTAACCTTTCGCTTCTCAATTTTCCTAAAAGCCACACCATCGAGTTCGTTAATGGCGTCGGCAGAGCGCGGAATCTCTGGCAGGTCGTCGTTGCCGTCATGTTGATCATTGCCATTGAGTGGACGGACAGTGCCGTCGTTTTCTGTGCCAACATCTCCTCTGTCACTACCGCCAGTCTCGAGCTGAGCTGGTGTCTGCACCGACCCCAACGTCACAGGCTTCATTTCTTGTCGTGGCAGCTTGTCCATGAATCCGTTCAAGAAAAACAGCCAGGTATGAGCCTCACGAAGCGAGCAGTGATCAAAACACAGCAGTTTCTGAGCCAGTCGCTTTGCTGCCGGCTTGAACAGCACCTCGTGCCGGTTGGCGCCCTGCTTTGTGAAAGCGGCCACGAAGGCGCCTTCCCTTGTGTTGGTAGCGATTTCATGCACCACGTCGGCGTCACAAAACCACTTTAGCAGGATGTCCACACCGTCGAAGCTGTACAACCAGTCGACGCGCACGAGGCGGAGGAACCTGTTCTCTTCCATCTCCCATCTCTGCTGCGAGACCGTGTCACACTCGATCCAGAACAGCGCATCGATGCCGACATCTCGCGTGAATAAAGCGACCAACAGCTGTCCCGTGGCCGCTTTGAGCCCCTTGTCTGCCCTGTCGAGGTCGGTCTTGCAGAGGTGCTTAAGCAAGTTTACCCGTGCATAGTGGCGAATGGCAGCCGTGGGCTTGTCCTTTGGGCTCGTCAATACCATGAGGCTGGAGAGGGCGATGCGGATATGCATATTGTCTGGGTCGCTGCAGATATCCGTGCTGTGAAGCGGTGGATCGGCCTTGTGTGCAAAGAAATGATCAAACTGAAAGCGTCCATACAGGTCCGGCGGGCAGAAGGTGATGAGTAAGTGCTGAACAAGGGAAATCTCGCCGTTCGTGATGCGCTTTGGGGAGGTTGACGATGCAGACACCGTGCGGGCGGAGATCGCTGTCTCGACCTCATCGGAGCGGAAATTCACGTTGCCGCTGGAGTCAATCTGAAAGATGGGATACTTGTTTTTGATCTTGACGTCAAAGAGCAAAAGCGATGTCATCGCTGGCCCGTTATTGTGCTTCACAGCCAGGACGGCCTCCATGGCCTCGACCGAGAGCCACGATTCGCCACCTTGAATCCACAAGATGATCTCGTTGATCTCTATGCGTTCTTTGAGCGTCCGCGCGCGGTTGAGCCGCTCGATTTCGGCAACAATCTGGTTCGCACGCGTACCGTGGGCATTATCGAGCACCGCCTGGATGTCGTCCACGAAGTCGGCATTGGCGATGGCGTCCAGACTCGTGACGAGCTTGCAGTAGTCGCCGTCACACTTTACCTGGAGCTCCTCTCGGATTTTTCTTCGCCACTCATCAATGCCGGGGCGTGTTGAGTCCTTGAGGATGTCCATCTGGTTCATCCGGTAGCAGATGTAGCTGGCAATGTCCTTGTCGTTGCTGTGAACAGGGTGCTTGTCTTTCTTTCCGTGCGCAATGCCCTTTTTTTTTCTGCCGTGAATTTCAATGCATCGGAAGTCGAGGGAGCCCAACTGGTTCTGTAGTTTTGGTGTCGTTGTCAGGAACACGCGAACTCGGCGTTCGGCCTTGTCTGCGCTGATACGCCGCAACAGTGGCAGCACAAGCGACATGTCATCCAGCCCGTCGACAAAGAGATAGAAAACAGTATCTGTCTTCTGGCGCTCGGCGTTGTTCAGGAACAGCTTGCTCCACATGTCGACAGCGCCGACCAGATCCCGACCCTTCTCACACATCTGTCCAATGGACCGCGTCATCGTTTCAGAGCCGACTGCACATTGCCACAAAAGACTGCGCGACACTGCCTCAAGGATGCTGACGCCATCCCGCAAACCCGCCTGCTTCGGGTCAGGCTGCACGAAAAAGTACGACAACACTGCCTTGGACGCAATGCCATCCATCTTGCCGAGGTACTTGATCACGTTGGCCATCATGAATGTCTTGCCAGACCCGCGCTCTCCGTTCAGTAATAGTATCGGTGGCACTTCCCGGTTGCTGGCACCGGTGGCCCACTGCATAAAGGGGCCATCGGCGTCGTCCATGATCCACTGGCCGGTGTCTTCCAGCAGCGACAGCAGGTTCTTGTACTTGTTGAGCATGGTGCGCCACTTGGCCACCGGCTCCGAGTCAGGGTCCAGATCACCAGGTTCAAATCCCAGAGTCTTGGCAATCGTTTTTCGCCATCGCCTGCCTTCGCTCTCCTTCTTCTGGTCGTTATTGTCCTTGGCCAGTCCCTTCAGGCTGGCGCTGTTGTCGTTGGTGGAGTTGAAGACCTGCGCGAGCACCAAGCCGCGCTCCTTGTCGAAAAGCTTGCCCATATCGGTCAGATGCGAGCGGACTTCGTCGTCGTTGAGGAAAAGCATCTTGGTAAAGGCCAGAAGCTTGACGTGCTTCTTGCGCAGACGTATGCTGCGGTCGCAGATGTCCACAAACAGATTCAGATACTGCACGGCCACGCGCGTCAGCTTAACGTCCATGTAGGCTTTGTAGTGATCCAGCCGCTCAAGAAACTCGACACAGCGCTCCAAAAGGTCTGCCAGGTTCTCAAAGATGCCGACATAGCCCTGCCACGCCTGGATGACAAAGGTGAGCGCGTTGTAGCATGTCTGTGCCGGCTCGAACACGGTCGACACTCCATCAGCAATAATGCCGCCGATGTTGCTGATGCAGCGCAGCGTCGTACTGATGGCTTTCTCCACGCGCGCGTACTTGACTGTCTCCTTTTCGCTGTACTCCTTGGACTTCTTCATGATCTTGAGCACGCCGTCAATGTCGAGGTTACGCTGCAAGCTCGGTACCTGGCCGGCCAGCGAGAGAGTTCTCGTCTCGGCCAGGCGCTGCACGCGGCTCTCAACATCTTTCCACACCTTGCTGAGCTCTCGGTAGTCCTCGCTGTCGCGGTCGATGCTTGACGCAAAGGCAACGCTTACAGGGCCGCTACCCGTGGTGCTGGTAGCCGCAGTCGTCATGATTTGTGCTTTATACAGTCCACAGATTTTTTTAGGTTGTTCGTGCTCGGATGGGTTCTTTGCATTGGATGAACCATGAAGCAGCGGTATATATAGCCGGAACATCTTTGCATAGATGCTTCACTTATTGTCTCATGGGCAGCCCTCGATGTCAGCATTCCGTGCGGCTGAAGTAAGAGCCGCATCCTCCGTATTCGTAACCAATCGGCGCGGTACGACCCTTACAGGGGGCTTCACGAAAGAAACAAGTCATATTTCACATACGTTTGCGAGGATATGTGTAATAATACGGAATAGTATCATACGAAAGGATTCCTTTACCCCGGACGTACGGAGAAAGCCGTACATAGTAGTATTGGAATTTGCACATGAGTAATCATGTCGAGGCAAAGAGCCCGTGCAAAGTGTAACTATGCAAGTGACAGCAACGTATCCGTGTGACTCCTTCTACGGATACACGGGCTTCGTATCGTTGTTCTGAATGAGAACAACGCACTGGACTTCCCGTGGTTCCACTCCCTGTACTCTATACGGAGTAAGCGAATACACGCTTCTGTCCATCCTCTCCCCTTCCACCGTCCGGACCCTACCGGACTGACAAGAGCTTCGCTCGGTCACGACGATTTTAGCAACGGCCAACAAATGCTCGGTGATTTTTTCGGACCGCGCCCTGAAGCTACGATGATAGGCGATTGATCTCCTATCCAGCTGAGAGGGTGCCATTTTATGTGCTACTGCATTTCTGAACTTCATTTTTTGTGTCAATGATTGCGTCCACGCACGCTGGTTGTTTGCTGCGTGACTATCCATGTGGACTGACCACTAGGCTGTCTTATCAGTAGACTATTACCGAACGTCCGCATACTTTTACCGCTGTACTGAACATGGCTGTGTTGACTTATCGTTTCCCGGGGACACCTTCCGTAACAATACATTATGTATCATAGACTGGTAATGTGTGTGGCGCAAGCTACCCGGCCTACCTAGTTGTATTCATACACGCTGGCACAGCGTGCAAGTACTTAAGCACATTAATACGTTAATACATACCGAGTACTCACTCAAGTGGCCAATAAGCCGATATCGTGCGACTGGGCCCACAAAGACTGCATTTGTAATTGCATGCCATCATCCTTGTGCATATTGACTAACCGTATTGGCTCTCTATGCCGCTGCTCCTCCTTCCCGTGTGAAGTTGACATACGTTGTGACCAGATAGCTGAGCCGCATAATTTTCCCCTCTTCTTGATCTTCTCCCTATTCTGTGCCTCGGTATTTCTATACCGATACGAATGTACAGCTGTTTGTCTACCTTTTTCTTCTTCCCTCTGTTTGGTTTGAGTTTTTGTTTTTGTTTTTGTTTTGTTTTTAAAAAACAGGAAGCTGCCGTCATGTTTTCCGACACAGGCAGCGGAACAGCAATGGCACCGGCCAGCCATACTAATGCTGCTACTATAGACGAGCCACTACTAGCGGCCGAAGGCGGTGTATGTGTAGAGAAATTGATGGAATAAGAACAAGGGCTAAGCTTCTTTTTTTTAGGTAGACAACTTGGATGGAGATGCTGATTCAGCTTTCGGAGACGAATATTCGTAAGTGTAATCTCTTCATCGCTGCATAATCTCAAACTCGCTCTCCGTAGTTTCATTTCGCCTTCCAGCCATACGTGCTTTTTTTACTATCAGCGGGCGGCCGAAGCCCTCCTACCTTTCATAACACGTTTATCACCAAGCTAACACGTCTTTAGACTTTCGACGGCATCTGTGACCAGCAGCATCTTACAGTACCGTACAATCCATGGACGGACCTTCCATAGCGACAAATACGCAAGCTTTTTTTTGCCAAACGATGGCCAGCAACAGGAGGCAATGGATATAATGTATGTTGTACCCATATACGCCCTTTCTTTCTTTACTATATCTTCCAACGGTTGACGTATACGGAATAGAAACCATGTCTTGACCCTACTACTAGACGGCGCTTTTTTCTTAGCGCCTGTTCCAGAGACGGTTAAAGTTCGTTCTTATAACGGATAATACTATTAACTTAAAGTAACCTAATCCCCTTACCGTTTACTAGAACATCCTTGACATCGGCACTGGTAGCGGCACCTGGGCAATGTAAGAAGGTCCCATTTTCGCGCATTCAAAGGGCCTATTTCTAACCCTATGCTTTCTAGCGACGTTAGCGACCAGTTTCCAAATGCCCAGGTGATCGGTACTGACATTTCACCCACCCAATCATTGTGGGTGCCGCCCAACACTAGATTCGAAATCGATGACGCGACGCAACCATGGACCTGGGATGAGAATACCTTTGACTTTATCCACGTCCGTTATATGCTAGGTGCTATCACGGACTGGGATGCGCTGTTTTCTCAAGCATACCGCTGCTGCACGCCGGGCGGCTGGCTTGAGTCGTGTGAGGTTCACCCTGAGCACCAAAGTGATGATGGGACGAACGAGTTGGCTCCGGTCTTGAAGCAGTTCTGGCAGCTGTATGAAGAAGGCATGCCCAAGATAGGCCGAAAGTTCTTTGTTGTCAGAGAGGGTACACAGCGCAAGGCCATGGAAAATGCAGGATTTACGAACATCACGGATAAGACCTTCAAGGTGCCGATGGGCGGCTGGCCTGCCGACAAGAAGCTGGCCGAGATTGGGCAATATAATCTTCTAGCGTTGCTAAACGACCTTGAGGGTATGTTTCTTGTTCTCTCTTTCTACGAAATCTTGCCCCTTATTGGAGGTGTTCCTACTAACTGTTATAGGATATACTACCTATCTGTGGAACGAAGTTTTACAGTTAGGCAAGGCCGAGTACCAGGTCTTTCTTATGGAATTGCGCAAGGCCGTAAAAGACAAGAGAATCCACACATATTACACTGTCCGCTACGTCTACGGGCAGAAACCGTATGAGTAGTAGTTTTGCAGCAGGCGGTCGTTAAAATGAAGAGTGTTTCAGTGTACCCAGTCAAGATAAACACGGTTCATCAAGCACTACAAAGACCATCTGCAGTCCATAGTGCTCGTATTAGAGGTTACAGCTGCAGCTGCCACAGGCGCCAGTCGTGTTATTTTGTCTCGCTGGCCACTATGACGCTGTGTCTTGTTGCACGACAATGTATGGGAGAACGGACAAAAGACAGATACGCCAACTGTTACGAAGTACTAATCACAAATTATGCCGGGACAAAGTGATCAATTCCTCAACAAGACAAAACCTTACAGTCTGCACGCAAACATACACTCGTTATCATTACACCTCTAGGAGGTTCTCGATGCAACTATATACAATTTGTGACCATCTCGACCTAAGCGGTGCGAGCGGTCAGGGTAGTGGTAGCCTTGATGTCGCGGCTGCTGAAGCCGACGTTGACGGTGAAGGCACCCTCGGGAATGAGCCACTGCTGGGACACGATGTCCCAGTAGCTGACATCGCGGCGCTGGAGCTCAAAGGTGACGTTGCGGATCTGGCCGGGGGCGATGGCGAGCTTGTCGAAGCCGCGCAGCTGCTTGGGCGGAGTGCCAGAGGGCGTGCTGTCGGGGAAGGTGAGGTAGAGCTGGGGAACGGCCTCGCCGGCGACGCTGCCGGTGTTGGAGACGGTGGCGGTGACCTCGTAGAGGGTGTCCCAGAGGGCCGGGTTGCCGCCGGGCTGGATGGGCAGGTTCTCAGGAGCAGCGGTGATGCTGGTGCTGGTGGTGACAGCATCGACGGCGAGGCTGCTGTCGATGGCAAAGGTGGTGTAGGAGAGGCCGTAGCCGAACTCGTAGCGGACCGAGATGTTGTTGGCGTCAAAGTAGCGGTAGTCGATCTCGAGGCGCTCGGTGAACCAGGACTGCCAGTCCTCGATGCCGGTGGTGTTGATGGCCGTCGTCGGCGGCGCGTTGTAGTCGGACGTGTTCTTGGCAATGGTGTAGGGCAGCTTGCCGGACGGGTTGACGTCGCCGTAGAGCACGTCGACGATGGAGTTGCCAGCCTCCTGGCCAGTGAAGTGGGCAGCCAGGATGGCCGTCACGTTCTCGTTGTCAGCAAACGGCAGCACGTTGATGCCGGACGACTGGGTCACGACGACCGTGTTGTTGCAGTAGGCGGCCACGGACTCGACGACGGCATTGCCGCTCCAGTCGAGCTCGAGTGACTCGCGGTCGGCACCCTCCTCGGCATAGGTCTTGAGGAAGACGAGGCAGACGTCGGGCGAGGGCACCCAGAGGCTGGACACGTCCGAGGCGGCCACAAGCGTGTTGTTGAGCCACTGCTGCACGAGCGCGCCGTCCTGGGCTGCACGGGTCTTGACGGCCTGCAGCGGCGACACGAGGTAGGACAGCCGGCCGGTGCCGGAGCCTCCACCGACGGAGAGGGTGCCGTACTCAAAGTTCGCCTGGTTGTAGAAGCCCTGGGTGTCGTCGCCGGCCGAGTTGCCGAAGATGGCAATGTTCCGGGGCGCCTTGAGCGGCAATGCACCGGCCGTGTTCTTCAGCAGCACCATGGACTGGGCCGCCTGCTTGCGGATCTTGGCCCCGTGGTCGGCCCGGACGTCCCGGCTGACTTCACCGGTGAGGTTCCAGTCCTGCAGCCACTCGGAGCGCGTGAAGAAGGTGTTGAGATCGGCCGTCGACGGGTCCACGGTCGGGAAGCCCTCGTCCTGGCCGAGGAAGAAGTAGGGTGTCAGGATGCGCAGCACCATGTCGTTGAGCCGCGACTCGTTGAGCGTGCCGTTGTTCACGGCCAGCGTCAGGTTCAGACCAAAGTACGACCGGCCCCCGTCGACCTCCATGCCGTAGTCGCCCATGCCGCCTGGCATGTTCATGTCCAGACCGCCCTCGACCGAGGCCAGACCCGAGTGCGTGCCGCCCCAGTCGGACTGCACGTAGCCCTGGAAGCCGAGCTCCTCCTTGAGCAGTCCGTTCTGTGCCTTGGAGTTCTGGCATGCCTGCGACCCGTTGATCCGGTTGTACGAGCACATCACCGATGCCACGCCCGCCCGCACCGCGTTTGCAAACGGCCACAGGTAGATCTCGTGCATCGTCCGGTCGTCCAGGTTGGCTGACACAGCCTCAAACGTGATCGTGTCGTTGGCATCGTATGTCGGGTTGCGCTGCGTCTCCTGCTCGTACGCAATGTAGTGCTTCGCCGTCGCCTGCACGCCCGCATCCTGGATGCCCGTAATCGTCTTCTCCATCGCCACACCCGTCAGGTATGGGTCTGCCGCAAAACCCTCCCAGTTCCGCCCGGCATAGGCTGATCGGCCCAGAGGACCGCAGACAGGTCTGTGCTTAGTCAGCATACAAGTCACGGGACCAGCTTCAAGACACCCCTTCCCAGACAACTTACCCCAGCATGACGTGGGCGCCCTTGGCGCGGAACTCCTGTCCCATGGACAGGCCGCGCTCGTACATGAGATCCCGGTCCCACGAGGCCGCAATGGAGACGCCGGCCGGGAAGACGCTGGCGTAGTCGGCCACGCGGATGGCCAATGGACCGTCCTGCAGACAGAGCCCCGGGAAGTTGAGGCGTTCGATGGGAACCGTGTTGCCGATGCAGGGTCCCGGGAAACCGGTGGTGAAGTTGGCCTTCTCGTCGAGCGTCATCTGGGCCAGGAAGGCGGACGCTTTGGCCAGCGCACCCTCCCAGCCACCCTTGCCCGTGGTGGCTGGTGACGGATAGACGGCCGGCGAGTGGCCATACTGGCCGAGGATCGTTGTGTTCAGCGGCTGCACATAGCTGAACGCGCTGCTGTCTCTGCTGCTGCCGCTGAAGTCCTGGCCACGTGCTCCGGGGAGCTGGGTGAGGGCCGACAGGGCAAGACACAAAAAGGCCGAAGTCATGACTGCGAGATGGGAGCGAGGCTTGATGGAGCAGGCAGTTGAGGCTGACTTCCAACCGTTCTAGCGAAAGGAACGATGTCCAGCCAGCTCTTATATAGAGGCCGTCGTGGTCGCCAACGCCAACCGGCTCCAGACTCCGCAACGACGAATTTCACGATCATGGAGAAGCGAGGCGTCCCACTCCGCTCGCCGGAGACAGCTGCTACAGACGCACGCCGTCTCGTCTGTCATCAGACCTGCCATCAGCAGCTGCCGGGCACATCGCGCTCCGAAACAGGGTGACTTGTGGTTAGTCCACTGTAGCTTGCGCAAAGCCGTGCCATGGCACCGCGAAGCTAAGCTGTACGGCTGGGTTGGAAGGGCCGATTAGCAGGGGCACAGGGTCATACGAAAGTCCAGCAGCAGCCATGGCCAAGGAGCAGTCGTGCTCTGTACTCACTATGTGGTATTAGTCTGCCAGCAGAAAAGGGCCGAGGCTCCACCTCAATGTGGAAAAAAGAAAGAGGGCTAAAAGTCTCTAGCCAACAGCAGCTTGGCAGCCGCTCTTCAGCCCGGCTGTCGTCCCGTTCACAGAAGCCGCGCAAGGCCAAGGCACGTGCTGGAACCTTGCCTTGTCTCTGCCTAGGAGCCGAGTTGCTCGCCTAGTCCTGGCAAATCCCGATCGTGTTTGGGATTGATCGGTCAATCTGCAAGTTTGGCGTTTTCAACCCCCCGCCGGGTTGCGGTTAAATTACAGTCATCTGTCACCTCATGTGGGGAGACAGCGGGGAACTAAGTCTCCCCACGTCCGTTCAGTCACCCCTGCTCGTAAAAACCCGGCATTTAGGCAGATTATAAAGTGGTGCACACATTTACGGTTACTAGCATCTCGTGGGGAACTGCCCCAACTGACCACGAGACCGGTCCCACTGAACCCATACCCCATAACGGGGCGACATACCATGTAGCGTGACTTTCTGGTAAGATACTTGGACTAGCTTAGTACTCGTACTGACGTTCTCGTACTACATACCAGCTGTACGTGCAATGTGGGTATTCACCTCCGCGTTTCTCGTAAAGGCGAAAGCTAGTACCGAGATACAACCGCTTGCGAGGCCTTGGCGCTAATCCTTTCCCGACCCGGTCCTCCGGAGGTTGGGGTTGTGCAGTGCAAAAACTGCCGGTCCCACCCTCAGACCTCGGTTGCTACGATGTCCAATGTAGCATCACATACCCATACCTTACGAGAACAGCCCGATACATCCTCTGATCCTCCCCGCCGTTGCACAAGCTACGTTCTGCTGTCTACTTGGCAAACGGCCGCAATCAAATTCTGCTGACCGCAAGTCAGTAGGCTGCACGTCACGAGTGTACGTGAGGGTCTATGCTCGTCCGATGCTCGGGCGGAGACTTTGCTCCGACTCCTAATATCCGAACAATGGTACGACTACGAACACAGACCATGTCGTCCCGAAGACTGGCATACAATTGCTCTCACGTGGCTAACCCAGATGAGTGCTGCTGAATTCACGGGCTTGCTCGGCAACCGAGACTGTCGGGGTAAGTCCATGCGCTTTGTGCTGTTCTGGGACACCACAAGTAGTCTCTATCTCAGTTGATAGGCCAAGAGGACATGAAAGCGAACAAGAATGCGTTGATTGACCATTGTAGCATTCATTCTCTCTGTAGCCCACCCACATCTTTAAGCGCTAGTACGGAGTCGTACTTGGGGAGTAAAATCTGAATCCTTGATTACCCCAGACCTTGAGAGCCTGCGCCACACAATCGTCATATGGTAGCTAGGTCCGACTAATTTAATCGCTAATGTACTGATTAGTAAGTCCGAGACTTCTTCTTTCACGTCACGATTCAGTGGGGTTTTTACACATATTTCAGGGGCATTTATCCGTAATTGCCACCTCCTGTTCGGACGAACGATTACGTATAGCCGCCTGTTTCTCTCTCCTCTGACCAGCTTTCATTACCATCAGGAAGACGACATGTTGCCCCGGCTGCTCTGCCCGGAACTGCTCCATATACTCCGTAGAAGGCACTAAGCCAAAGCCGATATTGTCCCATAGGGCCGCAAATATGAGAGCAACAGACGATTCGAACATACGAGTAGCTCCGCTTGTTCCTTCGCCGTGTTGGCGGTCAGGATAACGCGCGACTCTAATGTCGGTTTCCGCTGCTATACAAGCACGATGCCTGCGAGGTAGGTCGCCACGCACTCCTACTATCTACTATCCGTTGCGAGTAGTCTCGACGACGATCTTATTTGCACAGTTCACTGCCGTACGATCGCGTGGGGGTTGTGCCAGCTATTTGCTTTCATGGTTCCCAGTCCCGTCTCCCACGTGCGGCAACCGAGATGCGTCTGACTCGGGATTTTATGATTTCAAGGAAGCTTGGCACCTGCGGATAACCATGCACCGCTTTGACAGAGTTACCATTTTAATGGCCCCTTTTGCTAAGCGCCCGCAGATCGCTGCCACACCAACATCTTCTTCTACGGGCGGTGGGTGTTCATACCATCGTCTTGATTGGGCACAGTTCCAGCCAATAGAAAATCAGAACTCTCTGTGGCTTATGCACGAATCATAGGGTTGTTGAAACCAGCGACCTCATGAATAGCTGGGCGTTCTCCACCTACGACCATTTCTTCCCCAGCTCTTAGATTGCGAGACCGAAGCATCTACCAGAGATAATACTCAAGGGCAGAAGAACCATGTCGTTGTGTGCTGACATCTGCTCGACTAGACACCCGTCACTGCTCATACTCAACTTAGGAGACCCGCTGCTGAAGATCAGATCCGCCACCCGGTCTAAACTCTAAGCATATGGACTGGCTTTATATTGTCTATATTAGGTCTTACAGACGTACCTGTATACTTCTGTGCGACTCGTCTAATGACAGAAACCCTTAGCGGTGTGTCAATTCCAGGTTACCAATGAGAACCAGAGATTGAAACAAGTTTCGGGGCCATGACTGTCATTCCACATGGACATTAACAATGTGGAGACCATTCGTATTGAATCAAAGCATGTGAAAAAAAAACAGCAGATAATGCACCCTTTCTACTCATAGAAATATATTTGTGTGATTTTATTTACGTAAGCACGACTGCTGCGAGCATAACTAGTCCCCCAAATTCATCCATGCCGGAACACCAGTCCTCCCACACGTCAGAGGACTTGTGTGACGACGACGGTGCCATGCTTCTTTCATCTATTGTCTCGTACATCAGCCTCGATTCGCCGTTGCAATAGTCCTGACTGGCATACATCCGGACCAAATCGCCGTTGGCAGTAAGCCCATATTCAGACTGCACGCCCTGATCCTTTGCCATCTCCTCCTTCCACGCCAGAGGGTTACCGGCTTCCCACAGCCGTTTCCTTGCTGGCAGCGGTGCCATGACCAGGTCTGATTGCAAGGTGCACATCTCGGCAGGTTCAAAATAAATAAGGACGTTTAAAGTACGGTAGAGTACTGCCAGACGGCGCCTAGACTCTTCGTAAATCCAGTTTTCCCAGCATGGCTTCACCCTGAACGGGCCAAAGTTTCGGCATGTAACGTCGACATGCTGGCCGACGAGCTATAGTAGTTAGTATTGGTGTATGCAGTGAAACATATGAAAAGGTTTGTAGGGGGTTTACAATAACTGCAGACAGCAACAAGAAGTCGATATTGTTGTAGTCCTTTTCTCCTTCATGAAGACGTATCAGGGTGTATAGAGAGAGAGCATGCATTGCAGAAAGCAACTCCCAATTGGTAAGCGATTTGTACTGTGCACAGAGGTCAGCATGGATCGTTTCCCACAATACATTATCTGTGAAGCCTCATGTCTAACCTCTAGGCAAAGTCGTTCACATTCCTGCTTCACATTCCTCCAAAAAAGCTTTCGGCTCCCCTGCATACTGGTGCTGATCATGTTTATCAGATTCATACAATTTGACAAAGTCTCCATGCTGCCAGGTTCTATCTCGCCCGTTCTACAGCTATCACTGGAAGAGAGAACCAGCGGGTGGATAAACGGTGGCAGCGTCTTATGACGGAGCATCATGACAGAATAAGATCGGAGAGTGTGGAAAATGAGATTGACTGTTCTCTGAGCACCGGGACTCCTAGTTTGCCGCGGGATCATAGACCGTGCACTGTATAATAGCGGCGGAACGGGGCTTACGGTAAGGGTCAACGGCATGACGTCAGTGGCCTGTGGTGCTCCGAAGATCTGGCCAGCCAATGAAGTCGTAAAGGGCTGAGTCGAGCTCGCTTCAGAAAGGTCGGCAAATTCAAAGTTTGGTCCGGCCCAATCGAAGGGATCATTTACGATAGCTGTAGGCATTGTGTTGAGCATCATGTTGTTGGATGCAGTACTGTCCTGCTGTTGGACCGGGCCTATTCCATCCTGAGCCATATTGGCCATGGCTCCTCTTGCAGCTGCTGTGCCAAGAGGATAATGACACGCAATGCCTTTTGCTCGGCAACGTGAGCAGGCTGGCCGCCCGGCGTCGCAGCGTGTCTTTCCTTTTACGCAGACTGCACATGACCGGAGTCGAGGTGTCCGGTCGCCTGTTCGAGACCGACAGTAGTATCCATGTCTCTTGAGCGAGGATTCTGACCGCGAGTAAACCCCGTTGGGTAAGTTTGACGGACAAAATTAAGATAACCAGGTGGGCACTCACGCTTGTCAAATGGCTTGTTGCATTGCCCACACCGCAAAACAGCGGTGGCGCCGTTCATTTTGAACAATTCCGGTAGATGTCTAGGATAGCAGATTAAGAATACACAGATGGCGGTGCCGTTGAAGACAGAAAGTTGGCAGCACCGTCAATTTGTAAGCATCTTACGCGCTGCTTACACAGTGCCAAATAACGGCAGCTGTTCCGTGCGATCATGTGACTAAGACATCCCGTGTAAGACGGAATAAATGGGTCGCATGGGTCCACCTCCGGACGGAGCAAAATGTACGGCCCCACAAATCCGGAACGGGACAAATTGCATCGATGTGAGAGCGGAAAACATCATTTGAATAGTGCATTTGTCATAATGCATTCCGAGTGCTATAAAGACAATGCTCATCATCTCTATGGATTTTGGCGACTTCATCTTAATTCTCCAGTTGACGTTGACCATTCACCACAATCCGAACCATGTCGGCACCATTTCCCTCTCCCACCAAAAAGTGGCACGACAATACATACCCGTCGCTATCGCCCACGCGACCGGAGCTCTCGGCCAAGGGCAAGAATGTTCTCATTACAGGAGGCGGGACCGGTATCGGCGCCGAGACAGCCCGCTCGTTTGCTCAGGCTGGTGCTGCCCGCATTGGCCTGATCGGCCGCCGAGAGCAGCCGCTACTCGACACCAAGGCGAGCATTGAGAGCAGCTTTCCGGGCATCGAGGTGGTAGCAGCGCCGGCGGATGTGACCAACAAGGACCAGGTCGAGGCGGCCTTTGCCCGGTTTTCCGGCACTGACGGACAGCACAAGATCGACGTGCTTGTCAGCGGTGCCGCCATTCTTGGTCCACCAGAGGCCGTGGATACGGTAGACGGTGAAAAGCTCGTGCAGGTGGTGGATTTTACGGCGCGCAACACAATCAACGTGACGCAGGCATTCCTCAAGCACGCTGCCAAGCAGGATGCTGTCGTGGTGAACATCTCGTCGTCGGTTGCCCACTTGGACTTTGGCGGCTTCTATGCGGCGTATGCTGTGGCCAAGTTTGCCGCATACAGGCTCTGGGACTTGCTCGCATCAACGCACCCCGAACTCAGTATCTATCACATTCAGCCGGGCGTGGTCGACACGGACATTAACAGGGAGGTAGGCGGAATGGAAACAGTTGGTTTCAAGGACCACGTGTCGCTGCCAGCAACGTTTAGCGTGTGGTTGGCCAGTCCTGAGGCGCGTTTCCTCAAGCGGAAGTTCTTGTGGGCCAACTGGGATGTGGATGAACTCAAGGCCAGGGCCAAAGAGCTGGAGTCGGCCACGACATTCAACTTGGGCCTGGTCGGTTGGCCGTTTGGCGAAAGCGGCTTCATGCCTGCTTGGGATCCTGAGAGCTGAGAAAGGTGGAGACGTGCTCAGACCGTTCTTTATGTAATGAAACTACAACAAATCATAAGAAAAAAGTTATACTTCTAGTGCCAACCCTTTAGCTGATGGCGATGGCGTCTGCAATTGGAGAAGTCCCATAGAATAGCTGATGTGACGCAGCTCGGACAGAGCCCAGGATCTCAAGTATGGATGACTCAATGTCCGCTAAAAAGTACTGTATAGTGGCCAAATGGCAAACATAGTGACTGCAGACTGCCGGTGTAAGTCTGCAACTTTCATTTTCCTAGGAAACGAGGGTTGCTCGCAGTCGCTATGTACGAGTCGACGTCTTAACTTGGGCGCTAGAGATGTGGCGGACGTGCGATCGGCATATCGCGCACAGTCTTGCGGATGATGCACTCTGACTCGTCACGAACTCAGACGGTTGTTGTAAGCCATTGCTGACGGTTGGTTTGGAAGAGTCTAGCCAGTTAGATAGAATCATGGTGAGATAGTGGCAGGAGAGGCGCAGCTTCTGTGGGTCGTCTTCTACCCCGGGCATCGAGCTGAAGAGTGGGTCTATGGATTCGCACTGGGTGAGCGCTAGTCCGCTTGTGGTCGACGGCTGTGAGCTCCCCAGAACGGACTTTATGACAAAAGTCCGGTCGGTGTATATAGAAGCAGAAGGACGCGTCGGTTGTTGTGGCGGTGTGTATGATTCTTGACTGACGACGAGGACGAGTGACTGCAGCATAGTCACGAAAACAGCTTTTCGACAGGAACACCTCGTGAGCAGCCATGGCAGACGCAGGGATGCCATCCTCGGAGAAGACCTTCCGCGGCTACAGTGCCGAACAGGGCCAGAAGTATGCGCGTGCGCGTCCGGGCTACCCGGTGACGCTGTATGATGCCGTGGCGGCCTACCACGTCGGACACGGCGGCCGTCTGGACACGCTGCTCGACGTCGGCTGTGGGCCGGGCACAGTGGTGGGTGAGTTTGGCGGTCGGTTCCGGCAGGCCATCGGTATTGACCCGTCGGCCGGTATGATCAGCGCGACACGGGAGAAGGTCCAAGGCGCGGCCGTGCGGTTCGAGGTGTCGACGGCCGAAGCACTCGGTGCCGACCACAGCCCGCCGCTCGTGGCCGACGGCAGCGTCGACGTCATCACGGCCGCCACGGCCGCCCACTGGTTCGACATGGCCGGTTTCTGGACGCGTGCCGCCCAGGTCCTCCGTCCCGGTGGCACTGTCGCGCTCTGGTGCGTCGGCGGTGGACCACTGCGGCTGGCTGCTGACGTGCCGGCCGGAGCGGCCATACAAGCACTCATCGACGGCTTCGATGCCCAGCTGCACGACTACATGGTGCCCGGCAACTGGATCGTGCGCAACTCGTACACCGATCTGGTGCTGCCCTGGTCGTCATCGTCGTCATCGTCGGCTTCCGTTGCGGCCGTCTTTGATGAGACCACGTTTATCCGCCAGCCTTGGTGCACGTCGGCCGATCCGGCGTACGGCTACGGCCCCGACTACGCTGTCTATCCGTCCGTCGTCACAGCCATCCCCTTGCGCGCTTTTGAGCGCATCGTTGAGACCGGCAGCCCCATCACGCGCTGGCGAGAAGCCCATCCCGACCTCGTCGGCACCGAGAATGACATTGTCCGCCAGACCTTCATCCAGATCGAACGGCTCATGCAGGCCGCCGGCGTCAAGCCGGGCTGCGAGACCATCTCGGGCGCCTACGCTGGCGTCCTGCTTCTGGTGCGGAAGAAGGACTAGGTGGGAATGGTTTCATGGGTGCATCCATCTTGTCGTTGTGCTATTCATTCTCTAGTAAGCCGGCGAAAATTTCAGTAGCTAGTTTCGTCTGCACAGCGTACCTTCCTCTCCAACACGCTGCTTACTCACTTTATGTCTGCATGTTTACATAATCTTAAATATTCTTTCTTTCTTCTCTGTATGCTTCTTGCTCTCGTTGCCACTGGCTTGTGAATGGTTGGACGATGTCAATTCGTATACGCCCTGTCGTTGACATTTTGTGGGCCCATTCCTGCTGAAGACAGCTTTCTCTCTATGTTCTCGGTTCCTAGACCTCTTATCATCTCCAATCCCACACTCACCCCATTACATCACCATCTCCCCCATTTCTCATGGCTACAATCACTACTCGCACGGGTGTCGAGCTGGAAGACCAGTCCACGGCCGCCGGCCGGACCGGGGTGATGCAGCGAGACGTCGGCACCAGCAGCGGCTCCGACCGCAGGTCGACACGGGGTGGTGCAAACGAGGACGATCCTGTGCTCGAGGCCTCACGACTGGCCGATGCCACCGTTCCCGAAGGCGGTTATGGCTGGGTGGCCATTGCTGGCTGCGCCGTCATCACCTGGTGGTTCGTCGGCACGAGCTACAGCTGGGGCATCTTGCAGGGTGCTCTCGCCAATGAGGGTCTCGCCAGCACAGCCACTCTGGCTTTTGTCGGGTCGCTGCCAACGGCTCTCATACCTCGGCCCTGGCCATCGTCAATGCTCGCATCGTCCGCTGGCTCGGCATCCGGCGCACTGGTCTTCTAGGCGTCAGCTTGCTCGGCCTCGGCGAGATCGTCAGCGGCTCCGCTGTCCATAGCCTCGCTGGCCTCTTTGTCACTGCTGGCATTGTCATGGGCCTCGGCATCAGCCTCTGCTTCACCACCGTCTCTGTCACGCCCGCTCAGTACTTTAGCCGCCGCCGGGGACTCGCCAACGACATCGTCTTCGCCGGTGGCGGCCTTGGCGGTGCCGCCACCACCTACCTCCTCCAGGTCCTCGTCCAGAAACACGGCCCTGCCTGGGCTTATCGCATCGTCGGCTTCCTCACTCTGGCCACCGGCTTACCTGCTGCCTGGGTCGTCAAGGAACGCACTCCCATCCGCACTACTGGCTTCGTCGACTGGTACGTCTCCTGTTCCACCTCTACCTCTTTCTACTTCTTCCTCTAACCTTGACAGGCGCCTCTTCCGAGACCCAAAGTTCCTCCTCATTTTCCTCACTGGCGTCATCGCCACCTTTCCCCTCCTCGTCCCCCCTTTCTTCCTTCCCCTTTACAGCCGCTCCATTGGTCTCTCCTCCAGCACTGGCGCCGCCCTACTCGCTGGCTACAACTTCGCCTCTGCTGTTGGCCGCATCCTCTGTGGCTTCTTCTGCGATAGGCTCGGCCCCGTCAACACCCTCTTCTGCGCCCTGCTGCTCACTGCACTCAGCATGCTCGCTCTCTGGCCTGCTTCCACCACCCTCGGCTCTCTCGCCGTTTTTGTCGTCATCAACGGCGCCGCAAACGGCGGCTACTTTGCCACCATGCCCACTGTTGTCGGAAACGTCTTCGGTTCCCAGAGAGTTGCCGTCGCCATGGGCATGGTCGTCACCGGCTGGGTCGGCGGATATCTGATGATAAGAATTCTCGGGACAGTCTGCTTTTCTTCATCACTGACCCTATTCCAGGGCGCCCCCATTGCCGGCTATCTGCTGCAGGCTTATGGTGGTGCCGACTCTGGTCTCAAGGCTTTCCGGCCTGCCATGTTTTATGCCGGCTCTTTGTCCCTCGGGGCAGCAATATCTGTGGCATTGATGCGGTTATACATAAGCAGGTCGCCATTCAGAAAACTGTGATCGCGAGTGAGTTCCCAGACAACAAAAACGTAAGATATGCATTCACATTACCCTAGAGGGTGTACATGTATCTAGCTGGCATAACATTTGGTCTCTGTCGTTCGCGGGTAACTAAAACAAAAAAGACACGCTGAAGTAAACCCACAAGAAAAAGACAATGTGGATATAAAGAGTGGCCAGGTTGCAACAAACGCCGTAGGAATGTAGTCGTCGACAATGCAAACAGTGCATCAGAGGCTTCTTGACAAAATATCAAGATACCGGCTGCCTTCTCCAGGCAACTCCTGGCAGAGTTGCTCAACAAATTCGGTGGCATCACTTTCCGCCAACCATTCCTCCAGTTCAGCAGATAACGCCGACCTTAGTTTGGAGGAGTACTCCATAATCTCATGGCGTTCGCCTGTCAAGTTGCACGGGGCATTCTATGCCACTCTAGCCGCAGGTTTGGCGCCACGCCGACCGAGCAATGTAGCCCCATCGAGATTCAGCTCGAATGCACCCTTTTGTCGGTTATGGTCTCGGACTTGCTGCCGCGCTGCAGCAGCCACCGTAGCCGAATGCTGACCGTAGCCCCGGTCCGATCGTCTTTCGCGTTCTCGGCCACGGGTCTGTTCCTGGTCCCGGATGTTCGTGTTCCGCATGCTCTGCTCCAGGTCCTGTGCTCCGTTAGATGCGGCAATCCCTGGTGCGGTGTGAGCGGCGTCGCCATCGTTGCCCCTCGCTTCGGGCAGCTCAGACTGATCCTCCTCCTCGCTCAGCTCTTCGTTCAGCTCTGCAAGGCGTGATACACCTGCAGCACGGGTGCCAACGTGCTTGCGTCGTTTGTCTTCCTCTTCCTGACGATGCACGGCATAGCCAACATCAAATACTTCTCGGAGATTGACGGCGCCAGGGGATCGGAAGTCCGAACGTCTGTCACCATCGATGATCCGATCAAGCGGATGGAATATTCCTTCTGAAGCCACCTTTCTAGGAGTACTACCGGGCTCGCGTACCCATGGGTGGTTCAGGAATTCGGCGATTGTGTATCGTTTTTCAGGGTCGACGTCCAGCAAGTGGGAAATAAGCTCCTTTGCGGACTCGGAAATATCGTCCCACCAAGGCGACAAGAAGGTGAACTCGCCCTTAGCGACTTTCTCGGTCAAGGCCTCAATGCTCTCGTCGTAAAACGGTGGGAACCCACAGAGAAGCGTATAAAGAACGCATCCAAGTGCCCACATGTCAACAGACTTGGAGTACCGCTCATCCTTGACAATCTCGGGAGCCGTGTAGCCTACAGTTCCACATGGGGTTGTGGTCTTCGTTTCCCAGACGACTTTAGACAGACCGAAGTCGGCGATCTTGATTTTGCCGATCCTGCCGGCACCTTGGCCAGGGATAAATTCGCCTTCGTCGGCTTTGTCTTCATCGCCAGCCTGCCTAGGCTTTGGACTCTTTGCAGGGACAAACGGAATGGGATAGAACAAGATGTTTTCGGGTTTGATGTCACTATTCAGCACTTAGTAAGGTATCCAGCAAGGTATCCAGGGTAGTAGCAATCCACAGCCTGTTCTAGGTAAGAACATACCGGTGCACTACCCCTTGTTCTTCGTGAAGGTATTCGAGAGCTTTAGCCACCTGGACGATGACGTGCCGAGACAACTCCTCGCTAAAATAAGTGAGCTTCACGATCTGGTGGAAAAGCTCGCCTCCAGGTGCTAGCTCCAAGATGATGTAGTAGTACTGCTTCGCCTCCGAGAACTCGATCAGACGGATGATGTTGGGGTGGTCGAGCTTCCGCATAATCGCCACTTCCTTAAGAATGTTCGATCGCTGCTAGTGGTCAGCAACCAATGCATTGCATGCGGGGCCAAAGCTTCTGCTTCAAGTATCGTTGCAGTTTTGTCAAGATACAGTGGCGGGCAAGAGTGAAGTCGAGGGAGGAAGTAAGATGACGTAGAAAAAAAGACAAAGAAAAGGGCGTTCCCACCTCTGCAGCCTTGGGCAGCTTGGGCTTGAAATTCGGATGAAGGCGGTCGTTTCCCTATGTTCACAAGCCCATGGCGTCGGTAAAAAGACGGAGAAACATATTGCAAGAGCACGAAGCGCAGCAACACAATTCCATCTTAAAACAGAAACAATAGTGTGGTTGGTTTGGGGCTTGACTGCACACTGGTACAGACATGCGGAAAGTGTACGAGACATGCGTAAAGTGTACGTAAGGCAGAGGGCCAATGGTGGGGGGGGGGGGAAGAAAAGCAGAGGCACACCAGGAATGGAGAGAACAAAAATAAGGAAGCATACCTGGGAGACGTTCATCTCGTATTTGCGAACTACTTTGATGGCAACGTCTTCAGACAACACCCCCGTGCGGTCTCGAGCACGGTATACATTGCTGAAAGCGCCGTCTCCCATCTTCTCGAGGAGGAGCCATCTCTCGAGTCCAGGATACTTGGGAATTTTTCCAAGACTCTCTTTCTCGTCGGCCACGAGCTGGGCTATCCCTTCGTCGGCTACCTTTTTGTTCTTAACCTGTGGCTCTTTTGGAGACGAGTCCATGTCCGACGCTGTGGGATTGTGTCTTTGGGTATGATTGTGACGAGACGGCGAAGTTTCTTTCGGGGTGGGCTGCCCGTCATTGACGGCGCGAGCTTGCTTCCCTGGGGTCAAGTTAGCAAAATGCATATGTTTTATTTGGCGGCGCAGCGGTGATTTGCTGGGTCACGAACCATGGCGAATAAAGTTTTTCAGCTGCTGTATTGTCGACATTATGGGCAGCAAGAGGGCAGAAAAGCCCAGGGAGGAAGAGGAGGGCAAATGGAGGTAGAGGTAGGAGGCCGGGAAATGAAGCTACCGCGCAAAATGACAGTTTTCCGTGATACTCTTGCAGTGCCCCAGTTGGCAGGCGTGAAACTTGGCAGCTGAGGTATTGAGCCAGTCCAGAAAAAGGGTTGGCAAAAAAATGGCGGATCAGATCGGACGCGAGGGCATTCCGGCTATTCGTTGTATCGCGACTTCTGTGTGCCTGAACAGAGCGACAATGAGAAGCGAAAAAGAGAAGACTAAATCAGGCGCTGGTAGCGGTATCCCTGGGTGGGAAAAAGTTGCAGCGACGGGCTAGCCACGATAGTATGTCGCCGAGATGACGTCGGAAGAGAAACGGGCGAAGAAACAGGGCAGTAGTCGTGGTGACAGAGTGGGGAGAATCTGCGTCAGCGGGACAATCGGATGGAATTGGAGAAACAAAGGGCGGGTGCAGTGAAAGCGCAGCCTATTTCCCATCAAAATTCAGCGACGGGGACCGATCGGACAGGCGAGGAACAAAGAGGAGGAGCAGATGCGCAAGGGGGCAAAGTCTGCAGGATCAAAGGGTAAGTTCGACGACGAAGCGGCAAGTGGAGGGCGGAAATTATTGTGCTCGACGATAAGAATGTCAGCAATCGGTTGCGAAAACAGCGGTGGACAAATAGTAGAGTGGGTGCAGAGAGGCGTAGTAAGCCGTTCAGAAACAGAAGGAGCGCAAATGGAGAAACTGCGAATGCACGATGCATCGGTCAGCAAGCGCTTGCGTGCGGACGCAGGAAAAAACAGTTTTCTGGTTCCTGCCTGCGCTCGAAATTTTGGGGTCTAACCCCTCCAGCAGCTCCGGCAGGGGGCGCCTTGATTGACGTATGACGTATTGCTCACTTCCCGGCCGTCGTCATAATTTAACAGTCGCAATCAAGCCCAGTTTTCTGCGAAGCTCACGGCGAAAAAGGTGCCTGCCTGCCAATCAGGACACGAGAGGACGAATGCCAGGCGCAATGGTGCGCTAATAAATGGTGGAGCCCCACTAAAGGCCGCGCTGCTGAAAACGGGGGATGATCAATCCGTTGCGTCGCGAGTCTGGGTCTCAGCCTTCAGCATGCCTTCCAAGATTTGGAATGGCAGGCTTCGGCGTTGGGTTCCACTAGAGCTAGCCAGGCCGAAGCCGACTTCCCGCCACAAGGCCCAGGACAGGCGTGCGGATTTATGTTTCATCTGTCGTTTGGGCAGCTGGTGGACATCTCTGCAGCAGTGCACCCCACGAAAGGTAGATACCACACGCTGATCGCCTCTGGAACGCTGATGGCCTGCAGACAGAGACTCCCCAGGGCTGGCCCACCAGTGGGGAAGGACAGGCACTGTGACGTCAGAAACAGGCCACAAACCAGGCCAATATTTGGCATCCATGCTGACAGGACGCTAAGCCCAGGCAGATGGAGCGCTGTCAGGCACCAGAAAGACTCCCATTGGCCGCCAATTCGAACCCGCCTTAGTATCATCTTTTTGCTTCCCTCCGTTCTCCGTTTCTTCTTTCTTTTTGCTTGGTCCGTTTTTTGCTAACAAATGCTGTTCTTTTATTTTTGATTTCCGCTTTCTGTCAGCCCCTGGTTTTTGGCCATTCTATCAGCTCTCGGTGAGGACGAGAAAAGGACTTAGTTTTCGCGTTCCCACAAACTACATTTATGTCGTATAACACCCAAAAGAACCCATCGGCGGGATCCATCCGTGCCAAATTCTTCGCATTCCATTTGATAGCGAGATGCCGAATCAAATATTTTTTTGCGCAGCTCCAGATGTCTTAGGATAGACACTGTTGTTTTCCGTCTTCTTCGACCCTCAGCTGGTGGCAACATGCCGAACGACAGTTGAAGCGGAATGTAGAAAACTTTGCCGACTTTGCTCGCTACCTTCGTCCACACGTCAAGGCATATTTCTATCCATATCAATTGCATATTCCAAGTTTCCTTCATCTTGATTTCGGAGGGCGTGGCTTCAAAGCGGAAGAAGCACATCTCTGATTTCCCGCGTTCCACAGTTCTATGATTTCCAGCTTTGGCATTTCTAGAGCCATGCGTCCTGCAAGCTCAAGCACATGGTTCCCGCCACAGGATGGCGAAAGGCTGCTGTCTGAGTGCGAGAGTTCTCAGCCGTGGCCAAAGACAGTCTCTTTTTCGTAACAGCCGGTAAACGCCTTCGGCCTCCTTGAAAAAGGCTCTTGCGTCCACTGCATGGGATTGGGTCAAACTTTGTAGTACACGGCTTGCTTGGACTAAAGAAATGCCCAGCCTCGGATAGTCAGCCCTATCAGCAATCGTACAAAGCGAAGATGTGTGAGAGGAGCAGACGGATATGTGTAGTTCTTGGAGCGAGTTTGGCAAACGTTCATGTTCGAATCCGCAGATAAAATCTACAACATCAGCTTCCGTCTTTTTAATGGTGTGAGAATGTATGCTTAACTATACATTTGATTGAACACAGGCGCTATTGTTCTACATGTAAATCGTGAATGCTTCGAAACGCCGATCCTAGCTATGACAAGATGAGTTGGGGGCTGATTGCACGGAAAAATCACCGGCAAATCAAAAACCTCTTAACGATATCAAGTCGTCGGAATCGGCACACTATATCCTTAGCAAGCACAGTGAGATCCGTAGTAAGTGACGATGACCCAGTCAAACGATTTGGAACAGCAGGTAGACCTACTACCAGCCGACCATGCCAATGCCAGTACAGATGTAGCCAGCCGTGATTTGAGGCTAGCCCCGACATCTTCCAGAGTTTGTATGCCGTATGGTCGCTGTCCCAAATCGTTCACAGTCTCGTATGGATAGCCTCGACTTAACCCGGAAATCAGGAAAGAAATGCTCGGCGTCGCTCCACGATGCGGCGCTCAATTCCAAAACCATGCCGTGTGCTTTGCTTTAATAGTCTCCGAGCCACTTTTAGAAGCGGCCACAGGGCTTGCGTAAAGGCTGTATCGTTAAATCGTTCTCGTGTAGGATTTTCCTCCTTAGTGCATTGGGAGCAGTCATATTTGTCTGAACAGACGTGGATATGTAACTGCCGGATGCATCCGAAACGTACTTTCCGCTCGGCTTGCACAAGGGAAGCAAACTGTTCCACCTCTCTGCCATCGAGTACTATGTTTCGGAACGTTACTCTTCGAAGAAGCCTTGCCAGTCGCTGGAGACAGCAGCATATGCAGCAAGGGTGCTCCAACGCATCTTCCTCTCCCTCCAAACTTTGAGAGCTGCTAGGCTCCTTTTTGAGCGCTTTAGTCCTGGTTTGTCTGGCTGCATTTTGAGAGATTGACGCATCTGCAATCACTCGTGTACAACGTAGTCCCAAACGAAGACGCGAATGTCTCAAGGTAGCGTTTCCTAGGAAGCCATTGTGCCAATATGTGGGATTCGAGTGCTGAAATGCGAAGCTTCACATAGTAAGGTAAGAGGAGTACGGAGTAACGACTGTAAAATTCGAGGTAATTAGAGAACATAAATTGTTGGTGGTCATTGGTCACGTATCCTCTCTGCACGACTCTTCTTGGTTTTCAATTGAAATTGCACTGTTGGCTCTTGCAAAGATCTCGGACCCGGGTGAGGTCAGCGACCTGAGCCAGTTGTAAGTGGGTAGAGATCTTGGGCGCGTGATCTTCAATTTTTGAATTTGTTCGTCAATCTGTCCGTTAGTCGATCACATGACCATAGATCTTATTGCTTTATTTTCTTGTTTATTTACATACCCGGCGCGTGCGCGCCCTTTTATTTCACCACAGTTCACACAGCGCTCGTGTCTACCAAGTACTCGTCGAAATTCAAAAGTCTTTCTTACTCCTGCTGAAGTAAGAATTCTTTGAGCTGATTCCTCGTGCAGAAACTAGCGCAGAGACCGATTAAGAAACTGGTGCAGGGACCGGCATGAAGACTGGCGGGGAGACTAACTAGTACGGGGACTAAGTACGACGTAGGAAGCATAAAGAATGGCACAGAGAATGTCATAGAGAGAATTGGTAATTCAAACATCTTTTTGCTCAATAGAACGTTTTCAAATTCTGTCGAAAAAAGGGCAAAGATCAAGGGACGTTGTGGCTAGCTACGATTCTGTCAAAACAATACCGAAGCCCCCAACTTCACCAGAACAAAGATTGACTCGATGAAGTGCCATTTTTGCTCCCTGTAGATTTGCACGGTTTACCCCCGGTCGAAGTGGCAGATGGCAAGCGCCGGATAAAAACGGGGCGTTGGAATTTGATTGAAGAGCAAGCCCTGAAGCTCAGCTTCTTTTCTGTTCAGAATTCATGTGACCCCGACTGCCCCGTACATCCCTTTTGATCTGCTATTGCTGCTTTTCTGGGGGGGGGGGGGGGTTTGTGAAAACTGGTTGCTGTTTATTAGGTGCCCAACGTTATGCAGGTCGGAATGACTACAAATTAAAAAGACAAATCATACACCCTACGGCAGCTTAAAATGTTGCGGTTTTCTTCGAGTCTTTGTTTGTGACGACCCTGCATGCCCATCAAAATAGAACCTTTGCCATGCAAGAGCCAGAAGTGTGCCAGCATGAATACTTCTCATATAACTCTAGCAGATCAGAAATCAAGCCGCTTACAATTAAGGTTTGTTGACATCCGAAAGCGCCGTCTCTCCTATGCTGCTAAAGATACGGCATTGCTACCCAACCTACTTGTCCGACATCTATTGGCCAGGACATGCCGCAATATCATACAGATATGACAAGATGAATAATTGGCAGTTATATTGGGGGGTGGAAAGGCGGGCGCTCAATTGGGAGGGGTTTAAAGGAGTGCTCCCGGCGTCATGGAAGCTTTGGCGTGGGTGGCAAATTTACAGATCAAAAGAAAGTAGGACGAAGCCATCCCCAGCCATGTGGAGTGCCCTTGGCCACGAACACATCAACCGCACCGCCCAGTAGGAGCCGGAGCCTAAGACCCGCGGCACCTGGAGCATCCTCTCAACATGTCTGATCACGCTTTCTCTGTGTGTGTGGACGTCACTGCATCTCAACCTGCCTGAGCATAATAAAACTAGCAGTCAGAAATGGAGGAAGGTAGCCTTCCTCATCGTCGGCTTGCTGGAGCCTGAGATAGTGGCGATTATGGCGTACCTACAGTTGTCTGAACAGTGAGATCTGACAAAAAGGATGGAAGACATATTGAACAAGATGGTGCTCCCACAGGCGAAGGAAGTGGGCGGTTGGTTCACCGAGCTTCTCTTCTTGCTTCACATGAAGGAGAAGCCGGATACAAAGAACTCAAGAGACCAGGACAGCGATCAGGCCAGCGACCATGCGATTTTGCCATCCCACAAGTCGCGCCAGTACCGTTGGTCTCACGTACTCAGTTACTTGGCCGTCATGGGTGGTTTCGCCTTCGACAACAGTCACGCTCCCGAGAAGATCCCGCTGCCCAATAAACGTGCGCGCGTCACGCTGACCACGACGGGCATCTTGTTTCTGGCCAAGCTAGAGCCAGACCTGATACCCGACATATCGGAGGAGCAGATCCGCGACAAGAGCAAAACCAACCCGCTTGCCAAGATTCTCACCTGCCTACAAGCCCTCTGGTTTTGTGCGCAGGTGCTGTCGCATCTAGGCCAGAACCTAGCCGTGACGCTGCTCGAGCTTAACACATCTGCACACGCGCTGTGCGCGCTGTGCGTCTACTTCATGTGGTGGAACAAGCCACTCGACATTGTCGAGCCCTTTTCGATTGATGTGCAGAGCGATCGTGCGGCCGCACTGTGCGCGATGTTCTGTTACAATTTCGAAGGCGGCTTTTACCATCTGTGCCGCTTCGAAGGGAAACCCTATCAGCAGCATGATTTATTGCAAGTACGAGGAAGGATCTGTCTGGACTTAGACGAGCTGCTGCAAAGTCCTGAGCAGCAGGAATCAGTGAACGAACAACATGTACACGACATTCAAGAACAGCCAGAATGGCGGAATCTTAGGTACAAAAACGACGAAAAGCGACCTTACTTTTTCGACAAGGTCGAACTACGCGCACCGAACTGCAGCTCACTTGACTATCTCCTCAGATACGTAAGCATGCCGCGCAAGATAAAAACCGGACTCAGCATAGACACCGATCCGGACATCTTTATCCGTTCTAGGTTAATACAATCGATTTTGGATCTGCCGATGTTGGCAGAGGAAATCGACGATGGCCGGCTTACCTGCTACCGCTCTTCTTCACGATCAAGGAGCGCGATGTCAACTTACCGTACTACGATACACTGTACCACGCCACACTCGCCGTGACTAGCTGCGTCTATGGTGCCTGGCATCTGATTGCCTGGGGCGGTCCCTTTCGTGGACGTACCGAGATGGTACTGTGGAGAGGCTCGGCCATCGGCCTGGGTGCGTCGGTAGTGGCAATTGCTGCACTCGTTCTTATACGATACATTATAAGTGTGAAAATGGATCTTACCGACTATTTTTATCTGTTAGTAGCATTACCTCTTTACTCCCTATGTGTGCTATTTTTGGTCGCTTGCAGGTTTTGTCTGGTCGTCGAGAGCTTTATCGGAATTATGTATCTTCCGCCGTCATGGTCGGCATACTTTCCGCACATCGGCTAGCATCCAGAAGTCGGAAAAAGCAGGCTGGAACTGGGGAGGGGTGCTGATCCGTTTTGGTTGTTGTTTTTCGTTCTTTCCAAGGAAGATGCTGTCATTTAATATCAGTTGCAATTGCGAGAATTTGATGGCGTATTTCGGGTGGAAACAATATATATTAAAGCGAGTTTCGTCTAAGCTGTAGAAGCTCATGCACGGTGGTACTGCATCTTGGCCTCCTTGTGCACGCACTTCTTACTGGACAGGCAGAAACGGGGTAGGCTATGCAGACGTGGCTCTCTCCTGCCCTCTCAAAGCTCAACACCAATAGGACAAGGGAACGGTCTTTGCACAGTCATCAATTTGCCAGTGAGGCTCCAAAAGCGCGCAGACTGGGCATCCTAATTCCTGCTTTTGTCTGGAGGGATCAAACAATGTCCACGACTTATTTTCGGGTTCTCAATACTATCTTATCATTAGTGGGACCTGCACACAGTCAACGATCGCAAGTTTACTGATCCTGTGAATACCCATCTTCGATTGTGCCAGCATGGCAGCAGTGCATACCATATCAGACGACTGGGAGGAGGTCCCTGACGATGACACATTCTCTATGGTGTCAACCCCAAGTTCAGACCATGACACAGTTCTAGTTCCCCGGGCCCAGAGAGAGTGCACAAATACCCCCCAACAGCATCGTGTGCACTCGCCCCAGGAGATTCCCACGTCGTCTGCCTTATCATCGCCATCCACCCCAATGGGAACACCTCGTGCATTCCTTCCCATGGTTGAGGCTCACTCACGCAGCCATCCGGCTTTGTCTTCTCTAAATTTCTTAGCCACTCCAACAGAACTGTCGCCACCTTATTTGGACATCGACACGGAGGCCTATATGAGTGCCAGCCATTTGGACGGACTCCTTGACAACAGAGGTGATGGCTCTAGTCATCTCGACAGCGCGCTTGCCGTCAACCGCGTTGGTGTCGATACTTCAACGCACCTCTGCAGCCTGGCAATGGTCGAGTCAGCCCGTAGCGAGATCGTTCGCTTCACCACCAACGAGCTGGCTCCTCTCCGCGCTCGCTTGGGCCAACAGATCCTGGAAGTATGCTTCAAGCTTGGCAAGCAGGTGGAATCCCTGCATGCCATTCTATCAAGTTTTGAGAGTGACTGGGATCCTGAGAGCGCTGGCTCGTACTTCGACCCTGCCCTTGAGGAATGGCTGCACTGTGTGAAGCAGGTTCTTGTGGCGATGCAAGCAGAAACCGAGTCCGTTGCTCTACATAGCTTGGACATGGACAAGGATACTCGTGACGATGTGGTGGACGGCAAAACCGAGGAGTTCCTGCAGTGCTTCTATGTGCGTTTGGTCGATCATACCGACAAGATGGACGACTTTCTCCCTATTATGATTTTGTACGCAGCTCCTCCTTCAACCTAGACACGAGGATCATCCCCATTCTTTCCAAGACTTTCCAAGACCAAGGACCAATGAACTATGAGTACATATTAACACAGACAGAGATCACAGAAATTTACTTGCATCCCAAACCGCGATACGCCCCTAACTGAACGAACTTGAACGATCGACGACATGCACCCGTCCTCACGAAACAGAGCGGCCGGCAATGAGAAAATGAACTGCATAATAAGGAGAAGACAATGGCGCAAGCTTATAATATGGAGCGAATTATTCAATGAGACATGTCACGGTTTTAGTCAGTGAAGCGAGCACCCGGATATGCAACACCAAATTTGATTTTCGATTTAACCTAGATTGAAAGAATGGAATAAAAGAAAATAGCATGTGTAGGGAAGCCCGTTCCCAACTGGTTGCATAGCGTATACATCTTTTGAATAAATGTCGCCGAAAGGTCTGTTCCGGTAATACTAATATCGTTTTCTTCAAATAGCATACCTCAATTGCTTTGTTGCTCGTCTAGCGAGGGGGTGAAAGAAAAGGCCTGAAAAGCTGCATCTACACGGACAGGGTATGCGAGAGTATGGTGTCATTTGGGAACCTTGCTGGCCACGCGTGCATGACACACTAGGCTTCACGTCTGGTCATGCATCTGTGGGCAGCTCGATGCCTGCGTCACAAAACAAGTTCTCAGACCCCGGGTGCGCTATCAAAAAAATCACATAGAAGATTGGATCCAGCACTGCTGGTGCGTTCTGGTATGATAATCTTGTGAAACTGGAGGATTCGTCGTGGGCCGAAGCGATGCGCCGCAACAGCCAGCAGATATCCTGTGCAAGGGCGTTTCGTGTCGCCAAGTCTTTGGCTACTGACTCGCCATAGGCGTAGTCAGTAGCTGCCACATTGACAAGGGTCTCCAAGGAGAGAAGCCTGATGTGCGACCCCGCAGCATTGGCGAGCGTGGCTATTTGAAGCTGTGAGAACGTGTCTTCGTCAACCCAGTTGACTGTCAACGGATAAATCTTACCGTCTGGAGTAGCCGGGATGCCGATCAGAGCAGGCCTTCCCGGGTACAGTTGCAGACCCTTGCAGGCAGCCCACGACGTGATGATGTCCCTGGTGCTGTCGCAGCAGACGATCGAGATTTCTTGTGGCGCTATTAGCTGTAATGCGTTCTCGCCATCCGTCTCCTGTTTGCCCCAAAGCCAAAGTGCTGCTGGCCCACAAACGGCATAGCGAATATGCGACAGCGCCTCATCCACGGCTGCAAAAATGCCAGAGTATCCTGCGGGTGTGAGAACTTCTAAAGGGTCCATCTGCGAGACCTGCTCTGCGGGCGGTGGTAGTGGTGATGAGAGCGGCCACGTGGCAGCAGTCGCAATGTGTTCCCAGCTTTGCAAGCTTGTTGAGGAGCACGACACTATGCCAGAAATGCTCAGCGGCGTCAGAGGCTCTGTTGCTGGAATACAAGGCAGAGTATGCCTTATTCTCTCGCTCTGATGCTGCGCTTTGCGACGTGGATATCTAGATACTACACGGCTATGAAGATCGGAGTAAAACATCCAAAGTTTATGCTTCACGTAGTCCCCTTTTCGCATCATTGCCTCCTTGGGTGCAGAGCAAGGCATGGCTTCGATTTTTGAAATGAAAGCACTGCTTCCAGGTTCAATTGCTTTCTTTCTGTGCTAAGTAGGTCAGTTTGGTCGCTAAATGTAGCGACACTATTGCAACACTTGTCAGCACAGAAATGCAATGACGAATATGAGGAGATGAGACGAGAATTCACAGTTTGAGACAGATTGGCTGAAAGCTGGGCTTTAAATACTTCTACATTGCCAACGCTGTTCGTCCTGAACGAAGCCGGCATTAACAGACTGTGTTGTTCAGCTTGTTCATGCCGGCTTGAACAAGAACTTCCCGAACACATTGTCTAGCCAATGACGTCTCACAGGAGCAGATAGCGATAAAACAATTTGGCCACACAGAGTTATGCGGATGAGCCAGAGAGCTCGGCACAGCTTTTGTGGCATTAGCCCTCTATCCTAACGCCTACTCGTACACCGCAGCGCTCCGTGGCTAAAAGGTAGACATTGGGACGTTCACTGGCGCGACAAGAGAGACTCCCTTTTCATAATTCCTCAACTTCCATCTTGTCTTGTTCGCTCGCATCGTCTCCAGCTGTTGCCGCATCCTTTCTCGGCGCTGTCGTTTCCTTGTCGATCATCTGCCGCGACACGGCCACGATGTTGTCCTCGATCAGCTGCTGGCCCACGTCCTCCAAATGCTTCTTGGGGTCCAGTTTGCCCACGTAGCGAGTCTTGAGCTGCTCTTTGGTGAGCTCTGTCTCCTCCTTGACACGCTTCTCGTAGCCCTCGGCCAGGCCGACGAGTTTCTTGAGCCGGTCCTTGTTCCGGGTACCCTCTGTGCGGAAGTCCTCCATCTGCAGGGCTTCAGTCCACACCTGCTTGTGCAGATTCATCAGCATGTTCTCTTCGAGGGCCGTCTTGCGGTAGTTGATGGCAATGGAATAGTAGTGGCGGTTCAGGCCGTGGATGAGCGCCTGGATCGACGGCTTGTTGAGGTGGCCGAGGTTGCTCGTGCTCTGTCGGGGTTCCTGGCCCATGATAAGAGTCTGCGGGCTGATCGAGCGGAAGGCGTCAATAACGACCTTTCCCTTGACCGACTGGATCGGGTCAATAACGACGGCGACGGATCGTGGTGTCAGCTGCTCAAACGACTGCTGGGTGTTAATATCCACAGACGACAACCAGCAGCCGAAGCCGGGATGCGAATGGTACCAGCCGACAACCGACTCAGGTCTGGCAGTCGTCAGCAAGGGTGGCCAGGCCCGATAGAAAGAATCGGGGGTGAGGGGAGAGGGAAGCCATACCTTCCCGTTTGGCGCAGCATTTCCATCATCTTTGTCTGGAACACAGGGTCTACGGCTTCAACACTAACGCCCGTACCGCTCTGTGGCATGGCAAAAACGTCCACGACCCGGACCGTGAAGTCATCGACAAAGTCGCCCAGCATCAGACCCATGACCTCCATTGGCACACCGGCACGGCCATGCCGTAGCATCTTGAGCAGGGCGAGCGACGAGATGTAGACGGTTTCGGAGTTGTCGATCAGGTTTGTGTTATCCTACGCCCAGTCAGCTCCCACCGCACAAGATGCAAAGAATGACGCCAAAGTAGCGGACATGAGAGGGCATTGATTCAAGCATACCGTGCTCGGCTGCGCTCCAAGGCCGCCCAGGCCACTGTTGGCAAACATTGACCGGAATCGGTGATCCATTTTGCGCTCAGTATGTGCAGAGAGGCGGGGGAAAGCGACGCAGCAGGCACCAAAAAGATATCGTGGTGTACGGAAAGACTTCTCTGTGGGGGCCGGAAAGGATGGTATCTCAAGTGTTGCTCGTTTCTCGAAGTTGAAGCTACCGGGGAGGCAAAAACGAGTTCGTGCTGGTTCATGGTGTTGACGCCAACCCACCGCAGCCTGGAGCTTCGAGGCGGAGACGAGCGGCAGAATTATAATATATAGTCACGTGCGGCTTAATGGGCTGGCAAGGCTCAAGGTCGCAGCTGAAGCTGACTTGATCCACACGCTATGACCATTATTATTAATGTCTCTAGCCTGAGAGTTGGGGGGGAAGGGTGGAGTCGAACTCCTCCGACATGCGCGAGTGACGCTCCAATTCACCATTAAATTTATTATTTCTTTCCTATTGTGCTCGCGACCGATTAAGCTGTTTTCTCCCCTACACCTTTTTGGCCATACTCTCCCCTTCCCTTGCACTTGCCTCTCAAGACACCTTGTCTTATAGAAATCGCCGCTGGGCTTCGTAGAAGCTCTCTGCAAACTTTGGCGGTCACCAGCTGCGAGCTCCCCCTCAAAAGTGTTCCTATTCCTCCAGCAGCAATAAATAGGCGGGCGTACGGACGTCTTTTACACTGCACGATGGCTACCGACGCAGCCGGCGTTGACCGCACACGCCCGCTCTATACTGTCACCAACACGGACAAGAAGCGGGTGGCATACTTTTACGACTCGGACATTGGCAACTATGCATACGTGACGGGCCATCCGATGAAGCCACATCGTATCCGGCTGGCGCATAGTCTCGTTATGAACTATGGGGTCTACAAGTTCCTCGAGGTCTACGTAAGTCATTGTTCCGCAGAAGGACTCCCCCAGCCTTTCCTTGTCCTCTTGGGCATCACGTATCGACTGACCCGTAGTTCAGCGAGCAAAACCGGCCGTTTTCATGGAGATGACACAATTCCACACCGACGAATACATCGACTTTCTCCAAAAGGTCACCCCGGACAACATGGACAGTTACCAGCGTGAACAGAGCAAGTACAACGTTGGTGACGACTGCCCAGTGTTCGACGGCCTCTTTGAATTCTGCGGCATCAGTGCCGGAGGCAGCATGGAGGGCGCCGCTCGCCTTAACCGAAACAAGTGTGACATTGCGATCAACTGGGCTGGAGGCCTGCACCACGCCAAGAAGAGCGAAGCTAGTGGCTTCTGCTATGTGAACGGTAAGGTGGCATCGTCCGAGGTTGTGCACGCATGAAGCAATTCTAACCCAGCCGTTCAATCAGATATCGTGCTCGCGATTATCGAGCTTCTGCGATTTAACAAGCGGGTCCTCTACATCGACATCGATGTCCACCACGGTGACGGCGTTGAGGAGGCATTCTATACTACGGACCGGGTCATGACGGCGTCCTTCCACAAGTACGGCGAGTACTTCCCCGGCACGGGCGAGCTGCGAGACATTGGCATTGGCACGGGCAAGAACTACGCCGTGAACTTCCCCCTCCGCGACGGCATCGACGACGAGACCTATAAGACAATCTTCCGACCGGTTGTCACGGCCATCATGCAATACTTCCAGCCTGATGCAGTGGTGCTGCAGTGCGGCGGCGACTCTCTGTCAGGTGACCGCCTTGGCTGCTTCAATCTGAGCATGCACGGTCATGCAAGCTGTGTGGAGTTTGTTCGCAGCTTCAACTTGCCCATGCTCGTTGTTGGTGGAGGTGGCTACACGATGCGGAACGTGGCCCGGACGTGGGCCTTTGAAACCGGAAAGCTCGTTGGTGTCGATATGGACCCAGTGCTCCCGTACAACGAGTACTACGAAGTAAGTGACGGCATGGGCTGGCGAAACGAGTGCGAGGGATAGTGGGGCTGACTTTTTTTCTGAACAGTATTACGGACCTGACTACGAGCTGAACGTTCGGTCGTCTAACATGGAGAATGCTAACAGTGCCGAGTACCTCGAGAAGATCAAGATCGCGGTGATTGAGAATCTGAAGCGGACTGCGCCAGTTCCATCGGTGCAGATGCAGGACGTGCCTCGCCATGGGCTAGGCATGACGGACGAGGAGGAGGCAGAGCTGGACGACCTGGACGAGGATGAGAACAAGGACACGAGGATGACGCAGCGGCAGTGGGAAAAGACCCGTGCCAGACAGGATGAATTTGAAGAGAGCGACGACGAAGAGATGGCACAGGCGAACGGGGTGAACTACGACGGGCCGCCGAGAAGGTCAATTCTGGACTACCGCAACCCTCATGCAGAGTACGATACGGACAGTGGAGTGGCGACGCCCGAAACAAAAAAGGAAGGCAGCGAGATACCGGCAGTGGTAGAGGCGGCAGTCAAAGCGACGGTGGAAGTCCCAGAAACCAACGACGTGGCAATGGAGGATGCAGAGGCGGCACCAGTAGCTGCTGAAGAGGGGGAAAAGAAAGACGAAGAGACTGCTCCTGGTTCGAATAGCGCTGTTGCTGCTGCAAGTGCTGCTGTATCAGCAGGTGACAGCACTCCTGTCGTCGAGAAGGAAGCGAGCACAGCCGAAAAGGCAGCAGAAGACGGCGACGTTGAGATGACAGACGCAGTAGAAGAGGCACCTGCGACGTCGGAGACTTCAGCTGTGGCCACGGAAGTTATTGAGAAGGAGGCCGTCGTCCCCGTAGAGGCTGTCGAGGCAGGCGAGACCAGCAAGACGACTACATCTGATCTGACCGCCGCGCCCGAATCAGAAGCGACCAGCAAGGCCGATGCAAAGGCGGTCACGGATACTGCTACGAGCGGTGCTGCGGAGACCGAAATTACGCCTGTTGCCGAGACGAGCGAGACGAGCGATACGAGCGAGACGAAGGAGACGAAGGAGAAGGCGGCAGAAGAGAAGACCACCGAGGTGACCATCCCCAAGGCTGTCGAGCAGGAGAAGACAGTCGAAGACACAACTTCCAAGAAGGAGGATGCCGAGAGCACGGCAGTGAAGGAAGGGGAGGCGTCAGTCGAAAAGAAGGCCGACGAGGAGAAGGCAGTGGAGGAGAAGAGCAGCACGCCAGATGCGAGCGAGGCCAAGGTGGTCAAGAAGGAGGACGCATGAGCGAACTTGAGGCCGAGGACATGCGTGGAGGCAACTGTGGATTGGTGTAAAGGCATTGTATTTGCGAATTGTTTTTGGATTTGATTTATTACCGCGCAATGTAGGAGGATACCAGCGGCGCATGTCCTGTCACATATAAATAAGGAAAGGAGCTCAGTGAGCACAGACAAAAGGCAAAGAACGCATTGAATCCGGGTTTGGGTGTTTATGGCTGGCGACAGCGTGATATAGACAAGCTGGCATACGTTCTCCTACTTCTTGACGGCAACGACAAAGAGACGGGGGTAGCGGATGAGGACGGAGCCGTCAGCACGCGGCTTGTAGAAGTCGGCGAGACGAGTCTTGTAGGCATCGAGATAGGCATCACGGACGGGGCCTTCCGGCAGGGCGTTGACAAAGGGCTGCAGGCCGGAGCCCTTGAGCCACTCGACGATATCGGCGACGCCGCCGGGCAGAGCGTGGTAGTAGGCCGTGTGCCAGACGTCGACGGCGGTGCAGTGAAGGATGAGCGCGTCGTAGATCGTCTCGGGCGTCTCGATCGGGTCGCGATCCGAGAGGTCGCGCAGGAACGGCACCCAGACGTCGTCGGCCGAAGTTCCGGGCGCCTTTCCGCTGCCGACTTCACCCATTGCCCGGTGTGACGGCTCGTCCTTGTTGTCGGGCACCTGGTACGCGAACACGCCGCCCGGCCGCTGCGTCGCCAGCAGCCGCAGCACCGTCGGCAGCCGGTCTGGCAGCCGCAGCCACTGGAACACGGCGTTGGCCAGCAGCAAATCGGCCGGTGCATCGTCTGTCGGTTGGCCTGCATACGTGCGTAGGTCGGCCAGCGCAAAGTCGACGTCTGGCAGCGCCGCACGTGCCCGCTCGATCATGTTGGGCGACGCGTCGACGCCCGACACGTGGGCGCCCGTGAACCGCTGCACCAGCACGGCCGTCGAGTTGCCGGGACCGCAGCCGAGATCGATGATGCGCAGGGGTGGCGAGGCGTCGTCATCTGTCGTGGCCGGCAGTTTGCCGCCCGGCAGCGGCACCCGCGCCACCAGGTCGTGCACGGCGCGGGTGCGCTCGCTGTCAAACTTGAGGTACTGGGCCGCTGACCAGTTATTTTTGCCGGCAGCCGATGAGGCCGATGAAGCCATCCTGGAGTTGGTGCTCACGAGAGCGCCTTTGGCTGTTGTTCTCGTGGCCAGAGATGCCAAGACGGGCGATGATGTACTGTGCGACAGCGCTGCTGGCAGACGACGCACAAGACGGACGGTGGACATGGCAATTGGTACGGCAAAAGAGACGATGCAGATGCTTCGGTCTTCTCGTGAGATTTTGGAGCCGGCACCAGACTCGATTTATGTGCCAGCAGCGTGCCTGCCTTGGAATGGCGAAATTGCTGTTGGTGCAGGGCGGCAGGCGTGCAGCTCGTGGGTCGGACCTGCCTTGCCTGGGCGCTGTCGTAAATGCGTCGCGCTGCCGAGCTCGCCGCTCTTTCCCCCGCGCTCGATTCGGAGCAATTGCTGGTCCACCGTCGGTCTGCTGTCGGTCGGCGATTGCCACGCCTCCGAGCCGAGGAGATCCAACCTGCTCGCTGCTATTGCCAATGCTGACCCTCGAGGAGCGCTGGGCGAGTCAACGGCATGCGCAACTGCAGCCTCTTTGCTTTGCAACCAAACACTATGTGCCTCGGCTCTCGATTTAAGCTATGCTCAAACACAACTGCCTCTTGATCCGTTCGCACAGCAGTCGCTCTTGCCACAATGGACTGGTCTGACGCGACTTTAACAACTCCTCAGCTACCAAAGCTTGCGGATGACTTGCATCTTTCATAGCCATCAATACAAACATACTCTCATATACATTAGTTATCACTACAATGTACCACGTGGTCGAATTCAAGAACGGATCGGTCGCAAGAAACCCATCGGTCGCAATCTCCTGGTGCGGGTGCGTCGCCATATGAAAGACGTGGACCTGCACAAGCTGGCGAAGCATCTCGGCCTGACTCCCGCAGAGACAGATAATTAATTGGATGTGCAACGCTGTGGTCGAGACCTTGTTCCGGCAGCTTGACAGCTCCTATCTTATCTACGAGCCGACGGACATGCCCAGCTTAAAACAGCTTACCCGGCGGTTAACAGACGAAAAGATGTGCTCAGAATCGCCAAAGAAGTACTTCGGACCATTTGCAGACGAGCCACATTATGACGGTGTCGACCACTGCCTGCGATTTGCTCTGCGGCTGATGCAAGACAGCCAGAACAACTACCATGACAACAGTGACGTACCCTACAACCTCGGCCTCCAAGGGGCCTGTGAGGTGCTGGCATATCTCTGCAAGTGGCACATGATCAGGTTGGAAGAAGAAAACTGGCTGGCAGACGGGATGGGGGATTTCCAATGCTCGGACTTGGCGACCTGGTACACAAAAGCCTGTGACTAAGTGCCGCATCTACTCTGACTCTCTTCTGCTTTTCCGAGTAAACGGATCTCGCTGCTAGTATAATAAAGACCTCTACGGGTGTATGCAGGATAGTTATGGTTTCCCGTAATAGACCATCACATCGCCTGCCGTTTACGTTAATATTCTGGTGCTGGGGCGCATGGGCTTGTGCTACGACTTCCACTAATAATCGACCTTCCCTCTCTCGGAAATGTCTGGAAGTGACAGTGCAGACGCCAAAGCCAGTCAAAGTAGAGATGCATCCATGTTCCGCTTCTAAATTGCCTGATAGAACTTTCCCCAGCCAACGGTCATAATATTTCACAGAGTTGGCCCGTTGCGAAAAAATGAGTTGTGCGGATCTAAGACAAGCAACGAGGAAGGAGACGAGAATATGAAAAGTCGGATGCATTCAAGAAAGCAGCCTTCACCTGTTTCTGAGCGGCGTTGTCGAATATCTAATCTTCTCCTTTCATGATTGTTGGCTTGATGAAAGAGTAATATGCAATGAGCGGAGAAAATGTTTGAAAGCTTCTGCTGAGCGAACTAGGCTAAGTTGGGTGATTACAAGCGCAGGGCGCCATTTGATAGGGGATTCATGCACGTTAAAGTACGGAGTACTCCGTACCTATTTATAACAATACGCCTCACGGGCAACGATAATCTAACGAACTCAACACATCTCATTCTTCTGCGAAGTACGTGGTGAGAACTACAAATCTGCTTTTATCGCTTAGCCTGTGATTCTAGGAGACCTAACCTTTCCAAAGACCCACCACTAGATTCTCGACGCGCGCAACGGACGCGTCACTACTCCATTCAATCTTCCAACGAAATATGACCACTAGACCTTTTAAAGGCCTACAAGACCTGCAATTGGTCCGAACGGATATCTCCGGATTGCTGTCAGTTGCATATACTCCGAACGATATCTACGATATCTACTATGGCGCTATCAAAGCAAAATGCGCATTATCAATAGTACGCTTCCAGAAAATCATCCTTCGCAGGTTCCAGGATGCGACACGACGATCTTCCTCCGTTTGAATACAATCAGGTCGACACCATCCGCATCGTCTCTGGGGAGATCTTTTGCCGGTACGCAGAACGAGGAAGCCGAACGATTCGCTGTCCCTACTTCAAGAATTTCGGAAGTGAGCAGGCCTTGCGCACCCACGTTTGTAAATTGCACTCTGTCAAGGTTGAGGGCAAAAAGGCCGGGAAAACATCGCTTCACGACATCATGGAAGTGATCAAATATTACGGCGACCTGCGGTCATACATGCAAATGGACAACATGCCCGTGCCGAGCGCGCCTCTAAAGGGGGTGAGAAGCGTCGTCTCGCCCAAACAACAGTCCAGCGTGTCCCAGGAAGCGTTACCCGTGGCACGCGCAGAATCTGGCGACCGGGTTTGCAAAGTTGAGTTAAGTCAGAAAACTGAGCATGCTGGTTTTCTCTAAATAGGAGGGCAGGCCCGCAGGCTAAATTGATGAATATAATGAGTAAGGAGTAACCCCCCAGGCTATGTACACAGCTCACGGCTGGTCTACCACCTTGGCCTCGGCGACCTGCAGTGTATTGAGGACGGTATGGACGTCGCGCTTCTCCAAGCTCTTCTTGACCGGGTTGGGCGCAGAGAAGACCTCTTCGAGCTCTTCCAGGGTGCGGTCCTTGGTCTCGGGAAAGTAAAAGTAGATGAAGACACCCTCAAAGAGGTCCCAGAAGACGAAGACGAGGTAAAAATAGTAGCCGATACCCTGAAAGGCCGGACCGGAGCTGTACTGCAGCACGGTCGAGGCGGCCGACGAGGCAAAATTGCCAATGGCCGTGCCCTTGGCGCGCGTGTGGGTGGGCAGGGTTTCGGCGATGTACATGGATTGCAGGGGGGTCCAGCCGAGGGAGAAGACGACGCCGAAGATGTATATGAGGGCGATGGTAGCGTTGGCGGCCGCGGTATTTGAAGGGTCATCAGTAGCCGCCTTGGAGGAACCAGTCAAGGCGGCAAAGCAGAGGGAGGAGAAGCCGATGGACCAGAGAAGCAGCGGGCGACGGCCGACGACATCGGTGAGGCGAGCGCCCGCAACGGCTCCGAGGAAGGAGAGGACCTGGTTGAGGGCGTTGAGGGCTAGCACCTTGTGCTCGGAAGTGATGCCGGCTGCATGCATCATGACGACAAAGTAGTAGGATGACAAGCTGTTGCCCGAGATCTGGCCGAAGCAGGCCATGCCGAGGACGCAGATGAGGCGACGACGGGCCGAATGGGTGCTCCAGAGCTCGTGGTAGTCGTGCCAGGACTTGTCGGACGCGGCCGTGGCAATCTGGCGGGCCATCTCGTGCATCTGCAGCCGCACGATCGGGTGGTCAGCCCGGCCCTCGCCGTGGTATGTGGCCAGCACGCGGACAGCGTCGTCGTGGCGATCTTGGGCCATCAGCCAGCGCGGCGATTCAGGCAGGAAGAGAACGGCCACGGCCACGAAGCCAGAGCTGGCCATTTGCACCCAAATCGGGATGCGCCAGCCGCTGGAGCTGTCCAGGTACGAGCAGCCGTACACAACCCAGCTGGCCACAATGGCCCCAATATACCACGTGCAGTTGTATAGTCCCGTCAGTGTTCCACGCCACCGCGAATGGGCCATCTCGCTGACGTAACACGGCGCCGACACGCAGCAGAAGCTGACGCCGAAGCCCAGCAGGAACCGGCCGCCCAGGAACTGGCCGTGCGTCTGCGCGGGCGCCTGCACACACGTGCCCACAATCACCAGAACCGCCCCCACAAACATGCCCCAGCGCCGGCCGAAATAGTCGTTGACCGGACCTGTGAAGAACACGGCCGCCACCGAGCCGATGTTGTACATGGCAAACACGATGCCCGTGCTGGAGCCTGCCACCTTCCTGCAGTCCTGTCAGCAGTGCGATCGCTGACGCCGGGTTCCTGTTTGTGGTCCCTCACATGTGGAAGTAATTTTGGTACGACGTCATGCCGTTGAGGCCGCCCATCAAGCTCCCGTCATAACCGTTTAGACAGCCGCACAGATATGCACAGGACAGCACGACGTAGAGTCGCACCATCCGCAGCGTCCACGGCGAATACGTCTTCGTCTCCGCGTCGTGTGCCATCTGCACCGCAATGTCTGCCTGGTCGCCATATGTCCCGCTGTCCCTCCTCTCCTCCTCATGCTCTGTCGTTGTCTTTGCCATGGATGCTCAAGCGTGTTGTGTCTTCTTCTGCTTCAAAGGCACGATATTTTGAAATTGGTTCGAACGATCGGGACAGAGATTTCACAGGGGAACACAGATGTCCCGCCACATTTAAGTACCGGCTGTCCATCTTAAAAGCCCATCTCTGCTTGACTCCCGTGCCATTGTTGGTCCGGGGCGCGCTGACACACTTGCTGTCATGCCATCCCCGCATTGTCCTCTCCAGGTGGCGCCCAAGTCCAGACATACTCAAATTCGACGGGAGCCCTAGGATGGCCGATTCGGAGAAGTCAAGGTGATATTAGCCTGTTTGTCGGTGCCGGACCGCAGTGATGACTCGCGGTTTGGGGTTCATAATACGAGAGCGACAGCGTCTGGTGATCTTGTCCGCCAGAAGAACTGCCGTGGCTGTCTGTACAGTGTAGCTTGTCCATTCGGAAGCATGTTAAGTGTATCGACGTCTGGTTGTGATTTGTAGCGTCGTTGTTGGTCTGTCGTCAATGACACATCACTAATCCTAATTTGGCAGGGCTGCCGCCTTCCCCTCATCCCCCACTGATCGACGCCACTTTGTGGGCCCTACAACAACGCTACTATCTTCCTGCCGTCTCTACACTGCATCGGACAACGGTATCCCGGCGGCCGAGCGCGCCTGGACACGATATCACATTGTGGGAAGGAGCAGCCACCGATTACGGAGCACCTTCCTTATAGGACGTAGTACGAACGATCTCGTATATCTTTTCAACCAGCTCTTCCTCCTCATCTCCTCTTCTCCTCATCTTCCGCTGCACCCCTCCAATCTTACAAACCACAACTCAGGAAACTTTCCCCAACATGGCGCCACCTCTTGGCATCTCTACCCAAGCGATCTCGGGACGAAATGACTGGGAGAACGAGGCTGTCTTCCGCCGCAACTGTTTGCCGCACCGCTCCTACTATCTCCCCGAGGGCACTGTCAGTCTTAATGGCACCTGGAGCTTCCAGCTTTCCAAAAGGCCTATTGATGCCCCGCATCCAAACCCGCAGGACTCTATTGTGGCGCTTTGCCCTCATTCAATAACTGTTCCGGGCCACTGGCAGCTAGAGGGCCGACAGCAGGGCCTAGACTGGGGCAAACCTTGGTACACGAATGTGCAGTACCCCATTCCAGCCACACCTCCATACGTGCCCTCAGACAACCCAACCGGCACTTACTTCAGGAAGTTTGATCTTCCGAAAGGCTGGTCCAAAGACCAGAACCGTCTAGTGTTGCGTTTTGACGGTGTCGACAGTGCCTACCACATCTGGGTCAACGGTATACTTTTAGGGTACGCCCAAGGCTCTCGAAATGCTGCGGAATTTGATATTACTGAAGCCACACACTCTGATATTTCAAACGAGCTCGTCGTGCGCGTGTACCAGTGGTCAGATGGGACCTACATTGAAGACCAGGATCAGTGGTGGCTTTCGGGCATCTTCCGGGATGTGCATCTGATTTCAGTGCCTCGTGACTGTGTCATCGAAGACTGGTTTCTCCGTACAAACCTGGACAGCGAATACAAAGACGCTGAGATTGAGGCTTCAGTGCAGGTGTTGGTGACCGAGCCAGCCCATCTCACGTTCCAGCTCAAGGACACAGACGACGATGACGTGATCCTGACTGAGAAGACGGTGTCAGTGGCCACAAGCACACCAGGTGCCAGTTCCAATGTCAGCGTCACCATCCCAGTTTCAAACCCGCGGAAATGGACGGCCGAAACACCGCGTCTTTATCGTGTGGAAATGACTTTACGCTCTCGGGGAGAGAATTATACCGTCCACCAAAACATCGGCTTCCGTAAAGTCGAGCTACTAAACGGCCTGATCTGTGTCAACGGGCAGGCCATTCGGATAAATGGTGTCAACCGACATGACCACCATCCAACCAAGGGACGTGCTGTCCCCCTCGACTTTATGTGGGATGACCTTGTCCTCATGAAGGCGCATGGAATCAATTCCCTGCGGTGCTCCCATTATCCTCCCCATCCACGACTGCTGGACATGACGGACAAACTAGGGCTGTGGGTCATGGACGAGGCGGATCTCGAGTGTCATGGCTTTTTAGATGCCGTTGCTCGCCATATGGATATCCCAGAGTCTATGGACTATGACGATCGAAAGGAGCTTGTCTACCCGGAGGCTAGCAAGTTCACATCCGACAACGAAAGCTGGCACGGAGCGTATGTGGACCGCATGGAAGCAATGGTGCAGCGCGACAAGAACCATGCCTCTGTTATCGTCTGGTCGCTGGGTAACGAAGCCATCTATGGCCGAAATCACCACGCCATGTATCTATATGCCAAGGAGCAGGACCCAGGCCGTCTGGTGCACTATGAAGCCGACAATCTGGCTCGGTCATCCGACATGTACTCGTACATGTACCCAAGCATCGAAAAGCTTACCAGCCATGTTGAAACAGCAGGCGTTGCGTCCGACGGCTCTTTTGCAAAACCCGTTGTCCTGTGCGAATATGCCCACGCAATGGGCAACGGGCCGGGCGGACTTGAAGACTACGAAGCCATGTTCCGCAAGTATCCCCGTCTCCAGGGTGGTTACGTCTGGGAATGGGCCAATCATGGAATATGGAAGGAAGACTCTGCGACGCAAAAGTACTATGCTTACGGTGGAGACTTTGGCGACATCCCCAATGACGGCACATTTGTCATGGACGGCTTGTGTACGAGTACTCATAAGCCGACTCCTGGACTGCTAGAGCTGAAGAGTATCATGCAGCCAGTCCGGCTGGAACTTGACACGTCAGACCGCACCGTCCTTCTGCTCCACAACCTCTACGACTTCATCGACCTCGGCCATCTGCGGCTGACATTCAAGATAGAGCAGTTTGGTGGGAAGTACGTGGTGCTCAAGTCAGGGACCGTGGAGCTGCCCAGCGTGCCTCCAGGAAGCACGGCAAAGGTGACATTGCCACTGGACTACAACTCCTACGTCGAAGGTTCAGACACCCTTCTCACGGTGGTTCTCGCAGAAGAAGATGACAGTTCGTACACCGCACGCTTCCAGCAGTACCTGACAAAGGAAAGAAAAGACCGACTAGTGCTTCCGCAGCTTGGCCCCCGGCTTCCCGAAGGGCAAAAGAAGCCAGTTGTCAGCAGGATGAGCGGTATCGTGGCAGTATCCGGCACAAACACGTCCGGAGATAGTCGGTGGTCAATTGCTTTCGACGAGCACGAGGGCCACCTCCTGAGCTGGACCCGAGATGGGTTCGAAATTCTCAAGCCCCTGTCAGGGGCATGTGGGCCGGTCCTGGAGCCTGGCTTTTGGCGCCCACCTACCGACAACGACCAGCCAGTCGCAGTGCCTTACTGGAGGCGATACGGCGTCGACTTGATAAAATACCATCGTACAACGTGCATGTCTGTTGAAGAGCATCATGTCGATAAGGTGATCATCCAGACGAAGTCACATTATGCACCGCCTGTGCTGGCCTGGCAATGGGAAAGCGACATGACATACACGATCACAGACACTGGCACGCTGAAAGTATCTGTCCATCTGAATCCAACGGGGTGGTTTCCAGAGCACGTGCCACGAGTCGGACTGAATTTGGGTCTGAACTCGGACTTGGGCGAGTTTACGTGGTACGGCAGAGGTCCTGGCGAATCCTACCCTGACAAATGCTCGAGTCAGCTTCTGGGCATCCACACCGTTGCCGGGTTGGACAGCTTGGAGGGGCCGTACGATGTGCCACAAGAGAACGGAAACCGAAGCGGGACAGGCTGGCTGGTGGTGAAAAAGTCGTCGTCTGGCGCGACAGACCCATCTTTCTGTGGACTTAGGGTTAGTCTCGACGGGGTGGGAGCTGAAGAGACCACCTCGCGCGTCAGCAAAGTCAACCGAACCAGTCTGTCTAGCGGATTTGACTGGGCAGCAACGCGGTACACGGCCAAGATGGTAGAAGATGCGAGGCATCCGTGTGATTTGCGAGCATCGTCAGATACAACGCTGCGACTGGATGCCAAGGTGGCAGGTGTGGGGTCGGCAGCATGTGGACCAGGCGTGAGGCCAGACCTTCTAGGCCGCGTGGAGGAGATGCAGTTCGGATTCTGCCTGGAGCCTTTCGACGATGGAGGGCCGGAGGTAGTGTAAGTGCGGACGGAAATGGCTTATGTCAGACGGCACAACGAAAGCGGGGCACAGGGAGAGCTAGCACTTTTCCGATCGGAATTAGACACAGAGGAGGAAGAATAAAGCCGATAATACGCTATTGGTCACAACAGCAGCTCTCGCCCAACTGGGTACTAGGCACTGACAGCAGATGACGTCGAACTTCTTATGGTATATAAGGCTGCGTCCCTTGGGAATATCCGGCATCCTTTCTTTTTTCTTAGTCTGCATTCACACAGTACAGCAACGACGAACATATACGAGAGCATTTCCCGGCCACATAACGACAAACTCAGCCCCCCAAAAACACAACCACAAACAATGTCATCTTTGCCCAAGACGTACAAGGCGGCAGTACTGGAGGAACAAGGCCAGCCGCTTGTGATTCGCGATGTGCCACTGGAGCTTCCGGGTCCAGGCCAGGTGCTGATCAAGGTGCTGGCGTGCGGAGTGTGTGGCAGCGACGGGCACGTGCAGATGCATGGCATGGGGCCAGTACAGAAGGCGCTGCCTCTGGTGCTGGGGCACGAGATTGTCGGCGACATAGTGGCGGTGGGAAGCGGCGTGACGGGTTTCTCGGAGGGCGAGCGGATCGGAGGGTCGTGGCACGGCGGCCATGACGGGACATGTCGCAGCTGCCAGCGCGGTCTGTTCCAGATATGTGAACGGGGACAGATCAACGGGGTATCCCGCGACGGCGGCTTTGCCGAATACGCGCTTCTGCAGACAGAGGCGGCAGTGCGGCTGCCGGCCGACGCAGATCCAGTCGAGACAGCGCCGCTGCTGTGTGCCGGCATAACCGTGTTCAACGGCCTGCGCAAGCTGCACATCGAGCAGGGCTCGCTGGTGGCCGTGCAGGGTCTGGGCGCACTCGGCCATCTGGCCGTGCAGTATGGTCGAGCCATGGGCTACGACGTCGTCGTGCTTTCGTCCAACGACAGCAAGCGGGCCTATGTCTCGGAGCTGGGCGCGATCGCCTACGTCGACGCGAGCAGCGAGGACTCGGTGCAGGCGCTGCAGCGGCTCGGTGGCGCTGCTGCCATCGTGTGCACGGCGCCCAACCCGGCCATCATCGGTGGTCTCATCGGTGGTTTGCAGCCACAAGGCACACTACTGGTCCTGAGTCCGGTTTCGGGCGTCCAGATCGACATGACGCCCATGGTTGTGCGCGGGCTCCGGCTCGCCGGCTGGCCGTCCGGTCACGCGCTCGACTCGCAGGACGCCGTCGCCTTTGCCCAGCGCCACGGCATCAAGACGCTCATCGAGCCCTACAAGTTTGCCGACATCGACAAGGCCTTTGAGCGCATGCACTCGGGCAAGGCCCGCTTCAAGGTCGTCGTCGATATGCAGTGAGAGGCGAAAGGGACGGCAGATACCGCCTGGCGCGGACGGCGAACAAAAGGACAAGAACGCGTTGGAGCGGGATAATGGAAAAGCTGGACATTTCAAAGGAGATAGTTAATGTTATTATGGTCTACATTCGAAAACTTTCTTTTAAAGTGACCCGACGTGATAAATGGAAAGAGCGCCGCACATTGCGCCTGCCTTGTTAACAACAGGCCAAAGGAGTTTGGCCAAAGAAAGAACGGTGTCTCTGAATGAACAATGCTATCGTTCACAAAGGACGCCAAGACCGAAAAATAGTTCATTGGGGCTTTTTCCCAGCTGGATGCATCGTGTCCTTTGTTCATTCAGCCACCGCTTGCAGACATATAAAGACGCAGACTCGTCCGTCTTGTGAGCTTCATTCTGTTTATCTACAGCGCCTCTTCACATCAACACAACAACCATCCAGGAAACTCTTTTGGAGATACAACCAGTCCTACTTTGACAGTAAGGGCTCCTTTTCCATTCTCTCATCCACGTTTCTATCATCCCCCCCCTCTCTCCTTTCTGGATTCCTCTTCCCATACCCTTTTAAAGTACGAAACCATGTCTACTAACAACAGCTCCTTCCGTCTTCCCCCCAACTTCCGGCCGACTACGCTGGAGTTGTATCCTCAGCCAGCGGAAAGCTATACTGACGCAGTGTGTGAGCATGAACGCCGCCTCATGAAGGCACCGTCGGACCAGGTCCGGAAAGAGGTAAAGGGTATAATCAAGTACAACTCCATCCAAGAGGCTCTCGCAGCCCGTCCGCCCACGCCCTCAGGTAACTACCGGCCCATCAGCTTCGGTCTGCCCCGACACACGCTGCCTGCTGAGACGTCTGCCGACGACGAGAGTAAGCATCTACTCCTCTGTGCTGCCTGCCAGGCACGCGGGGCTGAAATTGAAATGACACTTCTTCCAGCTGCGCTGCAAACCCGCCGCGTCCGCTTTGTCGACCCGGAAAACACTTGTGCCATATGTGCCAGCTTTTTGATCAGACCCTGTGGTGCAAAGGACGCGGACGAGATGACGCTCGTCGGCAGTGACGATGACGATGATGAAGACGACGACGACGATGACGGCGAAAATCCCCACGTGGTCTACCGTGCCGTTGCAGCAGCTTATCCGCCCGACCCGACCATGGGGAACTTCGACGAGATTTGCGACCTAACGGCCGACTTCAACGTCACTGTTGGCTCCATGGTTGCTCAGCAGGTCCAGGGAGATTACCTTGCTAGTATACTGAAGGCCGGGAGATCGGAGACCTTTGGGTTTACCCTTGTCCCGGCCCGCGGTGAGTCTTGAGGCAAAATATGAATCGGGGGACTTCTTGCCCTGACCACTGACACGTTCGGAAAGCGTTGACGCTCTACATCCGGCAGGTCTGGATTGATTGTAGAGACAGTCTTTGTGTTTATTCGTTGGGGCGCATTTCTGGTTTACTTGTTGTTTTCATGCTTTCTTCCCCTGTTCCTTGCTAATCGCCGTGATACTTTGCAAGTCATTGTACTTAGTCCCGTAATAGTATCTTACATTGTCTCTACATTATTACAGCGTTAAACTTAATAATTACGCTCCATTGATGAGACGCGCAAACTTTGATGAACAAGCTGGAAATGGCTATCCTCAAAGCTATGCATCGATGCCACCCAGTGACCATTTTGTAACAGTGGGCCTCCCTTTTCCAGAGGCCATTGTCGCCTGAGAAATCTTGACACAAAGGCAATCGATATCTCTCCTTTGGAGTGACTTGGGATGCTGGCCGTGAGCCAGCATACTGTAAAGTAGGAAATGAAGAAAATTGTCGTTACGGTCTCTCCTGTTTGATCTTGTCTACCTGTCGTCTTTCCAATCCTGTGAGCAACTTTGGTGTAGCGGTAACATCTACGCTTCCCATGCGTAGGCTCCGGGTTCGACTCCCGGAAGTTGCAAGTTGCAATCTCCAAGGATATTTTTTGCACCCCATCTACTCATGCAGCCGCTTTTTTGGCCTTTCTAGCACGACAATTCGGACCAGAGGACTTTCATTGGATTGAAGGCCAAGCTGTGAAAATAAGGACGGTTTGCTTTGCCAGCTAACGCAAGTGGAGCGGACCCACTAAAAATTTCAGGTCTTTCTTCAAAAAAATTGAGAGACGAAAATAGCTTCGACTGTAGAAGCACAGCAAAGACAGAAGCCAGCCATCCATTCTTCCGTGCACCCATCCTGGAACCATGCCTCTCGACACGTCGACATACTCACTAGCGCTCCTGCGCGTGGATGGGCGCCGCTGGAACGAGCTGCGGCGCTGCCACGCCGAGGTGCGCACGCAAGCCGCCGCCGACGGTTCCAGCTACCTCGAGATGGGCAACACCAAGGTCATGTGCGTGCTGACGGGACCGAGCGAGGTGGGCCAGAGCCGCGCACGAATGGCGGGCGGTGGCGGCGGTGGTGGAGGTGGCGGTGGTGGTGATGCCAAGGACGCCGAGGTGATTGTGAACATTGTGGTGGCCGGGTTCAGCTCGGTGAACCGGCAGCGGCGAAGCCGGCAAGACAAGTAAGTGATGACGGTGGAGGGCGGGTGACTACAGGTGACGATGGGTGATGGCGGGTGCCAGAAATGCTGACACGGGTAGACGGACCCAGGAGATGGCGGCGACGATCTCGCGGACGCTGGCGGCTGTTCTGCACACGCACCTGTATCCGCGCAGTACCATCACGATCAGCCTGCACGTCCTCAGCCAGGACGGCTCGCTGCTGGCGGCGCTGATCAACGCGGCCACGCTGGCGGCCGTCGACGCCGGCATCCCCATGGCCGACTACGTCGTGGCCTGCTCGGCCGGCAGCTCGTCCAGCTACGCGGCTGCCGACGACGCGGCTGATCCGCTGCTCGACCTCAATCTGCAGGAGGAGCAGGAGCTGCCCGGCCTGACCGTTGCTACCCTCGGCGCCTCCGACCGTGTTGCCGCCCTCGTGTGCGAGAGCCGCGTCCAGGCCGGCCGCCTCGAGGGCATGCTCGCCGTCGCCGTCGATGGCTGTAAGCAGGTTCGTGCCATCCTCGACAAAGTCGTTCGTGAAGCCGGCGCTCGCTTCGTCCTGCAGGATGACGCGACTGCCGGTGGTGGCGGCAGCGGGGACGACGAAGACGAGGAGGCCTCCGCCATGGAGATCGACAACTAAGGAGAGCGGCTGGGGGATGGAGGAGGCCGCGAGAAGGCCGAGAGGAGGCCAGAGGAGCCAGAGCAGGGACGGGGTAGAAGAAACAAGACGTGATGGCTATGGTATCGCTCTGGGAACTGGTACGTCTGGGTTTGACATGTTTGCTTTTGGGTCTTTTCTCCCTTACATATCCATTGCATGCTAATTGCTCTTTTTTTTACTACATTACAGGTACGGGTCGTTGAGAAGTATTTGCTGGTGCCCCCTTTTATCAACAGGCCACTGCCCCGATGAGGAACACATGGTCTATAGCTCGTCATGCTTGGGCTCGTCGGCTGCTGGCTCGGCAGCTTCCACTGTCAGCTCTGGGGCTGTCTGTTCTGGTTCTGTGGTGCTGCCGCCGTCTTCCAACGCAACGGCGACGATGCCCTCGGGCAGCTGCTTCTTGGCACCCTCACCCAGGCGGATGGCATCGATCCAGCTCTCAATACCCTCGCGTGAGAAGTCGACGGCCTCATAATGCCGCCACCAGCCCCGTCTCGCGTTGATGGCCACCAGCTGCACGTTGTCGCTTGCGAGCCCGAGCGCCTTCAGCAGGTCGGCTGCGCCCGTGTTGCTGTCCGGCACTGCGAAGAACGGGAATAGGTTCCGCTTGCTCTGCGCGTGTTTGAAAGCCAGCTCAGAGAGCTCCTCCAGCACGACCTTGCTATTGTCGATGGCCGTGTTGCCGCCGTGGCTGGCTGGCACAAACGCCAGGACGCACGCGTGCGCTTTTCCGTGCAGACATTCCTTAGCCAGCTTTTCGGGCGTGTTGATAGTCGGGATCGGCATTGCGCTTTCCACAATGACAGGCGCCGTCTGCTCCGCCTTCGTGGTCGTTGCCGTCTCCGTCTCCGTCTCCGATGACTCCTTCGTTGCCTTCTCTTTCTTTTCCCGAGCGGCCTTGGTCTTGCTCTGCGACTCTTTCTTGGCCTTGCTGCTCGCTGTCGACGGTGTTCGATCCGGGTTGGGCGCACCGGCCTGTGAGAGGAACTTGACCATGGCGTCCTTCTTCAGCTCACCGTCGTACTTGATTGGCTCTGCGTCGCCACCGGGGACAAGAACGAGCGTAGGAAAGCTCGCGACGCCGAACTTCTCCACCGTCTTGGCCTCCTTGTCGCGCACTTGACCGAGGGCGATGACGTCGAGAAAGTCGATGGCGAGACTCTTCAGGAGCGGGCTAGTTGTTCCCTTTTTCGTGAAGAGGAGTGCCTTGGGCTTGCCGTTGCTGCTGTCGAGGAAGGCATCGACGTCCGCGTCTGTCACCTTGATGACGTGGTTGTTGATCTTGGCCGTCACGGCGTCCACGATGCCGGTGGCCGTCCTCGGACCCTGGTAGTCCTCCATAACTGGCCGGCCAGTTTTCTTCCCCGGACGCACAATCTTCAGCGTTGGAAAGCCTTGGACTCCGTTCATGCCGCAGAACTGCTTGTTGGCATCATCGTCGCAATCGATCGCTGCCACGTGGGCGAGGCCGTCGAGGCTGCGGGCCGCCTTCTCGTATGCGGGCTTGAGGTTTTGGCAATGGCCACACCAGGGGGCGTAGAATTCAAGGATCTGGACAAGTTGGTTAGATTTTTGTCAGTGTAGTGCGAGACCAATATAGTGTATGTGAGCAGATTTGCCGTACAGTGGTGTGATTGGACTTGGCCACCAGTTGGTCGTAGTTTTTTGCGTTGACCTGTAGAACAGGCGAGCTTTTGGTGTAGAGACCAGCCTGAGCGGCTGGCAGGACAGAGAGCAGGGCAATCGCCACTGCCGACAGGGACGCAGAGCTATGCATTGCGTGATGTGCGCTGCAAGATGTCGATAAAGATTGGAAATATGGATCTAGAATGTGGGGAGGGAAGACAGATGAGAGAGAGAAACAGGGCGTGCAAATTTATGGGCGCAATGATTCCCTTATAAAGCGGCCTAGCGACAAAGAAAGAATAGCCAGCATATTAGGTTGTAGTTGAGACCGTTGCCAGAAGCAGCTGTCAGCAACGAGTTTTGGCAAAAAGGCCAGCGTGGAAGCAGCTGCGGCAAGGAATGCTCCAGATTCGCTTCTGTGGGGAGCTTAAGCCATGATTGCTAATGGGTGTGGCTGAAGCTTGGCGGGGTCCTATTGGTGGGGAATGTGGCTTTCCAGGCTGCCGTGATATTGGTCGCAACTTCCTGTCGCCAGTCGAATTACACTTGGACTTGCTGTTGTTGCAATTTCACATCTGGAGTCATCGTGAACCAGCTTCCTATCTGCGAAAGCATAGTTCTTTCTCTCCCAAGCGCCCTCACCTGCCGCCGCCATGGCTGACGAACCCCCCGCTGTCCTGCGGCAGGCCGACCCGAACATCTACAAGACGGCCACCCGCGCGGCGCAGCTGCAGTCCGTGAAGCCGATTGTGTCCTACTGGTGTACGCATGCTACATCCCCATTTTATTCCGGAATAGGATTCTTTTCCTAACGATCGAAAACAGGCGATTACTGGGTGCTGAAGCAGATTCTCGCAAAGGGCCTGCACAACAGCAGTCCCGACATACTTGAGTACAGCTCGCATCTGATGGACAAAATGGAACAGGCAAGTCTGGGAGAAGATCGTCATAGAGATTCTCGGGATACTGACTCCAGACAGATCAAAGCAGAACATGCTACCGAAGATGCGATCCTCGATGACACGGCTGGCCAGGCCTACGTGGAGCAGTTTGCGCAGGAGACGCTGGACCGGGCGCAACGTGTCGTCCGGGCCAACAAGGTGACAGCGTGAGTGCTGAATGGAGAGGACAGAAGGACAGTAGGCCGGAAGGGTGCACTGCTGATGAACAACCATATAGAATGACGGCAAACACATTTGATGCCGCCGCTTCGTTCTTCGGCCTGGTCAACATCTGGGGGTCACCGGAGCAGGAGAACCTGCAGAAAATCAAGTACGCCAAGTGGAACGCGGCACGAATTCTGAAGGCCCTCAAGGAAGGCAAAGATCCAAACGAGTCGAATCCGCATCTGGACGAGGAGGAGCCCGGACAGGAGCTGGAGCCGCAAGAGAGCTTGTCGCCTGGCCCCGCAGCGCCAGCAGTCATGACACCACGACCCGTGACGATCGAGGACGAGGAAGAAAACGACGGCGATCTGCAGCTACCCGACGCCCCTTCTGCTGCTGCTCATATCGATGACACGAATCCGTTACGTCCGTCAGCACCACCGGCGATACCATCGGTGCCGTCTTTTGACCCGGCTGACCAGGTCGACGCGCATGAATGGGCGGCTCCCACGCCATCTCCCCCGGCTGTCCAGCCGGAGCCGTACTACCAGCAGCAGCCTCAGGGTTTCTCGTCCGCGCCCTCGGCAGTCACAGGCTTCCCACCGCTATCACAGCCACGGGCGCCGGCAGCAGCAGCAGCAGTCGATGAAGCAGCAATGGCGATGGCGCAGAAACACGCAAAGTGGGCCATCTCGGCATTGAACTTTGAGGACGTCACGACAGCAGTCCGCGAGTTGCACAGAGCGCTGGAATTTCTGGGTGCTTCCTGACACGGTCGCGCTTTAGCCGTCTGTATGTTATAATTGCCTCGCTTTGCAATGCGAGCTTGTATTTTGCTCTTGTCCCTTTTTGCAATTCTTTGGTTTTTTGTGCGCACGATACTACGAGCTGCGATGATTTGTAGCGTGGGAATTTTCAAGTTTCATGAACCTGATCTTCGCTTTCTGGTTCCAAATCGCAATTCTTCTAGAACATTTTGGATTTTCCCACCGGGAGTCAATGCTACGCGGACGAGTTTCACATTCAACAGCAGAGCACAACCAACACGATGCAGAGATTATTCAGCTCTTCGTTCTGTAATATCATCTCGTACCTTAAGATCTTGTATCTTCGGAATGAAAAGGCTCCAGAATGACGACGAATACCCCGTTTCTATTGGCACTGCAGCATATTGTGGTGGTTTGGGCTGTCAAGCCCGTCCTGTCCTCCTCCTTATACTCCTTCCCGGCAACATACAATCTTTCGTACACATGTCTGTTGAACTGGCTACTAAAATACCTGACGCGCTCTTGCTTGTTCACAAAGACACTTTTCAATCTTCTTGACGATAAAGTCATTGTACTTATTTACTTCTGGTTGTACGATATCTATTCTAAATAGGTAGCTTCATTAATCCCTACGTCCACCCATCGAGGCGTCTTAGCCGGGTCATTACGCCATCCTTGGGCGCCGCTGACACAGACTGAAGAACCTCTAGTGGTCGGTCTGGATCCTGTAGCTCGATCTGGAAGCGGCCGACTAATACGGCCACGAGGCACAGTAGTTCCGACTGGGCAAATACCTGACCAATACAGCTGCGTGGCCCAGCGAGAAAGGTGAGATTGGCATAGCGACCGGTGGCGCCACCGTTGTTGGAGCGTCCGGGGCCGAGCCAGCGCTCGGGAGAGAAGACGGCGGCATCCGGCCCCCAGAGTTCTGGTTCGTGGTTAGTCACGCCCGGCAAGATCAGAAGCGTGGTGCCCTTGGGTATGAAACTGCCCGCGAGTGTTGTGTCAGCCTGGGCCTGGCGAACAGTCGAAGGCACGGGTGGATAGAAGCGCAACACCTCGTTGCAAAAGGCACGTAGATAAGGTAGCGCGTCGACCTCGTCCGCACACATGGCAGTGGTGACAGCAGCACCGCTAGACATGGGCACACGGGCGCGCACCTCAGCGCGCAGACGCGTCTGCATATCCGGGTGTTTTGCAAGCGCGTAGACGGCCCACTGCAGCGCCGCTGCTATGGTCTCGTGGCCGGCGACGAGCAAGGCGATCATCTGATCGACCATGTTTTCATCTGAGAATGCGCCGCTGGCTTTTGCCAGTGACAAGATGCATTTCGTCGTCTTTTAATTTTGCGCGTATACGCTCGGATGTGGTCCGCCGCAGCCTGGGACTCACGGTTCCACCGCGTGGGCAGATGAAAGATAGCCGGGTAGCCCACCGTGAGCATGACGGAGAGAATGAGCAGACGCATCCCGGTGGTCGGGCGCATGCGCAGCTTGTTATGCTCCTGATGGAACGCGGTTGTGGGATCGCTAATGGAGCCAAAGTCCTGTCCCATGGCGGCGAGTCCGATCAGGTCCAGCGTGACGCGGCCGGCCCAGTCGCTCACCTGGATGGTGACCGTGTCGGCGTCCGCAGATTGTGCCTGCTGGGCCTCTATGGAGTCTGCCATCTCAACCGCCTTTGCCCAGAAAGTCGGGTAGAGGTCCTTGATATGGCGATGTGCAAAGCTCGGCAGTAGCCCTCTGCGCTGAGTCTTGTGCTCCTCACCCACAGCGAGTAAGATGCCATTTCCCGTAAAGCGCTGCAGCTTTATACGCAGAGACTCCGACTTGGGGAAGGCGTACACCTTGGACACCAAGACCTCTTCGAGCGCCTGGGGGCCGATGACGAGGACGCGCTCCAGGTTCCCGGCCAGGTAGTAGCGAAGCAGACCGTCGTTCGGAACCGTCGCTGCCCACTTCCGGATATTCTCCATGTCCATGTTCAAGGACATGGAGTTTCCCCCGAACCATGAGCGCTTCTGTGATGCGAAAGGTTAGCCGTATGGGTCAGGGTTTGCATGGCGTGCTTTAATGATGGGTATACTTTGGCCGTGGGAATGTGTCTTAGCGGCGTTAAATAGGAAGGATATAAAATACACCAGTATACAAAGTTTATGGTGACAGACGCAGCCGCGAAGACAGTTATCGTCCAGAGATAGGAGTGTTGGATAGCATGCTCCGGTGCGAACGACACCAAAAGCACGGCCGCGCCCATAGCGAGAGTTGTCCACGGTGGTGACATATTGGCCAAGGAGCACAATACACAATGGCGATCCGATTTCACAGCGCAGTTGTTGTGCAATATCAGTTCCACATTGGCATTGATTTATTCTGCTGGCCGGGAGGGCCGCGGCTGTTGCAGGCTCAATAGCATGGGTAATGGCTGACTACAGCTTTAGTCAGGATCCTTCATGCCGGACGTGTTGTGTCGGCCGCACATGTCTGAGTCAAGGAGCATTCTTGCGGTCTAAACATTCAAGGTCTCATAAGTTTTGGAGTCAGGCGATGGGTGTGGGATTTGGCGAGTCAGACGAAACATTAGTCAAATCGAGTATGCACCCGGACATGTGTAGAACATGTGTAGAACGGTGAATAACTAGTTGACGGCCGTGAATATTATATAATTCAACTGTACGGAGTACTTCGTATGCAATACGTGGCCGACGATTCATACACATATAGAGGTTAAGAATACGTCAATGCGATCAAACGTCCTGCGCTACAATCCAACTGTCTGTATCCTTACGCTGTCGAAATACTGTCGGAACGATGCCGTCTCTAAAGGCCTTGGCCATTCAGGCAGAGTCCATTCATGCTGAAATCCAAGAAGCCACTACGGATTTCGTCGCGGAGAGGAGTGCCAGTCCAGAGCTGGCACAGCTGGAGCATGTCGACTCCTGGCCATCGGAGGTTCAGGGGCACCGGTCTGACACGCCCACGACAGAGCCCGACGCGGGATTTGCGAGCGCGCAGTCCACCGTGGGTCTCACCAAGATGGCCCTGTTCCAGCCCCAGTCGACAGCTACACGCGAAGCGGCCGCACTATGGTGGGCATGGAAGCATTTGCATGCCCAGAACAAGCACTTCCATACCCACACCATCCTTGGGCGGTGCAGGCTCCTGATCGATAAGACGATTTGCAAGACCCATGGTGATACTCTAGTTTTACAGAGGTAAGCGGTAGAGGTAGCAATGCTGGCTACTCGACGAAGACGCTAGGCTTCCGTGTTCCTTCATATAAGCTACTGCTATATCCAGGGCATACCTAGCCATACTAGCAGATAGTGTAGTTATTATCAAAACAGCACGCAGCTTTTACTCTACCACAGCAACAGCTTACATACACCGTCAGCACTAAAACCTTACTAACGGTGGGTCCTTTTCAACACGGAGAGTGATTGATTAATAAGAAATAACTGTTGGAACTGTTGGAAGTTTGATGGGCTTAGGCCACCGCTACTAAATATTAGCAATACGGAAGGTTTGTTTACCTCTTATTTGCCCCAATAAGGAGCAAGTCGAACCAAGGGAAAAACAAGCTTCTTCGTCGTCTAGCACAGTCGTCAAGTTCGTCACCTCTTCTAGTGCCTCGCCATTTTTTTTTCTGTCGATAAACAGTCCGTTACCTATAGGCAGACGGCATAACGGTGCAGAGAGCGCACGACAAGATGGATAAGGTGGATGGTAGAAGCGCAGGGCACCTGCGCTAACAGCACTCCAGAAGCTAAGGAGGTGGAGATCAATGAGATCAACGAGATCGCCAAGACTACCGAGACTAACAAGACCGCAAAGGCCACCGAAGCTGCGGAGACTATGGGGGCAGCTGCAGAAGAAAACCGATTAGCAGACAGCAATGGGAATGTTATGCCATGGTCGGTGTGGTCTTCGAGGCAACGGAAGCTGATTGTCCTGACAGCCTCATTTGCATCACTGCTATCGCCACTGTCGAGTCAGATCTACTTTCCAGCTCTAGGAGCGATTGCCCGGGACCTACAAGTGAGCGACAGCCTTGTCAACCTCTCGATCACGACGTACGTGATTCTACAAGCCATAGCGCCGACATTTACGGCACAGCTGTCGGACGAGGTGGGCCGGCGACCGCTCTACATGACGTGCTTTGTGCTATACACAGGGGCCAACATCGGGCTGGGGGTGCAGCACAGCTACACGGCGCTGCTCGTGCTAAGGTGTGTGCAGAGCGCAGGAAGCAGCGGCATGGCGACCCTGGCGAGTGCCGTGGCCACGGACCTGACAACGCCAGCCGAACGCGGCCGCTACATTGCCTACGCGGCTGCCGTGCCTATGCTGGGGTCGACACTGGGGCCTATCATCGGTGGCCTTCTGGCCCAGTTTGCCGGCTGGCACTCCGTTTTCTGGTTTCTGGTGGCGTTGACTGGCGTCGTCGTCCTCGTGATGGTCCCTCTCTTCCCCGAGACCTGCCGCAAGATCGTCGACGACGGATCCATCCCACCGCAGCGGTGGAATCGCTGCTACGCCAACGTGCTACTCGAGAATCGTCTCACGGCCACGTCTCAAGAAGGCTTGTCACAGCTGCTCGCAGCCCGCACCGAGCGCGACGCGCGCGCGAGGGCGCGTCCCCGCGTGCGACTGCCGAACCCCTTGGCCACGCTGCGGCTGCTGTTGCAGCGCGAGTGTGGCGTGGCTCTGCTCTATAGCGCGCTGCTGTGCTGCTCATTCTACGCGACGCTGTCCCTGATCCCGTCGCAGTTTGGTGCCGTCTACCACTTCAACGAGCTGCAGATTGCGCTTTGCTACATCCCCTTTGGCCTCGGCAGCCTTGTCGCCGCCTTTCACCGCGGACGCATGCTCGACGCCAATCTGCAGCGCCATGCCCGCCGCCTCGGCATCGTCTTGGAGAAGAACCGCAACACCGATCTGGCCGACTTTCCCATTGAACGCGCCCGCCTAGAGGTCGCCCTGCCTACTATCGTCCTTGGCAGCGCCAGCATGGTTGGCTTCGGTTGGATGCTGCACGCCCAAGTCAGTTTGGCCGGGCCGCTCATCTTTCTGTTTGTCATGGCCTTTTGCATATCGTCCTCGCTCAACTGCGTCGTCTGCCTCATGCTCGACGTCTACCCCAGACAGGCAGGCGCCGTCACGGCCGCCAACAACCTTGTCCGCTGCCTCTTCGGCGCTGCCGCCACCGCCGTTGTCGTACCTATGATCAACGGCATCGGTGTGGGCTGGGCCATTACTATCTTTGCCGTCATTAACATCATCGCACTACCGCTGCTGTGGTATGTTATGAAAAGGGGACCGGTCTGGCGTGCCGCGACGCGGCAAAAGAATCTGGATAAAAAGGCAGCCCAGGGAGTTCCTCAGGCAGTCTGAAGAAGACGTACGGATTCACGCTTTGGCAGAAATCGGCAATTTCAGTATACGGATGCGATACTAGTAACTATAGGCATGGATAGGGTTATTAGATAAGCAGGGAAGTGTAAGGGTTTGTGTGCAATGCGTGGTCATAAAGGCTTATATCTGGTTTGTACTGTTGTATTAAGACTACAACTTGACGAACTATAGGAGACTAGTAGGCGATAGTCTGCCGTCTACTTTTATACGTAAGCAGAGGTGCGTAATAGCGCAACCCTAAGAGGGTGTAGTAAGAGCGGAGGTAGGGGGAGGCCTCAGCTCAAACCAGCAACAACACACACTTACCAACGTACGCACGTAACTGTGCACGAAGAGAGGTGCCATAAAGCACCTCCCTTCGTCAGAAGGTAGGGGCAGCATATAGCTAGTCCGAAAGGGAAGAGGGAAGAAAGCTATGCAGGCTTACCTTGTAATCCCGAAAGAGATGACAAGACGAGCCCGCCCGGCGAAGTCTTAGGCGTAGTCTATGCTTTACGAGTGTACTATATATATTTGCAACTAATTAATTCTGCAGATGCGTGTCTGCTTCTCTCCCTCTCTTAAGGAGAGGAAAGAAGAGAGGGTTTTTATATACATGGAGTGTGTAAGTGGTGACAGAAGGCATGAATTGTTCCACATCTGATTGGTTAGGAAAAGTGGAGTCAGTCATGTGACGATATAGCATCCCGCGAGGGTCCTGACTTGTCATCCCGTGCGGCCGGAATAGGTGTTCCTGGGGGTGCACTTTTCCTCATCACTCAATACTTGTTTTTCAAGACGGACTATCGAAAATCAATGACATAGAGGCTTTCCGTCTATCTGAGCCCACAATGTCCAACCTGGACAATCACGCGGAACACCTAATCAACCTCGACGTATTTCATCAGATCCACTGTCTCTGTTCTATTCGCAAACATTTCTGGCCGGAGTACTACCCGTATGACAAGAAGTTGAGCGAAGACGGCACAGAGGATAAGACGACCCTGAATTGGATGCATTGGGGTATAGCTGATCCCCTCTAACACCATCTTCCTTCCTTGGAGCCACAGCTAATCATTTTGTTCTAAGATCACTGTCTAGATTCTATTCGGCAAAGCTTAATGTGCTCTGCGGACATAACACCTGTTGTCTTTCACATTGACCCACGGGGACACGGGTTATTTCCAAAATTGCAAGGGACACATGTGTGCCTGAACTGGGACAAGATTGTTGAATGGGCTTCAAATCATGACGGAAGCGATGCAAGATTTCTGTTTGAGGAAGGAGATGCCGAGCTGGAGCTGTACAGATTGGACCCGCAGGGTTATTTGGAGAAGGGTGGGAGCGAGTAGAAAAACAAAGTTGCTTTTATCACTAATAAGCTTGAATTCGGGGCTTGGCGGAAACGGGAGTGCCAGATGGCCCATATAAAACGGGGAGTAGATCAGCCGCATACGATCTTTCGGCCGGGTAATAATAATTTTTATTGCCTGACTTCCTCACGTCGTAGGGCTAAACTATTGAATGCAACAGCTCTCGGCTTTCATTTCTGTGAAACGGCCCACATGCTGGCCGAAATATGTGATTCTATCGGCCGGGTATAAAGGCCGTGTACATTTAAGCTGTTTCGGGTTAGTAAATGCAACCCCTCTCGGCCGGCTACTCCGCAGACGTGCCAAGCATTGATAGCTTGTTATCATCAACCAAAGATGTGACAGTGATCTTCCGCTTCTGGAAGGTCCTTGACAAAAGAACGGGTACAGGCTTACTGCATATACGAGAATCGTACGATCTGCGAGTTTGTGCGAAGCGCTGTCGTGTAAGACAAAAGCCTGCAGGTTTTGGCTGCAAGGATCGGAGTAAGTGCCACAAACCCCGGCATTACACTGCCTCGGAACCGACTGCGATGTACCAGTATCGTTGTGTACTCTCCTAACGATGTGATGGTTGTTGTCAGTTTGCGGACAGTACAGGAACAGCAGCATTACTCTTTCTTCTGAAGAGCTAGGCAAAATTTGCGTTTCGCACTTCTGAACAAACCTCCCACTCCTCTTACAATGACACGCAAAGCAATACAAAGTTCTTCACAATTTCTACGGTGGAATTGGCGGCGATGGAGCGAGCAGAAGTACGCACATGTCTATGCAGAAACAGACGAAGGCGAGCTTCCCCAGTTGCAAGAAGTTCATCGTTCTGGAAACCGTGTCACAGGCTGGCTCCTGCTCGTATACATTGTTCTCTCAACATGTGGTCTTCTTTTTTTCGTGGCGCGTTCATTCTCAATTTACGCTTCCAACTCACCAAGGATCATGGTCTCGCCGTGCGGCAACTCGACAGCTATGGCACAGGCCGCGGGCTGTCATTTTAATATTATTTCCTTCTCCTGGCTCCCAACAGAGTGTTATGATGCTAGTCTAGCGGACGAGTTCCGGGACCTGAAAGGGTGGGAATATTGGCTGGATCGTAACAAGACACATTCATTGCCGCAGGATGTAGCGTTGACTGGCGCGTTCCCCGGACTGTACACCGAGTTCGAGTACCATTTGCGACACTGCACGTTTCTCTGGAAAAAAATGCATCGAGCAATGCTTGGCCGGGGAAAATCTGCTGTCGATTCTGTCACCGGAGCATATCCACACACGGAGCACTGTGCACACATGCTGATGACAAGGCGAAATGTGCAGCTAGATGTAATTAATGCAGTTATTACTGTCAAGTATCCGGACTGTGGCATACTTTGATATTTGGACCGGAGAAGAGAGGTTTCGGTGTGCTGTATTCTTTAGTGAAAAAAAGTCTAGGGAGTTGTCTTGCTCACAGTTGTGTACTACGGCATCAAAGTCAAATCTATTTCACTAATCATATACAGACTACTCTCAAAAGCGGCTATTGAGATATGCACGGAATGCGGTATCACATGTCCGGGCCAAATAACGCCCCGTACTCTTGCTTCCGGGCCAGAAATGTATGTAAACCGCCACAAGGCCCCTCGTATTGCCGTCTGGTATCACGCATACACTTGAGAGGCCAAAATATCCCATCGTATGCAAGGTTCCAAAATCTCGACCATTGTTTCTGCTCCGCATTCATTTCTCCAAGAGATCTTCGAATTGAACCCAAATCAGAGACAAAATGGTGAGATATGCGCGCCGATTGGGCCCGCATACATCTGAAGTCTGACTTGTACTAAACAGGCCATGAATGTGGGCGAGAGTCCGTTTGATACGACTGTCGATGAGCTTGTCGCCAAGGCAATGTCAGAACTGCATGTTCCAGGACTTGCGCTAGCTGTTTTCGACAGAGATAAGATATGGTCAAAGGTATTTATATCGTACGTCTTGCCAAATTATGCTTACTGATCTGCTTCCGTGTCAGGGTTATGGTGTCACGAATGTCGATTCCGGAAGCCGGGTGACTCCAGACACCATGTTTTCGGTAGGTACAGTGCGCTATTTGCATTCTGTTGTAACCTTTCTAACCCAACATCAGGAAGCACCACGAAAACGTTCACGGCTGCAGCTGCATCCTTGCTTGTGGATGACAACGAGGAGCACTCGGATGTTACCTGGGAAACACCGATGAGTAAGCTTATCCCGGACGACTTTGTTCTCCAGGATGCGTATGCCACTGCACATGTAACACTAGAGGATTGTCTTTGCCATCGAACGGGACTGGCCACACACCGGGCCGACCTTGGGGGACACTCAGTCAAGGAGAACGTACGAAACCTGAGGCATCTTGAGCTGACGAAAGAACTCCGCACAAAGTGGCAGTACTCAAACCACATGTACTGGGCCGTGTCGCACGCGATCGAGGAGAAGTCCGGACAGGACCTCGGTACTTTTATGTCAAACAGGCTTTGGAGGCCTCTGGGGATGGATGCCACCTTTCTCAGCATTGCAGATGCTCTGGATTATGAGAAGGCTCATCCGGAGACGAAGCTAGCTGCACCGCACAAGTGGCACGAAGAGTCCAAGTCCTTCAAGGTAATGCCATTTTGGGACGATGTTGGCATCAGTGGTGCGGGTGGCATGGTCTCGAGCGTGTCGGACTGTGCCAAATGGATCCGCGCCTTCATCGACAAGGCCGCCCCCATTTCTCCAGATGGCTACAGCGCCCTGACAAGTGCTCATATGATCCAGAAGGCTAGTCATTCTCGCTTTACAGGACCGGTCTGCTACGGTCTCGGCTGGTTCATGTCCGTGTACCACGGAGAGAGGGTTTTATGGCACCCGGGCGGACTGGTTGGGTCAGTTTCCAGCTTTATTTACCTGCCTGAGCGTAAATGGGGCATCGTGGGCATGTGCAATGTCACAAGTGAGCAGGCTATCGAGGCACCGATGTGGCATCTGATTGACGAGCTGTTGTCTGTACCACGGGAGAAAAGAACCGACGTTGTTGCTAAGTATGTTGAAATGGGTTTGCCTATTTCTAATATCTAGACACTAGAGCTAACATGTTCTCTTTACAGGGCGGTTGCAGAACTGCAGGACATGAAGGCCTTTTCCAAAGGGGCTAAAGGTATAATGTTTCCTGGTCGGCCAGAGACACCTAAGCCATCTTCAGCTCCTATTTCAACCTACTGCGCAACCTACTCTCATCCCTCTTACGGATCTATCATTGTAGACAACACCGAGGACAAGGCGGTGTTAAAAGGAGCCTTTCCTGGGAGGCTTCCTCTTGACCCATTGTTTCTCGAGCATATTGACGGCGATAATTTCCTGCTGAAAGCAGATATCATTGAGTTGATACCGGTACGAGCGAAGGCTAAACTCGAGATTGATGAGACCGGCGTGCCCGACAAGTTAGGCGTGGAATTCGGGGACAGCATTACAACATGGTTTTGTCGAATGAAATAAGCCAAATTGGACGGGCTTGAGGCCTTGTGCCGTGCTGCGCTGGACATGAGAATCGTTTCGACAGACAACGGTAGGGGTTTTCCACTCCTTGTATTGCAATAACGGGTATTTGTTGGACTTGTCTGTTTTTTTAATTCTACGGTTATGACAATTCCTGGCTGCAAATCAAGACCAAATAGCAGACCGTAAAACTAGATTATACAAAGCTCAGACAGTCCAACTAAATGGCAGGAATCAGTGTCTAGATGTGTCATGCACTCAACAGTAACAGCGCATGCTTCTCGACGAAATAAAGGCCGTGCAGCTTCTCGATATTCATCGGGATATTTTTGCTTACATCTTTGTGTTCATGAAAAGACCACTACTTAACGCAGACACCCAAGCAGAAGGAAAATGCCTATCGCCTAGTAGGACCCAACTTTTCCAACAAGTACTTGCCAGGGCCATTCTTTCACATATGTCTGATCATGGACAGGGCTGACAAAAACAGTCAGCAATTCGTGTAGCATATCAAAGCGACACGATCATCACTAACACGTTATCTTATTGATGGTGGATAGTGGAATCGCATCGCTCTTTCCCGCGACGCATAATTCCGCTAAGTCCAGATACCGTTTTGTTGGCACCGGATTTATTAGTCTCTTATTGACGTCAGTGATATATTGTCTATAAGAAGCTGGAGGCCACGATATATTTCATTCGGGTTCTGCTATTATACTAACAACGGACCCGAAAGCAGTTGCTACAATAGAAAACAATGGTTCGGATAATTGGAAAAGAAGTTGGACCCATTGGCGTTGGCCTTATGAGTGAGTAGCAATCATCTCCTCCTTTCTTCCTCGTTATCAATTCCCTAACTCTATGCTTCTGACCAGGCCTGACGCGTCCTGGCAGCGGTGTAAATGACGAGCAGGCTTTTGCTGTTCTGCGCCGCGCCATCGAGCTTGAAGCGTTCTTCTGGAACGGAGGCGAGTTCTACGGGCCCGAGAATGCTAACAGCCTCGTGCTGCTAGAAAAATACTTTGCCAAGTATCCCGAGGATGCCGACAAGGTGGTACTGAGCATTAAGGGTGGCTCGGACAAGCCGAACACGTTCCACTTTGATAGCTCGCCGGCCAACGTGCGGCGCTCAGTCAACGACTGCGTGGAACAACTTAAGGGTCGCAAGACGATTGATCTTTTTGAGTTGGCCCGCCATGACGGCGTGACGCCATGGGAGACCTCAGTCAAGTCGCTGCTGGAACTTAAGAAGGAGGGCAAGCTCGGTCATCTCTCCCTGTCTGAGGTGCGCGCCGAGTCGATTCATCGGGTGGCCAAGGTGGCCAAGATCGAAGCCGTCGAGATCGAGCTCAGCATTGTTTCGCCTGAAGTCCTCACAAACGGTGTGACTGCAGCCTGCTCACAATATGACATACCGGTTATTGCGTGCGTGCTGCCGCCCAGCCACCTCGTCTCACATTTGTCCGCCTGCCTTCGCTGACTCTGCTCTACAGCTACTCTCCCATCGGCCACGGACTCCTTACCGGACATATCAAGTCACAGGATGACCTGAACTGGGTGGCCAAGATGTTGCCGCGATTCTCGCAGGAGAACCTGCCAGCCAACCTGAAGTTAGTGGAGCAGATCGAAAAGATTGCTGCCGACAAGGGCTGCACGACCGGCCAGCTTGCCATCAACTGGGTCCGCTGTCTGTCTAGACGGCCTGGCATGCCGACCATTGTCCCGCTTCCTGGCACTACCACGATCGAGCGGCTGGAAGAAAATCTTACGCTTGTCGACTTCTCGGACGAGGAGATGGACACCATCGACGACATAATCAGCAATTTTGAAGTCAAGGGCGACCGGTACCCTTCTCACCTTCCGACTGAAACGTAGAAGGGGAGCAGTCAGGAAACGGCCATATTCAAATCGCTTTTGTCAAGTAAATAGTACTTCGCGACGATCAAAAATGTGGATTGATGGACAAACTTGGTCAAATGTCTGATATTTTTTTTTTAAAAAAAAAACCTTTACATTCACTCACCAACGCCTCCGTTTGCTCACCGTAAACAAAGAAGTAAGAAACAATCTATATTTCATTGCGGTCAATTCAAGTAGATGAGAGTCTCCCACCCACAAACAACAAGCACGGATTCGCACTCTGACCTTTCATCACTGTTTCGCACCATCATCAAGCTGCCGCCATGATCGACAAACTCAAGAGTGGAGGCCCAACGTCACACTGACACCTATGTCTATCCGCATCAATGACCTTGTCATCACATCCCGCCGGGCACTGTGCATGCCGGACAGCAAGACAGCTGACGAGTTAGCAAAGTCGGTGGGACACTTTCAACTAGCTAGCTTGTGCAGAGCGAAATGGAGCACCAGCCCCATTTGCTGCACCGATGACATTTTCCGCTGTCCGAGGCGGAGAAATAAATCGGCTCCTTGCAAAATGGCCCAGCCGTTAAAGGAGGTCTCGTATTTCCTATGTACTAAACGTTTTTTTATTATTCTCCTGCGCAACCTATATCTGTTTAATGCGAACCAGATGGAAACCAAAGGTTCCTTTTTTTGCAAAAGGAATCTTGGTTGTTGTAATGTATGTATATAAAAAGGGTTGTGAATGCTTCAGCATATAACGATAAACGTAAGTACGCCTTAAATTATCGACGTACGCCTTTCTCTTTGCCCCCTTACAAGCCTGTTTGTATGCGATCGGCGCTCCCGGCAGTTTCCCGCTGTCTCAGCCCCTCTATCGGGACCACTAATTTCATTGCCATCCGATCGGCGTCCAAGATCAGCACCTAATACGAGGTTAGCGGCAGCGAGGTGCCGAATGAGACGCTGTGAGCTGGTATTTGTTTGCCGAAATCACTGCCCTACGGAGAACACACCACTTTATTGTGGAGCTGGCAGTGCCGAATGGGGCGTTTGGTTAGGTGTTCTCTCGTTTACCGTCAATCCACAGCACGTTCTTATGCTCCATAGCTATTCCTAACTCGTATTCCGATGCTGTTCGATAAACACGTATCGTATTCGGTGGCTCTGCCCCTACGTCATACGTTGTAAACTGACCGCAGATTCAAACGACGGGCTATGTTGTAGGTAAGGTAGAAGGAAGCCTAAAGAACGGAAGAAGAGAGAGGCAAATTTTAAGTATAAGACTGCGCTTCCGTTCTATCTTTCGTCTATACTTTTTTCTCTCTTATCCTTACTCTTATCCTTACTCTTATCCTTACCCTTACTTATCTTTCTACCTTTAAATCTCCAACCGCCAACATGCAGACCTCTTTCGTCGCTCTTCTTGCTCTCTCGGCTAGCGCCCTAGCTATGCCCTCTGCTCCAGCCCCGTCCGAGCAGTTCACTTGCCAGAACGCTACCGAGGGCTTCGCCTGGTCTATGACTCTCTTCCTGTACGAGTCCGCTGAGATCTTTACCACGCCTTCGCACCAGAACGCCGACGGCAAGGTTTCCTTCAACATCTCGAACCCGGGCCTGCTGTCGCTCCAGTCTTCCTCTGGCTGCAGTGGCGACTCGGTCCAGTACCCGGACTACTTCTACGGCAACACTGTCTACGAGTGCATTGACCCCCGGACCGACACTAACACCAAGACGACCTTCGCCTACGACTCCCCGTCTGCTCTCCTTAGCGTCAACCAGACCTGGACCTGCCCGGATGCGACCAACCCTATCACCTTCTTCGCCGCTGGATCTGTTAACCTTACTCTGATTACGAGCAAGAGGAACTACTCCAACCCTGACTGGAAGATGGGCGAGACCTATTCTAGCAAGACTACCGTCAGCAACGGCCCGTATTTGGTCCCCATTACGGCCTTCCACATCTCCGCCATCGCTTAAGCGATAAGCAGCAGATGAAGAGGCTGTCCTTCAAGACTACTTCATACTTGGTTTTAATTAGATAATCTGCTTGGCTTTTACTCTTGGTATTACGATTTTGGTTCTTAGACTTATAGATAGACAGCAGCTAATATATTGGGCACTGCCTAATTCTGCCTTATTTTAAAATCCGCTATTTGGTGCTTCTGTAACCACAGCATAATTATATAAATAAGTATATATTTAGATATGCTATAAATAAAGTATAAAGGCGTTACTGCCCTAGTGTCTCGCTTATTAATGTACTAGTACTCGAGTACTAGTTTCCTAATACTGTGTAGAGTGTGTAAAAGTTTAATAAGCAGCTTTGAAGAATGTAGGCAAGTCTGCATAAATCTAAGACGGGTGGGATCGCTTTACTATCCTTGCATAAAACTAAAGTGCTCCAGCAAGGCTTTTTTCTTTCTCTCCCTTCGAACTAGCCACCTGCCGCCTGCCTTCTTATTTAATAGAGGTGCCTTCCGGCGGGTAGTTAGTAGTTTTATATGGCTCGCTTAGCGTAAGCTAAGGTCTTCCCCGACTTTCGCTTACAGTGAATGTGTACTTGAAGCTATACCAAGGAATAATCTCCATGATTGTGGGGTGCCACAAGAGGGAATGACGAGAAGGTTGGCAAAGATAAGAAAAAAAGGACATTATGTTTAGTGTAGACCTGCGTACTAGATCTATCCCAACTGGGTTGTGTGTATACATTTGTACTTGTATACCATAACATCTTAACTACCGTTATAGTACTGTGCACTGCCGTGCACGCACGCACTATCTACCATGCGTTGAGTGACAAACAAAGTCGTGTTGTGAATGTTATTGCTCTGGTGGGTCCGCCACAAGCTATTTTCTTCATCTTGTCAGCTGTGGGGTTGTTAGATGCTTCTAGTTTGCTAGTTCATTCGCAACAGTGCCGTACATTTCCGCTGTACAGAGTGGTCATGGATCCTTTACTTCGATAACGACATCCGTACGGAGTACTGCAGATAATTAGACAGATTGAATGATTTCCCACGTCCGGAGCAGGCCTAGACCAGCAGGATCAAAGTCTAGGTCACCGCAGACACACCTGCATGCAATGTCTCAGCGTCTGTGTCCAATAGCAGAGGGCACTACGTATACGTGATGAAACGGGGAGGGGTTGCATGCGCCACTATCACAGGCAGCTGAAAAAAAAAAGGAAGAAGGCTGTACACCTTTTACGTTTACTTGATTTTATTCGGTAGCACTCATCATTTGGACCGAAGCCAGTTCAGTATACTAAGAAGTTTTGCAGTTTTTGAGCCTTCCAACCAGCGCGTCCCAGAACATTGCGGTATGGCACAAACTTGAGTGCTGAACGTGTGCCTCTTCGTTCGTATGATGGTATAGTTGCCAAGTGCTATACGTTGGTGGCTTTATCCAGTGTTGACTACGTGCTTGAGTAGTATGGCTCCGTCGTTCTTTGTCAGTCCTATAGGAGGTGTGGGGACCGACGGCGATGGTGGCGGCTGTCTGGGAAGATTATCCAAAAGCGTCAATTATCCGAAAGGGTGTCTTGAAAACCAACACCCTATTTCTTATCATCCGGTTCCCCGCTTCCTTTCGATGCACTCTTACCCCATGGTCCAGTTGAGGCGAGCCTCGCCTAACTCTGTAGGTGTTTTCGGTAGTTTTTCATAGGTTATCGCTTAGTATGTCTGGCATATGATACGTTTGGTATAAGTATTGGGCGCCGTGCTTTTAAAGCATTCCTTCTCAGCTGGCCAACATATTTCTGAAATAATACTTCTCTTCTATCTACAATGGAATTTCTCTCATCGGAAAAGAAACACAGCTTCAACCGACCTCTCGTGGGAGCCACTGTTCTGGTAGTTGTCTTGGTGTGGTTTTTGGTGATCCATTTCACTTCTCCCCTGAGAACGTTTCCTGGACCATTCTGGGCGAGTAAGCCATGACACAATACGATACGTCGGCGGGATGTGCAAGATAAAAACTTCTAACCCGTGTTTTCAGGGTGGACAAATATTTGGAGACTGTATCAAGTTTCGACTGATAAGTACCAGTGGACCATCAAGAGGCTCCATGAGAAATATGGCCCAGTGGTCCGTATCGGCCCAAATCTACTAGATCTAGACTATCCAGAGTTGATCCAGACTTTGTATAGCACCGATGGCAAGTGGAACAAGGTTGGTCAAACAGACATGTTCTTGTAGATTCCTTCGCATATGCCGTATCAGACGCTAAGTGACAAAGACCGAGTTTTATCAAAGCCTCAGCGTTGTTGTCGATGGAAAAATAACCCACGACGTGTTCAGTACGTCGAATCAAGCCGAACATGCCCGCATGAAGCGGCCGATCGTTAAGTACTACTCGATGAGCAGCGTTCTCAAACTAGAAACGCGTGCCAACGACGTTCTTAGCGACCTATGCAGACATCTAGAGCATCGCTTCATGGACGGGGAAAACGAGGGCAAAGATTGCAACTTCGGAGAATGGATTGCTTTTTGTAGGCTACCACTATCGAATGCTGTTTTCTGAAGGGCCATGAATTGCTGACATCGCATACCGGCAGACACCTGGGACTTCATCAGCGCTGCGACCCTTAGCACCCGATTTGGTTTCATGGAAAAGGCCGATGACGTGGATGACACTATCCGAATTTCCGACAAAGGAATACATTATTTTGCCATGGTCGGCCAGATGCCCTTTTTGGATTTCCTCCTAGCCAAGAACCCGATAAAGCGGATCGGTCCACCAAATCTGCAGAATGCCAATCGCATCGCTCTCGAGCATATGTTTGGGCGATTCAAAGAGGATCTCGACAGTAAAGAAGTCGAGACGCGTGATTTTCTGGACCACTTCATTGAGGCGAAGAAGATGGCTCCTGACTCAGTGGACGAGAACCTCATTATGTGCTCCCTTTTGGTGAACTTGATCGCTGGGGCTGACACGACCGCAACCACTCTTCGTGCCATATTCCATTTCTTGATGACAAATCCCCACACTTTGAAAAAGCTCGAGCAAGAGGTCCTCGCTGCCAACTTCGAGCCCGAAGGCGTGGTACCATACAGCTCAGCTCGTGCGCTGCCCTATCTCGATGCTGTCATTCGCGAGTCCATGCGGATGCACCCAGCCGTGTGTATGCCTCTGGAGCGCTATGTGCCCGACTCTGGACTCACACTACCCGACGGCAGCTTTGTGCCTTCTGGCACGGCTGTTGGCATCAACCCGTACATTGTGGGCAGGAACGAAGGCGTATGGGGTCCAGACGCCAACGAATTCCTCCCTGAGCGCTGGCTGAAGAATGACGGTGAAGACAATGACACTTACAAACGACGTTTGCGCCAGATGAATGCTGCCGACCTCGCCTTTGGCGGGGGTTCCCGGATCTGCCTCGGTCGCAACGTGGCCTTGTTGGAAATTTACAAAGTTGTCGCCACGCTGGTGTTGCGCTACAAGATCCTGCCGTCCAAGGTACCCAAAGAGTTTGTAATCTTCTCCTCCTGGTTTTCTCGCCAGTTGGGGTTGGTCTGCAGACTCGAAAAACGCCAGGTGACGTGACATAGCAGCTTATGGTTTGATCAAGATGCACCAATGACAGGAACTAAGCGAATTATTCTGTTATTATATCATGGTGCCATCCATCATTGAGAATAGCGGAAGATTTCTGTCGAAGGAATCGAAGTTGAGCACGCGTGGAGACGTTGATAGAAACATTTCTGATAGTGTTGAGGGGAATGGGGTAGCGTCATCATCCACGTTGAATTCCAGAGTCCGCTGCAGGTCCGTTACATCTCTAGCACAAGAACCATGGTCATCTGGTCTCTTTGTAGTGGCGTCTGCCAGAATTTCAACAGTGCTTCCGTCTCGGCCCATGCTAAATGGATCGTCCGATCCTGTTGAAGTGGGTGTTGGGTCCATTTCGGCGCAATCCTGTGACGAGTGGCTATTAGGGTAGTCATCCTGAAGAATTGCGTTCGGGGTCCTCGCTGACACTTGGGCAGTGCTTAGGTCATCCACGGTCCCGAATAAGCCGCCTATGAGTATGGCATGCCGCTCCATCTTGTAACGTGCCCGACATTCTGCATAGGAGTCACATGCAATCTGCAGATCGGCTACAATCGCAGCGTATCGCTTGGATACGGCATCGTGGCGGCCAAGGAGGGCCAAGAGTTGCTGTCCGAAGGCAAGGCTTTTTCCTATCGGAAAGGTCCGGTCGAAATCACCAAATTGGGCCAGCCCTAGGACGAGTGCCGAGACGAAGACACAGTTGGCCACAAAGGGGAGTCGCCGTGGAATCTTTTCTGCCGTGAGAAGGTGGCGATGTATGCTCAGTGCCCGCGTGGCCGAGTCGATGCATGCATATGTGAGAATATCGTCTGTCTGAGCTACAGGAGACGGAGTTTGGGGTCGATCGTGTGTCTGGGTTTGGCGAGAAATGTGTCGGGACACGTGCTCGACCAGGAATGGCCGTGAGAGAAGCATGATGGTCCAGTAGTACGCCCCTTTCAGGTTTACGAGGCCAATGTTGGGCATCCTCAGTCCGTCCATATCCACATACTCTTCGGGCGGAATGCTATCGGCGGCGAGGCCGAGCGCAAAGCGTGATGTCCATAAGCGATGTTGCTGACTAATCTCTTCGACCGTGGCCGTAGAGACTGCGCGCATCGAGTATACCTCAGTCAGGATGGCCTCAAAGATGGAACAGAGGTGAGTCGATGCCGAGTAGTTTGTCTCGCCCTTGGTGTTGCGCGTCTCGGAAGTGGACGGTGGTCGTCCCATGGACGTGCTGAGAAATAGGTCCAAGATGCGCAAGGCCTTCCACAGACGTTCCCGTGGTGCACATTCTGCCGGCTCAAACACGGAGTTGACATCGCTTCGGTAGATGCCAAGCGCATATGCAGCACGGACGGCAGTGCCCAGACACATGAACGCGGCATTTCGACGGGAGGCGCCGAGCAAAAAGACGGTCATGAGAATGTACGCCTGGATGGTGGGAACGCTAGGTTCCAGAGCATCTTCCGACAGGGTGAGATAGCGGCCGTGGTTGAAGTACTTCTCCGCCCTGTCGTCGTCTTCTTCGGGATTCGCCTGTGCGCCAATGGCCAAGATGAGAAAAAACACGGACTGGTGCATGACACTGTCGGCATTTGGGTCATTGTGCGACGGCTCCTCTTTGGACTGCTGCTGGAGCCACTGTGATATGTTTTCCCTCAGTTCGACGGCGTCAAACATGCACAATGTAGCGTTGATCGAGCGCAGAAACCAATTGAGCAGGTTGGCTGCCTCGGCTGCTGCTATGGTCGTCGGTCGGTTTTCCAGAGCAGACACGATCCAGCCAGTCTGGCCGCTATTCGGAACCGCTTCGACAAAGACATGTTGCACGGGATCGTCGGTGAAGGAGCAGACGCCCACGGATCTGTGGACCAGGCGTCGGATGATCTGCAGAAAGCAGAGGTTTGCCGAGTCACCAACGAAAAAGAGGCTACGTCCCCTGTCTGCTTGTATGAGGCGAGAGAGGTGTGGAACGGGCGCAAGCGAGACAGGACGCAAAGGACGCGGAATGGAACCATGCGATGGACGGCGATGCTGCTGGGCCGCGGCTTCGCCCAGAGACGATGTGGTGCCATTGGACGCGCCCAGATATGGCTGACCAATGTCAATCGAACGCAGCTGACGTCGTGTGGGCGGTATCGCTGGCGGTTCCCGTCGCCGCAACCGACTTGTGGCTTGTGCCTTTTGTAACGGCGGTTGAGAACGCGAAAAACTGCATCCGAATGGCACGCCACGTGAACTGCAGCGGCCACATGGCTGTCGGCCGTCACAGCGCTCCTTGCGACGTTTGCAGGTCCCACAGGCCTGCAAACAGCGGCGGCGCTCCCTGGAGGTCGGGTTCGGCGAGGACATTTCCTCCGACTGTGGCATTTACTACTTCATGTTCGACTCGTTCACTTAGCAGCGACACCGCATTTTATCGTGCTGGGGCGTCCTGGGGAACCCCATAAGATACCCCGCACTCAGCGTGCCAATGCCAAACAGTTAGTGCTCAGGGTGCGCTGGAAATAGGCGGGTCGTCAGGCCACTAACAATAGCGGTTGTTATTGCCGGGTTTCCGAGCCAGGTCCGTTTCTGATTACTAATCACGCTGGACAGTATAAAGAGTATCGATTGCCGAGCCAAGGTCCCGTCCGCCTTCAGATACACGAGCTACTACTTTTGGAACTTATCTTTACTTTTTTGCATTGTCCCTTCATCATGGCTTACATAGACGCAAAGCTTCCTCAGGATTGCGGCCCTATCGCCGGCCCTGTCCAGTTTTTTAACGACTTCTACAGGATATCTGACACCCCCGAAGCCCACACTGAATATTGCGACATGTTTTCTCCCGATGCCACCTTCATTCTGGCTTCCAAGACCATTGTCGGTAGTGAAGGTAAGCTATTCGTCTAAGATTAACCAAATTGACCAATTCTCCGTTTCCTCAGCTGATCATACCCCGGAAGCGATACTCCGTACGAGGCAGCTCATGTGGTCCAATGTGGCATCCCGTAAACATTTCGTCCACAAGATCTTCCCCTTTGGATCGATATCTAATGAGTTTATGCTGTACGGAACTGTAAAATATACGACAAAGGCGGGAGACGAGTCAGAAAAGGAATGGGCCGCCCGAGCACAATTGACAGAAACAAACGGACAGTGGAAACATCAGTTCTACCAAGTATACTTGGTAAGAATAAAGTTCAATGTTGTTTTACCGGATCTTTACACACTACTGACTGCAGTACAGGACACCGGCGCAGCGGCTTAATAGCGAGACTTGGATACACTCTCTGCGAAGCCCATCAACAGTTCCCCAACTTTGTCCCCAGCCTCGACGCAGTGCCAATGGCCTACCTTAGCCAAAATCTGAAGCTGCGCTTTTGGTTTTCCTGCACCCCATCTGTGTCGCAAAAATTAGATATCAAATTGACGTTTATAGGTCAATAAACTGCACTGGGTGAAAAACGGACCTTTGCATAATAGCTTTGAGGTCATGCGCAGGTGCAACCTTGTCGTCTTCTCCGGCAATCAGCAATACAGGGCACTGTGCCTGCTCGTAACTTGGCGTCTGTGCTGCTGCGATTGTACGGCAAAGCGATGCATACCCGGCCGGGGTTTGCGATAAGAGGAGAGCTCGAATAAACCCGTGATGCGTAGGCGTTGAATTCGAGCCCGTCGCATGTACAGGTATGCTGTCTGCCATAGCTTCGATACCTTCTATGCATGGATAATGGTCAGTTTAGTCCCACATTCAGAAGCTTTCATGCTGCTTCCAACCTTGTTCAATCGTCTTGATTCTCTGCGTGAATGCATCGGCAAGAGCATTGCTCGGTGTAACTGAGCCAATGAGCACGGCTCCTGCCAATGGGCACTCTATTGCCAGAGTGCTCGCCACCAGACCTCCCATTGAGTGGCCCACGGCAATGGCTTTTTTCTGGGGAATGTTCAGGGCCTTGAGAAGCAGTTTGGCATCTTCGGCAATGCCCGCAACAGACTGGCTTTGGCCATCACTCTTAGATAAGCAACTACCTAATGTTTTACAGCGTGATATTAGCTATTGAAATCTTCGGTCGCTACATATCGTGCAGTGTAAGCTCATCATACCTCGCGTGTCAAATGCTAAACATGAAAATCCTTCCCGTACCAAACGCGGAATAACCGGTGCATAAAACGAGCTTGAGGAGCCAAGTCCGTGAATAAACAGAAGCGTCAGTCCTGCATCAGATGGTCCCTGCGAGGGCCGCCAAACGTAGTACAATTCTTCTGTAGACGAGCTCAGAGTTAGAAACGGCATGATGGGCTACTATAACAACTTCCAACTTCACCAGAGAATGGTTTTGAAACGAAAATCACTTGTATATCCGAGCTTAGTAAATGAGATGCTCGTCGGCTATGGCGAGGACCATCGGTATAAACAATCTTTGTAATCAGTTGTCTGAAATGCCGAAGGCCAGATCCGAAATCATACCTCGGATGCTTTTAGCTTAGCCTAGCGTTCGGCTTCTTCGCGACGCGATGTGCTGCATCCGACCCGATGCACTTAAGTGGGGTTCAACAGCAAAGCTATGCTATCCACTGTCCTCACGGAGCAAAGGAGAAGACAGTTGGAAATAAACTTGTCTACTCCGTACAATTTGCATTATAGACATCCGAATTGCACGCTATACTAGCTCCCTGTCCGGTGTCGGCAAAAGGTGTACGTAGACAATCTTATATAGATTTACGAATAAACGAAGTCTTTGCCTATACCCATTTTCCCAAACTTCAACATACGATTGCCCGTTTTTACCGGTATAGGCTTCTCGATGGCTACAACTTACTCCTCATTGGAGGAGACTAAGCGGATACTTGGAATTATACAGGACCTTGTTACCTTACCCAAAGGTGTTGACAACATCATCACCAATGTATCCTTTACGGCCACACAGGATTTTCCCTATTTTCCTATTCCTTTCAAGGAATCTGAAACAGCAGCGGCCCTGAAAGCAATAGAAGCCTCATTGTGCTGCGCTTTGCAGAACTTGAAAGATGGAGCTCCTCGTTCCCGTCACATAACAATAAACTTTGAGAAAGCCACTGCTTTCTTGTTCCAATCTTATCTTACTCGACTCGCCGGCTACCAAAAACTGAACCCCGAAGTGAAGAAATACCTCGTCGGTATGCCACTGTCTGGGTATTCTCACACGTGTGAAGAAGAAACTTACAAGTTTCATAGATACCGATCTATTACAAGCACAGTCCAACCCATACCGCCGTATGTCGGCAAATCTGTATCGCACGAAACGGCCAGAGCAATACTACCATATTCACGGCTCCTTGGAAGCATCAACAACACTGCGAATGATAGGACTAGAGCCTTTCCGCCCGGATCTCACGGAGCACAAAGATATCGTCGATACAATTGAGTCCCATGTTGAGAAGTACACGATCGAAGAGCTGGAAGAACTCAATGCCAAGCATACGCAAGCTGGCGTGCCGGCATTCAAGCATGAAGAGTTTTTACTCACTCCCCATGTACGGCCAAACCTCCTGCATATGAGTGTGTCATAGTCCTTCTTATCATTTGTTGACAAATCGAAAGGGAAAACTGAATTCTACTCAACCGCCATGGAAAGTCGAAAATCTAGAGACTGAAACTGCCCCATATTCTCTGCCTCGTTCAACGACTAACAGACCACTTTCGGGAATCAAAGTTCTCGAGCTCTGTCGAATTGTTGCCGGGCCGACGATGGGCCGCATCCTGGCCGAGTATGGGGCTGATGTATTGAAGATCACAAGCCCCAATCTCAGCGATGTCCCGTTTTTCCAAGTGGATGGAAACATGGGGAAGCATGCCGCTAATATCGACCTAAAAACGGTCGAGGGAAAGCGGCTATTTGAGGAACTGGTCCAAGATGTGGACGTCGTCCTCGATGGTTACAGACCTGGAGCCCTCAGCCGACTAGGATATGGAACACAGTTCATGACCGAACTTGCAAAGAAGAGAGGACACGGGGTCGTTTACGTCAATGAAAACTGCTTCGGCTATGAAGGCGAATGGGCCTCCCGACCAGGATGGCAGCAGATTGCAGACTGCGTGAGTTTCCGGTTCTTGTTGCTGCCTATAACATGTAAAGGCTAGCTGACGTGACTCTACAGGTTACGGGACTGGCGTGGGAGCAAGGAAAGTTTATGGGCATTGATGAGCCTATCGTGCCTCCGTTTCCCATATCAGACTATGGAACGGGGTGCATTGGCGCCATCGCGGCTCTGACAGGACTCTACAACCGTGCTACCATTGGCGGGTCGTGGCACGGAATGGCATCTTTGATGCAATACGACCTTCTCTTGTTCAAAGCAGGACTGTATCCTGCAGATGTCCAGGCGTCCCTGCGCAAATCCGCCGGAGAAAGCCTGTCTCAGATGCGACACAGCCATAGCGTAGACCAGATTTCTGGTGCTGCACTGCTCAGTATGCAGAAGAACTACCCGGGTGTTTTTAGCTCTGATAACGTACTAGAAACATGGTTCTCTAGCAAGTACGGGGCCGATGTCGTTGTCGTCAAGCCTGTGGCAGAGATTCAAGGCTTGGAGTTGGGTTTTCAGCGCGCTTCCAGGCCAAATGGTAGCGACGCGCCTACTTGGGATTTCGGAAAGGACGAGAGTGATATTAAGAAAACGGCATAATTATAAGCAGGTATCACTAAAATCAGAAGTGTCTAAAAAAAGTAACGAGACATGCAGATTGTGTATCATGTACAGAATACCTGGGCACCAATGGACGCTCCGAACGCATTACGTACGATGAGGTACACCCCACGTATCAATGGAAACCCCAGACCAAAGCAAGTGCCGTAGAAGAGATGATGAGACCCGCCGGGGCCCCGCCATCAAACCGGTGGTTGGGTATCATACCATGTACTGTACTATCCGATCCGAAGGACTAGCTCAGTTTGCTTCCGACAATCGTGCTATACCGGCAACAGCAAGCCGTGCAGTCTCATGACTCCCCACAATAGCTTTACAAGCCGGGGTGCACCTTTCTACTATAGAAAAAGTCAATTAACCCACGCCAATTCAAAACTTCTGATTCATCAGCAGGGACTAACATCTTGGCCACACAAACGAAACATATTCTATCATGACTCTCACAAAAGACAGCAAAGACATCAGCAATGGTGCTATTGGCGCTGAAAAAGTAGGGGGCACTCTTGGCCAGGAGTTCACAGAACATGTCATCCATGCAATGGGCCCGAAGACGAACCCCAGACTGCGCCAAGTGATGTCCTCGTTCATCCAACATATTCATGACTTTGCTCGTGAGGTGCAGCTCACTACGGATGAGTGGATGCTTGCCGTGCAAGTGTTGAACGAAGCTGGCAAAATGAGCAATGAAAAGCGAAATGAGGGACAGCTAGTGTGCGATGTGATCGGGCTGGAATCGTGAGTCAAACTGACCTGTTGCCTACCAATACAACTACTGATACGTAATAGATTGGTGGATGATATTACATACCAGCAGGCGGTTCGGACAGCACAGCCATTGACACAAACCGCCATTCTGGGACCGTTTTGGCGCAGCGACACGCCTGTTCGCGAAAACGGCACAACAATCTCTTTCAACACTCCGAAAGATGGAAAGACGGCTTACATGTTTGGGAAAATCACCAGCGCCGATACTGGAAAGGGCATACCCAATGCAGTTGTGGATGTGTGGCAGGCTTCCACCAATGGTGAGACATGTGATGACTTGACGGTCGTAACTCAACTAATTGTTTCCCAAATGTCTCAGGCTTATATGAACAACAAGACGACGATCAGTGCGAGCACAACCTACGAGGAAAGTTTATCACCGATGCCGAAGGGAGATATTCCTTCTACTGCCTGCGACCGACGCCATACCCTGTAGGTTGACTTCATCGCCAAGCATTCGTATTCAGGCTACAAGGAAAGAAACTAACGAAAGAATAGGTTCCCAATGACGGACCAGCAGGAAAGCTGTTGGACATGCTCGATCGTCACCCATGGCGACCAGCCCACATACATTTTATTGTAAGAAGTCTTGCCATGCACTGTATTTTACAAAATAGATTCTCACATATAACAGGTCGAGGCAAAGGGCCACAAGTCTCTTACTACACAAATTTTCGACTCAGAGTCGAAATACCTTTCTGATGACTCCGTTTTTGCGGTGAAAGATGGGCTGACGGTTGATTTCAAGCCGCGCAAGAATGACCCGAAAGCTTCCTTTGAGGTGGAATACAATGTAGCTCTTGGTTGAAGCGTGTACGAAATGGTTGGGGATGGATTACAGTTGTGTACTAACTGAAATGAAAGCTTATTCACTACGTGACAGATTACTTGAAGAGATCCCTACTTAAATAAAGATCGCATACGGAGTCCAAAGGGCTTATTTTAATTGCAATAACCATTCTGCCCTTGCAGTAATAACGCCGTTGCTCGAATCCGACCTCACCCCGGTCATTCTGTGTCGTATGGGTATACGGAATAGGGATTGATTCTGACTTGCCGTTGTAGCTTTAGTGAAGAACAGTGTGAACTCCAGTAAACCCCATGCCCTTCGCGTCACGTTTTAAGTGGCAAGGGTATAGAGTACTATGTACGGTGAACACGACGCGGCGCGTAAAAGTTGTCCGGCTTTACCTCACCACAAACAACGATAGTGTCCGGCGCTACATAGAATTGTTAGTCGATTCTAGTCATGGCCACTCCACAATATACGTATAGCCATTGGCAAAGACTGAAGTCGGAGCCGGATCACATCGTGGAGATATCTGACCATACTGCCCACCTCGTGCTGATTGCACTCTGCAAGGATCCGGGAACCAGGCAAGATGCCATGAAAGTTATCGCAAACTTTGATGTCGCTGAACAGAATCGGCCGCTATCGGAAAATAGCACCTGCAGTACGAAGCGCAAAGTGAGGGACGATGACGTTATGGTTTGCGAGCAATGCACAAAAATCTACACTGAAGACGAGAACTCGGACACTGCTTGTAATTTTCACAGCGGTATGTAGCTTAATAAGGCAGAGTTTAGAGTGGGTGAAGAGTTGTGCTAATGCAGAATTAACCCAGGCCAGTTGGAGCCAGACTACGATGGCGAAGTCTGGTGCGACCACGACGAGGACAGTCACGGCATCATCGACAGCGACGAGCTGCGCCGCGAATACCCTGAAGGCTACATTTAGGACTGCTGCCAGCGCCTAGGTGACACTAAGGATACGTGTGAGACGTCTCGACACAGTCCTATCCACGGGCTAAAAAGACGCCGCTCTGTCGGAGTGGACGAGCAGGAGACAGATGGACAGGACAAGGAGAACGACATTCCAGGCGAAAACAAGACTAAAGAAGAGCACGAGATAGTTGTGATTGACTAAATGAGAGCATTCGGAGCTCAGTTGGAAGCGAGCAACATGACTTTTGTATTCTCTATATTTTCAATCTTCTAAATCATTACTCGCATTATACCGTCTTATATCTTTGCCTTGATGTCGTTGATGTCGACAACCTCGCCGGAGCGGTGCTTGTCGGCGGCTCTCGCATCGGCGCCTTCCTTCCAGCGCCAGCGAGGGAGGTCCTGGTGGCCCTTCTCGGCGACCTCCTGAATCCATTTGCCGGCAATGGGCAACATCTTGAAGCCGTGGCCGGAGTCACCGGTAGCAATGACAAGGCCAGTGGTTCCGGGGACGGTGTCGATGACATAGTCGCTGTCGGCAGTGTCGGCACACCAGCACAGGTGGCCATCGATAAAGGGGCGATCGGCGAGGGTGGGCAAAGCCTGGGCCAGCAGACGGCGCATCTTTGCCTCAGCAGCGGGTGGGAGAAGGGCGCTGTCCTCGACGGAGGCACCAACGGAGAGGCCGAGGGAAGGAACGAAGTTGGAGAAGCCGGCACCCTCGGCGCAGACCTTGAAGAGGCCGGTGGTCGGTTCGGGCTCGAAGAAGAAGCCGAGGTCACGCATGAAGGTGACGGGGATGCCGCGCAGCCGTTTGGCCTCGTCGGGGGTCAGCTGAACGTGGGCGAGAGCCCAGGCCTTGGCGACGACCTGGTTGCCGACAGCGGGAAGAAGGCGACCGACGTTGGCGCCGAGGGTGAGGATGACGACGTCAGCGGCATAGCGGTGGCCGGTAGCAGTGGAGACTCCGACGCAGCGACATGACTGATCGGGTTGGCCGGACTGGATAGCCTCATAGATAAGCTCGACCACATCTTTGCCCAGCTCGACCTGGACGCCGAGATCGAGGACGGTGCGATGGATGGCGCGCAAGGCGTTGGCTGAGTGGGCGTAGCCAGAAAACGAGTTGAAGTAGCCGGACCAGCCGGGCATATCGCCGTCAAGCGCGGGTGCAACGCGGTGCAGATCTTCACGACTGCGCACATGCTCGATTTTCCCAGCCCAAGCAGGGTGGCTCTGCAGGCTCTCGAGCTGCAGGGCCAGGGTGCGGCGGCCAACCTCGGGTGCGGCCCCGGAAACGCCCAGCAGGTAGCCAGTCTGGTGGTAGTGCGGCGCAAAGACGGTGTCGGCCGTCCAGGCGGAAATGGCCTCGAGGGCCAGGTCCGAGTAGAACGGGTCGGTGTATTCGGCGCGCACAATCTTGTTGATATCGTTGGCGGCAGACTGCGGCCCTGGAATGGCGGCGCCCTTTTCCAGCACGGTGACAGCGCTGTAGCCGGAACGGGCCAAGTGGTAAGCCGCCGACAGACCAAAGGTGCCGCCACCGACAATCACGATCCGGCTCTGCTTGTCCAGCATGATAGGAGTCTGTGTAAGAAGGAAAGAGTTGGGGGAGATAAGGTACTGGACGGAAAGGAAGAAGATGAGGCGCCTTGAGGGACGAGAATGAGTGGCTGTTGACAGCAAGAGAGAACGGCACCCGGAGCCAGACACCCTATCCAGATAGGCACACAGAAATGAAGCTCAACAGACTCGGCGATGTTGTATCGTCATCCTCGAAGCTGCTTTAGGAAAGAGCCTGCAACCACGCCACCGATAGACGCCACTAGCCGATCTAGTGCCGGCTCCAATTACGAAAGCACAGTCGTTTTTGTGGGGCACCAACACTCTGCCTGTTGGGCCGTCTCTGTTGGCTCCGTGATTAGCAAGACAGATAACGGTTTCCGGCTTTCGTAAACTTCCCTCTGTCTTCACCCCATCATCCCCGCTCGTCTGACGATTTTTGGTCTGGCTTCGGTCTGCTAGACACGACTATGAATCGTCTCCAGTTGTGCACCTGCTGACTAACAGAAAGTTGAGGAGAGTGCCCTGGTAAGCTCCCTGTCGTCGTTGCTACACTGGTCGCTCTTGTTTCTGACCGCCAGCGACCGATAGGTCACTGCTGCAAGAGGCCCTACCGGTCGTGTTGCTACCAGACTCGCCTCGCTTGGGTCGCGGTCCGCAAGGCCCACTGTCGGCCTCACCAAATGCCGTTGCCGCCGAGATTACTAGGCTGACCCTACATACGGACGTTGGGAGAGGCCGAGGCCGGTGCGAGCAACTTGGAGCTGCCCCACAGATCTTCCCGTTGTCGCCAGAGTCTCATTGAATTCTGGGGCTGAGAGGTGGAGAGGAGTCAAAGGGGTGGATAATTAGTAATCTGTCAATCCGCCCGGTTAGCTCAATCGGTAGAGCGTAAGACTCTTAATCTTAAGGTTGCGGGTTCGACCCCCGCATCGGGCTCAAATCCCGGTGCGCCTGTTCTACAGGCAATTCCGAACCAGAGCCAGGCGTCTATTTTTTGCCATTTTACTTTTACTATTGCAATGATGAAATTACTTTCTCAGAATACAGTAAATATGTCAGTCCTGAACAGCCAGCAGTGGTGCCGGTTCGGTTTTACTCCCACGATAACTCCCAATTTAGCACTTTCTTCTCTGTTCTCGGCAGAAACTCCACCGTGATCAGAGGCTTTTGGGTACCTCTTTTGACAATGAGCTTATACAGTTGCTGGCCAAACTCGGCACAGCGATTGTGACTGGAGGCGCTGACGATTTCATCACCGTCGTGAAGGCCAGCCCGCTCAGCAGCTGAGCCCGTCACAACGCCTGTCACAAGACGTGTGCGCAGACTTTTGCGATCGAAGCCAAAGCTCAAAACTGGCATAGAGCTGCGCACAAAACGAGCCTGTGCGTCTCCGAAGTAGACAGCCGAAAAGTCCAAAGTTTCTCCTCTCCGCATTCCCTGATAGTGCTCGTTGACCGAAAAGTTTGACGAGGCCCCAAGATACCGCTGGACTTGGGCCAGCCAGTCCTTGCTTTGGACTTTTTCCCCCTTTTTCTTTCGCCTGGCCAGATCGATAATGATGTCATCGAACACACTGCGTTTCGTAATATCCAGGTTCTGTGTTTCCTGGCGCAAAAGACTGTCGATAAGAATAAAATAAGCGCAACCGCGCTTGTAGGGAATCCAGACAGCATACCAGTCCGCAAAAAACCCCGCGGCCGCATCGTCAATATGCATATTGATCCTCGGGCTGGTGAAGTAGGCCTGCACCAGATTGTTGACGTCCGAGATAAAGTCCAGCTTCCCACACATGCCAAAGCGGTAAGGAAGTACGACGGAGTAATACTCGGCAATACCTTAAACGCATGTTGTCAGTGCCAGAAACGAGAAGGGAGCGGTAAGTAGAGATGAGCGAACCCTCTTCGAACCATTCGTTGCTAGACCCGTCGTCTTCGCTTTCCAATGTCGAGAAGCTGTGCACCATCTCATGTGTAAATAACCGCTTCAGATCTGCGTCACTTTCCTCCTCTATGGAAGTGTCATATTCTAGGACATAACTTCCCAGAAATCCCGACCCACCGAATCCGACGAGAGCCTTGCGGATGAATATGCGATATTCCTCATTCTCCCGCTGGAAAAAGTCCGTCATCTTGGGAAAGAGCTCCGTGTTGTAGTCTTTCACCTTGTCGAGATCGTCTGGAATAGAGCCAAACCAGTAGCAGACGCACTCTGCCGTGGACGATTCGCCCAGACTCGGGTAACTGCAGATGGGGCCTACCATGTAAACCGAGTTCCACGTGATGTCTGTACGTCCAACGAGATAGATGGGCTTAGGTCCTTCCCCAAAACTCCAAACACACCTTGTGCCCGCTGGTGCATCACTTGGCAGCAACCACTGCACAATGTTTGTGTATGTAGCATCAGAAAGGACACGGGGCAAGAACCAATAGCCAACGCCTTGCAGGCCACCCTGGTCACGACGAAGGTCGATCCGAGAGCCCACCGGTGTTTTTATGTCGACTTCGCGTGGCTGCACATTGTAAGTCAGAACGATGTCACCCTTAGTTGCCCTGCCGAGGTACCAGTGTTGCTGTGTGTTTCTTCCGGCTCTAGGCAGGTCAACGAATTGGAGAGGAAGCCGGCCGTTATCATCGACAGCGACTACTGCTGCTTCCGTCAAATGCGGGGCCGGAACATTGTCAGTAAACGTGTTGAACAGTAATGCCGGTCGCTCAGCAGCGATAGATGGCTGCCGAATGGTCATATGGACTGTAAGGCTGCTGGCCCCATTTGTGGAAAAGGTCGGTGCGAGACGCAGCCAAATAGCCGGTGAGTCTGGAAGCTGCATCGCCACGTCGTCTTGGCTCCTTTTCTTTATTTCATTCCCCGTCGTTCTAACGGCAAAATCCAGTGGACAGCAAGAAGGCGGGCGATAAAACGATTTACAACCGAAAGTCGCTTTTAAAGTTCAAAATTTTCCTTGAGGATTGTCGTAAACGGTTGCCTGATAATAACGGTCGAAGTCTAGTTCGACCTTGCCGAATGCAGCAATCGGACAGTCGTTGTGCAAATTAATCAACGGCATACTCCGCTTCGAGCGTCCGTAGTAGGCAGGTGTTGCAAGACTACGGAGTACAAAGAGTGCTAAAAGTAGGGTAGAGAGTAGAAAAAATACAGTAGCTTGACTGAGGCGAGGCAAAATCGCCTCCACCTCTTATAAGCGGGCTTATGTTGGATAACAGCATAAGAATAACAGAAAGCACAGCCTGTTTCCATAAGTCATACATAGTACTGCGATCCGATAGATATCGGGTTGACAAGTGAGTTATGCCTGATTCCCGGTGAGATGAGGCCTAACAGTAGAAGTAATGAACGCGCGAACGGATGGGTATCAATTACACAAACACGACCCTTATTATGGCCGTGAGTGGTATGCATGGTCCTCTATGACTTCATATGCATATGTCGACAAAACACACTCTTGTGAGCATTATAATGGCGCCCTGTATTACCCCGTACGGAGTACGGGTTCTTTTTGCAGTATCGCCGTCTTCGGTGTTAAGTCGCTTTCCGGCAGATTTGCGTATGCAAGGGATACTAGCAATACTACTGTAATTATCATCGCAGTGGGGCAGATTTTTTGGCACTGGAAAAAAATTGTAAGTTACAAACACGGCGTAACAGCATCTGCCATTTTTATATTATCGATCTTGCAGCCCCTCCTGGAGAGCCAGACCGCTGGAAGGTTTTAGAGTCGGTGAAGACACACTACGTCGTAAAGATAGTGGGAAAGTACTTGAGTTCGCGTAACCAGTTTAATGGAGGACCGCCCCGTTTATTCTTAAGACATGACTTGAAAGGATATGGAGTACTTCGTAATCCCTAAGTGCCCCTCGCACTCAACGGAAGAAGTGACGCGTCCACCCCATCATGGGATTAGGCCGCCCATGGTACTCCGTACTCCTCAGTTTCGCCAGGGCAGTAGGCTGCTAAAGGCATCCAGAGTATCGCGCCGCTTGGCTTGATAGCGCTGAGCATGTCCAAGAAAGCTAGTAGTCACTACTAGCTTCCGTCTAAGCCGAACTGCCGGAAAAGTGGACTACGAAGGGACCGGGGTGGCGTTGGGGCTTTGCTAAAGGAGGCATCGGAGAAAAAGGAGAAGCGCTTGTTGGAAGGGAGCTACTATGTGTGCCATATCGCGCAGGAGCAGCGTGAGAGACCGGTTTTCCCACTTTGGTGCCCATGATTAATGTCCATTCTCCACTAGACAAAATCTATAAAGATAGCTCGTCCCCTGATAGAAATAAGATTCCCTATTACAAGATTTTCAAGCTTTCAAAAGTCAAAGGAACACCATGAGCGCTGCAACCGACTACACCTTCCAGGGCTGGGTGGCCCTGGACAAGAACTCTACGGGCAACCTGGAATGGCAGACGTTTGAGCCCAAGGCCTGGGAGGAGACGGACGTCGACATCAAGATCACCCACTGCGGCATCTGTGGCTCCGATCTGCACACGCTTCGCAGCGGCTGGGTGCGTAGGCCTTTTTTGTCTTGCATCCTGCCATCCTGCTAACACGTACAGGGCCCGACAAAGTACCCGTGTGTGGTAGGCCACGAGATTGTCGGCACGGCCGTGCGCGTAGGCTCTGAGGTGAAGCACATCAAAGTCGGCGACCGCGTCGGCGTGGGCGCGCAAGCGGACTCGTGCCGCAACCGTAAGGGGTCCTGCCGGGCTTGTTCGACCGGCCGCGAAAATCTCTGCGGCACACATGTGGGCACCTACAACTCGGTCTTCTACAACGGCGGCAAGTCCTACGGCGGCTATGCTGACTACAACCGCTCTCCGGGCCACTTTGTCATCCCCATCCCCGATGGCGTCACCTCGTCCAATGCGGCGTCTATGATGTGCGGCGGTGTCACCGTCTTCACGCCTCTCAAGAACAGCGGCTGCGGCCCGGGAAAGCGCGTCGGTGTCATCGGTGTCGGTGGCCTAGGCCATTTTGCCATTCTCTGGGCCAAGGCCATGGGCGCCGACCGCGTCGTCGGCATCTCGCGCCGCAACGACAAGCGCGCCGATGTGCTCAAGCTCGGTGCCGATGAGTACATTGCCGTCGCCGAGGAAGCCGACTGGGCCAAGACCCATGCCTCCAGCCTCGACATCATCGTCTGCACCGTCGCCTCGACCGATATGCCTCTGCGCGAGTACTTGGCCCTGCTTGACATCGACGGCCGCTTCGTCCAGGTCGGCATCCCGGAGGGCCTGATGCCCCCCATCGCCGCTACTGATCTCGTCCTGAAGAATGTGTCGATCGGGGGCGGCATGATCGGGTCGCCCGCCGACATCCGCGATATGCTGCAGCTGGCTGTCGACAAGAACGTCCAGCCCTGGATCGAGGAGCGCCCCATGGATGAGGTCAACCAGGCTATCCTCGACATGGACAAAGGCCTCGCCCGATACCGCTATACCCTCGTTAACGAGAAGCACCTGTGAGCGTCACCATGCAAGGATGGTGCTTCAGGAAACGGTGTCTGGCCGCGGTTGATGACGTCACCACCAGGCGGTCAGGAAAGGCAGAACACCCAAAGCGGAATGGTGACTAGACATTTGAGCGCGTTTTGTTGGCGAACTCGGCTAAGGATTGATAATCAATTTACGAGCCTCGAGCGACGCAGCTAGTTCAACGACTAAGCTTTGAAAATACGACCTTCACTGGTTTTATCTCTATTACATAACTAAGAGAAATTTAACGCTTTCTCGTGTGTCTCCTTCCTAAAATTTATGAATAGCAAGCAGGATTTCCGCCTGCCTTCGTGAATAGGGAGGTCATTCACGGTAATTACTCTGTACGAGTAAGATTTAGTGGCCAGTCAGTCTGTGCCTCCTAGTCATTAGTCAGCTTAGTCGGTATTTGCGCTAGTCTGCCCCCTAATTAGTCTCCTACGTATTTCAAAGCAGGGAAATAGTCAAGTCTACGGAGTATAGCAGCCTGCCAAGTACTGCTACTGCAAGTCAGTGCAAGAAGCGGACTAAAGTCTCCGCAAGCGGCGAGCTTTTCTTGATAGCGTATTTGAGGCCCCGCTTGATAGCGTATTTGAGGCCCCGCAGATAGTATGTGCTTCTGGAATTAGGCAAGACAATAAACCTTGTCAACCGTTGGCAAGGCCTCATGTAGACGCGCCAAGGCTGGCACACTGTTGATCTTAGTGCGCATATGCTGACTATCGTCCACACGCCGTTAGTTCTTGGTGCATCAACTGACTCTGGTTTGTGTTGACTCTACATGTGTGGGTGGTGTTTTGCAATCGGCGACAGATGCATTCTATCGATTTGGCCATCTCAGCACTCAGTAATGCACTTCTGACTGGGAGCTAAAAGCTGGCGTTTTGCATCCGGAAGAGCTGTTGCTTAGATTCGGAGCAAATGTCTTCTTAGACATCGGCAAATGAAACGTGGTCGACATAAAGCTTCAGCACGCGGACGACATCCAGGTACTTGCTGTTGTCGCATGGCTAGAGGCCCTACTTGCCATCTCGTAAATATACGGCACTGCTAACCGGAAGCAACCGTGCGGCTGAAAACGGCTGGATCGTTGGCAGCTGTTTTTTTCTTCTGCCTTGCTCTTGCTGCTTGCTTCTACTAGCCAACTTGGTGCATTCGTCTTGTGCGTGACCTCCGTGCATTTGCCAGCAGATCTATGAGTCATGAGTCAGCAAATCTTGAAAACTCCCAAATAGGAAAGAGCATCTGAGTCCTGAGTGATCTGGCCTAGCGTTGCTTCCCGTGTTGCGTTGCGTTGAACAAAAGAGATTCATCGCGTGTTACGTTCAAAGACCCTAACAGACTTTTTCATTTCTTGTTCAAGATCAACTCAAAAAAATCGGGGACACTTCAGCCTGGCTGTACGGGCCTTTTTTACCAATGAACGTGATGAGACATGTTCAACACTCAGTTGCCCATGATTTTTTCACCATTTCAGCGACGAGCTAACATGAACGTACACAAAGATGAACACCCGTCTATATACTCTCGCCCATACAGGCTGCCAGTTTCTATAAAGGAAGCGTCGGGAGCCCGAAATCCAAACACCAGAAAAAAAACTTCAGACAACAATACAACAACCACCCAACTCCCCACAGCAGCAGCATCTTCCGCATCTTGGCATCTCTGATACATCCGATCTCACCAATCATCGCTTTGTCTCTGCCTTTCAAGCGCAAAGACTATCTAAGCCACACACCCATTCGCCTACTCAATCTCACATATATATACACACACGGATATTCAAGATGATGCCCTGGATGCGCAAGAAGACCACCTCGTTTCCCAAGGATGAGGCCAACCAAATATACGTCTCTGATTTCTCCTTACGGACACAGCGCCAGGACGTGTCGAAGAAGCCGGCAACGGCCAATTTCGGCTCACCCAATGCGCGACCAATGGGCCCGGAGGACGCCGAGGTGACGATTCCCAGCCAGATGTACTACAATTTGCTGCAGGAGGTGGGGGAGGCCGACAAGGTTGCCAAGGTGATCGAGCGCACGCTTGCGGCGTCGGACCGGACGATGGACGATGTGATGCGCGGCGACCAGACCGGCTGCATTCTGGTGGTGATGACCGAGAGCGAGCAGCAGGCGTGGCGGCAGCTGAAACACGTGTCGTGCGCAACAGGCGAGGTGGACTGCCTGTACGCGATGCGGGAGTCGCTGGCGGGAGTGGCACGGGTGGCGAAGCAGCTGGAGCTACGCTTCGACGCACCAGCTGACGAGGGCGTGCGCCAACAGAACGCTTTTGAGCGGCTGGCCTACGAGGCGGAGCACTGCAACGGACGGGACAAGCGAGACGCACACAAGGACAGCAAGAATGGCGGCAGTCGGGCACTGGCGAATCTAAACCGCGAGGCTGAGGCGCTGCTGCACCGGATGCGGGCACTTCTCAGCAAGGCCGAGGCGGGTGTGGTGCCGTTCTGCCGCCATGTGATGGATCTGGGGGCTGTCTGCACGGAGGGGGACGACGACATGGACGAGCTGACGGCGCTGGACGTCGTCCGGGGGAGCAGCGTGATGACTCTGCTGGACAGCACATTGCGTCGCATGTCGTCATTAGACCGTGTCAATGCGGTCGACCTTGCCCGCACGACCTGGTCACGCTGCGATGCCCGGATGCGCAACGGACTCGGCGACGAACCTCGGGCGGCTGACGGCCAGCCCGCCAGTCTGCTACGACGCTGGCTCCGACTTTCTGGCTCGCGCGAATTCCACCACGAACAGGTCCGGCTTGCGCGCGGCCTGCAGGCCCAGGCACAGGCGGCCGGGTGCTGCCGGCGCTGCCGTCCGTCCTCGACCGAGACGTCCAGCCCACAGAAGCCCCAGGCGACGAGCTCGTCTCGCAGATCGGAACCGAAAATCGAGCGGGTGAGCAGCAGTCCCGGTCGCAATGCTGTCCGCAGTCGCCGGCCGGACGCGCCGAAAGTGACGTGGAAGTAAGCACGAGTGTCTTGGTTTTCTTTGTCTTGGTTCTGCTTGTCCTATTCCTTCTGCATGCTAACATCCAATCAACCGCTACTTTACTAACTTGAGCTTTGTTGCCTTTCAGTCGAATTATTCTTTATGTTCTTCTCTGTGAGTCTTGCATGCTGTAACGTAATGATATATATGCCCTGCCACTGATACGGCTGTCTCGGTGCCGAAGATCAGATGGTTGTGTCAGGAAATGCCCAGATGGGAATACTCACTGTTTGTCAGCCGGCCGGAATTTGGCTCAAAGTCCGGTGCTACATGTGGGGCCTCTCGACGTCGCGGAGTAAGCACGGTCAAATCGATCACCGCCGTGCTGCCATCATGCAAATCGGCAACTATCATGCAGAAAGGGTGGAACCACGGCTGCGTCTAGATGCCACTATTTGGCTGAATGTGCGCGAGTCAAAAAGTCCGTCGGACTCTTTACGGAAAAAAGACCTGCAGTAACGGGCAGAGAAGCTGGGTACATCCGCACATGAAGCAGAAGCAGCAGCCCTGATGGACGAAAAGGCAAAGGCCACAGCCAAATGGGGAGCCGCCTGCTCCGCCTGTGCGTCGGCCAAGGTCAAGTGCATTCGCTCTGTCGAAGATGCAAGCGCCAAGTGTGACAGGTAAGAGACCGGCGTCGTTACTGTCTGTTCCTGCATGCTGACTGCCAACGTCCAACAGGTGTGAACGGCTCTTTAAGAACTGTGCCGTACAGGTGCACCGTGCGCGGAAGAAGCGCACCAGCAAGACGTCGTGAGTGGCACTCCCCTATTATATGCGTACTTTCTACTATCCCCGCCGGAGAGTTAGGATATAGGGCAAAATCCCGGATTGACAGCAACTGACGTGGGCTAGCAAAACGGCCCAGCTTGAAGAACGCCTTAACGGCCTGGTGGACCTGCTCCGGGCCTCTGGTGACCTGCTCCGGGCCTCTGGTGACCTCAACACGTTGCATGCGGCCGAGGCCTCGCCACACACCATCTTGGCCGACCCATCACGAAAGTCTGACCGTCTCTACCATGCGGACACGACCGATGTCTCATCCCGGCCTCCGCCACAGGACGTCCAACAAGAGCAGCTGACTGCCCAGATTGCCATACCGGTATCATACAACTCGTTTGCACCGCCGACATGCATCTGCCGCCCCGAATCTGGCGAGATCATCACGACTGCTGTCGACTCGGATGAGGACCTGCTGAAAACGTACCGCTCGCTCGAGTACCCACACTACCCCTTTGTGGCTGTGGCATCCGACGTGACGGCTGAGCAGCTGATGGTCGAGCGGCCGATCCTCATGATGGCCATCCGCGCCGTCGCCTCGGTCGACAACAGTCGGTTCATGCAGGGTGCCATGTACCGCCTGATCTGCCTGATCGCTGACCGCGTCATCCTGCAGTCCGATCGCTCGCTCGACCTCGTCCAGGGCATGCTTGTCGTCGTCGGCTGGTACCAATACCACTGCATGATGCACGCCCAGCTCAACAACCTGCTGCACCTCGGCATCAGCATGATGGCCGACCTCGGCCTCAACCGGCCACCGCGTATCGCTGAGCGCACCCATATCTTGGTCCTGCACCCCAACATCCCCAGTCCGCGCGCAAACGAGGAGCGCCGTCTGGTGCTGGGCTACTGGTATATGTCATCATGGTGGGTTTTCTTTTCTTCTTTTCTGCTTTTTCCTTTCTCCCTTAACTTAAGCCTGATCACCCAGTCTGTCTCTTGGATTTCTTAAAATCGAGGCCATGCGCTTCTCGCCATACGTTCGGCAGTGTCTGGACGAGCTGGACGAGATCTCAGAGTATCCGTCAGACGCCCGTCTGGTGACTATCGTCCGGTTGCAGCATCTGGCCGAGAAGGTTGCCAGGTTTAACAGGCCGGAGGAGCTGGGCGACGAGATTCCGGGAATCTCACGGGCGCCCAGTTCTGCGTACCAGCTGGCCTTTCAGAACGAGCTCGACCGTCTGTGCCAGGCCTTGCCAGAGGACATCAAGACAGACAGTACGTTTTCGGAGGAGCTTCAAGCCTTTGCATTCCACTCCACAAGCAAACCTGTTACTCATCATCTCCCAGAATTGATCCAAAATCAAATCAACACCATCAAACTCCGTCTTTACGAACCTCCTCTTTTAGATGCCACACTGCTGCAGAAGTTCTCGGCCGACTTCACTGCCGTGTCGTCCAACAACCCAAGCGGCTTGGATATCCTGTACCGCTCATATAATGCCCTCCGCGGATGGTTCGACCAGTGGTTTACCATCCCCGTGTCGCAGTACCACTGGGTGCCCATCCCGCTCTGTGTGCAGCTCGTCTATGGCATCACCATGCTGAGCCGTTGGGCGCGGCTGGTGGGCGCCATACGGCCAGCACACACCGACCTTCATGATTCGACCATCAACATGGCCACAGCCGTTCCGCCCTCATCGTCTTCCACCCTCAAGGACCCCAGCAGCCGGCTTGTGCCAGGCCAGGGCGTTCCCGTATCCTCCTCATGTGCCCTACCGACCAGTTCGGTGGTCCAGCCTGCCGTCGCTGCTATTGCCGGCCTCGATGGCAAGGAGATTGCCTGCGATCCGAAGCTCAAGGCGGCCATGGCCCAGATGCGGGACACACTGCGCAATCAGCCCGGCCTGTTGATCGATATATCAGCCCTGCTCACTGCCCTTGGAGACCGCTTCGAGCAGTCCAACCTAGAGATGCGCGCGGCAAGCGCGGCCAAGTTTGGCGACTCGGCCGACCGCGGCATGAACATCTGGGACCTAACGTCCCGCAAGATTGCCATCCTGCGATCCAAGCTGGGCCCCTTCCTGGATGACGCAACCACCACCGAGATGACCACACAGCAACAGCAGCAACACAATCAGCTAAATCACCATGCCGCTGCCGCCTTTCCTATCGAGGGCAGCGGCTTTCCCGTCGATCACAGCCTCGACGTCAACTTGGCCAGTGGTATCGCTGATGCTGCGACAGATTCCGCCGGTCTGATGTCGACATCCATCGAGGGCTGGGACTGCAACAGTCCGTGGGCCAACGAGATTTTTGAGGACATGGAAGCGAGCCTGTGGCTAGAAAGCCTTCCTTGGGTGCCCATAGGCGGATGAAAGAGTTCTGTGATTAGCCCATACTGTTCATCATTGTCTGCACTAATGTACATCCATCGGTCTTTTTCCAATATCCCCAGGCTATGGCTCTCTATAGCCAGCCTTGTAGTGGGAGGGGTCTTCATTGTATGATTGCGTCTGAAACTAGGTGCTAACGGCGAGTACTGCATGGGTATCTAAATCACAACGAAGACACTAAAGTAGGTAGACGGTCATGAATTGACACTGGCGCAGCATTGTATACCGCAAGACGAAGCCGTCGCGACTGTCTGGCACTAGCGATCGCTTGTCGGAAGGCCCGTTATTCGGCGAAATGCTTCAAAGTTGCGTGCCCATTGCAGCACGCTCAAGAATGTATGATGTTCCCCATCATCTGTGACAGTCTCTTCTTGACCGATTTCCCCAGCTTGACTGGTTCGCTCTCCCGCTGGCCGAATGAGGTGGCGCGTCCCAACATCTCGGCCTGCTTCGGCTTGCCGGAATCGTCAATTCCAGACTTGCTGCTTCCCCGGATCGGGATACGAAAGCGGCGGCCGAACTAAGGCCCCTTCTTTTCGTCATCTCTAGGCGGCTCGGGGTCGCTGTCCTCGACGTCTTGGTGGTAGTATTCCGGGTCACGAATAGACTGCAGAAGGCTGGAACACTCTTTCTGGCTCTGGGCCTCCAGCAAGGACTGGATCTGCTTGTCGTCGTCCGGGGGCGTGTCTCGGAGGTCGGCTGCAAAGTCAGCAGCGCCGGAGATGCAAGCCATGCGCACAGCGAGCCACTGTAGTTTGAGGAGAGCCCTCATCTTTGGCGCGTCATCCTTTGCAGCCCGGAGGTCAAAACGAAAGCCAGACTCGATCCGGCGGCCCGAGGGAAGATGCCCCAGAGGAATCCCACTGCCATTTCCATGAGGGATACTCGGAGGAGAGATTTCCTCCACGTTGCCGCTGATCTCGCCAAGGGCCTTTCCGATGAAATCAGAAAGACCCTTGGAGTCAAGGTTAACTGAACGAAACGGCCTCTGGCTCGGGGCCTTGCTCTTTGGCAGGATGTGGTCGCTGTCAACTAGGGCTTGTGACAAATGCTTTGGAAGCCATCGCCATTCGACTTTAATGAGTTCGATTTCTCCCTCGAAACGTGGGAACGTTTCGGAAACCGGCTTCAAGCCAAAATATGCGCGATCCCAATACCAGTGCAATTGGTGGTTGAGAGATACCATGTTGAATGGCTTGTCCGAGCACGACAGAACGGGATTGCCCGTGACTGGATCATGCTGAATTAGCAGGTCGCGAACCTCTGCGTACAGTGCGGGCGCCGCTGTATAAAGGAATTGGAACAGGGCGGTTCGTGCATTCTTAAAGTGGGTCTCGTTCTTGTTGATCGTATGTGGGATGATGTGAGCCACCTGTGGCTCAGAGCAGTTTGTGATAACACATGCGCTCCGATCTCTCGCCAGAGCCTGCAGATAATGTCAGGCCCAAGGCTTGATAAGATCCTGAGATGGGCTACTTACGATTGCGGCCTCGCCGGCCTGTCGTCTTCTCTCGTCCTGGGATGTGCAGGGGGCAGTCCCAGATGGCGAACCGTCTCCCTGCACGGGGGTACGGTCCAGGTATTGATGTTTTCCGCAACCTGGACGACTCATATTAGACGGGGAGGGAGATGGGTTGGAGGGCCGACAATGTGCTCTTACAAGTACTGAGGAACGGCTCGACATGCTTGAGGAGATTGTACCATCCTAGAGCATCAGAGTCCTCAACCATCCTTTGCAAAGCGTGTGTATCTTCGGTGGCCAAAAAGTAGGAGAGCTGCATGATGTTTAAATTGTAAGACTCCAGACCGCCGAGGGAGGTGCGAATCTTTTGTCGGACTCTGCGAGCAAGACCAATGCGTCTCTCGACGTCTCTAGCATAGTTGTCGCTTGGGTCAACAATGTCGATGTTGTGGTGAAAATCATGGCCGGTTCGGAATGCCAGAGGTGTGGTCGACGCTGAGTTCAGGAACTCTTCGACCTGCCGGCGGTAATCCACCTTTTGTTCTTCCGTAATTAGGAAAGGCATATTGTCTTTGGAAACAAACAATCTGTGATCAGGTCAGTCGTAAGAAGCAATGGGAAGCACTGCTAAAGGAAGGCTTAAGGAAGCACTCTAACCAATTCCTCAACAATACACAAATTTCGATAGTGCTGGCACGTCAGAGGACTAGTACAATCTATGTGCTTCCGAGGCTGCTTTAAAGAAGCGTTCAACGGAGAGCTGATTGGGTGTGCAGCGTCAAAGAAGCAGAAAAGCACAAATTATTCACCAGAGGAGCAAAAATTTCGCTCCTGACACAAAGTCCTGTAAGAGTACTTGTACGCGTACTGATATCTTGGACGTTACACACTGTAGTAATTATAGCAAAGGCGATTCTAGACTCTGATTGGTCGAGGGCAGAAACGCGACTTTGAATGTCAACGCTGCCGCGGTTCGGCAAGATCTTCCTTTGCCTTGGTCTTTATTTCGAGGAAAAATTCAACCGAAATCTGTGTTCTTTTAGACCAACAGGCCGGTAACAGTGAGAGAAAGGATCTAACAAAAGCTCCCGTGTGTTTGTCCTGTTCACCTGTCGATGTGCTAATTTAGGAAAGCGGTCAGTAGCTACAGCATGACAGCTTTCCGTACCGCACTCAAGGTTAGTCAGCGACACAACGCGCTCATAATATTGCCACTGCGGCGTAACCATGTCTATCTGCCCCTACAACGAGACTTTGCAGATGCCAACAAGGACGAGCTTGCTCCTGAAACCACGCCTGCGCCTGTCTTCATTTGAGATTTCATTATAAGATGGGATCTCTTGTTATCCCGCAGCTCAAGGAGGCCTGGCATGTCGACCAGGCCATCCTCTCGGAAGCTGACCGCGTTGTGGTCATCCGCTTCGGCAAAAATGGCAACCCCGATTGCATGCGTCAAGACGATGTGCTTGCGCGCATTGCACCAAAGGTGAAAAACTTTGCTGTCATCTACATCTGCGACAACCAGAAGGTTTCCGATTTTAACGAAAGTGGGTTCTACCGATGCCGTCCCCCACCCGCAGCTCTGTTTTCTGACGGATTGCATTAGTGTACGAGCTCTATGATCCATGCACCATCATGTTCTTCTGGCGCAACAAGCACATGATGATCGATCTTGGCACTGGCGATAACAACAAGATCAAGTGGGTAATTGAGGACAAGCAAGAACTCATAGATATTATCGAGACCGTCTACCGTGGTGCCAAGAAGGGTCGTGGCTTGGTTGTCAGCCCAAAGGACTACTCGACCCGCCATCGGTACTGAGCGAGTGTGGCCCATGAAACGAAAGCTTTGGCTGCTTTTCACGTTGACATTCCATGCACGGCAACTCTTGTTGACGCAGGCCGGCCGTTCTTCCCTTTACGACTGCGACTTACGCGGGCGGCGTTGAAGCGAAGGAACATCACGGCAGTGGCACATTTTGGCTGCAGATTCTGTTTTAATCTCGTTTTGTTGCATGCTATCGGTCGATTTAGAGTAGGAGACGCTCCTTTCCCTGGCATCCCGCCACGGCTTATTATCTACCCTTTTCTCATGTTGACTCTCTTTGCTGAACTTGTCATGTCCCAGACCGTTTAACAGAAAGGTAACAACTGTCCTTACAATTGCTAGGTGAGAGCTGTAAATTTTTTGCATTCTTGAATTGCCCTTGTTGGAATGGTGCTGCATACGTGAATGTGCCACTTCTACGTAATTGCATGTCATGTGCTGCGGATCTGTCAGGGGACAAGTATCCTGGCCAGTCTTGCAAATAACTTTAGAAGGCGAGGCCATATCACATTCATGAAAACTTGAAGCATAAGCGTCCTTATAGGAGGTGGTAAATCTCGGTGCACTGCAGCGTGCTTATCAAAAGCAGCTTCTATCTGTTGAGCGTGCTCTTTAACATTCGTTTGACATTGGCCATTTTAACGCCTCTTGGTGAATGAAATTCCGTAAGAAAGAATTATTAAAAGCAGATGGGGAGGGGGAGAATTCGGCAACACAAAAGCTCTCGTGCTCTAACGCAAATTTTGGCATCATTGATGTTGTTGTTGTCTCCTATCATCGCCACCGATCCTCTCAAGCGCCTCGAGCATGACGATCGAGTTTCCGCGAATGACCTGCACATATTGTAACCATTTGTCAGTTCTCCTGTGCCACAAAAAGCCATGCAAACTCGGGAGTTGTTACATACCACCATGCCAATTTTCACCTTCTCGCCGCCATCCTTTTCCTCGACCGCTTCGTCTAAAACAATGTTTAGGAAGACCTAGTTCAAGCCAAAAAGTCAGAAGTGTATTGCAGGACGCAAGGCCGCGATCACTGGTGAGGAGCTTACATCGTAGCCACGGAGGACGCCGATAACCTTCCGGCTGCCGTTCAGCTGAACGAACAGCCGCTTGTCGAGGTACTAGAAACGGGGCGTTAGTTGCGGGAACCGCAATATTGGCACACACGGAAACGAGCCTACCTTCTTCAATTCTGGTTGTGCGGGCGCCATTTTGTCGAGTACCGCGGGTCGAGGAGCAAAGAAATGATGAGGCGGGGAGGTAAGATATGTTTCTAGGTTTCGAAAGCTTTGACGCGATGCATTCTGGACCAGGCGAGTTTTGTGTCACGTGTCGATAAGATAACGAGCACTTGGAGATACGCGATGAATTTCCTGTGGCTTCCTTTGAAAGAGGCAACCTACAGCTGGTACTCGAATTTCAAGCATCTGGCGGAGTACAGAATGAGCCTATTCAAGCGCAAAGGGCGTAGGATATCTACTTTTGAAGACGAGGAACCGGGCGACGCGTCGGTTGGTGACGAAGGTATGTTGCAGCGCCCTCTTTTCGCCAAAGCCGTTCATTTCCACTGCTTGTCGCTGATGCGAGAGAACACAGCCGGCTGATACGTCTTCGTTAGAACCATCAATACAAGTGCCGGTGAAATTCGGAAAGCGGCCTTCCAAGCAGTCTGCGCTACGACGAAATACCAGCGTTGGTGACCCGGCTGAAGGCAACGATGGCGACATTGGGGAAGACGATGAAGGGCCGGCAGTGGTGCGCCCATCCATAGGCCGGATCAGCTCGACAAGGTCGAAGAAGCGGATGTCCTCTTCAACGCGGCTGTCTTTCGGTGTCGGGGCAGTAAGCGAAGCGTCTGAGGCAACGACAGAAGACAGGACGTCAGCCACGACGCCACGACGGACCGGGATCACATCTCTGAGCCAGCGGGTGTTGGAGACGAACGCGTTCCGGAAGTCCCTCTCCGGACGGCTGCCGACCCGGCCGCTGGACACGGAAGACGAAGACCGGCCACGATACAGCAAAGAGCACCTCGAGGAGCTCCAGAGCTCGACGCCCAACACACCGCGGAATGTCGCTTCGAAGAGACACGAAGACGGCGACGCTAGTGATGGCCGCGCGGATGCAGACGTGATGCAGCTCGACGTGTCCGAGCTGGAGGGCGCCACGGTGGTCGAGTCGTCGGACCTAGCGGCGCTGCGGACTGGAGCTCTCGCGACGTCAGCACCGGCAGCACATGTCCTGACGCAGACGGAGATTCAAGAACGAAAAGACCGGCGACAGCGGCTGGCGCTCGAGAAGAACGCGCTCGCGATGGGCAGCGAAGACGACGAGGAAAACGGGTACATCTCGCTGGTCTCGGGCGACGGCAACAAGAAGAAGCGGAAGGAGGAGTCGCGGCTGGTGCGCGAGGACGAGGATCTGGGCGAGGGCTATGACGAGTTTGTCGAAGACGGGGGGCTGTCGCTGGGCCGAAAGGCTGAGCGGGAGGCCCGACGGCGACGCAAGCAGGAGATGGCAACGCTGATCAGTGCGGCCGAGGGTGGCGGCGGTGGCCACGGCGACGGCGCCGACAATGACGAAGACGGTGTCGACAGCGACGACTCGGAAGCAGAGCGCCAGGCAGCCTACAACGCAGCCCAGACGCGGGCCGGCATGGATGGCCTGAAGCGGCGTGGCGGCGGGTCGAACGAGGACGACGAGGACGAGATGAACGTGCTGCGTGGCACGGCGGCTGCCTCGTCCACGATACCCAAGATGCAGCCGCTGCCAGAGTTGGCAGACTGTCTGGCACGCATGCAGCGCATCGTCCTCAACCTCGAGAACGAGGCGGCACAGCGACGCCAGAAGCTGGCCGAGATCGAGGCTGAAAAGGCCGAGATCCTTGCGCGCGAGGCTGAGGTGCAGGAGCTCCTCAACGCGGCCGGCCAGAAATACCAGGCTATTCTGGGCGGCGACGGCAGCGGCAGCAGCAGCAGCATGGCGACAACCGATCCTGCCAGTGTTGCAGCAGCTGCGGCTGCTATGCTGGCGACGACAACACAGTCACCACTGCGGCCACTGCCTGTTGGTGGCCCGGCCGAGAGAGGTCTGGAAAGCCTGGGCGGAACGCCAGTTCGCCGGGCAGACAAGGACGACGTATTCTAGGGGCGTTGTATTGGGTGTTGGGAACTGTTCATGCTGAGACAGGGAAGAATAGAGAAAAAATGTATGACTAAGCAAGCAATTATTTGTTCTTCATGATATTACCAACGCCGATTTGTGGCACAGGCTACTGCCAGACATTTGGCAGGACATGCTGCCATCCAACTGCAGTCCTGGCCGTGGCTCATCTCCAGATACCTACTATACAAACACGAAACGCGAAACGATAAGAAACAAGCCGTTCACTCCGCTCTGTCCCTACTTTGATCGGCCGACGCTGACGCCGGCGCCAATGACGCCCGGCAGCTTCTCCTCGCCGACGTTGAAGAGCATGGCGATGGAAAAGGTGACGACACCGACCATAGTGACAGAGAAGCCGGTCAGCAGCCAGAACGGCGCGCTGATGTCCTTCTTGTGGCACATGTTTCCGGCCCACTGCGTCGTGCTGAGGCCGCCAGCCTCGGTCTCGGGCCGGTTCAGCGTCGAGTAGCAGTGGCAGACAAAGCACGACGCCGCGCCGTCTGCCTTGGCCACACCGCCGCTGTTGTAGGCGTACTTGTCCACGCACACGCCGTGGCTGCTGCAGTTGCCCGTCTGCGTCACGCACGAGTTGAACGACTGGAAGCAGGCCGGGATGGCCGTCGGGGTTGTGGCAGCCCATTCGTGCAGGAATTGTCGGCCGTCGTCCTTCTTGTTGCTGCTGCTGTCGGTGCTGTCCTCCTCGATCATGACAGACTCCGACTGGGCTTCGCGCTCCTCGATCGCGCTAGCCCGGAACTTGATGGCCTCGCGGACTTGCTTCTCTCGCAGCTCCCGCAACTCGTCGGAAAGGGCCAGCTTTGTGCGTGGAGCCGTGTTCGTCCAGTGCTTGAGCTTCGACTTGCGGCTGGACTCTGGCAGCAACACGAGGGTGACTTCGACCGCTCCAGACTCGACGTCGGAAATGAGCTGGTTCATGCTCTGCTCCAAAATGAGAATTTCATCGGCCTAAGAGAGACAAAGCATCAGAATGGCGTTCCGAACAAAACTTCCTAATACGACCAATAAAGGAGCTAGCTTACGTCTGACAAGTCATAAAGGCCAACATGGGCCCGTTCGCTCAGTTTGTACCGTCCCGGTAAGGAGCTGATCTCAGACATCACGTTGCTGAGCTTGACGCGCATGCCGGCCTGTTTCAGCTCGTTGATGAGGTGCTCGTTGGCCTTCTGGGAGGGTGGGTCGGCAATGACGAAGCTGGGCTGGCGATAGGCTGCCGGAAGTGCCGCCTGTAGCCTGGTGACGTGCTGGGCCTTGACGCGCTCAAACAGGATGACCACCTGGGGGGGCGATACCTTGTGTTCGGAAAAGAGAGGGGGGGTCGGGAGGCCGTATTGGCTGATCAAGTCGAGTGTGGCTTCGGCATCGTAGCCCGTGGGAAGCTCGTTGAGAAAGCCGCTGCCCTCTTCAAGCTGTAACCGCTGCAGGAGAACCTGACGAAAGATCTGACGGGGAACCTGGGGCGGCTCTGCTGGCGAGTTGGCGGTGGCGGCAGCGTTCTGCTTCCGGAGAATGTAGACGGGAGCAGCGTCTTTGGAGTCGACGGCGAGGGCAGAGCTGACCAGGGAGGCAGCTACTGCCAGGCCCGCGAGAAACTTCATCGTTTTCGGGCTTGTTTTGTTTCCAGGCCGTCGCTGGGGCAGATTGAGAGACGAATGAGATGCAATCGGACGACGACGCAAAGCGGCTGGTGGATGAATTGCGCGTCACGTCTAGGTTCGATAGAGAGGATTAGAGTGTAGGAAACAAAAGCCGCAAAATATGGAGGGAGCTATCCTCGTTAGTAATAAAACTGGCACGTGACTGTTTCGGAGCTCCCTCAGAATTGCACCGCAAGTCCTACCTTTAATCTGATCAATTACGCTTTAATTGGATCGGACTAGGTGGATATGCACCAGTATACAATGCCGCTCCTAGCAGCACCTGCGCGCTCGATGATGCGGTTCTTCAGATTGTCGGACAGCTCAAATTGTGATGAAGCTAAAACAGGTTTCCTCAAGTAGAGAGAATTCACTAAATTTGTCGACTATACATGGTAGAAGCACAAGCCTAGAATCCGACCTCTGTTCCCGGAGCAGCCTTGGAATAAATCATTATATCTTGACATGTTTTTTGTTCTACTTCTTTCTACGTTGCCCTTCTAGAGTGTGCACCATACCTTGAGTGCTCTCGCCGTCGTCACCAATGTGTTCCCACCGGGCGCCACCGAGACGATTGCTGTTACACGACAGTGTGACCATAAGACGTGGACTCGAGACAATGCTTGACGTGAAATCGGAGGGCCGGCAAAGCAGCGGCAATGAGGCCAAGGCCACATTCGATTTGACTTCAAAGGAGGATCTAGCCGTTCCAGTCTGAGAATGAGCAAGTTGATGAGCAAGTGAGACGAAAATATAGACAAATAACTACAAGAGCATAAGACACATACACAGAATATCGGTTTCGGCGAGGTAATATTGAGATAGGGAGCGCGCACAATAGTGGCGCTGCTGGCGATGGCGCCTAGGCTCAGGATCGTCATGACTAGGACTTTCGCACGGATGGGCATCTGCAGCCGGCGGATGTTGAACCACGGCAGGATGGCGCATGTCCAGTCAGTGGTGATGCCGATACGAACGACGGTCATTTAGTTTCCGCAGCTTCTCAGCAGATGATTCCAACAGGCACTGATGGAATGGCAGTAGAGCAGGGTAGCCAGGATGCCGACAAAGGCATGACGGAGGCGAAAAGCTGCATGGTGTACAGGATCATGTGATAAAAGCAGCCAAGGGGAGAGGAGGTAGGATGCGCAGTAGCGTGAAGACGACACCTGCCTTGATAAAGGGCACGTAGAAGCCGTAGATCACGTTAGCATACAGGGTGTACTCAGCGCAGCGGACCTGCTGGTACTTGTTCAAGTAAGCGTCGCGCGTGTCCAGGCCGTAGTAGACAGAACGCAGCACGAAGACGGAGCTGCAGGTAGGTAGCGTAGCCCAGGCTAAAGAAGCTGTCCTCCCAGCCCCAGCGCTTATTTTGAAGGCGTACATCTGCAGGGCCATGACAATAGTTGAAGTGGCCAGCATCACGGCAACGACAACGATGATAGCCATAGCAAAGCCGCAGCTTGCAGAGCCCGGCCCTCTTAAGGTTTCTGGAAGTCATCGAAATACGATGGTTGACTGGTGATAGGTCGTTGAAGATGGCTGCTATCCACGGATCTAACTATCAGACGCGATGAGTTATCTTACCTCTGTCTTATACAGTTACTCCGTCTCTCGTATACTAGAGAAAGGCTACCAACCCCACCAGATCCCAAACCGACAGAGATCCGGATTTGTATACTATCTGCCGGCCGTTTTCTCGGAGGACAGACCGCCCCTCGCATATTCTCATGTCGGGCACGGCATGTCTGCCGCTCAGCACCCTCTGGCCTCAAAGCTGCCGAAAACAACGACAGCCGCGAGTGGCAGTAGCCGCCCACAGATCGTCGGCAACCCGGACAGCTTCCGGCGCCTGTTCTACCCAGAAGGCGGTCCTACCAAGCTCGACCATTACCTCACCAGAGACATACTCAGATCGGCCTCCACGTCGTCTCTTTTCCCGACAAAACCATCGTCACCGTCTACTGGCCACACACCACCATGGACGCCATGGGAAAGCGTGCCCTTCTGGAAGCTGACTTGGCTAGCATGGCTGTTCATCCCGGCAAGCTAGCCTTTGTTCGCGAGGGCGATATCATCTGTGTCTGGTGGGCTCGTCTGGCTACAAAACACCTCCTCCCTCCCAACAGCGACACCACCACCGCCAGCAGCAATCAGACCGTTACCCTCAACAGCGCCATGTCGCTGCGGGAGCCCCTGGTAGCCGCCTAAGCTACGTCTCTAATGCCACCAGCTTTGCTTTCACTCGCCTCACCTCAGCGCCCTTGCCACCCAGCCCCTCGGAGGCACCACGGCCGCCATCCGTTGCGCCCTCATTGCCCAGTGTACCCGTCCGCAGATCGAGGCCTATTCTTCACTGTGGCGTGCCGCCCCTGGGAAAATTCTGCCACTCGTAGGAGACAGCGGTATGCACATGCTGACTTTCTCCAACTGGTGCAGAGCCAACCTTTCCGAGACAGATCTATCGGCTGCTGTTGTCAGCAGCAACACTAGCAGTGGCAGAAGCGGCCGTCCATCTTACTTCCAGAACGACCAGTTCGGTCTTATAATGCCGGATGGCTTCCCTATCATCGGGTAGGATCTCGATGGTCACGTCTGGCTGTCAGGCTATATAAATTCGGGAATCTGGGCGTTCTTTGAGGCTGAGCTGGCGAAATTAAAGGGCAGCTCTAAAGCAGTGCGGTTATAAAGTATGCCTGCCTACAACATATCCTACCATAGCAGTGTCATGCTTTCAATGGGTTTTCGAGTTAGACTTTGATTTGGACAGACTACTTCGTACAGACGGATCTGCACTACTTGTGTAAGACACGCTACAAAGCCGCACTAGTACGGAGTACGAGAACAAATACTCCGTACTTGCACACGGGCTAGAATAAAGCACGAGTATGGGTAAAATCAGCATTAGCTCATATCCGTACAATCTCCTACCCTTGTACATATGAGACCCACCTGGACCACGAGCCGGCCGAGAAAGTGGATAATACCATCAGCCTCCGTACGGAGTAGTACGGAGTAGGGGGACTTGTACGGAGTACTCCGTACAAAGTTGTGTTTTATCAAAGATGAGCGGAAAAAGAAACGAATAAACTGAAGTCTTTGTGCTTATAACACTAAGCCTTAATAAGAAGTGTATGTAATACGGAGTAATTGCGCCGGTTTCCCTATACTTTCAAAGCAATAACCAGCTCGTGCGCCATGGCATCTTTCTCCGTCCTTCAAAATCGATGCCGTCAGGAATCGGCTGAATGTGCTCGGAGGAAACAGATAGTACATCAGATCCGCCAGCTCTTTCGATGCTTGTACTAAGACCCCCCGGCCAATCACAGGACAGAAGATGCACAATATGGCAAAGTCCACTCTGATAGCTGGATCATTGTTGTTCCGAAGTGGATGTCCCTTCTTGCTATAGCCTGGCTTCCACGCTAAAATTCAACAGTAAAGTCGCAGTGGTGTCTGCTAAATAAACCTCTGCAAAATCACGATCTGCTCAGCACGACATCCTGTCGGAGTACGAGTACGACCCATCGCAGCTCCGGGCACCTCTGCCGATGCAGCGCCGCACCACACCCCCAAATCTTCGCATCCGATACGAGCAGACTTGATCTGTTCCTACGCTCTCTCTCCTCGCCATCGGCCTCCCCGCCTTGGTTGCGCAAGGCGTCTACTTTGCGAAAGCCTCGCTCCTTCACTCTCCCGCTCTCTCTCGACTAGCGATCAGCCCGCTTCGGTCGACGCCACTGTGAGATGCTGCGCTCCATATGGGCGTCAAGGGTGCCGCTGGCATCCTTTGGGTTCCGCAAACCACCGCCTTCCCCCGCCACACCTGAGGCTTTTGTGCAGCACGTGAGAATCAAGACCCGGCGTAGGTTAAGGTGCGTCGTCTGTGCGGCTCCAGGCCATTTTTCTGTCTGGTGCCGGCATTGTTCTGACTTTTCATGTGCGCAGAAACGCGGCCATCGGCGCAGGCGTGCTGTACGTCTGCTGGTCGGTCTACCTCACCCGAGTCGTCGTGCCTCCGATAGCAAAGCACATCGAGGAAGACGGCTCGCCCATCTTCTTTCCCTTTCCCTTTACATCCAAGACGGTCGAGTCGCGGCCGTACAAAGGCACCGACCCAGAATGGCAGGAGTATATCCGCATTGCCCGGGACCGCGAGCTGCTGTTAAAGATTCGAAGTGCGTCACACCACCCTGTCGACTGTCGTTGAAAAAGGACACGCAGAGCTGACCAGGCGCTCAGATGACATGCTCGAGACCGTGCGAATCGCCGCCGAGGCAAATCCGGTTCTGATCCAGAGATGCGGGCGACAGATGAAGATACGGAAACACTGGCTAGATCTGGACTTTCCATACCGGCCGCCGCCCAAGATTATGCGAGACGGGTATGGCGACCTCCTGTCCAGCCTGACCCTACGAGTTGCAGCTAACAAGGACCAGTCTCCTTCTCTCGCAGGACGGCCTAGAGCTCGTGACGATGGAGGTCGACCCGACGACCATGATGCGTATCTCCCGGGCCCTGTGGCCGGCGCCAGTAGCGCAGTCGGCACCGGCCTTTGTCAGCACCCTCTTCCGGCAGAACATGCAGACTGTGGCCAAGTACTTTGGCTTTGAGGTGGAGGAACCCGCCCCGATGAACACGTTGGCGGCGGTCTTGAAGAAGAAACTAGAGGAAGCGGAGCGACGGGCCAAGCAGGGCGGCGCGTCTGTGGACAACGGCCGGCGAGTGGCCTCGACCCCGACCTCGGCAGTTGAAGCGGCCGCAGCAGCAGCAACAGGCACGACGAATGCGGTAGGCCTTCCAGGAGCCAATGTGGCGGACGGTGGACAGCAGCCGACGGCGGCGACGACGTCGACGTCGACGAACGAGGACTCGAGCAAGCCGATGAACGCCAAGGACCTGATCCCGTTCAACTCGCTGCGGCCGAGCATCGAGGATGCGTGGGCCGAGTTCAAGAAGAAGCTCTCACAGACGTGGCTGCCACTGCGGCCACAGCCACCGGGCGGCTGTGTCGGGGTGTCAGGTCTCGTAGAGCTGCACTCGTCCAACTCGCGGATCATGATTGAGGTCAGCGCGTTCTGGGATCCCAAGACGAGAAAATACGATGCCCAGACGATGCACATGAAGCTGCGGAGCATCCGGCCGCGCAACCAGGTGCCGCTGTAGCCGGACGGTATCGTAAAGCAGCAAGAGAGGAGAAGGAGTAAAAAGCACTCAAAACAGACAGAGAGACAGCCACGTTGGCCAAGCCGAGAGAAAGGATGACCAGGTCGACGGGGATAAGCGTTCCAGCATTTTGTGGCGTTTAGATGGGCATGCAGACCGGGGCGTCAGTCATGTATAGTTTACATTGTATTTGCAGCAGCGGTGAAGACGACATGCAATCCGTGCTGGCAGCAGCAATACCGTTACGAAGTACGGAGGAAACGTCTTGAAATATGACTAATCAGTGTGATGAGTCTAGGCAGTGCAGATTCAACCGTCATACAAAAAAAACACTAAAAAGGAACCAAACTTGGCGTTCCATAAAAGCACATGAGCCGCCCACGCTGTCTTTTATTACTCACGCCGTGTCTTTGTCGCTTCCATGTCCGTCTCTTGCCCATCACTCGCTTGCACTTGCATCCCACCGCGCCTGCAGGCCTACTCCGGCTTCTTTGCATAGACAAACAGATGCGGCTCTTCCCAGACGTCTTCGGGCCGGCAGATGCCAGCCTCGGCGCTGCGTGGCCAGAAGGTGGTCTGTTCGTGGTGGACGACGCGAAGGCCGGCAGCGCGGACAGATGCCAGGGCGTCCTCGGGCGCGAGGCTAGACACGGTGACCGGACGGCCCATCCAGCGGATGGCTTTATTTTCGACCGGCAGCGGCACGGTAGCAAAGACGAGCGAGCCGCCTGGCCGGAGCAGGCGACCGAAGCCGGCGAGCAGAGCGCGGATGTCCTGCTGGCTGACGCCGGCGATGAGGCTAAAGTAGATGGTGACAGCGTGCAGAGTTCCGGTCCTGGATGTTTCCTCCCGCCGGACATAGTCACGCGCGTCGATCAGCTCGAACCGGCCGCGAGGCACGCGCTCACGGGCAGCCTCGAGCATGGCGGGCGAGATGTCGATGCCTAGCACGTCGTGGCCGGCGTCGGCCAGGGTGCTGACCACAGGCCGGCCAGTGCCGCAGCCAACGTCGACGACACGGGCACCACCAGCAGCCGGCAGCTGGGCCAGCAGCCAGCGCAGCGAGGCAGCCTGCGTGGACAGGCCGTGGAAGGCATCCTCGTAGGCTGGGCCGACGCTGTCAAAGACCTCGACGGTCGACATCTGCGGCTGGACGGTCATCATTGTGGAGGTGCTAGTGGGTGGATGGAGGTGTCTGTGAATGTGGATGCGAATGGGAATGTTACTCTGTACGCCGTAGATAGGAATGCAGATGCAGAGACAAAAAGACCAGGCAATCGCTGAAACGAGGCAATGCGACCTTGGCAAGGGACAGCGACTTGCTTTATATCCAGTGGTCTGACCACGGAATGAGAGCACACGCCGTGCCGGACAGAGGTGCTGTCCCGCCTAGCCGTCCTAAGCCTCCTGGCCTCTCGTACACCTGTCGGCTCGAGAGGTCGAACCCTTGCATCGATCCAGGCCGCGAGCGGAATGGCGCCCATGCACGATCGACGCCCCGCCTGAACCGCCTGGACCCCCTGGGCTCCAGCGCCTCTAGGTAGCCACGCGCCTGTCCCAAGACACGCCCACTTTAAACGACGCTTGCGTCGTATAAGCCCTGTATTCCGGCACCGCGTCCACTGGTCCATCTCCCGCCGGGACTAGGGCCAGCGAGCTTAAAGTGCAAGGAGGTTCTCGATCGGCATTTCGCGATGCCTTCTCTGTCAGGACGAAGGCGCAACCGGGCTCTCGTGTCCGAGACTGTCTCAGCTTCCACGTTTCCTTCCCATCACGTCCAAGGCCGAGTTGCGCCATTTTACACTTTCTTTTTCCTTCTGGCCAAGCCAGTTCGCATCCACTCCCCCTTTTCTTTTCTTCCCAACGGTCATGTCTGGAAGCGTTCGAATCACCGACTTCCTCGCAGCCTTTTTTCGATCATCCGGGCTTCTCAATCCCCCCTGTGCCCCCCCCCCTTTAGTTCTTTTCTCCGGCTTCTTTCCGACCTCCGGCTCTGTCTGACTACTGTCGCCCCGCCGCCACCAGTTTCACACGTGGCTAAGGCTAATACTCTCGATGCCCATGTGCTCAGCCGCCCCGGTAAACCTGGTTCCAGCTGTTCCACCCTCGCCGACACTTCCGAATTGAGGGAGATGCGTTGGATGGCACGAACTGGATGCTCTTCTCTTCCTCCCGGCAACAACGCTTCCATGCAGAACAGTCCAGACTGCAGGCTATGTTATCTATCATCCCACGAGGGCCACAATACAGCTTGGAATTAGCGTCTGGATGTGCCTCGGCGCCATCAGAAAGTCCCCGCTGGCTACGGGATACGCCTCGCCGTTGGCTTTTGGTCTTACCAGCTAAGACACTCGTGACTTGCCGATCTCTTCGGAACGAACCCGAGGCTCTGTACTCCTCTTTTCTCTTTCACCCCATATCTTCTTGCTGCTGATTATAGCATAGTTTGCGCTTTCAGCTGTCGTCATGCTGTCTGGTTCACCGTTACTTCCAGACTTATACCTCTGTCTCCCTCTTTCTCTCTCAGTTCCTCGGCATTGATGTGCTCAAACCATCCACGATTGTCCTCTTCTCCCGTTGCTTCACTTAGACTCCTCGACAATGGCCGACAAAGACTTTGACGTCATCATCGTCGGTGCAGGCCTCTCGGGCATCAACGCCGCCTATCTGCTCCAAACACAGGTGCCGGGCATTCGCTATACCATCCTTGAGGGCCGCAAAGAGCTAGGTGGCACCTGGGCCTTCTGGAAATACCCAGGTGCCCGTTCTGACTCGGCCTCGTCCGTCTTCTGCTTCACCTGGCACTCGTGGCCGCACGACACCGACTTTGCCGATGCCAGTAGCATTCAGGCCTACGCCGAAGATGCCGTCCGGACCCAGGGCATCGACAAGCACATTCGTTTCAACCAGCGGGTTGACGGCATGCGCTGGTCGACGGCCGAACAGCTCTGGATGCTCGATGTCAATCAGACCAACGACGGCAACGGAAACGACACCGATGCTAAAATCATCCCCCTCCAATACCGCACCCGCTGGATCATCCACTGCAGCGGCTATTACAGTTACGAAAAGGCCCAAAAGGTCGACATCCCCGGCCTCGACAGCTTCGGTGGCACCGTGTCGCATCCGCAGTTCTGGACGGAAGCTGATGACAAGGCCGTCGCCGGAAAACGTGTCGTCCTCATCGGCTCCGGCGCCACCGCCGTCACCATGCTGCCACATCTGGCTGCTTCCGCCAGCCATGTGACCATGCTGCAACGCAGTCCCTCCTACGTCATGACGCTTCCACGCCGCAACCCCATGGCCCGACTGCTGCACCGCTGGCTGCCCCGTCGTCTCGCCGAAGTCCTCGACTGGTACCGCCACATGTTGACCGAACACGTCTTTGTCCTCTTTCTCCTTCATTTCCCCGGTCTCGGCCGTCGCATACTGCGTGCCATGACCCGTCACCAGCTGCCTGACGACTGTCCTGTCGATGTGCACTTCAATCCCCGCTATACCCCCTTTGAGCAGCGTCTCTGCATGGCTCCCGGCGGCGACTTCTTCCGCGCCCTGAACCAGCCCAACTGCGACATTGTCACTGGTGTGATTGACTCTGTCACCGCCGACGGCATCCACCTCCGCGAGAAGGACCAGCCTGACATCAAGGCTGATGTCATCATCACGGCCACCGGCCTCCACGTCCAGATTCTCGGCGGTGATGTGCCTGTCGTCGATGGCCGCTCCGTCAACATCAACGAGCGTTTCATTTGGCGTAGCTGCATGGTCGAGGGCATCCCCAACGCCGCCCTCATCATAGGCTACGTCACCGGCACCTGGATTCCCGGCGCCGACGTCCGCTTCCGCACCGCCCTCTCCGTCATTAAACGCATGCGCAGCATCGGTGCCACTTCTGCCGTTCCCACCATCGACCCTGCCGTTCGCGAGGCCTTGCCGCACATCCCTGTCCTGCCCAATAGCTCCGGGTACCTCGTCAATGCCCGTGACCGGCTGCCGATGTCGTCCGGCAAATGCCCTTGGGTCAACGGCCGGGACTGGTTCAAAGACGCCTGGCATAATCTCACTGGCAACTCCAAGGATGGCATCGTCTACACCGTTCCTGACGACAAGAAGAAGGTCTGATCCAGGTTCTGTCATGGTTCTGTTGCTCGTACTTTCAAGCTTGGTCTTGCCCCACATAACGAATTAGTCTTATGTGGTGTATGTATAATTCAAAATAAAACGATAAATGAACGCCATGCAACGCTGCGGCTCCACTCACATCATAGCCATCATTATCTGTATGCAGGCAAAGGCGAACAAGACCGTCGTCAGAGATATAGGGAAGACGGCCGCAGCCGAAGCAGAAGCGGACACCTGCAAGTCGGCGGTTGACTGGTTGCACTCGCCAGTGTAGTTGTACGAGGTAATGTTGCCCGATATGGTGCCAACCAGGAGCTGCGCGTGGGTACCACAATTGGCAGCCTCGGCCATATAGATCTTCTGGTTGTCCTGGTCGAAGAGCACGTAGGCTGAGCGTAGGAAATCGTCGCCCAAGACGGCGATCTTGTCGTCGCCAATCGGTTCTATTCCGATCATACAGACGTCGCCGTTCACCCATATCAGGTCAGCGAGCGGCACGCTGATGGTCAGCGCAGAGCCAAAGGCAAAGTCGACCATGCCTGTTGGGACAGTGGCTTTGCAGTCGATGGCGATGGTGCCGTTGATGGTGGTGCTGCTAGAGGTCGTACTGACCGTGAGGTTGAGCGTGTTGGCGAGCGCGCCGATAAACGATGGCGGCAGATACGAGTAGCTAGAGCCGCTGTCCAGGAGCACCCGCAGGCTGCTGGAGTAGAGGGTCGTCGTCGTGTTCGTCTTGTCCTTCTTGGCGTAGGTGCTGTTCGTCAGCTCGACAAAGTAGCGCCACCGATCGTCGTCTCCGTCCTGTGGGCTCAGATTGTCAAGCTGCTGCAGCGGGCCGGTGAATTTTCTCGTGTCCACACCGTTGAAGATGATGGTTCCGTCAGAGGCGGGTGCCTCGTCTGTCGCATTGCTCGCACCGAGCACCAGGCTGAACGCCCGGCTCTGCATCTCGTTCTGTGCGTCCAACTTGTCCAGCACGGTAAGGTACTCCACGTTGGAGGTAAAACCGACACCCAAGATACCGATTGCGAGGTTTTTGCTGGCCGTGGCCACGCCGAGCGTGACATCTGTCATGGACAGATTCCTCATGGCGCCCGGGATGCTGACGCTGTCGACGATGTAGGTCACATTGGCACTGCCCTTCCCGTATTCCAGGAGCGAGGAATCCTTCGGATCATCGGCCGTGGTCGAATCCGATGGGAAGTACTGACCCAAAACCAGGCAGGCTTGCTTCGCGACCGAATCCGACAGGCCAGAGCAGTCGGGGTTCACCCATAGCTCATCGGAGCCAGTGTCGATCAGCACCGGCACTCTCTGTGTCGGTGTTCCCACGTCGACTGTCCAGCCGTCAGTTCGGCCCAGGTTGGTGAAGTTGGGTGCCGGACTCACTCTCGATCGCATAGCCTGCGTCGCTCACGGGGTAGACGACGGTATTGACATCATCACGCCGGCGGAGGCTCTGGCCCGATGACAGCTGAACCCGCTCCATGGGGATGCTGAGAAAGGTGTTATTGCCCATGTCTGAAGTTCCGTCTGAAACGCGGGCCACCACCATCGGCTGCTTGGGCATGGCGGATGCGAGACCACCGACGGCCGACAGCGCCAGATGTAAGAGGCGGCTGCATATCATCGTGTCGGAGCTGGAAGAGGAGAAGACGTGAGCAAGACGGGAGTAGTATTGCAAATAGAGCAGAAACAGGAGAAAAAAAGAAGGATGGGGCAGGGCATACCTTAAATCTGGAGGGATGCATCACCAAGTGCTTCGAAGGATTTGAGCATTGTCGTAATGCTTCACGACTTTGTCCCTACAAAGCTTAGACTGAATTTAATACTTCAGCGCCGCGATCCTCCGCCAAGGCCATCCTAACCCAAGAAGAGCCCTTGGCCAAACTTCCAGGGGTGAAGCTTGTGGCAACAACGGCCTCATTGCCACACTTGGGTTCCTTGCAGAAAGAGGAAGGAGCGGCTCAGCCGCAGACAGGAGAGAAGGCCCGCCTAGCCAACAAGCCAGTGAGGACTGGGGCGTTTATGTTGCCCCAGCTGTTGGGCTTTAGCCTTTCGCGAGACTGAAAGTGGAAAGGTGCATCGCTTAGTACTTGTCGGATCACGTGCATGCGGGGCACCTGATGCCTATTTAGATTACCTGCCAAACTCTGGCAGATAATAGTGATCCTAGAAAATACAAGACTATTATTTCCTACGTCAGTACTAGACCTAGGTCAGAGCTACTTAGGCCTTTTGAACATTAATCTGGGTGGGTACAAGTACATGATGGTTGTACGCCGGGCTTTTGCCATTCTTCCCAATCTAGGCATAAGATGCATAGAAGTCATTCTCATTTCCGCCACAAAATCCTGCAGGACCGTCAGCAGGATCTTCATGCAGACAAATTAAGTATATATTGATTATGTACGTCCAAACCATGTGAAGTGGACAGGCATTACGGAGTACGATACAACACAATCTTTCCTAAATATTTGCTTATTAATCACGATATTTCTTGCTCCCATCATCGGACACTTGCTCTTGTTTGCCAGCATACAGCTTTGCCGGTGACAAAAGAAGATGTAATTTCACCTCGACCGGTATCGGTGCCGCCGTTGGTCCGGTAGGTATACATGCCATTGTAGCCAGCCTCACGGCAGAAGCTGTCGTCAAGAGTAGAGGCGGCGAAGATGGCTAGCGCACCAAGGAAGGCCAGCAGACGCTGGCTAATTGCCTTTGTGTTGCATGTGTGTGTGCTTGTGTGCTTGTGACTCGGTAGTAATACGGTATAGATTGTCTACTACGCTCTCACAAGGTCTTGCGAGCAGATATGGATGGTAGTTATTACCAGGCCATAAACAACAACAAAAGAAAGCCCGACTCGCAAAGAGACTGTGAAAGAGGGGAGGAATGCCTGATCGAAAAAGGCAGCGTTGTTGTAGACGAGCACCAACAGGTAGGCGATCTGCTTGGTGCCAGTGCCTAGGATAGGCATGCAACTTGCAGCTTTAGATAACGTTTTGTCTGGAATTCAAGGTTATGTGTGCCCATGACAAGCCGGCCGTATACAAAATCGGTAAAGACGTAATATCGATCTTGTGTACGTTATAACTATTTTTATTGGAAACTGGTCCGGTTAGCAAAGGACTGAAGATGGTGCTGGCTTGGCCTTCAGAGAAAGACATGCCCACAACCAGTAGCCACATGTCTTATGTAATGCCTCTTTATTTTTATTTTCCATACGGCCCCAATCATTCCCACCGCAAGCTGAACACTTCAGTGCCCTCGCGTGAGATCCCCACCTCCACCGATCCGTTCTCGCTCCGGATGCTCTTGGGAATTTTCTCGCCCTTGCGCTCGAGCACAATCTTCTTGGTGCTGCCAGCAGGCTTCTCGGGAAACTGGTAGAAGCGGCGACCATTGGTGCTGAGGAATGCCGCAAGCTTCTCCTGGGTCACTTCGGCCTCCGTAATGACACCACGCTCAATGCCCTCTTCCAAGCCCAACAAGACAAGTTGTGTGGCATACGGCTGTGTGAAAACGCCGGCTGGGAACTTCCCCGGTGCTGCATCTGTCTTGGTTTGGATGAGATGGGGAGCGCTGTCGCTACCGCTGTGATGAGAGGTAGGTTAACAATCGCACTTCGGAGACGTTCGGATCACGCTGAAAGAACAAGGAAAACGTACAAGAAGAACTTGGGGTTTCCCTCTGCAATTGTTTTGATTAGAACATCCCGGTCCGTAGGCTTCTTGGGGATAGGCTTGCAGAAGGCAAAGGGATTGCAGCAAGCATCGTGATGGGTCAGATACAAGTGATGCGCCGTTATGGTAGCTAAATTATGCTGTCAGTATACCGAATCCATTGCGACAGGACTAAAACTTATGGCTTACCACCGACGGTTGGTCCGCAAGCCTTGACGGCCTCGACGGCCGCTGCAGTAGTGCAGTGCTCGAGCTTCGTATGTCATTAGATAATATTATATAATGGACGGACATTCATGCTGAGAGATGAAATAGATGCATACCACGATGCGGAGCTTGGGAAAGCGCTCGTGGACTGACTTCAGAGTGGGCAAGAATGCTTCTTCCAGAGTGGTGTTCGGCGGAGCCAGAGACTCTACAACCTCTCCGTGAATGTTGAGAACTGAGACGGCAGTATAAGCATATGAGCTCCAGTAGGAAAGACGCATGAGATCATACTTAATCCATGCTCTTCCATGGCCGCGAATGTGTTGTAAAATGCCTTCAAATCAGAGACGCCGGAGTCTGAATTGGTTGTTCCTCCTAGATAGACTGGTTAGCAGCTTGCGTCGTGCTTTAGAAAGGACAGAATAGAGCTACGCAGGCCATACCTTGGGGGTAAAGCTTAATGCCAGTGATCCCAGCCGCGGCCGCCTTCTTCACGACTTCGGGCGTTATGGACTCATGAAGCTACGAAGAACGTTAGTGTGAGAGGCCAACACTCCAGCAGTCGGAGCTCAAACTCACAAAGAGTGACATGAGAAACGTGACATCAGGAGCAATAGCCTTCAGCTCTTTTTCGTATTCAAGAACCTGAAATAGTCAGTTTCATAGCCAACAAATGCACTAATGGACCTCTTTTGACGTTTGATATCCATACCCTGTCGATGGTCGTAAGAGGAGGAACCTTGGCACGGTCCTGTTAGTCTATGTCCCTACCACCGAAATTCAAACATCACATACGAGGTTCGGCATCCTGTCAAACCGATCAGCATATGGGCTCTCTAACATTTGACTACCCCCAAACTTACACAAACACCGTATCCACTCCTCCCTGGACAACAGTAGGCACCACCAGGTTCATGAGCTCTCCCTGCCGCATGTGGACATGCATGTCTGCGGCGGGGGGAAGCTCCAGACGCTGAACAGTTTTAAGCTTCATCGTGTACGATTAGAGATGGCAGGATCGCTTTTTCTGCTCGAGTTGGTGACGATGAACAGGTCGCAGGGGGTCGAAAAAGTTCGCAAATCCAGCATACCGAAAATAGACATGTCAAAAGAGGGGTGCACTGTGATGTATCTTACATTAACTAAGCACTAACGCAAACAGCGTATTCAGCGCAACCGGCGCAGAGTACGGGGTTTCTATGTAGAATATTCAGCGTAAGCAGCATATCGCGAATATTCATCGCATACAGAATAAAATTGAATAAATTCAAGGTAATACCCTATCTAATTATGTATACTATGTGAAAGCAGCAGTGTTATATCACTTTAAATACTGTGCTGTTTAAGATGCTCATTTTCTTAACACAAAGTGCACAACCACGAACTAAATTAGATCTTCGCCTTTACCGCCTTCACCCCATTATAATAAACCAACAAAACTACTCCAATCTCCGCCCAGATCGTTCATTGTTTTCTGGTGTACGGAGTACTCCGTAAGTTCTTACGCGCCCTCTACCGCTGACAGGCCGCTTGCGCGACCGCGTCTATACAGTATTTCTGTTGGTTCCTGACTTACTTGGCCATTTTTATGGCAGAGGGAATTGGCCGAAGACATATAGGAGTAGGCTAGTTGTCGTTGCTTTGGCTGCGTTGACTTGCAGAGGCTTGTGGCGACTTCTTTCTGCCGCACCTACGGAGTACTCCGTAGTCCAATTAGCAACTCTTTTTTTTTTTACGGAGTACTCTCGACTAAACCGGAAGGCGGTAAGCCACTCTTGAGCCAATTACGCACAGTGTTGTATCTTGGCGGGGTAGCTAGCAGGAGAAGCCTAGGCGGCAGAAAAAAGCTCACGGGCATTTTGACAGTGTCATTCGAAATATTTGCAACTCTTTCTTCTAGCTGTCTGTACGAGTCATCACTGCTTCTCAACCATAGCCCCTATTCTCTACCTCGCCTAATATCAATTCTTTGAACTACTAACGAGACAACACGACCTGCATCTTACTGGCTAACAAGAGCCAGGCTTCGAAGCCGCCTCGAAAAGAAGAACCACACTGACACGTGCGCGTGCCGCACAAGCTGTCACGATGGCATCTTTCAGGGGTGCAAGCGAGGACCCCACAAAGTTCGAGCTCCTCCGAGATGCACTCTACCAGGCGGTTGTCGACAATGGCAGCGAGAGCCGGCTATGGAACCAGAAGGAGCTGCTGGATCTCGATGTGATCCCGGAACAGAATCTGGTGGTCCTTATGAAGGCCGTCCAGGCGCTGTGCCAGGACTTTTTGTTTAAGGCCATGAACGACAGCCGGGCGGGGCTGTGCTGGCGGTACCGGCCAGCAGTGGACGCAGCCAAGTGAGTAGCATCGCCATTAGCTGACAGCACGGGAGGCTAACGGGCACAGGTACAAGCAGCTCAACCAGGACCAGATCATGGTGTACGAGCTCATCGACGATGCTGGTGCCGACGGCATCTGGGCGCGCAGTCTCAAGCACCGGCTCAACATGCACGACTCGGTGCTGAAACAGTGTATCAAGCACCTCGAGGTGAAGGGCTACATCCGCGACATGAAGAGCGTCGAGAACATTGGCAAGAAGATGTACATCAAGGCGACGCTGCGGCCGTCGGAGCGGGCCACGGGCGGGCCGTGGTATACTGACGACACGTTTGACGAGGCCTTTATCGACCAGTTGCAGCGCGTCGTCTTTGACCTCATCCGGGACCGGAGCTCGTACCTAAGTCGACACGGCGGCGCCATCAGCCGAGGCGGTGCTGCCGGGGCGACAGCGCGACAGCCAAAAAAGGGGGCCATCCGGGGAGGTGACCTAGCAGCGGCAGGAGCAGGAGCATCATCATCATCATCGCCGGCGGCGACGGCCAAGACTGCCGCTCCTCGCGGGACGAAGCGTGGCGCCGAGGCGCTGTCGACCGGCGATGACGGCCGTCCGGTGGCGCATGCCAATGGCCAAGGCCACATCCAGCAGCGGCGCAGTCGACGGCACCAGGAGGTGTTACTGCCCATGCCGATGGGATACACCGAGTATCCGACGGTGCGGCATATCGCGGAGCTGATCGACCAGTCCGGCATCACGTCCAACACGACGCTGGGCGAGTCGGACGTCCAGCAGATCGTTGACGTGCTCGTGTACGACGGGCTGCTGGAGTCAGTGCGTCTGCCCCATTCGCATGACACCGGCTACCGGGCGCTCAACAGGTCGCGGCTGGCCCCCGGATCGTCGCTGCAGGCCGAAGAGAACGGCGTACCCGTGCCGTTGGCGCCCGGCCAGCCGCAGCCGACCCTGGGCGCGCCGACCATTAGAAATGGCTTCACCGAGTCGCCCTGTGGGCTGTGCCCCGTGTTCGACCTTTGCGAGGACGGCGGGCCAGTCAGCCCGGCCAATTGCGAGTATTTCAACCGCTGGCTGGGCCTCGAGGATCTCCAGACCACCGCGCCGCCTATGACAAGAGATGCTGTGGGCGCAGACGAGATATATGTGTGAGCTGCCTGAGTCAGATGCTCTGCTTTGGACGCAAGGTCTGCCAACTGTATACTAAAATTCGGGCGTTGCGTCGTTTGGGTGCTGGTAAGAATACGTATTGTGGTTCATGGGGGGAAAGGATTGCTGTTTCTTGCGTCTGCGCTGCTCAATGCTGAGCCAAATGGAAATACATAACACTAGAAAGCGTATTCGAGAATGAGACAGCTCACTACGCAAAACATGCAAGCAAGGTCACTGACAAGGGAGGCGTGTTGATGCCGATAGGCTAGCTTAGGCGATATTATCACCACAAGCCATCTGTCAATTGTCTTTATACCTTTTACAGGGAAAATTGTTTGAGGAGCAAGTGTTTCTACTTGTCCAGAAAAAACAGCACAATCCACCTGCTAGCGCAGGCCTCTTTTATGATCTTCCCATTTTAAATTCCAAGGTGGCAACGGACTTAAACCACGCCAGACTTGACAATGGTAGGCTTCTTGCCGTACTTGATGGTACCGTTGGGCGAAGAGCCAGTAGCCTCCAGAGACTTGATGACGTGGACAGAGTCACCGCCAACAGCCTCGCCGAAGACGACGTGCTTGTTGTCGAGCCACGAGGTAACGACAGTGGTGACGAAGAACTGGGAACCGTTGCTGCAGAAGAGAGAAAAAAACGTGCGTTAGAAAGGAGCTAGCGCCCAGTGGCGGTGAAATTGGGGCTCAAAAACGTACGTGTTCGGGCCAGCGTTAGCCATGGACAGCAGGAAGGGGCGGTCGTGCTTGAGCTTGAAGTTCTCGTCGGGGAACTTCTCGCCGTAGATGGAGCGGCCACCGGTGCCGTTGCCACGAGTGAAGTCACCACCCTGGAGCATGAACTCGGGGATGATGCGGTGGAAGGACGAGCCAAGGTAGCCCTGGCCCTTCTCGCGCTTGGTGAGCTCACGGAAGTTCTCGGCAGTCTTGGGGACGACGTCGTCGTAGAGCTTGAACTCGATGCGGCCGCTCTGGGCTGTTGGACGTGTGTTAGCTTTGAGACGAAGCGAGGGCCGAAAACAAGCTGAATTGAAAAGAATAGCAGGGGAGGCTTGTGAGACTGGTGGTTCTCATGGGATAAACGTACGCTTGACAGTCGACGTGGGCCGGTTGTTGGCATCGAGGACCGGGCCCTCCCACTCAATGTCGAAGAAACTAAAGACAACCAGTTTTAGCGAGGGAGCTCCAAAAAGAGCAAAAAGGAAAAGACAGAAGGGCACCAAAAACAGAGGTATGATGAGAAGAAAGAGGGGCGGACTGAATCTCTGTCGGGGCTGGACTCACACGTTGGACATCTTGGATGAAAAGCTGCGGTATGCGAATGGGCGGTTGAAGGGTGAGGATGAAGCTTTCAAGCTGGTGGAGGAAGAGAGGAACGAGGAGACGAATCTCGCTCGAGGGGCAGCTGGGCCGGAACAAATATAGTTCTGGCGGGGTAGGAGGGGTCGGAGAATGCTGGTTGCCAGTGGGCCCTTCATGGTTGGTTTTTGGTTTTTCCCTGCTTGGTGCCTGCTGTTGTTGAGGGTGTGCTACCCTCCACGCATTGCGTTAGCCAGCCAACCCCCACTATCGCAGCCAACCATAGCTCGTTCCTCAGGTCCATCCCGTCATCATCGAACAAGGCGTGGCTCGGCGCCCCGTCGTTGCGGCACAGTTCGTTTGACGCAAGCGCCCCTCCCGGCCAGTCGAGCAGGAGAATCCCCTCCAAAAAAAACTCCAGCTAGTCCATCCCTTTGTCTACTTGGCCTGATTTGCCGTCCGCTCCCACGAAGTAGTAGGTTCGGTTGAACATGCTACAAAGGAAGGACAGGAATTGAGACATCCAGCATCGTCTAGCCTCAGGCCGAACTGCACCTGCGGAGAAACCTGCTTTTTCAGGAGACCAAGGGCGGTGGGGAGGTGGTGGACCGGCCACGGAAATGGAGTCGTGGCGTGCTCTGCACCCAATGTTGGCCTAGAGTCCGGCCAGCCGGCCGACCTGTCAGCCAGCCCCGTTCTGGACAGCAGAGATCTGGCATCATGATCATCACGCTAGCTGGCAGTCCTTTTCTCTGCTCTTTCCCATGGCGCGTCGTCTTTTCCCGGTGCATCTGCCTCGATTCCCTTTCGCCCATCGCCCGAGGGAAAAAGGCGCAATGCGGGCCAAGCAGGATTGGTAAGAAAAAAAACTGCCGTTGGCTTGTGCGGGGTCTCGGAGAGCCACAGCTTGAGAGAGCATTGAAAGAACAGGGGTAGACGCCAGTGTCGTTTGTGAGGGTCGAATGACACCCCCAGCTCTGCCGGCCCTTAAGCCCTCGTTTCCAGGACAGTTCGAGGGCCAATGCAGAATTGCCAGGCTGTTTTTTCGACACCAATCCGACCCAGAAGACAGCGGAGGCTGCTCCAGACAAAACCAGCTCAAGAGGACTGTTCGATGATGACGAGGAGAGAGGAGACACTCCCAGTCCACGCCGAGACAGGAAGGTTGCGGCACGGACTATCTAGATGTACGCACCTGTGAGAGCTGGACGGCTGCTGGACTCCAAAAGATCAAGGCACGCAAAGACGCGCAGTATGCAACGGGGAGGGCGGTAGACGAACGGTTTCGACAAGCTGTTGGGTGGCACGGTTTCGAGAAGCTCGATGAGCTCCGAGAAGAATTTGTGGTATTCCGCTGGGGCCCGTAGAAAATAAATATTGTGGCCTCAGGCCGCAAGGCGCGGGCTAAGGCCAGCTACGAGGTACGGGAGAGGCAGCCGCGTAACGGCGTCCAAGTATTGCCGAACACGACGCTGGAGAGGCGACTCAATCTGCGTTTTTTTTGAAGCTCTTCAACACGATCGTCATGTTGCCCCCAGCTCCGCGACATCCACATGGTCGAGGCTCGTGTCACTGTAACCGAGAGCTTGCTCGCGTACGGCCACGTGATTGCAGATATGCTGACTCAGCACCGCATCGGGCTAGGGACAGTGTGGTAATAGCAAGGGGAAACACACAGGGGGATCTTGACTGCGTGTTCTTCAACCATCTCCTTGTCCGGCGACGGAATTGCGTTTTCTTGCGTCTTCACGCCCTCCCGACAGCAACGACAACGACGGCATTTCCAGAAACTGTCCCGCCAGGGACGATCGTGCTCAAAGATGGATTTTAACAGCCTCAAGGACTCGGTGTCCAGCCTGACGTTGTATGACCTCAAAGCTGGTGTTCGCAAGGTGCAGAATGGTAAGGACGGCTTCCACGGAGAAAGGGGGGATTAAAGGGAGGGAGATCGGCGGGATCTTCCTGAGAGCTGTGGGCTGTGGGCCGTATTCCATTGCTGACCTGAGAACAGCTGTGATGAACTACACCGAGATGGAAGCCAAGGTGCGCGAGGCGACCAACAACGAGCCATGGGGCGCCTCATCGACGCTGATGCAGGAGATTGCCAACGGCACCTTCAACTAGTCCGTGTCTGCCCCCCATTCCCCATCTATCGTTCCCTGCTGCGTGCTGACGGTCCGAGCACAGTCAAACGCTCAACGAGATCATGCCGATGATCTACCGCCGGTTCACCGAGAAGGCGGCTGAAGAGTGGCGGCAAATATACAAGGCACTACAGCTGCTCGAGTTTTTGATCAAGCACGGCTCAGAGCGGGTGATCGACGACGCCCGCTCGCACCTGACGCTGCTCAAGATGCTCCGCCAATTCCACTTTATCGATCCGAACGGCAAGGACCAGGGCATCAACGTCCGCAACCGGGCCAAGGAGCTGGCAGACCTGCTAAGCGACGTGGACCGCATCCGATCTGAGCGCAAGAAGGCCCGGGCCAACAAGGCCAAGTTCACGGGCGTCGAGGGGGGTGGCGGCGGCAGCATCGGCGGCGGCAGCAGCGGCCGGTACAGCGGCTTTGGCAGCGAGTCGGGCGGCTACGGCGGCTACTCGGGCGGCGTATACGGTGACGGCGGCGTGTACGGTGGCCGGACGAATGAGTACAGCGAATACGGCGGCGGTGGCAGCAGCGGTGGTGGTGGCGGTGCCGGCGGCAGCTCACGCTCAGAACAGTTTGAGGAGTACGACGAATATGACGAAGGCGAGCGGCCGGCACGCTCGCAAACATCTTCAGCAGGCGCACGCGCTGGCGTTAAGCGGACGACAGGCGGTGGTGGCAGCATCAGCATGACTAGCAAACGAGCAGAGCAGGCGGCGCCGCCGGCACCGCCAAAGAAGAAGGAGCCTGAGGTCGACCTGTTCTCCTTTGACGAGCCGGCGGCGTCGAGCGGTGGTGGTGGTGCCCTGGAAGCACCGGCTTTGGCCGCGGGTAGCGGCGGCGATGACGATGATGACGACTTTGCCGACTTCCAGGAGGCCACGGCGTTGCCGGCGGCTCCGACAAACGCCCTGGCTGGCTTGTCTCTGTCCAGCGCATACGGCGCTCAGTTTGCGGCCCCGCAGCCGGTGTCAGCACCCAAGCAGGCCGACCTGGCCGGCATGGTTGGGCTCTCGTCCATCTCGCCACCGCCAGCCTCGACCTCGACGCCCGGTGGTGCGCCCAACTACTCAGCTTTCCACGCGCCTCCGCCCGTGGCTGCAGCTGCTGCTCCTGCTGTGGCTCCCCAGGCGGCCGGCTTTCGGCCCGCGCAGCCAAACTACTTCCAGTCGGTGCAGGTGCAGGCGCCTTCGTCGACGTCGGCGATGCAGACGACGTCTGTGTTCCCGCAGTCGCAGTCGCAGCATCGGCACGCGTCCAGCACGAGCGGGGCGGCTGCCGGCATGGCGGCACTGCGACCGGTTCTGCCGTCGGCGACGAGTAGTGGCAGTGGTGGCAGCAACAACAAAAGCGGCAGCGGCGATGCTTTCGGCGCGCTCTGGTCGCAGGCCAGCACGACCATCAAGAAGCCGACCACGACGGCCGGGCCAGGACCGTCGATGGGGCAGCTGGCACAGGAGAAGAGCAACGCGGCCATCTGGGGCACGGCTAGCACGAGCACGCCCAGCACGCCCAAGCCTGTGGCGGCGTCGAGCAGCAGCAACGGCCTGGATGACCTGCTGGGTTGAGTCGGCTGGAGCGACTAGGCCAATTGAGCCGACTGAGGCGTGGCTGGTGGGACGTGTATAACATACATAACATATATTCTGTTGGAGGACAGGCGGAAGAAAAGGGAAACGGGGAACGGGGAAAGGCGAGGAGAGGGGTGTGAGAACGGTTGTGGACGCTGGCCAGAGGGCGGAAGGTATAGTGTCCAAAGTTCGGCTGCTCGAATCTACGTAGTTTGGACTCCTTCTGTTGCTTCTTGTTTGTCTTGAGCTCGGTGTAGTGTTTTTAAAAAGAAAAGAGAACTCTAGATATCGCAGAATAGCTTCCGCCGTTCATCCAGTCTTTGTTGCGTCTGTTCGACGGGTCTCGCCTGCTCGGAAGCGCACGATTTGCACTGCCGCAGTGCTTGACGGCGGCTACAGAAACAGCAGTCGTCAGTCCGCTTCACCCGGCCGATCGGATCGGCCGTCGGGCTGTTTTCCAATCGGAAGCCAGCGTGCAGGCAGCCGGGAGTGGACACGGCTGAAACGTGCGGTAATCCACCACAAGAAACAGAGAAGCGAAGAAGAAGAACGCGCAGGGCTTGTCTGTCCAATCGATTTGCCCGCGCCTAACAGACCATCTGATGCCCCGTATAGATCGTGTCATGCATACCATGGCGTATCCTCCGTATACTCCGTATACTTGGTAGCAGCTACACCGGTGGAGCATCAGCTTGGGCAGGGGCTCGATTGGCTGCTACAGTGCCTTTTTTGCTCTTGGGGGCGGTTTCAAAGGCGGGGATGACAGGGGTACCATTTATGATGTTTTTGGTTGTTTCAACAGCCCCCTCCAGTGAAAATGACTGGTCCCGACGCAGGAAACGGAATATTAAGGGGTGACCATGGAGTGGTGGCAGTGACAACCAGCTAAGGCCTTCCTTGTTCAGCCGCTGCGGCAAGCCCTACGAACCGGGATCTACAACCAGATGGACCTCCCTCTGATTAGTCACCGGCGGCTAATTGGGACGTATCCAGGACAGAAGACGACGTGCTTTCTGGCCGGAGCGCGCGATCATGAATAACAAGAACTAGCCTGAGAGCTTGAGCGGCCGTGCAAGAGGACAGGCCCAAAATAGCGACCAGGTGGAAACGACAGACAATGGAGAGAAAATAGAACAGGCCAGGCCTCGTCTTTGAGGGCAGCGCCGACTGCAGCATACAAAAGGCCGACCGGTTCGCAGCTTCTCGTTTGACGGTATGACAGCCATTTACAGCCAGCAACGCAACAAGCGACCATAGACAAGGAATAGCGCCCGTCTTTGTCGCCTTTCTCTTCGCTACCTCTTCATTCGGCTGTACCGCCTCTCTTTATCTGCTCGTTTTTTTCGACTTTCTCTCTCTACTTCTGTCTTCCATCTTCTAGTGCTGTCAACTTTACGCTCTTTGTCCTCTTCACTTGAGATATCGTTTGTTTATAAAACCCTCGTCCTCCCTCTAAAGCACTCGTTTCTCACGCGCTTGTCCAATACTTCCTTTTTGCCTCCATCTTGCTGCTCTGGAAGCAGCAAACTCTCTGGCACTCTTTCCACCCTTACTGCTCACAATGGGCTTCCGCGACCATGGCTACTATGGCTACGCCTTCATCGGCGTCCGTCCTCTCCAGATCATCTCGCTGATCGTCGTCGTCGGCATGGTTAGCAATTTCATCAGCGAAGACAGCCGTGCCCATATTTCTGCACCCAGCCAGCTGGTCGGCACTCTTGTCATTGTAAGTTCTCGAACACCTCTGTGACAACTCCTCGCCAAAGTTATCCTGCCTCTAATAATCTGTTGCAGGCCTGCTTAGCGCTGCTCTGGACACTTCTCTCCTTCACAGCCTACGACGACACCCACTTTCCTTATGTTGCCACGAGTGCCCTGGATGTGCTCTTTATGATTCCCTTCATCGTCATCGCCGCCATCTTTGGTGGCCCTCTGTCATCTACTACATGCTCCGACTATCCGACCGTGTCAGAATCGTCGGCTCACAGCTTCCTTGGTCTTCCCGTCGGCAACGGCGACATTCTCTTGGTTGGCGGAAACCAGTCAACATGCAACCAGATCATGGCCGTCTGGGGCTTTGTTATTTCTCTATGTGTCCTCTTTGCTCTGAGCGCTTTTGCCGCAGGCCTCTTGTTTCTCGGAAAGAGACGTGCCTTGGCTGCGTCCGAGACTCTGCTCGTGGGGAAATCGATCGAATCCCAAATTGAGCTGGCCGCAGCTCAGGGCAAAGACTTTGTATCAGATCCCGGCTATCCTCCATACGCAAGCACTGATCTACAAAAAATTGGCAACGTGTCTGATCCTCAATACCCGCCATTCGCAACGCCTGACCGCGCTGTCTCCCAACCTTCTCAATAGGAACTCGGGGCTTCGCGAAAGAAGCTCCGAATACTACTGCCTGACGACGATTCTGCTTATAATGAAGATGGTGGTGTGGAAGTGATAACCACACCATTGTCGCCTCCTCCGTCTAATCCCCTGCCAAAGTCCAAGCTGGTGTCGGTCCGCAAACCTATTGCGAGCAGCCACTACCCACGGACTTCATCCCCTCTCTCAGGTGGCACGCACAGTGGGGAGCCATTTAGACGGCAAGGAACAATTAAGATCATGTTCTCTCCGCAGATTCCATTTTCGGCATCGGCAGCAGCATCAGCAGCATCGGCAACAACAGTAATATACCATGAGCCTTCTATCGCGACGCCCATTGCTGGGACAGCAACGGCACGATCTTTGACTGGTAATCAAAGATCCGTTTTACCTACCGACGAATATCCACCCCCGCCGTCCTCCCGGAGGAAAGGCGAGAGCAGATTCCGCGAACTAAGAGACTCTGTGTTCTCTTTACGGGGAAGCCAGCAGCCATCATCGCCCGCCATGCTCAGCCCCTCAAGCTTCGATGACGTTCCACGCACACCACTCCCAATTGCGGATGAAAAATCATATGCTCGACGAAAGACTATTCTTGAGCGTATTGAGGGCTGGTGGGATCTGGGCTTGATCCGTGGCGGTACCATTCGAGGGAATGCCTTCCGGAGCGCCACCAACGGCGGGAAGAAGCGGAAGGACACGAGCGCGGTTGAATCACCGACCACATTCGTATAATATCGCCCTACATCTTGAAGATGTTAGGAGCTTTCCATCTCATTTGTCATTTGGTTGGTTTTATATGCGGACAATGCCAGACAGGCTGTTTTTGTTTTTGTCATCTGGTGGCGTTAATCTAAATGGTTGATATGTTTACACGGGATAATATGGGCAGTATGAAGAATGAAATTGAATTATTCCCACCTGTTCAAACCATACAGGCTCTTCGCCCTGTTATATGCAAGCACCTCGCCAGACCGTTCGGCCCAGACGGCCTCGTGGTGCGCAATGCTTCTTGGACCGCCGTACACCACAAGATTCTGTGCCTCGGTTGCTAAGCAGCCCGTGCCGTAAAATGGGCAGGATATAGTGCGCAGCCTTAAGCTCGACAGCATCTTCGTGATGAGCTGCAGTGTTCTGTCCACGCTTTGGCAATATAATCTGACTCTGGTTTCCACCATTCACGACGACAAGAAGATATGTCAAAGCAGCATATCTCCTGTTCAGGCTGATAGCCTCAGAGTTGATACGTGTAGAATTGCTCCTGTGAGACCCAAAGCGCCTCTGATATAATTCGCTTGCTCGCAAGGTAGATAGCTGGGAGGTAGCAGCCCTGGGTCTGTGGAGATGACGTCTAACTATATTTTTGTCCTTCCATCATCAGCCATGCGTGTCTCAGAACCCGCCAGGCGTCCGCAAAGCACCGTCTCGATAGCAATGCACGTTGCACAAGTTATGTATCAAAAAGCTTCATAGTTGAGTGATTTTTTTCCTATGTTGCCAGAGCAAACATCTCCGAAAGTCAAAGAAGAACCCATTTGTGGATGCCAATAGTCTCGGCGATATTAAGGCACGGCTCGGAATGATTCTCATCATTGGGAAAAGTTGACGTGTCCGATGGTACTGTCATGTCTCCGAGGGGACGGATCAGAGTAATCCATATAATGATACCTCCGCAGACGAGGTGGAGTTTCGAGCATCTCAGCCACGTGCCTTCAATTGGTGTTTTAACCCTTGTGAGATCCGCTCTCTGCTAAATAAGCAATGCCCATACGTTTGTGCATGTTCAGTAATGGAGAACAAAAGTGTGAGCATTCTTGCTCTGTACCGACAGATGCTGCCTCAATTGCACTATTAGGACGTAGGAAGGAAACCTATCCAGGGTTTACGGAGTACTGGCCCATCTACGGAGTATAACCCCATAATTTCAGGGCCAAAGAGCGGTGGTTGTAAGCCTATGTGGCATGGGACTGTTGAGATATTGAATTCCCCCGTCCCACCCAATTCACAGGAGGGCTTTGCACCAGAGCGGTGTAGGCCGATAGCAGGAGTCAAGGACGAAAGGGTGAAGGCGACGCGTCGACAGCGAAAACCGACTGGCGGTGAGCCTATTGCGTTGTGAACGGACTAACGAGGGGCAGACAAGCGGTGTTGGTAAGGATAGCGGTTTGGTAGGGAAAAGGGGACCTGATGCCAAGGTCATTAGATCAAAGTCGCGTCGTTGTCTTCGCACTGTGCTCACATAGCTGTAATGCGTGAAGAGTTGTTGCAAGACATCTGAACGAAAGAATAGTGACATAGTCACGGTAAAGATTATATCAGATTCTCTGACTTCCATTTTGAGGTGTCGTACTCCATAGTCTATATTATCATACTCATGTCTATTAGTTTCTTTAAAATATTCCCTTGGCCAATGTTCCGGCACGTCGTAACACACACATTTGCTCCTTCCAAAAACGCCCCGAGTCAGATGCTCGCCAAATTATTCCGCACCTTCCGTAATAATGCCTTGCTCAACGTCGCCGATTACTCGAGTCGTGTCAGCCTTCTTTTCCTTCTCGTTTTCTTCCATATTATGAAGACCCGTCTTACGCTCCTCGAGCACCGTGCTAAGCGTCTTCTGTTGGGTGAAAAAGGAGACGAACAGTCCAACCCCAGCTAGAGCTGCAAACATGATATACATGGCTCGCAAGCTTTTCCAATACGCCTCACGGACAAAAACCTTGGCCGTGTCATCCAGGTCTTTGATGATATACACGCTGGAAGCAGCATTGCTTCCAGTGAAGAGATTAGCTGTTTCTTCGCCGATGCTAGCAACAAGCGATTGGTGCTGTTGCTGCATGGTGTTCTGAAAAACCACACCGCCGATAACAACCGATATAGCCGTAGCCAGCTGGCGAGTAAAGCCAAAGGTTGCCGTGGCGGTAGCAATATCTCGCTGCTGCACCGTCGCCTGGAGAGCAATGAGTGGGCTCTGAAAATTTAGGCCGATGCCCACGGCAGCAACGATCTGAATGATAATGCATCTAGCCCATTCAATCTTGGCGCCCAAAATAGTGAAAAGACTGAAGCCAAAGGTCAGGATGACGAAACCGGCAACTATGAGCACCTGGAATTTGCCCGTCTTGAGTATGGTAAAGCCTGTGACTGCGCTGCTGGCGGAAATGAGGATGGAAAAGGGCAGGACATATACACCAGACATCAGCGGAGAGGCACCGACCACGGCCTGGAAATACGTCGGAAGGTAGTATGACCCAGAGATGTAGACGAGTCCATGGAAGAAGCAGCAGGTAAAGGCAGCAATAGCCGCACGACTCTTGAACAGGCGCATGGGCATAACCGGTATCCGAGAAAAATACGCCTCAATGACGATGAACAGACCCACGACAACGAAGCCGAAGACCAGGAGGCAGATGACCGTGGCAGACCGCCACGGGTAAACCACGTTGCCGAATGTCAGGCCGAGGAGGATCATTAGGGTGCCGCCAACGATGGTCAAGGTGCCGGCCCAGTCGACGGCTGCAAGCCCCTCCAAAAGACCGGTCCTCGGGTTGTGCAGTTTGAGGACGAAGGCGAGAAAGAAGAAACAGACTCCCGAGATGGGGAGGTTGATATAAAAGCACCACCGCCAGCTGACATGGGTTGTAAAGGCACCGCCAATGATGGGACCGATACCGCCGGAAAGGGCCCATACCAGGGCGACGAGACCAAAGTACTTGCCTCTCTTCCGCAAGGAGAACAAGTCGCTTATGCAGACGTTCACTAGTACGATAATCCCACCACCGCCGACACCTTGGATGGCGCGGGCAGCAATAAGCATGGCCATGCTGACGCTGGTTCCGCTCAGGAGGGACCCGAGCCAGAAGATAGCGACGGCGATGAGCAGGACCTGCTTCCGGCCCCAGATGTCGGAGATCTTACCCCACGAAGGAGCGGCGGCAGCATTGGCAAGGAGATAGGCCGAACCGATCCAAGTATAGCCAACCGTGCTGTTGAACTCGTTGGATATGGTGGGAATGGCCACGGTGACAATGGTCACGTCCAGAGCGGCGAGAAACAAGGCCGAGCACAGGGCCAGCATGATGATGGAGGTTTGTAGACTCGTCCGCCCCTCTTCAGGTGCTGCTGCCGATGCAGCGGCTTCGACCGGTTCGGTGGCAGAAGGAGACGTCAAAGCGGCATTGCCCGTCGGTTGTATTCCTTCTGCTATGACCGGCAGGGTTGCTATGTCGGCGTCCTCACAGGCCAGTGACGTCTTTGGCGGTGTATCCGTGTCTGTGCCGGAGCTTTCATCCGTGGCACCGGGCCATTTTGGTGATTCCATGGCAATGTCTGCTCTGATAATCAAGCGTATAAGACAAGAAAACGCTTACAAGACAATGCTTGCCAGACACATATTGTTTGTCAAAAGGGTTCGTGTACTCATTTTGCCATGTATTTTTCCAATTTATACGAATACTTTCCAGGACAATAAGTCACCCCAAAGCCGACTACCTTGACACATGGAAACGAAAGCCCCATCTTAAAATTGCCACACTCATGGCTACATTGGCAGGTCCGCGATACTCTTCAGTGGAGACGACAGCTGCTTGGAGAATTGGCAGCATATATGCTAATATTGACAGTATGCATCCGGCTTCTGTACGGAGCTCATAGCTTGTTTGGGAGAGTGGAGAGTACTGTTTCTTCCTCCTGAAAATATGTTGTCGCAGTGTTATGGGTGATGCCGCCGGCTGAGAAGCCAGCTTCGAGTCGAAAGACATTATTCGCCTCACCTTCCCTTCACCGTTCTCAGATGGGGTGCCAAACATCGGGGGGGCGAGTGCACCCCGCAATCGTAAGATAGCTCTGTCATGTAGCCAGAAAGCAGGCCGGAATCGAGCAAAATCGAGCCGGGGATAGACCCACCAGCTTCAACTCTTGAATAAAGTGTCAACGGTGAAGGATGCTGACTCATCCAAATCTATGGGTACTGTTTGGAAAGCCTAGGCGATATGCTGGGGAACCTCCACACCTCAGCAAATAAGAGCAACCGTGTCAGACAATGGCAAGTTCGCCAACCAGTACTTCAGCCGCCCAGCCTTATGCACACCCAATCTTCCATCTGCTTCTTCACAAACCTTCTGTGTTGACGAGCTCGAATTCGAGGTAATTCCTCGCGGTTGAATAGCCTACAGACGATGTGGTTCATTCTACTAAGTCGGCAAGCATCAGAAACAAGCATCGAACAGCTATCGTCTTCTGTAAGCAAAAACAAACTGGCAGACGGGAGCCTGATGGCAACGGGGCTGCGGTAGTATCCCCGAGGCCATCCACTATTTTAAAGCCTTGACGCGCGCCACTTCGGGCCCGTCTATGCTGATGATGCCCACGCCTGCAGCCTGGATCTGCTGCTGCTCTGTCAGCCAGCCGGCCGGGTCGACGGGGCGTGTGGCCTCCTGCACGATGTACGTGACGAAGCCTTCCTTGCGCGCATCGAGAGCTGTGCAGCGGACGCAGTAGTCTGCCGCCAGGCCCACCACGTAGACGTGCGTGATCGCAGTCGACTTTTCCGACGGCGATCGCAGCAGGGCGGCGAGGCCGCTGTCGCACACCCGTGGGTGCTCAAACGGATCGTAGAAAGCGCTGTACATCTCCACGTCTTTGTTCGTGCCCTTCTCGATAATCTTGTGGATGTGCGTGTGGTCCAGCTCCGGGATCAGCTCTGCGCCCGGCGAGCCTTGCACGCAATGGTCCGGCCATAGACGCGTCTCATATGGAGTCTCGGCCGGGTTGAGCGGATTGGTCACGGTGGCATAGTCCACGTATGGCCGCTTGCCTGGGTGATTAGACGCAAACGAGATGTGGTCCTGTGGGTGCCAATCCTTGGTGGCGACACACAGGGAAAAGGGCAGGGCGAGGAGACTGTTGATGGCTTTGACGGTATCGCGACCATTGGCCACAGCGAGAGACCCATTCTGCGTGCGAGACGGTCAGAAAAACCCTTTACTAGGATTCTATATCCACATACCGGCGGGCAAAAGTCTTCCTGCAAGTCCACGATGACAATGGCGGGGTTGAATCCTTCCGAAGTCGTCATTGCGCTTTTTACCAGCGACTGTCACTTTTTCAATGGAAAGTAAAATGATAGTTTACGCAAATGTACTGTCTCGGTCGGAGAGAACACGCGGCAATTTCGCCATTTCATAGCAGAGCAGGCCAATGTTCATCCGTCAGGCGAAAAGTTCATGTTCGTAAGCTTCTTTGTGCTCAATGAGATCCCTTATCCCTGATCCCCCTCACTATTTTGAAGTGAGAGCACGTGACCGCGATGGAGTAAGCCAATGTTTTGGGGTGTGAAAAGCATATCAGCATCGAGACAAAACCCCAACACAGTCAGGTCAGGTGGCAGCGCAGCGTACATTGTGGACAGGCGGGGCACATTGAGCAAGATAACGAAACGCAGGAGGTCTGCATGCACGGAGAAAAGATAGATGCGCTGGCAATGCTGCGTGATTTCCCGAATTGCTATTATCCTATACAGTCGATTGTGTGATGGAGCATCGTCGTAGCGGTCAAGAAAACTTCGGCGAGGCAGCTGCGATGGATAGGCAAAGAAACAGGTCTTCGGCTGCGCCTGCCCAGCCATAAATTGTGCATCCAGCTTCGGAAAAATGCTACCATACATTACCTATAGCGATACTAACAACTAAGCATTCACACCCCTTTTACTCCTTTTTGCCAGACGCTTGGTACGATTAGTGGCCATTGGTCATTGGCCGTTAGCCGTCATTGGTCGACCTGGGTAGCTTCCCTAGTTGCGGTGCAGGTGCAATTTAATCGATTTTCTTTGATTGCAACCTCCGGTTTTTAAGCCCTTGTTTTCCTCTCTCCTCCACGATCGTTGCCCTACTTCCTCCTCACCCTCCCTGCTCCCTGCCTGCCTCCATCTACAATTGGCAACAAAGACAGTTCTGACTTTGGACCGGCGATACATCGCCTCCCGGTCGCAAGCTCTTTCCCTCCACTGTTGGCATCTTTACTTCTCGGTTCTCGAACCACCTTCCACCCTCACCGTCTCTGCGACTTTCTTCCTGTCAGCGTCGGTGCTTTGCCCAAACTTGGTCTGGCGACGGTGACGTTGCACAGCTACTCTCTGTTACGGCATTGAATCTTTCTGTCTGTCAGCGTCGCACACACAACAAGCAATCAAATCGAATCCTGATTAGCTAGACCGGCCTGAATGTAAGTATAACATCTGATGCCCCTCTGTGCCCGTCAGCGTGGACCCTCGTGGACCCTCGTGGACCCTTGTGCGGAATACATCGGGTACGACTGGATACAAAGATGGGACGGCTTGCTGATTTTTCACGTCCTCTTCTACAGACACGTCCACGCAACACTGAAGCAGATGCATTCTCCATAAGCAATTCTCGACGTTGTAGCTGTCCGAACCATGATTTCGACAGCCTCTTCGTTTCTGCCTTCCCGCTTTCGCGGGGAGCAGCCGTCAGAGAAGGCGGCTGCTCCGAACTGGATCAGCAAAAAGCTCACGCCGGTGCTGCAGCTCCTGTCGAGCCTCACATCGTCTCACCCAATTCACACAATCGTCATTGTCGCAGTGCTTGCAAGCTCGACGTATATGGGACTGCTAGAAGAAAGCCTGTTTGATGCCGGCCGCTCTGCCAGCCGGGCTGACTGGTCGTCCCTCGTCGAGGGCAGCCGCAGCCTGCGAGCCGGCCCCGACACTACGTGGAAGTGGCAGCCTTGGGATGCTGAGGCGTCCAAGGATCCCATCGGCTCCGATCACCTGGCCCTGCTCACCTTCATCTTCCCCGGCTCGCTCTCCGCCAGCGCCCCGAAGACGGCCCCGCTGCTCAATACTGTTCCCATGCCCGAGAACATGACGACTCTTGCGCTTCCCTCGACGCCCAACCCACTGGCAGCCTACTCTCAGGACAGCTCACTGGCGTTTGCCGTGCCGTACGCCGATGCCGCTCTGTTCACTGCTGCGGCGCGCGAGATCCCCAACGCCGGAAAGGACACGACGCAGATCACCGAGGAACACGGCCGCGAGGACAAGCTGTGGATCATGAAGGCGGCCGGTGCGCAGACACGTTCTAGCGTCGTGCGCTGGCTGCAGAACGGCTGGGTCGAGTTTCTTGACCTGCTGAAGAATGCCGAGACGCTTGATATCATCATTATGGTTCTTGGCTACATGTCCATGCATCTGACGTTTGTCTCTCTCTTTGTGTCGATGCGGCGTATGGGCTCCAACTTCTGGCTCGCTGCCAGCGTTTTGTTCTCGTCCATCTTTGCCTTCCTTTTCGGCCTCATCGCCACGACCAAGCTTGGCGTCCGCGTGAACATGGTTCTGCTTTCCGAGGGCCTGCCCTTCCTCGTTGTCACGATCGGCTTTGAGAAGAACATTGCTCTCACAAAAGCGGTCTTGTCCCACGCGCTGGAGCATCGCCGGAATCAGGAGAAGGGCCTTGCCGGCGACAGCACCGCCCGCCGGGGTCTGTCTTCGGGCAAGAAGATCATCACTGCCAGGTCCCCCAGCGTGATCCAGTACGCCATTCAGATGGCCATCAAGGAGAAGGGGTACGACATTGTTCGGGACTACGCCATCGAGATTCTCATTCTCATCATCGGCGCTGCTTCCGGCGTCCAGGGAGGGCTGCAGCAGTTCTGCTTCTTCGCCGCCTGGATCCTCTTCTTTGACGGCATCCTGCTCTTCTCGTTCTACACAGCCATTCTCTGCATCAAGCTGGAGATCAACCGGATTAAGCGTCACGTGGAAATGCGAAAGGCTCTGGAGGAGGACGGCGTCAGCCACCGGGTGGCGGAGAATGTTGCACGGAGCAACGACTGGCCGAGAGTCGACGGGAAGGGCGATCCAAGCACGACCATCTTCGGGCGGCAGATCAAGAACACCAGCGTTCCCAAGTTCAAGGTGCTGATGGTGTCTGGGTTTGTCATTATCAATCTTCTAAACCTGTGCACGCTGCCGTTCCGGAACGCAGAGTCGACGCTCTCGTCGATCTCGTCGATCACGGGCGGTCTCGGTGGAGTGATGGCGCCGCCGCCGGTCGACCCGTTCAAGGTTGCCTCCAACGGCCTGGACACCCTGCTTGCGTCAGCTAGGAAAGGTAACCGGGAAACGATTGTGACGGTGCTGACGCCGATCAAGTACGAGCTTGAGTATCCGTCGGTGCACTACGCCCTTCCTTCGTCGCGACTGAACGGAGGCTCTGGACGCGACGCCGGCCATGATGCATATGACTATGTGGGTGGCCGCATGGTGGGCAGCATTCTCAAGAGCCTGGAAGACCCTGTTCTCTCTAAGTGGATCATTGTGGCTCTGGCCATGAGCGTGGCTCTCAACGGCTATCTCTTCAATGCAGCTCGGTGGGGCATCAAGGACCCTAACATTGCATTCCATCCCATCGACCCACAGGAGTTAGCCCAGGCACAAAAGTTCAACGAGACGGATTCGGCAACTCTGCCTCTGGGCGAATTTGTGCCGCCCGGAACGCCGGTAAAGCCGATGACACCCGCCCTGACGGACGACGAGGGCGACCAGCTGTCGATGCGGCCACTAAAGAAAAAGGAGCCGATGAGCAAGTCGCAGGCCCAGCTGGATCTTCTCAAAGCGCAGTCGTCTCTGGTGACACAGCGCACGTCTGCCGAACTGGACAAGATGCTCAAGGAACAGCGCGCACACGAGCTAACGGATGCGGAGCTGGTTTTGCTCTCGCTGCGAGGCAAGATTCCTGGATATGCGCTGGAGAAGACGTTGAAGGATTTTACACGAGCAGTCAAGATCCGACGGTCGATCATCGCACGCACAAAGGCAACGGAGGAACTCACCGGGCTTCTCGACGAATCGGACCTCCCGTACGACGGCTACAACTGGGCACAGGTGTTTGGGCAGTGCTGCGAGAACGTGATTGGGTACATGCCGATCCCGGTTGGTGTGGCCGGCCCGCTCGTGATTGACGGCAAGAGCTATTTCATCCCGATGGCAACGACAGAGGGCGTGCTGGTTGCCAGTACCAGCCGCGGCTGCAAGGCGATCAACGCGGGTGGCGGTGCAGTAACGGTGCTGACGGCGGACGGGATGACGCGCGGGCCTTGCCTAAGCTTCGAGACGGTAGAGCGTGCGGGAGCGGCCAAGATCTGGCTGGACTCGGAGGACGGACAGACGACGATGCGCAAGGCGTTTAACTCGACCAGCCGATTCGCACGACTGTCGGAAATGAAGACGGCACTGGCAGGCACGAACCTGTACGTGCGGTTCAAGACGACGACGGGCGATGCGATGGGCATGAACATGATTTCGAAGGGGGTGGAACACGCGCTGAATGTGATGCGGAATGAGTCGGGCTTTGAGGACATGAACATTGTGTCGCTGAGTGGCAACTACTGCATCGACAAGAAGGCGGCAGCGATCAACTGGATCGACGGACGTGGCAAGAGCGTGGTGGCCGAGGCGATTATCCCGGCGGAGGTTGTGAAGAGCGTGCTGAAGAGCGACGTGGACTCGCTGGTGGAGCTGAACATTTCAAAGAACCTGATCGGATCGGCGATGGCGGGAGCGATTGGTGGATTCAACGCGCACGCAGCGAACATTGTGGCGGCGATCTACATTGCGACGGGCCAGGACCCGGCACAGGTTGTGGAGAGCGCCAATTGCATCACGATCATGAAGAAGTGAGTATTTGGGGGAGTTAATATCAAGAAGCAGCAACGGATGTGTGGCATGTGGCGCTAACAAAAAGTAGTCTTCGCGGCTCTCTGCAAATCTCGGTGTCGATGCCTTCAATCGAGGTGGGCACACTTGGAGGCGGCACAATTTTGGAGCCGCAGGGAGCGATGCTCGACATGCTCGGCGTACGTGGACCTCACCCGACGAACCCAGGCGAAAATGCGCGACGGTTGGCGCGCGTGATTGCAGCGGCCACGTTAGCAGGCGAGCTGTCTCTCTGCTCTGCGCTGGCAGCCGGCCATTTGGTCAAGGCGCACATGGCTCACAACCGGTCGCAGCCACCGACACGGACGACGACTCCGGCTCCCTCGGGGACGGTGACGCCGGCCTTGTCGATGACGAACATGGCGAGCGTGGTGGCGCCCAGTGCGGCCGCAGTTGAGCGGTCGAGGCGATAAATGTGGTAGTTGTAGTGGGTGAGAGGCTTTTGCTTTCGTCGGTCTGCATGGCTGTTGTTTTATTCCTCGACAAGAACGGCTCTATCGGTTACAATATCACTAGCCGGGCAGTATATGTGTTATTTAGTCGTTTGGTCGCTGAAACTCGGGACTCGAGACAGCACAGGACGATTCGCAATATGCGGCTCAATAGGCCGATGGATGGACATGGAGGCATCTTGCAGCAGGCAGCATGCCTTACTAAGCTAGAACAGCATTGATAATAGAGTTCACTGAGGTGATCACATGACGAGAAGCAAAGGTGACTAAAATAGGAAATGCGGATTGTCCCAGCTATACGCTATCATTGGATGCTAAATACACGTCTGGCGGCCGCCCGTTTACCTGCCGACACGGATGACGCCAGCGGCGATGAGCTTCTGGATCTTGGAGCGGACGCTGGGATTCTTTGTGTGTTCGTTGAGGGCGGCGGGGTCGGACTGGGCCTGTTGGAGGATGGTCTGCATGACGGGGTCCTGCATGATGCCCATGATCTGAGGGGGTTAGTTGAAGAGGAAATAGAGAGAAGGAAAAAAAAGAAAATAAAGAAGAGAAAAGAAAAAAAGAAAGAGAGAGATACAAAACATAAAATACGATATAGAACAAGGGACAACAAGCAAGAACTCACCTCTGGGTCCTTCATGATGCGCTCGCGCGTCTGCTCCTCGGTCTCGTTCTCGCGGGCGCTGTACATGGCGCCCAGAGCCTTCTGCTGCTGCTGTTCGATCTCGCGGGTGTTGGCGCCGCCGTGGAACTCGCGGTCGACGCGATCAGCCTCGGCGCAGGCGTCGACGCACTCGCTGTACTTGCGCATGCCCAGATACGTCTGGGCCTTGCGGATGTAGGCGCGGATGAAGCGCGGGTCCTTGCGGATGGCCGCGTCGCAGTCTTCGAGCGCGCTCGGAAACTCGAGCAGCTTGATAAAGGCAGCCGCCCGGTTGCTGTAGCCACGCGCATCGTCGGGTGCCCGCTTGACCATCTCGCTGTAGGCAGCCACGGCGCCCGGCCAGTCCGACTCTTTGAACTTGCGGTTGCCGGTCTCGCGCGCCTCTTCTGCCTTGGCTGGGTCCACGTATGCCTGTCGTGCCTCGTCAATCCGCCGCCGCTCGGCCGCCCGCAGCTTCGATACCACGTCCGGCGTCCGCTGCTCCCGTAGCGACCGGTTGTAGCTCTCGATCGCGGCATCCATGTTGCCCAGCCGCTCCTGTGCCGTCCCGATGCGCGCATACGACTTGGCAATCGTCTTGAAGTCGGCAAACGAGGCCCGGCCCTCCTCGGCCGCCGTCGTGCACGCATCCACGCACGCCTGGAAATCGCCCTTCTCAAAATAGGCCGCCCCCAGGTTGTTGAGGTACGTCACGTCCTTGTGCAGCTCCCACGCCTTCTTGTAGTGCTCGATCGCCACGTCAAAGTTGCGCTTCTTGTAGTTCTCCGTCCCCAGCGCCTTTTCCTTGTCGGCTGCCTCCTTGGCCGCCTTCTTTGCCTTCTCTTCCTCGTCCTCTTCTGCTTCGGCCTCGCTCACTTCTTCGACCACCCGCTCAACTTCTGGCTCCGGCTTCGCGGCCGCTGCTGCTGCTGCTGCTGCTCCTCCGGTCATGTCCACGTCTTCCTCGTGCTCTCCTGCTGCTGCTGCAAAAGGAGACGACGAGCTGCCACCAGCCGGCGGTGCACCGGCAAAGTCCAGGTCCACGCCCATCAAAACGCCCATCACCTGGATCATGCGCGGGTCGCTGAACATGGCCTGCGAGTTTTGCGGGTTCTGCTGGATGTTCTGCAGGTTCCGCACAAACGTCGGGTCGGCCAGAAACGCGGCCGTCTTCGGGTTTGCCGCCAGCTTCTGCAGGATGTTGGGGTCGCTGAACATGTTGGACAGTTGCTGGCCCGGACCTTCAAACGAGTTGGCACCGCCTTCAGTCCGCAGTTCGGCGTCCATGGCCCGCTCCACCGACGCCAGGTCGTTCTTCATCCCCGCGTTGTTCGGGTCGATCTTGAGGCCCTCCTTGTACGCCTCGTACGCCGGCACCAGGTCACGCTTGCCATAAAGCGCAGTGCCCTTGCGGCTCCAGCCCTTGGCCCAGTCCGGCTTCAGCGTCGTCGTCTTCTCGGCATCCTCCAACGCGTGGTCCCAGTCCTTCTTGGAAGCGTACGCCGCCGACCGGTTGCTGAACAGGATGTGGTTGCTCGGGTCGATCGCAATAGCCTCTGTAAATTTCTCACTAGAGCCGACAAGGTCAGAACTTGGACGCTTTGTCTGTAGGTTGGGTCCATCAACTTACATGGCCTCGTCGTAATTCTTGGCTGCAATGGCCTTGTTGCCCAGAGCCTTGAGCTCGTCTGCCGTAGCCATCGTTGCAATGCGTTCTGTGCGATGAAATCGTAGAAAGAAGGCAGGATCAGAATTTGCAAGAGTCGTCAGTATTCGCACCCCCAGATGTCCGTTGGCTTGGAAGGCTGGCAAGAAAGTTGGCGGCGAAAATATGCTCGAAAGACAGATGGTGGGGCAGGTTTCTAGGCCTTTCGACGCTGGTGGCCGCACTGGCCGCTGATTGGCTGGGCGGCAGAGCATAGCTGCCTATTACGGATATGGGGATTCCGGCTCGAAATGGCTTTCCAGAAGCTGCTTTCCAGAAGCTGCTTTCCAGAAGCTGCTGCACCTTTCGACATTCTCACGCCATTCTCATGTAGTGGAGATAGTTTCAAGGTATTCAGGCTGTACGAGGCGAGCGAATAACAACGAGAAGACTGGATCGAAGACCCCCCTGCCTACAGATCCTCCTTCGCAGCCGGTGCTGCCGGTTCGCCACGCAGGGCCCAGAGCACCTGCGGCTGGCCGGCAGCATCGCAGCTTGCGAACCGCCACCACTTGCCGTACCAGGAGCCGGCAATGTTGATCAGGCCCCAGCGGATGGGCGCCGGCATGGGCGGCCAGTTGGCCCAGGTGCCGTTCTCGAAGCCGGTGGAGCGGTCAAGGTTGAGCAAGAAAAAAGGCACCACGTCGAGAGTGCCAGCCTTGGAGACGGTGGCTTTGCCCCAGGCCTTGAACATGGCGAATGCAGCATCGGCCTCGGGCGAGCCGGGCACTGGCGCCTTGGGGTGGTCGGCCAGCGCGGCAATGGTGCCAATCTCGGAACGGAAGTGGTTCTCAAACGGCACCTCAAACGTGGCCATAATGGCCAGCAGCTTCTCGCCCGAGAAGTCGGCCGGGAATGGCAGCCCGGCAAGGTAATCATGGAAGGCGCCGAGGCCAGCCAGGAAGGATTCTGTTGTGTCAGATAAGAGGGAAAAAAAAGAAGAGGAAAAAAGAGGGCGAAAAAAGAAGAAGAAAATACCATGCTCTTCGTGCGTCTGAGTCCACACGCTGCTGTCTCCCAGGACATCGGCCACCTTGGGGAAGAGTACCTCCTCCTCGTCATCGTGGTGCGACTTGACAAAACGGAACCATGTCAGGCAGTAGCCGATAAAGTCGGCCTTGTCCTCTTCCTTGATGTGGGCTGCCTGCAGGAAGATGCTGTTGTAGCCGCGCAGGATGGCGTTATGCAGCAGACACATGTGCGTGGCGCCCGTAGTGAACAGGTCCGTCTTCTTGGTCGCATACTGCGGCGTGGGCACGAGCTGGAGCGGCCCATCCGCCCAAGGCTGCGCTGCGACAGAGCCGGTCTCGGTGGCCATTGTGACGACTAGGCTGGAGAGAAGGAGAAGGAGGAGATGGAGAGTGCGGGCAGCAGAGAAAACTGGTGAGGACATGGCTGTGCTCGGGGGAGGATGGCGCAAATAAGGAGTCGAAAGAAGACTGAGCAGACCGAGTAGGCCGGAGAGACTAGACGGAACAGACAAGCCAAGACAAGCAGACCAGAAAGAGGACGGGGCAGAGAAACGGCTCACCACCAGCTGTCAGCCCAGAGCAGCGATCTGACATCAGAGTGGTACGATGCGGAGACGCCATGGTGCATCAGCTGTTTTCAATCACCCATGTCCTATTGGCGCTGTGTATGAAGGCCAGGGTGGCATTCGTTCATATTAATAATCAAACAGAGGCAAGAGTCCATTGCGGATGTGAGATACGAGTACGAGACGATACTGACTGAGGAAGTGACAGCAGGAGCTGTGTTCCCAAAGAAGGCTAGCGTTCTTTCCTTGTTAATGGGCTGTCTACTGGTAAAACGCGACTGCTCAGACGCGTCTTATCACCATTGATAGCCATCTTTCAATTTGTCGACCGTCCAGCCAAGTCTGTCACCCTCTCCCTTCTGCTCGCCATGGACGACGACACACACATGGAAGAGGCTGGCGTCCCGGTCGACACGGCCGTCGCAGCGAGCACCGAATTTCTGCCCCCATCCATCGACGAGGCCGCCCTGCTGGCCGGCGACTCCTACTCGTACTTTTCGCCTGTGCCGCCAAGGCTGCTCGGAAAGACGACGACGACGACGACGACGACGACGACCACATCTACATCTACGTCCACCGATCCCGTCGGCGTGCCCTGCATGCTGGGCGTTGACGAAGCCGGCCGCGGACCCGTGCTGGGCCCGATGGTGTACGGTGTCTTTTACGCGCCCGTCACCGAGGCAGACGTGCTGCTCCGAGGAGGGAAGCCGGCCGACGTTGCAGACGGCGACGACGACGACGACGAGCGCTACCGCTTCGACGACTCCAAGGTGCTCTCGGCCGACACGCGGGCCAGCCTGATGGCGGCGCTCTGCCGTCCGGGCTCGTCGCTGCATCGGTCGTGCGGCTGGGCTACGGCAGCACTCTCGGCACGCGATATCGGCGCCGACATGCTGGCGCCAGCATCTGCAGCCGGATCCAATCTCAACGCACAGGCGGCCGACGCGACCGTGGCGCTGATCCGTGGCGTGCTGGCACGCGGCGTGCGCGTCACTGACGTCTACGTCGACACGGTCGGGCCACCGGCTACGTACCAGAAGAAACTCGAGCGCGTCTTTCCTGGCCTCCGCATCACCGTCGCCAAAAAGGCAGACTCGCTCTACCCTTGCGTCTCGGCTGCGTCCGTCTGCGCAAAGGTCACGCGCGACGTCGCCCTCGCCGTCCTCTACCGCCGCTATGGCGCCGCCTCTGCCTCTGAACCCGACTGGGGCTCCGGCTATCCGTCTGACGGCAGATGCACTGCCTGGCTGCGCCGAAATATACACCCTGTCTTCGGCTGGGGCCCCGAGTGCCGCTTCAGCTGGGGCACCGCCAAGGACCTCCTCGAAGATGACAGCAGCGCCAAGAAGAAGAGCACCAGCACCAGCGCCAAACAGGCCAGCGTCCGCGTCGAATGGCCGCTGCCAGACGACGACGACCCTTCTATCGGCCGTATGACCGGCTTCCTCGTCTCCTCGACCACCAAGCCGTCCCAGTCACACATCCCTGCCGACGACGTCGACGAGCTGGGATCCTGGTTCGGGCGGCCCGTCGGCCTCGAGGCGTTTTAGGTCCAACTGTACTTAATTGCTGCACTTTCTACCCGTTTCATTGCATACACACACTGTCTCTTATTTATATAATGTGCCGGCTGGCCGCGTTGTGAAAAAGCGTACGTGAATATCCAATGTGGCTCGTGCATTTCTCAAGTGCTTACTAATCATTCTCGACAGCCCACATCCTCCCCTCAGATCTCGTCGTCCAGCAGATCGATTGTCGGCTGTCGCTTGCCACGCGAGTCCAGCGTGTCCATGCTGATAGCCGTGCCGTTACGCGAAGGCATGGACAGGGCATCTCGAGCCGTGTCCGAGTTCTCAATGAAGTCGCGCAGCTTCTGCTTGCCAATGTCCACCGCCTGGTTGGACGCAGCGTTGGCCATCTGCATCATCGGGCCCAGCAGCGCCAGGCTGTACGCAATATACGTGCCGCCCATGACGATGAGCAGCACGACGAACAGCAGGGGGTTTCGGAGCACTACATGGTCAGCACAGATATGACAAAAGGGGATGATCTCGACCAAACGTCTCAAGGGATACAAAAACTCACCTGCAAGAATCTCGTTCCAGCCCAACACCAACAGGATGCCGTAGAAATAGAGCGGCACCTGCGTGATACCGCCCAGAGCACCGCGCTTGGCCTCCACATACACCCCGTCGGCCGTCTTCTTGAAGCGGATGACCAGGTCCTGCCGCTTGCCCTCGCTCAACACCGTCATCTCCTCCTCCAGGCTCTTGCCATCGTCCTCATCAATGCCACCGATCGGCGTCAGGTCGTCCTCGTCCTCCGGCTCCGCTGCCGCCGGCTGTGCTCCGATCCAGTCCGACAGGTCCGGTGGTCCATATGTCGCCGCCAGCCGGAAGCGAGCCAGCAGAGGGATCAGCGACAGGGTCGACTCGCGCGCCCGTGTGTAGATGCCCTCAATATCGTCGCTTGGCCGCCAGATCCGCGGCACACCCGCCTCATCATACCGGAACTTGTCCTCAAAGTTCTCGCGCAGCTTCAGCAGGATGTTCCCCTCCATCACCTCCTCCTCGATCTTCTCCCGCAGCGCCACCCAGCTCTTCCGCCGCAGCCGCCACAGGCCCACCTCCACCTCGCCTTCGCTCGCGTCAAAGCTCTTGGCCCGGTCCGTAAACCGGCCCTGCGCCTCCGTCACCACGCCCGAAAACAGCGCCCAGATTCGATCCCAGATGTCCTTCTCCGCCGGCAGCTTCTCGTTCTCTCGCCCGCTGTCGGCTACGCCATCCTCCAGCACCACTCCGCCACCTGCCCTGCCAGAGCCCAGCTTGTTGAACTCCAGGCCGACCGAGTCCGATAGCCGTGACTTCACCCATCGCTCAATCCGCGTCGCCAGCCGCCGCATCTCCTCCTTGCGCATCTTGCCGCTGACTGCATCCAGGTCCTTCTCGAACAGCTTGTTCTGCGGTTTGAAGTCGCTCCACGCCACGCCCTCGATCGAAAGCCCCTGCGCCTCCGTCTGGAATGCCTCCAGCGTCTTGCTCTTCTGCGACTCCACAATCTCCGCAAAGTCGTAGGCGCCGCCGCCCTTCTGACCAGCTTTCACTGCTGCCGTCACCGCCTCTGTGAAGGCGACGACGCCCGCCTTGTGTGCCGCCCCCAGTTGTCCCTGGTACAACGCCTTGAGCCGTCCGTCCACCTTGCCCTCGAGCTCCGTCCGCTTGCGCGCGTACACGCCCTTGTGGTAGCGGCTGGCCTGCGTCTCAAACAGCACCAGACAGGCGGCCCGACTCTGGCTGCCTGTGACTCCCAGGTCTGGCAGCACCTTCGGATGGCCCAGACGCGCGGCCTCGGCCTGCGCCTCCTCCAGCGGCACCATGGTCTCCTCGAACGCGACCAGAGCCTCGCGCGAGATCTCGTCACAGCGGAATTGCGCCAGCAGCTCCTGCTGCGTCGGCAGGTCCAGGTCCTTGTTGCTCACAATCTGGTCCCACACTTTCTCGGCATACACTGAGAATCCGTCCGCCGGTATCCGCCGGTGGTACTCGGGGATGAACACGCCGCCCGAAAACTCCTGGTCCTTGTCTGAGCGCTGGCCCGCCACGAACCGGTTGCCCAGCTGGGCCACCTCTGACAGGAACTTGTCCGGCTGCAGAATCTTGTGGGGCAGCGCGGCAAAGGCAAAGTCAAAGTAATCCTCGATCTTGGCGCCGTCCAGCCCCGATGGCTTGGCGATGGAGCTCCAGATCTTGGTCAGATCCTGCACGAGCGTGTTGCGCAGGTTGGCCAGGGGCGTGTTGCCGATAAAATCGCGGATAACAAAGAAGAGGAGCGACCGTGGCGTCGACTGTCGGTCTTTGAGGAAGAGCTGCAGGTTGACCTCGAAGACAGTCTTCAACAGGCCCATGTTGGCGCCCTGGTACAGGCCAACCTGGTGCTCCCAGATGTTGACGATCAGGACCTCGCTCGTTGCCAGCGCAAAGAGTGCGCTCTTGCGCTCAAAGTCCTGGTCCTCACCGCGCTCGCGACCATCGGTACCCTCGACGTCCATTACGAGGATGTTTTCAGCCATGTTGGAGTTTTCCTTCTTGTTATTTGACATCCAGATGCCCTTGGTGGTCTGGCGACGTTCCGACTCGGACATGACGCTAAATTCAGTGCCAAACAAATGGTTGAGCAGGGTCGACTTGCCCGTTGACTGCGAGCCAAAGACGGAGATGAGGTGGTAGTTGAAGCCGGCCGGCGCCACCTGTGTCTGCTGGAGATACGCATTCAGGCTCGTTCTGTGACGACGGCCGAGACGTGTGTGTCAGCGGAAGCTCGTGATGGAGGGGAAAACGGTGGAGACCCACGTAAATTCCTTGTCTTCGTCAATCACCTGGATGCCGTGACCAAAAGTCTGGGCGGTCGGCTCCTCGCCGACGGCAGCGAAGTGGCCGTTCATCCTTTTCGTCTGTCGAGGGGACAGGGGGGGAGGGAGGGAGAGAGATAGACGAAGCTATGCGTGGATGACACGATTCGGTTTCGGGAAAGGAGCAGAGCTATGTTGCTGAAAGGCGAAAGGTAGGAAAGCAGAGACAGCAGAGCGGGGACTCAGATACAGCAGCAAAGACAAAGGAAAGCTCTTTCCATGACAGGATATCAATGCTGAAGGATCGGATATCGGCCACGTTCGTCGATGTGTCGATATGAAGCAGCCACAAAAGCAAGCACGGAAGCGAACTAGGGCCAACCTCCCGAAATTGGGCGAGAGCTTGTGCCGGGGGTGTCAATGCCTATTCATCCCACGGCCCAGCTGGCCTCATGCAACGACAGCTCACATGGCTGCAGACCGCGCCGGATTAACACTTGCGCCGAGCGCTATTTATTGCTTAGTCAGCTAGAGGCCCCGCTCCGTTCAGTCGTTGCGTCCCGTGATTCGACCTTGACTACCCCAACGCTTGTGTTGAGGAGCCAGGGGATTGTACAATAGACGGATCCCTCCTGCCGTGTCAAAGTACGTATGGCCCAACATTCGGAGATCGCCTTTCGGCTTCTTTTGCAGTGTTGGAGCCTGCCTTTGCCGTCTGGTCTGTCTGCCTGTCACGATGTCTGCGATCGGCAAAAGAAGAATGGTGCTGTTGGCGCGCGCTGTGCCGTGGCCTGTGACGTTGAGAGTGACGGGCATCCGAGCGTATGCTGCTATTGGAGGAGAGGAGCAGAAATGGACCAAGTCGACAATCCCAACCCCAACATCGGCCACGACAGGTCTGCCAGCCGGCCAGGTCCAGGAAAAGAGCGATGCTCTGCTGCAGGCCATGGCGGCGACGGAGATGCGGAACGACTGGACGAGGGAGGAGATTTCCGCGATTTACCACGAGCCATTGATGGAGCTGGTGTACCAAGCTGTGGGTTTTCTTTCTTCTTTCTTCTTTCTTCTTTCTTCTTCTTCTTTCTACCCGCAACGGCTTATATTTACCAGGGTACGGTGCACCGCCGCTTCCACAGGCCGGGTGAGGTGCAACTGTGCACGCTGATGAACATCAAGACCGGCGGCTGCACGGAGGACTGCAAGTACTGCGCACAGTCGACACGGCACCAGAAGGGAACAGGCCTGGTGGCCAAGAAGGTCGAGTCGGTCGAATCGGTGCTGGCGGCGGCACGGGTGGCCAAGGAGAACGGCAGCGCGCGCTTCTGCATGGGAGCAGCATGGCGGGACATGCGCGGCCGCAAGAACAGCATGCGCAACGTGATCGAGATGATCCAGGGAGTGCGGGCGCTAGGAATGGAGGCATGCGTGACGCTCGGGATGATCGACCAGGCACAGGCGCTCGAGCTCAAGGCGGCCGGCCTGACGGCCTACAACCACAACGTCGACACGAGCCGGGAGTTCTACCCGAGCGTCATCTCGACGCGGACATACGACGAGCGTCTGCAGACGCTGGGCCACGTGCGATCTGCCGGCATCAACGTCTGTTCAGGCGGCATTCTCGGTCTCGGCGAGGCTGACCACGACCGCGTCGGACTGCTGCACACCGTGGCCACGCTGCCGAGCCATCCCGAGAGCTTTCCAGTCAACGCACTGGTGCCCATCAAGGGCACGCCGCTGGCCGAACAACATGCCGTCCCGTTCACCAACATGCTGCGCACCATTGCCACTGCCCGCCTGCTGATGCCGCGCACCATCATCCGCATCGCCGCCGGTCGCAAGGCCATGTCGGAGGAGAGGCAGATGCTCTGCTTCTCGGCTGGCGCCAATGCCATCTTCACCGGCGAGAAGATGCTCACGACCGAGTGCAACGGCTACGATGAGGACAAGGACATGTTCGCCCGCTGGGGTCTGCAGCCCATGAAGAGCACACCGCTCGTGGGTCGGGAAGGCCCGCCCTGATCCAACAAAGTGATCCAGATAAACCCGAATTGAACGGTTGAAACAATTCGTACATCATGCATCAAACATTAACCAGTCAGATCCCCGCTGCAGAAACCCCGCTGCAACCAAAAATAGATCAGCACCACAACAGACTGTTCGCTTCTCGGTAGCTATGTCCTCGAGAAGGTCGTGTCTGGTCTGCTCGTCGGAAGCAGCGCAAAGCACTGGCCGCGCGGCGTCCACGTCGCGATTACGAGCTTCCGAGCTCTCCTCTGACAACAACACAGGTGGGTAGTTACGTAACCGCAATGTCCCGCTTTCAGCCCCTGCAACTCGCAATTGGCCTCGGCATACGGTCGCATGCTGTTCTAGTTTCACCTTACGGCTGGTATGTCATGGAGCTTTAGGCGTCCGCATCAGTGCGCACACGTAACTCACGACTCTGTGCTGTGTATCTGTGGTCATACGATATTAATAAGAGAAGCTAGATGCTCTGTGAGATCTGTGAGGTTAGTGTGCTGATAGCATTGGAAAAATGGCGAGGCATCTCCCGCATACATTGCTCCACGCGGTTTGCTAATAGCGCCGAGCACAAAAGCTCGCCGGACGAGAAGTACTTTTTTTTTTTAGCTTTGGCTCTGGAATGAAATCCGGCCGGCGGGACGTTGGGCAAGATACGATCTGTTGCAGGTCTTGCATAGCAAACACATCCTGACTGAACTACAATTGGGCATGGTGGTGTTCAACATATCGGACTCGCCGTCCCCAGTCCGAAGCTGAAGCTAGTCCTGAGCCTTTCCCTTCTCGACCGACAGGGGTCACACAGCAGCCGACGATGGTTTTTACTGATGTACATCATCGTCTGATAAAGGTATAAAAAAACAACGCAGGACAAGTGAGAAAGATAACACGGGAACAGATGTCAGACGAACAGCCCCAGTTAGCTGCATCGAGTTCCGAAAACGACAGCGTAGGAATAAAGAGGATGAGGATGGCCGAGAAATACGATGTGTCGTGCTCTTGTGTAAGCTTCTGCTCCTCCTCGTGAGAGCACACATTGGGCGCAATACTCGTACGGAGTACTTTGGAAGTGGTGCAACTGGTATCTAATTACGGTGTTCTCCGTATGGATCGGAGTTTTTCTGGCCGTAAAGGATATGCTCCACTTTTCAGTCTCTGTACTCGTACACGTAGCTCGCACCAGTTTCATGCTACCCAGAGACACGTGCAGCGTGGCGACCTCGAAAACGTCTATTAATATCCAGAGTATGCAAGGAATTCAAGTTACCATGCATTCCTCTGTGTTCTGCCGCCGTACGAGTGAGCATCACGAGGTTTCAGCTGCAAGACGCGCGCAGCAGTGAATCCAAATGAGAGACGAGAAAGGAAACAAAGCAAGAAGAGAGGTCAGCCGAGTAAAGTCCAAATTTGTGGCCGAGATGCGTAGTGGAGCATACTATGTAAGATAGGTTTGGCCACCGGTGGTTTAGAATGTGGCCGGTGCAGTCACCTGACAGCCCACGTGAAGCACCAATAGTATTAGTGGGAGCCCGCCCGTTTTTCCCCTGGAACTAGAAAGAGACTACATAGTATATTGGAGTCGACCTAGGAAGCACTCGCATCCGAAGGGGGAGGGGAGCCTCCGTCTTGGCCACCCACTAGCAAAATGGTTTAATACGATGTTTGAATTTGCACAGCAACGGACCAGCGGGACCGGTCGTGTCTGCCCACCAGTAGTATTTATGTGCGAGAAAGATACGCTACTGGTGGGCCAATATATAAATCCCCCAGGCTCTCCGGCCGTGAGAGAGAAGAGAGAAGAGAGAAGAGAGGAGAGGATATCCGCCATTCTGCTTCCGTGTCGACGCCTTTCACTCAACACAGTCCTTCGTCTTCTGTTGTGGTCCATTGACTCTCGTTCCGTCGATGTTTTAGAGATTTTCTTTGCTCGAGCAGGCAGCTTGTATTGCACCTTTCATCGAAACAATCCACGGAGCTCTCCCATCCCCGTCCCTTTTCCTTATCACTCCTCGACCTCTACTTTCGGCCATGCCTATCAAGAGGCAGAAGTCGGTTCGGGTGGCCGACATTGTCGTGCCGGACTCGCTGATCGCGACGACACGAGGCGGCCGAGACTGGACGCCGTTTCGTCGTGACCAGGAGCTGGAGGGCCATGGACCTATGCAGACGGCCATCCGACGGACGGCCAGTAAGCGTCAGAGCGTGGGACGCGGAGGAGCAGCCGGACGGCCGACGGTAATAGCAGAAGCCACAGTCGCACCCAGACCACGGCCATGGAGCAACATCTTCGAGCAGCAACCGGTTCCGCAGCAGCAGAACAGCTGGATCGGACGGCCACGCAAGACGAGTGACCCAGCCACGCTGGAAGAGGCACAGAGGGCCAGCCGGGTGTCACCGGCGCTGGCGCTGGGAGTCAGTCACTATGGGCTCACGGAGCAAGCAGCATCGGAGCTGACGCTGTCAGATGCTCTGGGCACGGTACAATTTCCGGGATCAAGACTGGTCTTTGAAGAGGAGGTGGAGGAGAGCAGCGAGGAGGGAGAGCTAGTGGCTGAGATGCAAAACTCTCGGATCCGGCAGCGGAGCAGCATATACGAGACATACGAGCGGGCCAAGACGCGCGGCGTCGAGCTGGATCGCAAGCCATGGATGCGCGTGCTGTTTGAATATGCCGTCTACACGACGCTGCTGGCGTTTGTGTACTTTGTGCTCGTGGGGTTGCCGTTGTGGCGTGGCGCCGTCTACTGGTTGTACTGGGTGTTTGCCAATAAGCTGACGCCGGTCTGGGGCTGGTCCATCACGATGGGCGTAGCCTTTTTCTTGGCCTTTGCGCCGCTGCTGATCTTCTATGAGGAGGAGGCGATGATCAAAGATGCAGACGGGCGCCGAAGCACCGAAAGCACCGAAAGTGCCGAAAGTGCCGTCACCAGCCACACCAGCCACACCATCGCGCCGGCCTTCCGTCCCGGCGTTAGCGACACGGCGCTGCTGATCCCGTGTTACAAGTCGGCGAGGATCATCGGGCCAACGCTGCAGGCGGCGCTGCGCATCTTTCCACCATCGCACATCTTTGTGATTGCCAACGGCAATGCGCCGGCGCCGCTGGACGACACCGAGGCTGTGTGCCGGCCGTACGGCGTGAACCACATCTGGTCGCCGGTCGGGTCCAAGATTGTGGCGCAGTTTGTGGGCTGTCACGCTGCCCGGGGCTTCCGCAACGTGCTGCTGATCGACGACGACTGTGCGCTGCCACCGAGCTTCCCGGTCGTGTCCGAGCGGCTGACCGGTCGCGTGCAGTGCGTCGGCTACACGATCAAGAGCGTCGGTCGGGCCGATGTCGGCTCCGGCTCCGGTCCCGATCCCGGCACCTGGTGTCAGCAGGCCCAGGACCTCGAGTACAAGATCTCGGGCTTACAGCGCGCGTTCGCTGGCCGCATCGGCAGTGCCACATTTCCGCACGGCGCCATATCGCTCTGGGATCGCCGCTTTCTCATCCGCACGTTTCATGACCATCCCGGCTTCTCCGTGTCCGAGGACTGGTTCTTCGGCCACAGCTGCCGCCGTCTCGGCGGTCGCATCACCATGTGCACTGCCGTCTTTGTCCAGACTGAGACGCCTGCGGCCGTGTTCTATAGCGCGCCGGCCGCCAGCCGCGGCGGCTTTGGCGAGATGACCGTCTTCCGCCAGCGCTTCTCTCGCTGGAACTTCTTCTTTGTCAACGGCATGTGGTACAACCTCGGTTACGTCCTCACCAGCTGGCGGCTTGGCTGGTGGGAGCTCGGCGCCAAGCTGTTCGTCCTCCAGGAGGTCTATGAGACTCTGCTCTACCTGCTCGCCCCCTTTGTCCTGCCCATCTCCTTTGTGGTCCAGCCGGCCTTCAGCGCCTACCTCTTCGCTGCCACCCTCGTCCTCTACTACATCAACATTATCATCTTCAACCTCGTCCATCTGCGCAGACGCAATGAAAGCGTCAGCTGGACAGTCTGCCTCGTCTACTACGTGAGTTTGTTTTCTTTCTTCCTTTTCCTTTTTCTCTCCCACTCACACCTCTATAGATGCCCTACAAAATGGCCCTCTCCGCCATCAACGTCGCTAGCTGCTACTGGTCTCTCTTCAAGTATGCCCGCTACTTTGCCCGGCGCCATCCAAAGGTCGTCGAGGACGAAAAGGCCGTCGAGGTTGTCCTGCGCCTCGAAGAGACCACCCCCGCCCTCTTCCGCACCACCAGCATCCACGACTCTGACGACGACAGCGATAATCTCAAGAATGGCCGTCGCATGACTGCTATCACGGCCGTCCATCCCCGCGCCCAGGAGCCCATCCTCGGGCATCACATTCGCGACTTGTCGTCGTCAGATTCATCCGATACCGTCATCACCATCGGCGAGGACAGCAACAACACCAATATTACTGCCCAGCCATGCTTCTGGCCACAGGCCCAACGAGCTGTGCATATCAGAGATCCGGAAATGGTTCAAAGGCCGGGCAGTCTTCTTCGCAAAACCAGCTGGTCCCAGAGCATGGTCTAATTGGCGCATATCACGTGAACATACCTTTTACCTTTATTACCATAATTAGCATTGGGGGCGTTTGGATATCATACTGGAATATAGAGTACATAGATAGAATCTAACCTTTGCATCTTCGTCATGCCTTAGCGTCTGCTGGTGTCAGTGTCCAATGGCAGCAGCCGGTCCTATAATCACGTCAGAAGCCGAGCTGCTTGCGTCTTTGACCTGTTGGCTGGGATGGCCATTTTCCCAGTTCATGTATCCCAGAATCCCGATTCTTGCATCTCTTCCTCCCTGACCAACATTCAATCCGTTATAATTTTCCCTGTTATACCCCCCGTCTCATTGTCCAACCGCAATCACCGTCATGGCTCCTGCAAACAAGGTCGCTTCCGAGTTCGAACAGGCCAATAAGGCTTATGCATCGTCTTTTCAAAAGGGCCAGCTACCCCTGCCTCCCGCCCGGTAACAGAGTCTCATCGCTCCGCCCAAGCGGTCGTATTACAATGTGAAATGTATTAGTCAGCTAACAGCCCTCGCAGAAAGGTGGCAGTAGTGACCTGCATGGATGCCCGTCTTGGTGGGTAGCCTCTGTCTGTCTGCAGAGTACTGTTCATTCCACTCTCTCGTTGACCACTCTGCTCCCTTGACAGATCCGGCAAAAGCCCTTGGGCTGGAAGAGGGCGATGCCCACGTCATCCGCAATGCCGGCGGAAGGACCGTCGAGGCCCTGCGCTCCGTCATCATCTCTCAGCAGCTGTTAGGCACGCGCGAGATTGTCGTCATCCACCACGTAAGAGGCTCTCCTCCTTTCCTTTTTCATTGTCTTTGGGCTGTGCCTCTTTTTGACGCTCGGTCGTCGTCTTAGACCGACTGCGGCATGCTCACCTTTTCCGACGCCGAAATCCGTACGAAAATCGAAAAGGACCTCGGCCACAAGGCAGACCACATTGCCTTCCTACCCTTTAGCGACGTCAAGCAGAGTGTCACCGACGATATCGCCGTCCTCAAGAGCAGCCCCTTGGTCCTCGACGTCCCCATCACCGGTTACGTCTACGAGGTCGAGACAGGCAAGATTGTCAAGGTCTGACAGCTTAGCTTCTTGTGGTGTTCTCATCAAGCATTTTGGTGAACGGTTTCACGTTCCGACAAGTGAACATGAACAACAGTTCTAAGCCACCTGGCTATCGGACGGGTGAAAGCTGAACCAGAACAAACATTTGGGGAAACCTCAAGAAGCCAATTACGCTATTTATGTTTACTTTGCGGCCCGTAGAGCTAGCTTGTCCAATGTTTACTATCTACCGTTTCCCATAACCCATTTCCACGTTAGTCATGACGGGGTGATAGCGCAGTTAGGGGAAGGAAAGGCATTGGGCCAGATATGTGGATTCATCTTCCATTTAGCATGCAATTCACAATCACTGGGATATCGTCAGACTGGAATCGCTATGCATTCAGCACGCTTACTTCTGGCCTCTCTGTGCTGTACTGCCGCTTGCGTAATGCGAGGTGCTGTGCTCCTGGTTCTGCCGATGCCGGCGTCGGAGGTCCAAGACTGCCCTGGTGAGAGCCTAGGGTCAGGTGGGCACGCTCAAAGTCAATTTTCATGACTCGTCGCGTGTCCTTGCACCAGGTGACATTGGCCTCGTTATCGTCGCTGTCATACAGGCCCAAGTTCGCCAGGTCCTGCAGCGTGCGATCCACCTCCTGGCTGAAGTCCACCATGTCGTCATCTTCGGCTGTGGCAAAATAGACTGACTCGCCTGCATACGACATCAGCATCATGTATGGCAGCACCGTGAACTTGACCGGAAGTGGATATGGTACCACTAGCTTCAATAGGCCGAGAAATACGGGGATGAGCACGCCTTGCGGCGCCTGCAGGCCGGCATAAATCCGCTTTTCGTCCTTCAGCCGTCGGTAGTGGTGTGTAGCCGAAGCCGGTCAGCGTGATTTTGAAGAGCCAGCCGATCGATCGCCCCTCTGTAGTCACGTTTTGAAAGACATTCGCAGTCGGCCCCGGGGGCCTGCAGTAGCTGCTGTTTAATCAACTCTGCCAGCTGGACCTGTGTTATTGCGTGTTTTCCTTCCTGGACTGGGGCCGCAGCCGCTAAGCTCTGGTTGTGGAAATGATGATTTGGACGGTTCGGGTCCTTGTCCCAGCCGTTTGCTAGTCCAAGCAAGCAAGCTTGGGTACAGTAGGCAGAATTGGCTTGGTAACCGGTACATCTCTCCAGCTGGTTGTGGCCGGGAGAGTGTGACCAGTCGTGTAGTCCTGCTGCAGTAGAGATGGCCTCCGGGCTTTCGAACCGCCGTCTCCTAGCGGATGCAAAAAGCGTCTTCGCAGATTGTATCGACCGTCAACGCTCCTGTCGTCAGCATCAGTGTCTTCGTCGTTGTCGTCGCTGTCATCCCCGTCATTTCTCCTGGCTCGTCGACCGAGAGACGAGGGACTCTCTGGTCGGGAACCGGTGATTGAGGATGGCGATTCGGGGTATGTAGCCACACCAGCCAGGGCGCGTGCTATCCACGCATCCGGCCGAACGGGTGAATTCGATGCCAGAATGCACAAGCTGCAGAGCTGTGCGATTGCCAGCTTGGCCAGCTCCACTTCGCTGACAGGATCCGTAGCCACCGACGCAGGCTTCGTGGCGCCAGGCGGTGCGTAGGAAGACCTGTCCTGAGGTGAAGTAACAGGATAGCCACAAAAGTGGTAGAGTAGTGTCGTGGGCTCGTCTTCGGGAATGCGCAGCAACACGAGCGTCTCGCCTGTGGCCAAGTACCCAAACTCGATGCCCGAGAGAAGCATGTAGTAGTACGTCCGGGAAAATGCATAGGCTAGGTAGCTTTTCCTAGCAGCCCTGACAGACCTCGAGGAAGAGCCAGCGCCGGTGCTGCCGCCTGCATCAACCAGGGTAGAAAGCGTCTTGTCACTCTGTGATCGGACACGCCGCTGCAAGGCCTCCCGTGTGAGACAACATAATCTTCCGCCAAGAGGCCCCGAATTATCTCCAAAACATCCGCAGATCGAGGTACTGTTTCATAACATGTGAGGCGGGCAACTTAAGGGCAGCATCCAGGAATCTTGAGGTCTTGGCTGCACTTTGAAACAATTTCGTTTGAAGAGCATTTAAGTCGATAAAATTGAGCAGACGCTCCTCCCCTTGCTGCACCTGTATATGGGAAGGAAGTTCTTTCTTGGTGTCATCGAGTTTAGTACAGATGTGGGAGAAGACAGTCGCCTGGAGATCAGGAAAATCGGACCACACTCTCAGATTTGAAGGGTAGTATTTGCCATGAATGCTTGTGTGTCCCGAAGTCGTTGCTCGCGTGCCAGATTCCCTGGTTACCGACCTTGATGGAAGGGGTCGAGGCAGAGGAATAAGTCATGGCAGATACGTATGTAGACGTGAGATCTGCACAATATACGGTTTGAAGGCCTGGGCTACAAAGAATAGGAAAGTGTCAGACAGAGAGAGGAAGAGGGTGTACAATTCGGAAAAGGAAACCCACGCTCGCTCTTTTCCTCGGCGAGCAGGCGAAGTCGCTTGTCTTTCTCGAATAACGCTTTGTAATCCACGTTGTCGGACATGGCATTAACTTATGGCGAAAAAGAAGTTGTGAGGCGCGAGTAGTGTCGAAGAGTAGTGCGGATTGGTGTTCGATGGTGAATCACAGAATAGGTACGGAGTACTCCGTAGCTTGATCTTGTGAAGCTAGTTTAGATCACATCAGTATCAGTCCTTGCTAAATAAAATAAGACGACACCTTCCTTTGCGGGTACAATCCCTTTTTTTGATGAAGTTTTGATCCTTAACTTGAACACTGGTCACTTAAACGAGTGTGAAGTAGAAAAGTAGGAGCAAGCCTACTTCTTATACAGCGTACATTGAAGAAGCCAAAAAAAATTGTGGCAATATTCAGATGTTCTGGGACCACCGTGAATCGAACACGGGTCTCCTCGGCCACAACGAGGTATTCTAGCCACTAAACTATGGCCCCGTTTCGAGAGAACATTTCTGGTCGTTAGATTTTGGACCCGCTTAGTTGACCTTTTATGTAGCTGGTAGCGTTACATTTTACAGGTTACTCCATACTTCGTACGGACAGGACAATGCGCCCTGTATTATACGATGCAACGCAAGTTTGATGCCTTCGGCGTGTTGTGAACAGAGATTCCTTGCGATTGCACCCAAGTCCAAAAGGGGGTTTTACAACAAGTAGAAGGACTTCATTAAAGGTTGACATACAGCGCGCATAAATTTTACCCATTCGTCTCCAGACTTACGTCGTCCTTTCGGTCTATCGTGTCAAGAAACTGCGATGAGAACAGCCATATTGCACATTGTTGCTCAACCATACTTTGTCAACACCTTCTGCATTATCGACATGGCTCCACTACGGTATCCGCCTCCAAACAGTGCAAAGTGGTTGAGATGGTGGTATCTGTCATGTTAGTGCACTTCAAAGAACTGAAACCATATTACTGTGCGGGCAGTGCTCAACTTACAGTTCGTAGAGCTGTAGCCGGTCCTCCCATTCGCCCACCGGTTCATCTTTGGGCACCAGCTGTCCATACTCTGACCAGAAGTCACGGCCAAACCCGCCAAACATACGCATAATACCTAGTTCGTACTCCGAGTGGCCATAGACGCATGCGGGGTCGTATACCACCTCTTCGCTGTCGCTGCTACCATCAGGACGCACGATGCGACCCCAGCCATGATTTCCGTCCCACAGATCACCATGTACGACGACAGCCGCGATGTCTCCGCCACCGCGCTGCATACTGCGCTGGAGATGGCTATCTCGCAGTAGCCGTGGCACCACAACAGTCGCCGTGCGCTCAACTGCCTCTGCTAGCCCAGTATCAGGCCCATTGTTGCGCAGCCCAACACGGAGGACGTGCCGCAGCCGACATTCGGCATAAAAATCAGCCCATGATGAAGCCCAGGAATTGTCTTGCTCTGTGGCGCCGCAGCAGGTCGGCACAGGAAAGCCGAACCGTTCGCCATTGGGACCTTGCACAGTGGCCTCCTTGAGATGCATCTCCGCTAGCTTTGATGCGAAGGAGCGGCCAGAGCCTGCACCTGCCGAAGAGCGGCCAAGATCCAGATATTCTGTGGCCAGAAAATAACCGCTGGTTCGATCCTGCAATGGGCCGTGTGCGTGGGCACGAGGACAGAATAAAGGCACGGAATCAGCAATGGCGTTGAGCGAAGCAAACTCCCCGCGAAACATGACTGCGGCCTCCGGACCAGTCCCCGTCTTGATGAAGTACTGCACGTCTTTAGCTGTACCAACCTGGTGGCCAGTAACTCTAAAAGTCGACGAAAAGCCCGAACCGCCATGTGCATGCGCGGTCGTCATCGTAGGGTCAAGCCCGAGGGCTGTAACGATGGCTGGGTCGGCCCCAACCATGGCGGTATGTCCAAGCCCTAAGTGCCGTATAACTGATAAAGTATTTTTGCTATATCCCAACTTTCAAAACCTAGCAGAAGGGACTTGTATGATGTTGATAGTTCTGAAGTCTTTCTGTGGATTTCAAGAAGACAAGATTGTGCAACATGAAACTTTGGCCCCTTCCTTTTCACAGGAGATTGTAACACTGGCGTGTATAAGTTGTATGCCGTGTCACTCCACTGGGAACTGAACCGGTTTCAGACTCAAGAACTGGGCAAATCATAAAGGCGACAGAGATCTGAAGTGACGATGAAGTCATGGACGCAGATCGGTGTATCACGTGAGTGTGGCATTACGACGAGCACGAGCTTCGAGTGACTGGAAAAAGTACCCCTCCTTCTCATATAGTTCCCAGGTACTGTACAACGGGTCTCAGGGGCTCATATCGGCTTTGTTTTCTGCATACAGTCTGCATTAAGGTGCGGTGGCCCTCATAATACTCGAAAGAAAGACAGGGCCTTATCGCGCTTATCGACTCAAAGTGGTCTGTGCGCGCTTGTTGCTTCACTCCTTTGAGCCACAACCCCACCAATCCTTCTCTTAGTGACTCAGAAAACCACGACTATTTCACTTCTCGTCTTTACGCGAGTCAACACCCCAGCAAACCAAAGCATTTCCCGGGACTGGGACCGAAAGTGGACAGCATGGCGGACTCGATCGTTGAAGCCACTGCCAAGCTGCAGTTGGACCCCGAGACGGGTGAAATGGTGTCCAAGAACGAGCTGAAGAAGCGGATGCAAAAGAGAGCCAAGAAGGAAGCATCGGCGGCCCGTGCAAAGGCTGCAGCTGCCAACCCTGATGCCGCCTGCACGCCGAAGCCTGCTCCGAAACAGCCAAAGAGCAACCAGGATTCCCAGGTCGACCCCGAAGCCATGTTCAAGCAAGGCTTTCTGTCCGAGGTGTACAACGAGAGGCCTACAAAGGACGTCCTGACTCGGTTCCCCCCCGAACCCAACGGATTTCTCCATTTGGGCCATGCAAAAGCTATTGCTGTCAACTTTGGGTTTGCTAAGTTTCATGGTGGAAAGACGGTATGCGGATTCCGCCTTAGAGCTTGGATTGAATCAACCGTGGGTGGTGCTAACCGTTGTAAGATCCTTCGCTTCGACGATACGAACCCGGACAAGGAGAAGGAAGAGTACTTTGTGGCCATCGAGGACACAATAAGATGGCTCGGTGAGCAAAGGCCCTAAATACCGACTATTTGATGTTGCGGTCTGAGGATGTCTAATTGACGATCAAACCTTTAGGATTCACACCCTGCGACATAACCTATTCGAGCGATAACTTTCAAAAGCTGTACGATCTGGCAGAAAAGTTGATCGAATTAGAGAAAGCATATGTGTGCCATTGCCAGGAAGCAGAGATAAAGCTGCAGCGAGGCGGCAAGGAGGGCAAGGAGGGCCCAAGGTACCGATGCGCGCATGCCGAACAGGACGTGGCGACCAACCTGACCAAGTTTCGGGATATGCGAGACGGAAAGTACGAGCCCCAGACTGCATTCTTGCGCATGAAGCAGGACATCGAGAACGGTAACCCCCAAATGTGGGACCTGGCCGCCTACCGCATCCCCAAGAACCAGACACCACACTTCCGCACAGGCGACAAGTGGAGAATCTACCCGACATACGATTTCACGCACTGCCTGTGTGATAGCTTTGAGGGAATCACTCACAGTCTTTGCACAACTGAGTTTATTCTCTCCCGGGAAAGCTACGAATGGCTCAACCATACTTTGGGGGTGTACGAGCCAATGCAGCGCGAATATGGTACGTGCTCCTAGAGCAGCGCCTCAGAACTCTCTTCAGGTGCTTGGATGCTTACGTTGCTTCTCACAGGCCGCCTCAACATCAGCGGCACGATCATGAGCAAAAGATCGTTGCACGAACTTGTTGAGCGCAAGATTGTGCGCGGATGGGACGATCCCCGTCTTTACACGCTGGGTGGTCTTCGTCGGCGTGGAGTACCGCCTGGTGCGATCCTGTCGTTCATTTCAGAGCTGGGCGTCACGACGGCCCAGACCATTATCCAGATCCCGCGCTTCGAGCAGTCAGTTCGGCGCTACCTCGAGACGACAGTTCCACGTGTCATGCTCGTCTTGGACCCCCTCCCCGTCGTTCTGGAGGATCTTGGCGATCTTGAGGGACAGGAGCTGGACATTCCCTTCTCGCCAAAGGATCCCAATATGGGCAGTCACAAGCTAAAGTTGACGAAGACTGTGTACATTGACCGTTCGGACTTCCGGGAAGTTGACAGCCCGGACTACTACCGCCTAGCTCCCGGAAAGGTCGTCGGTCTGCTGCAGATCCCCTACCCAATCCGTGCAACAACGTTTACAAAGGACGCAAGCACGGGCTTGGTGACGGAAGTGCGCGCCGTGGTAGACCGGGACTCGAAGAAGCCCAAGACTTACATCCAATGGGTGCCTGAGGGTTCGCGCAAGGTCGAGGTTCGGATCCACAGCGCCCTGTTTAAATCCGAGGAGCCTAGTGCTGCGGAAGGTGGCTTTTTGAACGACATCAACACCGAGAGCGAGACGGTTTACCCCTCGGCCCTCGTCGAGACCGGGTTCGAAGAGGTGAAGCGGAAGGCCCCCTGGCCGGCTACGGCTGGAGAGGAAAGTGGCGAAAATGTGAAGCTGGAAAGCGTCCGGTTCCAGGCCATGAGAGTGGCATACTTTGTAAGTCAATAATACCAACACTCTTCCTAAATTGCAAAGGCAATGCAAGAGTTTACAGGCATTCGCTAACCTTTGTTGCGTGCAGGCACTGGACTCGGACAGCACGGAGGACCACATCATCCTAAACCGGATTGTCTCCTTAAAGGAGGATGCTGCGAAGAAGAACTAAGTTGTGTGTTGAAGCAAGCCACGTACCTCCTTTTCCTACTGGCTCCATCTCCGGATCCAAGAATCATTCTGTAGATGAGGGCCTGTTAGGTTTCCATGGAGTCATTTGTAAGGCTAGTTAGCAGGCAAGTTTAGAAAGCGAACAGGTCATGTATCTTGCCGGTGGGGATACTAGTTAATACGGAGGCTAGGTAACCTCAGCAACTTGTATGCGAATAATGCCATACGGAGTACGTAGTATACAGATCACGTCTACCACAAACATCTGGATCACAAGCCAAAGGGTGTGTTTGCATTTGTACTATTATGGTGTGTTTTCGTAAAGAAAGAGCCAAAAAGCAACTGTCAGTACAAAAAATATGTTTTCTGTGTTAAAGGTCCTACCCGGAATCGAACCGGGGCTACTGGAATGTAATATATGAACATATCAGAATCCAATGTCCTAACCGCTAGACTATAGGACCTTTCATTGGTGGTTGACGACGTTTGAAAAGGTAACTAAGAAGCCTTCCTTCACGAAAGGTATTTTGCAGCCGACCACACTGTGTGAACATCTAGATGCCATCTCAGCAGTTTCTGGCTTTGATGCAGAAAACTCTGCATTGTTTCGAGATTTCAAGGGTTTGTCACGTGTGGTACGTATCGTAGGAGAGAGATACCGGTGAATACGGAGTAGCATGCACACACCGAGTAATCTCAGGATCACGAGGTTTTTGTGGTAATAGATTTAATTTGCAGTTTTCTATGGCGGATGGGGGTATCTTCCTCTTGTTCAGTCGTGGCTCTTTCGTTACTTTGTTTGCTGTCGCGTGACAGATTAGTCGATTTCTACAGCTTCCGATGGGTAGGAATCAGACGGGCGGTTCCGCAAGCAAGACAGCTCAAGCCAATTGCGTTGGCTTTCTCTACATCAGGATGGGTTCAAAACCCTGCTGTTCGACGCTATCAGCATGGGACGCTATCTCTCGTCCTACTGAATACGTGCTTGATGAGCAATGCTTTTTGTGTGGTTACCGTTATCCGGTGAGGGGGGCAGAAAGCTCTCCAGTGTGTTAGGTTGTGGCGCGTTATTTTTTGGCCTGCGGCGTGTTGCGACGGCTTCGTAGCTTCATTTAGTTCTTCTCTGACACGGATGGGGGGCGTGACGAGGCCGGCGTCTCTGGCATGGCAATGGTCGTAGCGGTCGTGGTATAGTGAAGAGTTCGCAAGTCGGAAGCGATGCTGTCGAAGCTGATGCGTTTCTTAAGAAGTTTCAAGGGCGACCTTTTTATGAAGGAGTGTGTCGATGTCGAGGCAACGGATGAAGTCGCCATCTTCTCAGGTGTATTCTTCACCTTCTTCGGACGCGGCACATGGTATGGCGATTCATTTTCCCAGCAGTCATGGCAGGGACACATGGGCGCCCGGTCCAGCTGCCAGCCTTCAGGACGTTGACTGGGATTAGGGCTAGCTATGATGAACTGGCGAGACCAGAAGCCCTTTGAAGGCGTAACCGGAGTGCTGTTTGAAGAAACCGCAGAAGCAGCCTGAGAAAAGGTGGGCATGGTTGGGTATGTGTGTATCAAATCCAGGTATAAAAGGTATGCAATATTATTTATTTCAGTTGAAGGTGGAGGTGAGCTTGAAGATGTCACCGAGTGGTATCAAGACGGTCTGTAGCGAAATGTTTCAATAGAATTTTAACACATAAACAAGACATTCTTCAATTGGGAATGCAAGGAGGAGTACAGAAAATGTATCATATAGTTGTGAGGATCGGAGGGCAAAGGAAAGGAACGGGAGAGGTGCTTCTAAATACAAAATACGTCAATGAGCGCGGCGCTGAGGCTTTTCGTTAACTGGACCCGTACTTACAGCCTTTCAGTTCTAGATTCTAGAAGAATAAAAGACTAGGCCGGTCTACCGGCCAATCCGGCAATGCCACGGAAATCGGACCTGCTTTTTTGGGCTGCGAAGGCGAATGAGCCCTGGCTAAGGCAGTGAGAACCCGATAATAGTGCGAAATGGCACCGCTGACTGCCAGGGCACGAAGGAGTCATACGGGGGTTATAGCATGAGCAGCAGCACCGGTCCACTTTTTTGTTTTCTTATGGTAATATTTCGGCTGTTACTTTTCCTTTTAACCTCGGGACAAAGTCACATTTTGCTGTTCAACCGGCAACTCTTCACGTCCGGCCGGCTGATCCAAATCTGTTTACCGATCAGATACGGAGTACTCAACCTCGTCCCGTCGCGAACGGTGCTGGGCCGAGCTGTTTGAGAGTTCGATATAGTTGGTAGCGAATTTAGGCGGTGGTTCTGCCATACGCTTGTAAGAGTAAGATACATAGGACTCCGTACGGCGGTGATCATTCGGGATTCCCGACCGCCGGAACTCTTGCGGCATTCATTATATTTTGGCATGCACGCACAACGCAAGCAGTTGCTTCAATCTCCTTGTTTCCGACAACTGGTTTGGTGATAAAAACGGCGTGACGACCCCGTGCTGCTCACACAACATCGACCGGAATGACTCGCGAAATGCAAAAGTGGCGTGTGTCGCCAGCATGACCTAATTCTTACCCGGCCAAGTGCTCTCTAAACTTTTTTTTTTTTTTTGAGTGACCGCATGTGTCTACTCGTAGGACGAGAAATGAGCTTCGGCAGACATTGACCACGCAGTTTACAGCATGAATTATCGACGTGAAGATAACCACGACTGCTGCATGACGATGAATCTGGTAAGATACTTGCTCCCATATGATAGCGGAGCCGCAGGTATCAAAGATGAGCAGCTCGACGGACCTTCACGGAGCGGGACGGCTTAGTTTTATTTAAGATGGGGAGCTGTGCATATCAGCCTCAAACTCTGTACATATCTGTGCACTGTAGTCACGGGCTCGTACACGTGACCTGAAATTTCCTGGAACTACCAAAGCGAAGTACGGAGTACGACGCAAGAATATCTGCGACAACTACAAAATATGTACGGAGTGACCTTACGATCTCGAGGAGAATCACTGCATTGACGCTTGCGTTGGACCGGTGAGTCTGGGCAGGGCCAAAAGAAATATGGTGATCATGTCTCTCATCGGGAGAGGCAAGCTTACATATTTGGCGTTGGGGGTGGCCCTGTGAAAATGGAACGGAAAGACAAAATGAGCAAGGAAGGAATGGATTGTGAAACAGACAGATCACCTGCAGCTAACAGGATGGCGCCGAAAATGTGAAATGGGATGAGAAGAGACTAAATAAGAAAACAAATAACGACTAGTTTATCGTTTTAAGTCGGCGAGGAATGTAAGACGCTGGCTGCGCGTCGGCTGAGATAGCCTTGTCATGATTAGGATCTCACTGCTGCTATCGTTTTGTTGGTCGCGGTCATGTTTCAGCCAATACGCAAAATAAACGAAATGGGACACTGTAAAAAGCGAGCGTAATTTGCAAGCATGTCAGACACGGTAACTATCGCCTCCCCTATTTTCTTTCTTTCTCTGCCAACTCCTGCCAGGAAAAATCGCGATTTTGGCAAAGACATGACATTCTTGGCCCGTCTCTTTCTTTTTTTTTCTAGTTGTGATTGCAACTGTGACTGTGATTGTGGCTGCCGGGGAAGCCGTCCCGAAGCTAGCTTGCTCGATAAGGACAGGCGAACAGGGGGCTTCACCGACCCGGGAGCGTGGCTCTGGGATGGGAGCTCCTTCTCATCACTCGGGCTGTTTTCTCTATCTGTCCTCGTTGACTGGGCCCTTACGAGCCTGCATTAATACCAATAGCATTCAGGGGGGGAGGGGCGGCTGAAACGGACCAAAAAGGAAACATAGACGGGGCACCATGTAGTGGGTTTTTTCCCTATCATATTGGTCTTTCGTTGTATCAGAGTGCACATGCTTGTATGATGTATATCTGACAGGTCAGCCAAGCCACCCGATGAGCCAAGTCGTACGCGGCTTGACCTATCAATATGTCGCAGGCTGGTTCGGTAATCACCCCGTAAAAGGCCGGCCAGCACGGCCAACCCGGGGGAAAGCTATTAAAAGCTGCAAGCACTTTACTCCGTATGAGGCTAACGTAACCCCTGCTAGGCGAATCAGTGACAGCTGAACTCTCCTTGGACGCAGTACTATCCTTCCAGAGCCGGTTTACTCCGTGCATGAATGGAGTGGCAAACAGCTTGCGGCAAGGGAGTTGTCCATCCCCTGACAGTTGGGCATGTAATCGTTTCTTGTATCAAAATCCGGTTCCTTTCCAACAGACAGCTGGCTGTGTTAGACACGGAGGCCTACCAGAACAAGTTAAGATACGAACCCCTTTTCTCTGACACCAGCGCAAAGGGAGTCGACAAAATTAAGCATTGAGTCAACAAGTATTTTTGAAGCCGAAATAACACGTCTTCTACCCTTAGTACAGCTTCTGAGTTTCGATGTCTTGACTGTTGTCATTGTTATGCAGTAAATTTCACACTTCCATGTTTCATTGCTCCTCTGTTCTCAGTCAAGGTATATTATAATTCTGAACGCTGCGAAGCGAGTCTCCTTTCCGTATGTTCTAAAAAAATGGTGCTTCTGCTGGGTGATATTCATCCTAGTTCCAGCCCAAGAGTTATTTTCCCACTCGAAGACTGAAGGCTCTGTTCCGCCATTAATGGAGACCAGTGATCTGACCATATAACCCGATTATGCGTACAGAGGTGTCGAAAAGCAGAAAGTAAAGCTGATATATGATATATGTGGCAGAAAAGTGGAAAGGAAAGGCAGCGCCCATCAGGTGAGTTTCTGGTCCGCGGAGACGAGAAACCCAAGAAGGAAAAATCAGTAAGCCCAGTCTATCTATGTGCATGCATGGTCCCTCCCAAAAACAAAAACAATTATTTTTCCCACCCATCCAGTTTTTGCTCCCATCCCAAAATGAAAAATGAAATCCTGCTCGGCGAGAGTGATGTAGATCCCTCGCAGGCCTCTTCCTCTAGACCAGGTCCTACTCTATCGCATACCGACGAAAATGAAATAAAACAAAAACAAAAAAAGCAGACAGCTGTCGAGTGACGGATGTGACAGGTGATTCAACCGTCCTGATCAGGAAAGCTGGACAAAAAAGCAGAACCCAATAACCGTCTATAGTAAACGCCAAGCGCAAAACGATGTACCATGCACACAAAACTGAACGGAAAGATACCAAGTGACCTCGTCTCGTGTTGTTGTTGTAATGTTGGCCTCCTCCTTCCCAAGCCTTGCTGCTGGGAAGCAAGAGATTTATGTGGCACCGAGCCGAAACGTGTAATGTCTTCGTCCTTTCGTTTTCTCGCCCAAGTGTGGAGCATATTAAAAGTGTAGAGAGAAAGATGTCCAGATGGATGAATAGAAATGTGGCTGGAAACAGGCAGCCAACAGCAGGGCTTGCGAACAGTGTTGTACACCCGATCTGGTGGAGGTTGATCGGCGAATGGTTGAGGGCCTCGAGGCAACAGGTCGGCACGTAGGGCACAGAGAGGTGGAATGTGCGTTGCTTGACGATGTATCAGGAGCTCGAAGCATCTTGCGACAATGGAGATTGCGAGGCCGGTTTTCGGAACAGCTGATTGCTATGGCCACAGGCCATGATCTTATAGCTGATCGTGTTGTTCGTAGCTGATCTATCGGGTCTTCGGCGGCGGCGGCTTCGGCACGCCAGTTGTGTCATAGGCGCCACGGCCCATGTTGAGGGGGTCCTGCACATCTGTTTGGGCCATTGTGGATCTTGAGCTTTGGATGTGGGCTGTGAGTGGTGTGATCGCAAAAAGGCTTTGCGAGTTGAGGACTTGAGTTTGAAGGCCTTGTCTGCGTCAGTTAGGTGCTCTCGGGGGAACGATGGGCTTCCACATGGACGACTTCGCAACGTGCAAGCAGGCCGAGACCAGAAGCATGAGGAATGCGCCAGAAGAGCTGGAGGAAGCGGGTGTGCTTACCAAGTGGGTTGGAAGGTCGTATGCAGGTAGCCTTGGGCTAGATTGGCAGATGGCAAGCAGTGAGAGACGGAGCTGAAAAGACAGTGTCTTGAAGTCGGGGGTGATTGGCGAAGTAGAGAAGTGTTGATGTGGGTGAGGCGAGGTGAGATATAAGTATTAGAAGAGAGACAGAAGGTGGTATTAAGAAGGAACTGAAGGGATGAGAATGAACGGCAGGCTAAGGAGAGTCATGAAGCTGGGGGTGGCCAGTCTTTTGTGCGTTTTCGAGATGAGGCGCAGGGGGGGGATGGGAGGAAAAATAAAATAGGGAGACAGCGAGGCGTAACTTCACGAAACAAGCGCAAATCAAATCAGAAAACCAAAAAAGAAGAATAGGGGGTGTGTGAAGTTGGCGCGCGCTGGGGTGCCAAGGGTGAGGGGGCGTGGCGTTAAAATCGTCGATTGTTTTGTTGCCTCTGGGAAATGGGAAGCTGCCAGGTACAGCAGACCGGGAGGGTAGGAGCCACCTGCAGGGCGGCTTGGGAGCGCCGGTCGTTGGCACCCGATTTTTTCTCTTGGGTAGGAGGGTCACCTGCTTGTGGATAAGATGAGAGAGGAAAGGAGCTCCCGGCAGCGAGAAGC